GTTAATTAACCGGAAATAAATTTTTACAAGGGAATTAATTTATTTAAAAAATTTATTTAAGTTAATAATTATTTGAGAACGCGCTCAGCTCATGAGTTATTTGATTAAGCCACCAAACCTGCGCTGTTGCTTCAAATTAGGATACTTTTTAAATTTATTAAATTAATTTTCCATATCAAATTCAGTTTTCTTTTTCATTTTTTACACAATTTTAAAAATTTAATTTATATAAAAAAATTTTTTATTTAATAAATTTGCAACCCAAAAAAGTTAGAAAAAGCAAAGAAAAAATTTTTAGAAAGCAAAAAAAAATTTTTTTTGCAAAGCTAGACCCTTACTAAGCATAAAAATACTTTTTTAAAGTGCATTGGATTAAATTTCAGACTATCTAAATGTCAAAAAAATTAACCATAAAAATTCAGTAAGGATAAAAGAAATATTAAATTCACCTTCAAAAAAATAAAAATTTTTTAAAGCTGAAAATGACAGCTAGACATTAAAAATTGTCAAAAGCATTATTTTAAAAAAATAAAAAAAAATAATAAAAAATATAATAGTACACATACATACATATTAGCACGTTTGTAGTAATTAAAAATGAGAGGGGAAAAAAGGAAAACAAAAAAATATATGAGCATCCCCCTCTTAAAAATAATATTATTTTTTAAAAATGAACTGACGTATTCAGGTGTAAAAATTAGCATATTGTTTTCTAATAAAAATATTTGTCAAATAAAAATATTTTTCAAATAAAAATATTTGTCAGAAAAAATAATTAATGTTAGAAAAGTTGGCATTTTATTTTAAAATTTAAAAATTAAAAAAAAAAGGTAGAAAATAATGCCTAGACTTTCCTCAAATTAGGAGAATGAATAACTAGGAACAAAACTATGACTTTAATAATTTTCTTAATTCCCAGACAATAAGAATTAAGATTATTAATTCCCAGACAATGGTATAAGTAATTTAAAAAGTCATAGAATAATTATTTTAAGATGCTAATTTAAGGAAACTTGAAAAAGCATGGAAACACTTTCTTTGCAATTTTTTTTGCCTTTTCGTTCTACCCAGAAACAGTCAAAGTTATTAAAAAGCAGACATAATCTTGTCCTGAAGGGTTGGTTCACACCCTGTAACAGAAAGGCTGATATGGAGTATATCAAATTTTCAATCCTTTCCTAGAGGCACATGAAGCGCATTTTTTAAGTGCCCACCTCAAATAGGGAGGGGGTGGAGAGAGAGATCTCTATGGATTTTGTGAAAGTTACTCAATTTTAAAACAACTTATCCAGTGATTTTCAATTTAATTTAACCCTAAAATCCCAAAATCTCATTTTTCTTTGACCAAAAAATTAACTTTAAAAAAATAACAGTAATAAAAAATGAAAATTTAATTTAAAAAAATGATGCAAATAAAAATATATATATGCACTTTACGCTCTAGTAAGTATATTAAAGAAAAAACCGTAATTTGATGCCAAGTCAATAGCATCAGAAAATTTTATATTATTATGTTATAATATAAAAACTAATACATATTTAATACTATGTTTTGCATAATTAAATAAAAAGTGGTAAAAAATTGTTTTTGAAAAAATAAATTATAGGTGTACTTAGTTCTGGTAAAAAAATATGCTTAAAATATGGGAATATGCTTCAAAATATTGTTTTGCTTATAGAAGCTTGAATTACTAAAACTTTAATTTTACAAACTTAAAAATTCATAACGGCTAAATTAACAAACTTAACATTCTAAATAAACTTGGATTACTAGAACTTGAATTTTGCAAACTTAATAATGTTTAAGTTCATAAACTTCATTTTCTTAAATAAACTTGAATTATTAAAACTTGAATTATAGAAACTTAATAATGGTTAAGTTCACAGACTTAAGTTTTCTAAAAAGTTGAATTATTAAAATTTGAATTATACAAACAAGTTAATAAGCTTAAGTTTTCCAAATAAACTTAAATTATTAGAATTTGAATTTTGCAAACTTAATAAAAGTTTACAAACTTGATTTTTCTTGTTTTAATTTTTAAGTTAAATAAAGTTTTATTAACTAATAAAATTTTTACAATCTTAATTTATTTTTATTTAAACACAATTTACTCTAATCATGTTTTTATTTAATCTAAACACATATAAATACTACAACCGAGACAAAGACAACATAAAACAATTGAAGACAAAACAAAAATATAGAATATGAGTCAAGTTGAGGATTTATTCGAGTTTAGATTTTTATCATTTTATAAGCCTATTTTCGAAAAAAATAAAAAAAAAATTTTCAACGTTCAAACAAATCCAATCATTTTAAAAATAAATTAGATATTAAATACATCATTTTTTCGATTAATTACTTTCCCTGGAATAATGCCCCTCCCCGTCCTTTGGTTAATTATTTTAATTATTAATTATTCCTTCGGTTAATCCCTCAAGGTAAGCAATACTTTACAATTGTAATTACTCGAGAAAATAAGGTATAGGGTACATTAAAAAATAAAGACAACAAACAATGAACAACAGATAAAGTTAGAGCACAACAAGGAGACAAAATAAGATATGAATAAGATATGAAGTAAATTTAAAATTCTAGATTAAAAAAAAAATTTTTTTTTACAAAAAAAGTGGGAAAAAGTGGGAAAAAGTGGGAATTTTGTAAAAAAAAATTTTTTTTTTAATCTAGAATTTTAAATTTACTGAAAAAATAACCAATTTATATACAGAAAAAATTAAATAGGTATGTTAATTAATTACCCACTCCATTGGTAAGCTTAAATAGGAAATAGGTAATAACGTAAATAACAACGTAACATTAGAAAACCCCAAAAATAATTTTTTTAAATTCCCACAAATTTATTTTCAATTTCAAAAAAAGAATTTATATACCCACCACCCTCTATATTTTTTAATTTTAAACTAAATTTGAATAAAAAATATTTATATAGCATTTTTTCAAATAATGTCATTAATTCCCAAACTAATTTTAACTGTTTAAAAATAAAATTTTTTTAAAATAAAATTTTTTTAAATAAAAATAGAAAAATTCCCACTTGATTTAAAATTAGAGAGACAATAAACGAAAGAACTGAAAAAACCGAGAATAGAAACCGTGTTTTTGAATTTTTAGAGTAACACGAACCAATAAATAAACATATAAATATATATATATATTTTTTTTTACAAAAAAAAGTATATTTTACATAAGATAAATTTTAAAATTGTGTTGTAACTGAACAAGTGAAATTTTTATAAATAATTGCCTCTTAATTTTTAGAAATTTTTTTCTGACGTAAAATTTAAAAAAAAGGGCCAAAAAAAACAATTATAGAATCCAGGCCAAAAATATTACTTATTTCTTATACAAATAAATTTAAAAAATAACCGCCATTTTTATTTTTAAAAATAGTTTGTAAAAAAAAATCCCCACTTATTTGTTAGGAGAAATCCCACTCAAAAAATTCCCAAAAATTCCTAAAATTTTATAAAAATTTTTTTAATAATTTTCAGGGCATCATTTACAGTGGCATCACAATTTTCACAAAACAAAACAAAAAAAGTTTTTTTTTGGAACAGACAACACGGAGGGATGAATTTTTAATTTTAGAAAAAAGTAAACAAAGTTTATATCGCCAAAAACGGATATTAAGTTAGAAAATTAAAATAGAGGAAATTAAAAGACAGAAAATATTTCTGGCCCTAGCTAGAAAAATATTTTTAAAAAATGTGCCTCAATTTTAAGAAGAAAAACAGTAGTGTGTGTGGTGGAGTTTAATTAGAAAAATATTTAAAAATGGAAGAATGCCAAAAATTAAAAGTCAAGTTCTAATGCTTATATTAGAAGAAAAAAACAACGCGGAGGGGATGAATTTAATCTTGTAAAAAAATCCAAAAATACGTAAGTAATTAAAATAGATAGGTAATTAAGGTAATAATTAGGTAATTAAAATGGGTATGGTATTTATCTAAACAATTAATTGTTCAAAAGATCATAATTTAAACATTTAAAAATATTTTCTCCTAACTTTTTTTTAAAAATATTCTTTAATTGTTTAAATCTATTTAAAATTCACCTAATTATTAATTTAAAAATATTAATTTTGTTTTTTATATAAAATTCATTAAAAATTGTTTTCTTTTGTTAATTACACATAATTAAAAATAATTGAATTGTATATATAGTTTGTATTTTGTTTTTAAAAAATTAAAATTAAAAATAGGTAAAAACTTGTATTTTAGCCTATTATTAAAAATTAGAATTCTTTCTCTATATTTTTTAAAAATTTAAAATAAATATGGATATAAAAACAAATTTCCGGTCAAACACTTTAGTTCTTTTGTTTTAAGAAAACAATAAAAATAGCAAAAATGGGCTCCATTTTAAACTTCAGAAAAATATCTACTTTAGGAAGTATTTCCGCGTTGTTTTTCTAAAGAATGAATTTCATAAGTTAGCTGAAGATGATAGAAGTTAGCTGAAGATGAAAGAAAATAAACGATAAAAGACAAAACTACAATGATTTGAATAGGTTTGGACCTCATTTGTAGATACATTCTTAATTAAAAGTTTAATTTTAGAAGCTGAATGGCCATTGGGTGGGGGTCTCCATTTGAGCTAAACAAAAAAAAAGTCCCTAAACCTATTCCAGAAAATCTTAAGAACCTAGCTAAATAATTAACAATATAAAAAAATGTTTGATTTATATTGAACTTAAAGGTTTTTTAATTGAAAAATTAAGGTTACAAATATTCCAAAAATTTTAAAATCTCTCCTATCATTAATAAAAAACCTTAACGTCACAAATACTTTAAAAATAAATTCAAAAAATTCTGATTTATCAAGTCAAATAATATATTTATAGAATAAAACGAAGAACAAAAACAACGGACGGAAGATATGAAGAAATGAACACAAAACAGAAAAAAAAATAACACAAAAAATAAACAAAGACATAAACAAAGAAATCAAATTTAAATTTTAAAAATTATTTTATTTTTTTTTCAGAGCCAAAAAAACCCGCGCGCAAACTTTAAAATATTCCAAAAGCATCAAAGCTGATACTGGGTCCCAAGCTTTTGTTTTAATGCTGGCGGGAATTGGGCCACAAAATTATTCCAATTTTCATGGCCAACTTGTTGTTTAAATGCTGAGAGGATCTGACATGAGAGAGATATTTTTGAATTTTTTTTGAATTAAGAAAAAATTTTCCCAATTTTTTTTTGAAAATTTTTAGAAATTTTTTTGATAATTTTTGGAAATTTTTTTTTGAAATTTTGTTAAAAAATTTTTAAAAATTTTTTTGAAAAATTATTTTATTTGCCAAAATTTGGTAAATACTAGGTTAGTAAATATTTTTTTTGAAAAATTTAAAAAAATATATAAAAAATGGGAGTCAATGTAGGATTAAAACCCATCTTATTGTTAGTAAAATTATATTTTAAAAAATTATAACCAACCCGACCAAACATGAAACGCAATTCATCACTAGGTGTTTGCCAAGAAGCTATAGCATCACACAAAAATATAAAACAATTTGCAACTCCTTGAGGATTACAATTTATCATTAAGCAAAGTCCACGAAAAGCACTCTCTTTTTCATCATTGTCACGAACATTTCTTAAAGCCAAACACCATGGACGGATGAAGTCAAACAAGAAAGGTGATACGTCTGAACTACAAGAAAGTCCAAATCGGCCAAGTGTGATTGCTTAAAAAATTAAATTTTTTAGGTTATTTAAATACGTAGTCGGACCACGCTATAAGATATACTCATCCTTATAATGAGATATATCATAAATCGAAAAATATCGCTTAAGAATCTCACACCCCATGGTCAACCTAATTAAAAAAATTTATTTATCATTAAAGCGTACTAAGATTGTGTTATCATATAGTGAAGCCTAACAGTCAAGTATAATTTTTAATATGAGGGCAATCAAAAAAATTTTAATTTAAAAATATTTAAAAAATCTCACCAGTATTTTCAAGCAGCGTTTTTGGTCCTTTATCCCGATTCATCACAATAATGAGTTGTGGCAAAATTATTGGGACATATTGTCTCATTTGTTCACCAATATTTAAAGAAATCTCTCCAAGTGCCCATATCGCATCTAAAAACGAATTATTTTAAAAATCTAAGGTTGGGTTGCCCCTCTACAATTCTATGTCTTATTCTATTTTACCATTAGGCTAGGGTTATTCACGACCAGGTTTGAAACAAAAATTTCTAAAAATGAGTGATTTCTATTTAAAACGGATTTAACTAAAACTCGAAACCGAAAACCAGGTTTATAAAACATGGATTAATCGAAACCCGGAGGGAACTGATTTATTCCCAATTAAACAACCCCAAGTTAAAGCAAACAATTTACAAAAAAAACTAACTATTACAAACAGAAACATGTTCAGGATTTAAATTTTGGGCAAGAATTGGTATAAATTGGTGTACATTTGGTTGTAGATAAGAATAACATGCTTTGGATAAATCTCCTAATAATGCAAAAGAACTTTGGCGGACTTCATTTGTTGAATCCTTTTAAAAATTTTTATTAAAATTCAAAAATAAAAAAACCTGAGAACAAATATAAATAAGCTGATTTAAATTGCTTTGATCAACTAATGGCTCAATATAATCACGTAAAGCTTCAGTTAATTCTGAAAGAAGGTCCAATGCAACAATTAAAAAGTCTTTATCTGTTTGGTCGTTTAGAGCTTGCTGTGTTGCTAAAATAATAAAAAAGAAAATAAATAAAAATAAGATAGAGGTAAAGTTTAGCCCCGGGCATCGACCGTCGAGCTCCTAGCGCCTATTGCTAGCAGCCCTCGCTGACCTTGTAAAGGTTTCTCTACTTACTGACTGACACGAGCTACAGGAATGCAGCTTTCAGCTTCTCTTTTAATGCTGAATCTCCCTTGTCCCTTACAATAGTAAGGGAAAAATTTCTATTCTAAAATCGGAAAATAAAATTTTAAAATGACCCAGGTTTATTGGTCTACCTTGCGTTAAAAAATTTTTCTTAACCATATAATACGAGCCACAACCCATCACCCAATTCTTAAAAATAAAAAAATTCTTTTTATAATTTACAACCTGAAGAAGTTGCTGCTGCAGCTGCCTGACTTTGTTGTAACGTGTTAGAAATAATATGAACACAACGTTGAAACACAGGTTCAGCATATGGAAGAAATGAGCAATGTAAAGCTGTTGCTACAGATGAAATACATTCAAGTAAAGGAAATAATTCTTTATCATCATCTTTAAGTATTGCCCATTTAGCCATTAAAGGTTGCATTAACATATCTACAAATGGTGGATCTGCCAAATTGGAACCAACACTATCTGCTAAAGTTCCAACTGCATCGTAGAAAATTAACAGGTTTTTGGCCTTGAAAAATTTTTTTTTTTAAAAATTTAAATTAATTTTTAAAAGTAAAAACCTGGTATCGTTTGAAGGCTTCAACCAAAGTGCCAAGTATCTCCGCTAGGTAAGGAACAAGTTCGTGACCTAAAAATTAATTTTTTATAAACTTGGATAGAATAACAAAGAAAACGAAAATCATTTCTTTCATTGGTCCGAAAATGTTCCAATTTCGGATTAAGGCTCGAAATAGGGAAAAAGCCAAAATTGTGTTGTCGGTTCTGAACCGAACCGAAGAACCGACGATTTTTCGGTTCGGTTCTTTGGTTCGGATAAGGATATCCAAAGATTTTCCAGGAACCGACAACTCTATTGATCAACATGTAAAATTAAGTCTAAAAAATTTTTCAGAATAAAAAATAGAAATGATTTCCAAGCTAATTATACTTACTAGCTTCTTCTTCAAAGGTAGCAAAAGCAGAACAAGCAGCCTCCTAAAATAAAAGCACAAATTAAAATTATGGGGTTTTTAAAAACAAACCTGTACACGTTTGTTTCTATCCAAAATACGTGCTAACAACTGAAAATTAATTTTATTTCCTTAATCCTTATTAAGAATTAAAAAAACCTCTTTGAGCAATTGGTTAAACATTGGACCCTGTGGTTGTTGAACAACATAATGACAATAACGAGAGAGTGTCCAACATGTAATTGAGCGAACTAGAGCGCGTGTATGTTGGAGCGAGTTGATCAAATAAGGTATTAAATTTGGTAAATGGGGGGTCTAAAAGAGAAAAACTTTTGTTAAAATTAAACAAATTTAAATACCATTCCATTCATACAACCTTCAGCAACTGCACCTAACGCCAAAATTCCACTTTCTTTAATCTAAAAAATATGGAATTTAAAAATAAAATATTTAAAATTAACCTCCCAATGTTCTGAAAATAAAGTATCTTTTAAAATTGGTAATAAATATACAAGAAAATCATCGCTAAATACACCAGAAAGAACATCTAATGAGGCAGCAGCACATTTTCCTAAAATTGAAAATTAAGACATATCGTCCAGCAATTTGGAAAAGGTTCAATAAACGATAAGACAGTGGTACAGGTAATTCACCCCAGGGTCATATGTAATATATTTCGAACGCATACCCAAGGACCATATCAATGTAAGTATAATTCGCCGCATTATTCGTCACGTATCTTCACTCAAAAGGTGAATCTATTTTTGACAAAAAAAAATTAAATTACAAGCGCAAGTGTTAAAATTACCTAAACGCAAAATTCCTAGTTAAAATAAATTCAACTTACTTAAATTCCATTCTGTACTAGAATCATCATCACTTTCATCACCAAAATCTTCTTCATCATCACTTTCATTATTATTATTATTTCCAGCCTGTTGATTTGTATTATTATTTTCACCGTCTTGATGTGAAGATGCTCCTAAGCCTTGAGTCCTAGCTCTGTGAAAACGAGGTTTAATGTCTTCAATTCTATCAGGAACATTTGCATCGTCTTCTACGTCTCCCTAAAAATAAAAATTAAAAAAATAAAAAAATCAAGTGAAAAAATCAAAACATATTTATGGTTAGGGCTATTGGCGACCGATTTTAGGACCAAAAATTTTTGAGAATGAATGATTTTGTAAAAGATTCACACAAAAAACGATATAAAACTAAAACTCAAACCCAAAAACTGGGGGTCCCAGTTAATAACCATCCATCAAGAACAATATACTTCAAAAACCCCTATAGTTTTTGTTATATAGATAGACCTCAATTTACATAAAAACCTTTGGAGCTAAAAAATTGTAAGTAAAAAATGAAGTCGAAAGTTGAGAATTTAAAAAGTTGGGTGCATGTAAAATTGATATTCTATTAGTATTTCATTTTATATTTATAGTTAGTTTTTAACTCTAAATTGGGGAAAGAGCAAAAAAATTTCCAAAAATATTCCGAAAAATCACCTCCAAAAGAAAAACTTAAAATTAAAGCAAAAAAATTAAAAAAAAAACCTTCAATAAAATAATATCCGTTTCAGAATATCTCATGCATTTAATTAAAACAGGAAGTAATTTTCCAAGAATTGGTGCCAAAACTTCTTTACAAATTTGTGGACTTTCAGCAAATGCTAACCAAAATTCACAGGCTTCCAAAGCAGTTTCTTCATTATTTGTATCATCTGTGCGTAAAAGCATAAATTCAGCAATATTTGGAAGTTGTGGAGCAATTTTTTCGATAAAACTTTCTAACAAGAGAGTAAGTGCACGGCAAAGTTGTTTTTGAACTTCCTTAAATAAAAAACCAAAAGTGAAGACTTATTGAAGAATTGAGCTCTTTCTTTCAAAAAAACTCCTTGTAAGGGTATTATTAAAGATGGGTTTCTTTTAAATAGTCTCAAAGAGTGAGTGTGATATTCCGGGCATAAAATCTTCCAAAAGATCTTAATAGGAACCATATGTTACTGTCACTCGAATTTGATATTTTTTGGTACCATTCGATAGAGGACCCCCGACTTTCTATTGGATAGTGTTATCCGTTTTGTTGAAAAATGACTTTGGGCCTAGTTATGGCCGTTCAAAGTTTCAGTCCTTGGGATAATTTCTAATAAGATGGGTCGTCTGCTAAACATTCTAAAAGATGAGTGAGAGTCTGAGTGAGCATAAAACCTAACCAAGACACTCCCAAAAATGATGTAAATTAAGAAATTAACCTGATCATCATCATTAGCCAATCTAAACAAACATTGCAAAAAAGGGTCAATCACTCCAGAAATTGACTCATTATGCACCAAAAGAATACAATTTACTGCGTTTACTGAAAGAGCGCGTAGTTTGCCAATTGGAGAGTTGAAAAAAGGAAGAACTTTTTCAATTAATAAATTAACATCTTCCGGTCGAAAACAAGCAGCGGAATCTTCACATATTTTTTGTAATGCTCCAAGGGTGCCCTAAAAAATTTATTTAAAATTTCTAAATAATTTGTTATAAAGAAAGATAAAAAAATGAGTATTCCCTTAATTATATATGGATTTAGTCATTAGGCCAACTAAATAAAATTACTAAATTAGTGTGTATTAGAAAATCAAGAGCCCACCAATTTTATAAGTGGCCACCAAAAATCGTCGTAAAAACTTACAATTAACACGGAAAATTTTCCACGTTTCACAATTTTCTAATAAAATTACATGTGCTTCAATACCTTCTCGTAAGGTAGCACACTCCCTTAAATCAAAAAGTGTGCTTTTGTCAGGGAGTGTGGTCTATTATAGGATTTAAGGTATGTATTTCTAATCTAGTATAATCCCATTTTTAAGACTAAAAAATGGATTCCTATCGAAATGACATTTTGTAATTTACCGAAAGGGTTAACCCCAGGTCCAAATATTAACCTATAAAACCACAACACAAACCTCATTAAAATTGTTGTCATGAGTCTCCAAAAAATGGCATAATGTAGGCAATAACTCCGGCCACTTTTCAACATTTTCATGTAAAAATATTGTTGTTATAATTATTCCAACAGTTGCCCTAACAAGTGCAGAAGCGTCTCCAATAGCTCCAAAACAATTTCTTTTAACATACAATTTTATAGGTTCCGGCAAATTTGGCCAATTATTTTTTATTGTGTTCTTTAAAAGTAAACCGCTCATTGCTCGAATCTGAACCTTTAAAAGATAGCAAAGTCAAAAAAATTACTTTAAAAATAACCTGCTCATTCATAAGCTTGCTGAGAATAAAGAGAAGATAACAACAAAATTGTGGATGCGTATTTAGTTGATCTAGCTGCTGAAAAGTTAAATTTTTTGAGTTTTCTGGATTTTTGAGAAAATTTTCCAGGAATTTTTGAGCTAGGTGTTTCCTCATCAGAGCTGCACAAAAATATAGATTCGTTATTTCCCTGAGGAAAGGAGGAGATGAGCAAAAACAGAGCCTTTCCCAGCCTTCCATTAAGTTAGGAAAGGAAAACCCATGAACATAGTTTCGAAACCACGAAACGCGGTAATCGTCAAAAAGGTGTAAAAAAGAAAATTAAAAGAAGAGATAAGGAAAAAGTGTCTTGCTTTAAAGGCAGGGAAAGCCTTATTGTCCTGAAAATAACAATAAGACTCCAAAATTCAGAATTTTTCAAAAATCAATTTTAAAAACCTGTTGAATCTGCTGCTGCATTTGTTTATCAGACGACTGTGAATGTTGCAATAAAGCAATAATCTTTAAAAAGTGGATTAAAAATTAATAAAAATTTAACTAAAAAATTAAACTTGTTGCAATTCTGATTGAGAAGGTTGCCAATTTTGCTCATCAACTTGCTGCTGCTTTTGTTGTTCCATTTTTAATTTAAACTGATTTTGTAAAAGAAAATTGAACAGATTTGAATAAAACTATCAAATTATGGTCTGAAATTGAAAATTTTAATTAAATTGAGCTGAAATCATGAACAAAATAATGCATAAAATTACAGCATAATTTTACTAACAAAGGAGCCTCGCTAACTGTAACCAAAAATTTTTAAACAAAATCTCGCTTCCGCCTTGAAATTTAATGGGAAGAATGAGGAAAACAAAGCCGCTTACCAAACTTTGAAGCCCTATAACTTGTTAATTGTGGGGCAGGGCCGGAACCCTCAAAAATTAGCAATAGGCGACCATGCAAATATTTTATATATACCATGCAATATATATAAACCATGCAAATTACCAAACAAATATTTCTCTAAATTTATTCCTTAATATACGCGATTTATTTAAAATTTTTGGTCAGTTTGCGAGTTGTAAGAATGAAAGGGAATAAGATAAAATAAAAAAAGGTATTAATATTGAAAATAACAAATGATAAAATTCAATTATTTAAATATTTATTAATTCAATTATGTCCATAAAACAAATAAAAATTTGTCCAAAAAATAGCCTAAAAAATAAGCAAATGCTATATTTCTCTAAATTTATTCCTTAAGTTGTTCTTCACATTCTTCTTTATCACATTTACTTATATACCAAACACCAACGCCAAATGCAGCAAAAGTAAATCCTTGGGCTGCAATACGGCCTCTCATATAAAATTGTAACCGTTTCATATCCTTGCGATAAGATGCAAAAAGCATTGAGACAAGAAATCCTGAAGTGGCCATAACGCCAAGCGGAATAAATGGATTGATGGAGATCTTGTCGACAAATTTTTGAACCTTAGTGGGGACTTCATCAGAGAATCCAATCCTTTGCTCACTGGAACGACCCTGGAATTACTGACAAGAATTAAACCGTATTACCTCTAAATGAATGCCCGGGTTCTTTTTTCAATCAACTTACAATGGGGCGTTCTAAAAGAGGGGGTATCCAAATGGAGAAGGAAGTCTATTAAAGGAGCGTATCCAATGGAGGGAGAATGGTGAGGCTATCCAAATTGGGGGTGGGGCAGTCTATTAGAGAGAGGTATCCAAATGGAGAGGGAAGTCTATTAGAGGGGGATCCAATGGACGGAATGAGTGGGGGTATCAAGTGGAGGGACATTCTATTAGATGGGGTATCTAAATGGAGGGGACATTCATTAAAGAAGCATCCAAATGGAGAGGGCAGTCTATTAGAGGCAATAAGGTAACTTTGAGAAATTAAGAAACCTGTAATAGATCGGCAGGCATCATAGGAACAGCAGATTTCTTGTGTTTTACAGTGCTTTCAATATTTTGGGAATTATGTGAGGTTGAGGGCTTCTTTGGAGTTAATTGCTTCCACGTCATAAACTGCTTCCTATCACTTTCTGTTGAATTTTCGGCGTTGGACATCTTGTTAACCAGAATACTATGTACGATTTCTAAATTAAGTAACAAAATTAACAAAACTTAAGGGAAACAAGAAGAATCAACGAAAAAAACAAAATCGGGAAAATTTTACTTTTTCTCCAGCTTCTCTTTCCGTTTGTATTTTCTTTTCTCTCTATCTTTCACCTTCTCTCTCCTCTTCTACAAATTAAATAAACATAACGCCAAACATTAAATTATTGTATTTCTTTTAAATCCCTTATTTTTTCGGATTTCTTTGTGTTTTTTCTTCGGGGTTTTCTTGGTTTTTTTCATTTTTTTTTGTTTTAGCCCTTATTATTTTTTCATCTTCGAATATACAAGATGACTAGAATTGTACTTCCTGGCGATTTTATTACCGACAATTTTCTTGTTGTTTCAACTCAAGCGCCAAGACTTGTTGGATATGGATTGCAAAAACGTGAGGATGGTATTTATGCTGTAAATGCTGGAATACTTCATGAACATGATAATAAACTTTGGCTAAATACTTCAATGAAAAGGTTTTTATTTTCGTATTTATGGGGCTTAGGGCTTCTCTTTTGAATAGTTCATTGAAAGAGACAGGTCAAAATCCTTGCTAGAAAGGGTACATTCTCTATCGAATGAGCCCGGTCTCGATGTCGGAAACCTCGTTACCTCTCCTAGTTAACCTTGGATGAATCTTTCGATTTTATATATTTTTATTGTCATGATAACATAAGTTGAATGGGACTATTTTCTAAGGTAGGAAATACCTCTGGACAGAGATACATCCTCTGAATATCGTAAATCCATAGGAGGACCAAGTTTTGACCAGCTAGAGTACAGCCAAATTTTATTTACTATTTTTTGAAATTGTTTTTGATAGCTCTTATTCTTAATTTCTACCTTATACCTTTTTAAATTTATTTTTCAGGTACATTCCACACTCTGGCGATCGAGTCTTAGGCACAGTCACAGCTAAAGTTGGTGACATTTTTAGAGTTGACATTGGAGGGCCTGATTTAGCTCTACTCAATTATACGTCTTTTGAAGGGGCTACAAAGAGGAATAGACCAAATGTCAAAGTCGGAGATCTTATTTATGGACAAATAATTTTAACTTCGAAACATTTTGAACCTGAGGTTTTTTAAGGTTTTTTGAATTTCATTAAATTATTTTAAGCTTTCCTGTGTCGATTCTGAATCCCGTGCTAGAGGAATGGGCGTTATTTCAACTCCAGGACTTGTCTTCTCAGTCACTCTATGTCATGCAAGAAATCTGCTTAAAGAGAATGATCAAATAATTCCTGCTTTAGGAAAAGAACTTAAATTTGAAATTACAATTGGAGTGAATGGAAGGATTTGGTAATTTAATAATTATATGAGATGGTAAATTTTATAAAACCTTGATTTTTATTTTTGATTTTGGTTGAGGCCAGATGGTTGGACACGGTTTCGTGCCAATCGGAAGCCAGATTCTTGACCCTGAGTCAATAAAAATCAAGGAACGCTGAAAAATGATGATTGATTTCAACTCTGGATCTAGGAACGGCCAATCTTTAATAATCATTTTATTTTTTATCTTCATTTCAAACCTATTCAAAATTTAAATTTTACACTTTCCAAAAATTATTTTTCATTGAAAAATATTTTTTTTATTTTTTAAGGGTCGGAGGTGAACATTCAGCTGTAATTACTGTCCAACGCGTAATTATTGATTCAGAAACTACATTTAGTTCAAATATCCCTTTACTCATCAAAAATGCTTTACATGGGGTTTTTACATATTCTGACGAGACAAACAAAAATTACAAAAAAGAAAACATTTCTATGGATATCTCTTGACTACGGTTTTATTATATTTTGTTTTTTATTTTTAATTTATGAAGGAGATAAATAATTTATAAAAATCAAACAGGAATTTAGTTTAAAAATTTTTTGAACATGCTTAGCGTACTTGGGGTTTTTAAGATTATTTGAACTTAAATTTTGTAGGTTAGATGTTTTCTAATTTATTACTAAAATTCTATATTAGACACATTTTTGACACATTTTTACTCCTATTTTTTATTTAATTACATCAAAAGTCCAAACAGATTACCAAAAATAAATTCATTTTTCAATCCCTTCTACTTTTCTCGCATTTTTCTAATTTTTCTCTCAAAATTTTTTTAGCTTTTCCATTTTAAAGGGACCGGTTTTCACCTAATTTCTGTCAATTTTTATATCGGCTGGTCAAAGCTTTAACGACCGGTCTTTGACCTAAATTTGAGAGATCTCCTTCTCCCTATTGATGCATGAGGATTTTCGATCGCTCTCCCGTCAAAATAAAAAAAGAACGTTCTCTTAGCGAGAAACAATTCCTTTACGTATTTTTAAATTTAAAATAAAATTTAAAAAAAAATGAAAAATAAAAAGGACGATGTCCATAAAGAAAAAGGAAAAAATTCTTCAAATTTTCGTGAAAAGGAATTCGTGGAAAGGCCATCATTGCTTGAGTAAGAAAATTTTAAAAATTTATTTTTAATTAATTTTTTTTATTTTTCAGAAAACATTTTAATGAAGAAAATGGACAATATCTTGAATTATACAATTTTTTCTTGGCAGTTTTTATTTTGGCTGTAATGGGAACTTGGTTGCATGATTTTTATATTTATGGAAAGTATGTTTGGTTAAATTTAATTTAACTTTTTTTACAAATCAGAAATTGTAAAAAATTAAATTATAGGGTAAATAAGGCTTAAATTAGAAATCAGAATAATATTTACAAGTTCATTATACTTTAATTTACAAATTCTGATTTATAAATTACAAATTCTTTTAAGTCGGTTAAAAATAAATAAAACCTTTTTTACAAATCAGAATTTGTAAAATAAATTATAGAGGTGTTTTGGTTAATAAACCTTACAAATTACATATCAGAATTTGTAATCTTAATTTACAAATTCTGATTTGTAAAAAATTAAAATTCTGGTATAATTCTGGTCCAGAATTTGTAATCTTAATTTACAAATTCCAGAATTTGTAATTTTAATTTACAAATTGATTTTTAAAAAAGTAAAATTCTGGTATTTTATTACTTAAAAAATAAACCCTTTCTACAAATCAGAATTCGTAAAAATCAAATTATAATTAAACTTATTCTGATTTGTAGAAAAATTAAAATTCTGATTTGAAACTTGGAATTATTTATTAATTTTTGATTTAATTTCTGATTCGTAAAAATTAAAGAAATTCTGAAATTGATTATTGATTTAAATAATTACTGTTCTGATTTGTAAAAAAAATTAAATTCTGATTTTTTAAAGCTCATTCTCTCATTTCTATTAAATTAAAATTCTGATTTATTTAATTTAAATTCTGATTTTATTCTGATTTAAAACCTAATTCTATTCCCTTTCAGCCCCCTTCATCATTTATGGCTTTTCCGCTGGAATTTTACTCAATTCCCTCAGACAATGTTTATATGGTTAATTATGTTTTTGTCTACTTTAATTTTTCCTTTTTATTTATTCAATATTAAAACTTCAACCTGTATCAATTTTTGGTTATTTATTTTTATTTATTGTCTATATCAAGTTGGCCTATTTTATTTTTCTTTGAAAGCTTTGTTTTGGTTGGAACTTCGTGGAGCGTGTAAAAATTTTTTTTAAATTTTCTTTTGAATTTTAAAATTTAAAAAATATTAAAAAAAATTTTTTTCCTTTTTCAATTTTTATATTTAAGGTTGTTTCATTATTACGTGTGAAAACGTTTGTTTTTGGATATTCTTAAAAATATTTTTTGCTCTATTTAGACTCGTATTGCAATGAAAGTCCATTCATTTGTGAGAGAAAATTTTTGTACTAATCCGGCAAAAATGTCTTCAAAAACATCGGAACAAAACTGTGATAATGTGAAAAATTCGAACATTTCTGAAGTTGTTGCAAATCCACAAATTTCAACAGAAACGCCTTCATGGAAGCATTTTGTCTATTTTATTTTCTGTCCAGCTTTGCTTTACAGACATTCTTATCCAATGTATTTTTTATTTTATTTTTTTTTTAATTTGAGGGGTAAATCTCCAATCTGCCTTTTGTCTATTTTTACCACGAGGCTTACTGATGGATAGCCCTAATCAGATAGGGGTTGGATTGCCCTAACCCCAATCCAAGAAAATCTTGAAAATCCCGAGGCATTATTCGACCCTTTTTAATCACTCAACCCGACCCATATATAGTAGCAAGTGTCTTTCTCTGGCAATTTTATATTTATTCTAGTCTCTGAGGTAGACTGGGCTTGGGTAGACTGGCCATTTCCTATTATTATTATTCAATTTTATTTTCAGGTCTCAAACTCGAAGTTGGCTTAAAGTATTCAACCACTTCATTCATTGCTTAGCTTCCATTTATGCTGTCAATATTTCTTTTACACAAGTTGTCATTCCTCTGTTTAGTCGGATTCAATATGGAGAAGATGGTCTTTATTTGGTATTATTAACAGCGATTTTTCCTTCAATTATTCCTGGTTCTGTTTGCCTATTTATCGGAATTTTTTATGGATTGCTTCATTCATGTTTGGAATTTTTTTATAATTTTTAAGAATTTAAATTTAAAATTGAAGGGCTTTCTATGTTTGCTGAAGCAATGTATTTTGCTGACCGACATTTCTATTCGGTGAATATTCTGGGTTTTTTTTAAATTTATTATTAAACTTCTAGAAGGTGAAAATTTTTTGTTTGTTTTCCCTTCAGGAATTCTAATTTTTATCAACTTCCCAATATTATTTTAATTTTTGGAGGGTGTAGTTATCCTCTTGAAGAATTTTCCGGAAATTCCCCCTTTGAAAATTTTTTTTGGATTTTTTTGAAGAATTTTCCTTGGGAAAAACAAACAACAAATTTTACCAAAATTCTGATTCAATAAAATATTCTTTTATAGAATTGGTGGAGCTCAAGAAACATGGCTTATTATTACCGTTCTTGGAATTTGGTGGTTCATGAATGGTTATATACATATATTTATAGAGATATTAGTAATCTGGTTGGTATTTTAAAATTTTTTCAAAAAAAAATTTTTAAAGCTTGGCTCCACCACTTTTGGCAATGCTTTAGCCCAAATGTCCGTATTTTTCATTTCTGCCGTATTTCATGAATATTGGTTTACTGTTGGCTTGAGAATGTTTTACCCGATTATTTTCTTTCTTTATTTTGTAATTGGAGGTTTTTTTTAATTTTTATAAAATTTTTTTAAAATTTTATTTTTATTTTAAGGTATTATCTTCCTCCTTTCCAATTTAATCAAAAAACCGTCTTCAACTTGGAATGTTGTTTTATGGTGGAATTTGATGTTAGGTAACGGAGACATTTTTTTGAGAAGAAATTTTAGTCAAATTATTTTAATTTATAGGGACTGGAATATTCTTTGCTTGTTATGCTTCAGGTAATCCAATTTAAACTAAGAATTAACGAAAAAATAAAAATTTGCAGAATGGTATGCAAGACAAAGATGTTCAAAAATTTATGAGAACGATTTGTTGGATTTGTTGATTCCAAGGGTTTGGGATTGCCAACATCGCTTAAAATAATTTTTGGGAAAGAGAAGGTTTGAAAATGGAATTGAAAAAAATACTTTTTTTTGGAGCGCGTTGTAATGCCAAACACTCCCCCCCACTCCCTCCCCAGAAAAAGCCTTCGAAATACCACACATGTGAAACGACATTGACACCTTTCGGGAGGTTTTTGGGGTACATTTTGGCATTATAACAGCTTATCATTTTTTCAAATTTATTTTTAATTAATTCATAATTTATTATTTTACTTTAAAAATTGAAAAAATTTTTTTTCGTCGAAAAATAAATTATTGAAAAATTTTGAAAATATTTTTATTTTATTTAAATTAATTTTTTTATTTTTAATATACCTATTAATTTATTAAAGAAAAATAGAATGTCAAATACCCCTCTTAAATTTGCCTTAATTACTGGTGCTAATTCTGGTATTGGTTTACATTTGGCCAAGTCTCTTTTTGCTTCAGGCAATTTTTCTTCGATTGTATTGGCTTGTAGAGATGAGAAAAGGGCGAATTTGGCTATTGAAGAAATTAAGAAATCTGTCAAGGATGTGAAGGAATTGACTACTAATTTGAATTATTTGCAGGTTTTTTTTAAATTATTTTTGAAAATTAAGGGAGGGGACTGATTGTTGGAAGGGGAAATTTTTCGAAATTTTTGGAGAAATAGGCAAGAGATCTCAGAATTTTTAGTTGGCTTTTTTGGCCTTCTCTTATCTCATTCTCTCCCTCTTGCCATTCTCCCCAAATCACTGCCTTTAGGGATTTTCTTCTGGAATTGGATTTTATTGAAGTTTTTGGAAAAATAGGCAAAATATTTGGAAAAATAAAGGCAGTGATTTGGGGAGTCGGGTCTTGGGTTTATTTTTTGAAAATAATTTTATATGATAACACAACTTCTTTGTGGCCTTTTTCAGTTTAGCACGTTCTCTGTTCATTAATTCAAAAAAATTTTTTTTATAAAATTCATTTTTATTTTCTAGTTAGATTTGTCCAGTAAAACTTCAGTTGAACAATTTGTCAAAAATTTTTGTGAAGTTTGTCCCAAAAATTGTCTCAATTTGCTGGTTAACAATGCTGGAATTATGGGGCATCCTTACCAGGTATTTGGAATTTTTATTAATTAAAAGTTTTTTTTTGAGATTTTCTGGACCCAATTTTGGGGTATTAGTCATCAAAAATATTAGTCAAAATTCTCAAAAATTTCTAAAAAAATTTTAGTTATCACCTGACGGCGTCGAACTTCATTATGCTACCAACCATTTGGGCCATTTTCTACTCACCAATTTATTGCTCAAAAATCAAATGTTTGAACGATTTGCTCGTATTTTAATTTTGACCTCTTCTCTATATGAAAGGGTATTTTAATTTTTGCTCTATTATTCATTACAAAATTAAAATCCGCAAAAAATTTTTTAGTCCGCAAAATTTTTTTGTCCGCAATTTTTGTCCGCAAAATTTTTTAATAAAAAAAATTTTTTATTTTTTTCAGTTTCCTTATCTTTTAAACGTGGAAGATTTAAAATCTCCAACTCCATTATATTCAGCAAATGATTATTATTCTCTTAGTAAATATGCCAATTTTTTGCATGCAGTTGGTTTAGCTAAACAATTTAAAGAAGACAACGTAGAAATTAAAGTTGTAAGGTTTTAAATTTATTAAAATTATTTTTCGGATCTTTTTTCGATCAAATAATTCTATTTTTAGAATTTTTTGGTATTTAAATCAAATTTAAAAATTTTTGCTCCTAGCGGGTTCAAACCCACGACCCCCCTATTTTTAGTATTTCCACTTAACCAAAGGTTTTTTAGTTTCAGGGGGTCTATTAATGAGATTCGACTATTTCGTTTTTATTCAAAATTTTTAAAATCAATTTATAATCAAAATTAAGGTATCGATCAGCCCCGGTTTTGTCCGTGGAACACAACTTGGAAGACATACAAATTATTTTTTGAGGACCTTGGCAACACCCTTAATTTGGTGGTTTTCAAAAAATTTGGACCAGGTTTTTTAATTTTGATTTTTTTCAACAAAAATTTAAGGGTATTTCAACACTTCTTCATTGCATTAATTCTCCCTATTCTGAACTTGAATCAGGCAAATTATATAAAAATTGTATGGTCAAAGAATTACCGGTTTTGGAATTTACTATGCATGAACTCGTGTCCAATGAATTGTTTGATATGGCTGAAAAATTGTTAAAAATTAATTAAAAAATTTTATTTTTTGATTTTCTGTCCAAATTAGTCCATTTTTAACGTTTAACTTTAATTTAAAAATGTTTGCCACCGAGCGGGTTCGAACCCACGACCCCCTATTTGTAATTATTCCACTTAACCAAAAGGTTGAGATTTTTTATTTTTAAAATCTAAAGTTGCCTTTTTCGTCTAACTATGCTATTTATAGTTATTTTTGACATTTACTTTAAATTTAAAAATTAATTGGCGCGGAGCGGGTTCGAACCCACGACCCCCTTAAATTTAATATTTATTTATTTACATATTTTACTTATAAATCTTTAAAAAATTTTCTTTTATTTACTATAATTTTTTTAAAATTTTTAATATACTTTTTAATGTTTTCCTTTTAATTATCAAAATTTTTCTTTCAAATGGCCGATTTTTTAATTAGCAATTATGAAAAGAATTATATTATTGATGGAGTACAGGCAGGCATTAGATGTGATGGAAGACAGTAAATTTTATTTTTTATTTCTAAGTACAGTCGTGGAAAAAAGTATGGAAGCGCTAGAAAATTTTCTCTTAATTTTTAATTTTTCATTCAAAAAATACGTTCTATATACCAATCGAAAGCTCTATTCGTATCTCAGTTGACATGTTTCTGCATTTTTCATGAAAATGAAAATTGGCCGAGATAATCCGGATCTACCGGATATACCAAATCCCACTTTTTCGGAAAAATTTTTCGGAACAAATTTAACAAACCCAAATGATAAAGCATATTTTTCTTAGTATTTTCCACAAAACCGCTTAGAAATATCTTTTTTCGGAGCAGAGATATGATTTTTTGAAAATGGCATTTTTCGCTTAAAAATTGAATTTTTTGCAAAAATAGACGAAAAATGCGATTTTCAAAAAATCATATCTCTGCTCCGAAAAAAGATATTTCTAAGCGGTTTTGTGGAAAATACTCAGAAAAATATGCTTTATCATTTGGGTTTGTTAAATTTGTTCCGAAAAATTTTTCCGAAAAAGTGGGATTTGGTATATCCGGTAGATCCGGATTATCTCGGCCAATTTTCATTTTCATGAAAAATGCAGAAACATGTCAACTGAGATACGAATAGAGCTTTCGATTGGTATATAGAACGTATTTTTTGAATGAAAAATTAAAAATTAAGAGAAAATTTTCTAGCGCTTCCATACTTTTTTCCACGACTGTATTTTTTAAATTAAAAAATGCTTTTTTCATTCAAGTAATCCTATTTTTAGAATTTTTTAGTATTTAACTTAAATTTAAAAATATTTGCCCCTGAGCGGGTTCGAACCCACGACCCCCTATTTTTATTATTTCCACTTAACCAAAAAGTTAAAATTTTTAAATTTTTACATTTTTTAAAATTTAACATCCAGAATTAATAAAACATTAAATATTCAGGTTAACAGATTATCGCCCAATTTCCATCGAGACAGGCATTTTAGCTGGAGCTAATGGTTCAGCACGTATACAAGTTGGTTCTACTGATGTCCTTTTATCTGTCAAGGTTTTCTTTTTGTTAAAAATTATTTTTTAAAATTAATTTTAAAGGCAGAATTAAACACAACAACAGACCCAATTCTCTCAAATCGGTTAAAATTTTTTGTTGATTTATCCGCCAATGCATCCCCAAAGTTTGCGGGGAGAGGAGGTCAAGAACAGGCAGAGGAATGGGCAAAAACTTTATATGCTGCTTATGATAATGATTATATTATGGGTGGGTAAAGGTTTTTTAAAGTTAAAAAATTTTGAATTTAGGAAAAGATTGAATTTAAAAAATGATTGTTCTCGAACGGGCTCGAACCCGCGAACCCTCGATTGTCTGTACAAAAATTAATTTTCTTGACTTAAAAAATTTTTTCATTCTTTTCTTTTATATTTCCTTAGTTAATTTTAAATTAAGAAATTTTTAAACAGAAAAAATTGAATTTAAAAATGTTTGCTCACGAACGGGTTCGAACCCACGACTCTCTCTATTTGACCTTTCAAATTAAATTTTTTTCATTTGAAAAATTTTTTCTAGTCTTTATATATAAATTTTTTAGTCGAAAGTATGAAACGCCTATTATTAGCTCCACCTTTACATTATTGGACGTTATACGTTGATGCTATAGTACTTCAACATGATGGGAATATTATGGATGCACTTTCTTTGGGGGTAGAATTTCTTTAAATATTTTTAGAAATTTTTTAAAAATATTTTGAGAAGATTTTTAATAAAAATAAATTTCAAAAAAATTTTAAATTAAAAAAATTTCTAAAAAAAATTTTTTTCAAAGGTAAAAGCAGCTCTTTTCGATACACAAATATGCAATGTAATTGTACGCCCAGCTGATGAAGGAAAATTTCTTATTGATTTACCCGATGAAATTAGTACTTGGAAATTGGATGTTACAAGGTTTTATAAATATATTTGCTTTTTAAAAATCTCCAAAAAGAAAAAGAATTTATTTTTTTAAATTAAAGGAGAGGGGGGGGGGTCGCAGGTTCGAACCCGCTCAGGGTCAGATATTTTTAAATGATTTTTAAAGTCAAGTAGAACGTAGTGGAGGGATGTTGGTTCGAACCCACTCAGTAAGAATTATTTTTAAGTTCAAATTTCTAAAAAAATCCATTTAAAGCGCCCCTTTAATTGTTGCTGTAACTCGTATTGGAAATCAAACAGTTTTCGATTTGGATCTTTCCGAAGAGTTGTGTTCTAATAATACTTTGTATGTTGGTATAAAACAAGGAGAAAATGAAGAGGATAATTCTGAGGTTTTTTTTAAATTGTTTTAAGGCTGAATTAAAAATTAATTTAAAAAAAATTTTTGAGGAGGGGAATATTTGGAATATGAGGCATTTGTAGTGTAGTGGTTAAGTTGGTTATTTTTGGGGAGTGGAGGGTAAAGGTTCGATACCTCTTCATGCCCAAATATTTTTGGTGTTTGGAAAAAGCAAAAAGATTAAATTTTTAAAGATTTAAAATATGTATTTTTTAAATTTTGGAATTTTTAGAGGATTTAAGGTACTTGTAGTGTAGTGGGTAAGGTGGTCGTTTTTAGGGGGTGGGTTCGATAACTTTTGAGTGCCCAAAGGTTTTTTGGGATTAAGAAAAGCAAATATTTTATTTTTTTAAATTTTATCAGGTTTAAAATTTTCTAAAATAAATTTTTTCTAGAGTTTACTAACTTGTATTAAAAAAGTTGGTGGTGGTGCAGTAGAAATTGATTCAATGATGGAAATGTTAGAAAAAGCAACTCATATAGCAAGGAATTTAAATTTTGGATTAATGAACAAGTTAAAAAAAGATGAAGGAGGTTTGAAAGAAAAAAGGACCAATTTTCCAAGTATTTTTTGAAATTCTTTAAAAAATTTTGAAAATTTTTTCTTGAAAAAAATTTCAATTTTATTATTAAAATAAAGGAAAAAAATTTATAATTTTAACAGAAAGGTCGGAATATTTTTAATTATATTCCACATTTTTACGACAAAATTTAAATATAATATTTAAATAAATTTAATTTTTAATAGATTCGTAGGCAACCTGTTAATTTTTCTCATTGCTTAACTACTCTCTTATTCCTCTCAAATTTCCTAGTATTTTTTTAAAATCAGAAACAGGAAAAACCGCCACAGGAAAAAATTAACAGGTCGCCAATAACGTATTTACTCGATAAATTCACCTCCCTCGAATAATTCCCCGGCTACGGATGTGTTGAAAAAATAATCCCCTTCACCCAAATACCCTACTACACGTTCAAATTTCAAAACTCGTATAATTCCCCTCCCTTGAATAATTCCCCATGCCACGGATGGGTTGAAAAAATAATTCCACAGGGGAATTAATCGAGTAAATAAGGTAACCCCCAAATATTAATTAAATATATATAATTTTAATTATCTCAAGTGAACCTTTGCCATTTTCTTTATTTTATATTTATCCTCTCCTCCATATTCTTAACCTCTCTATTGAAGTCTCAAAGAGAAAACCATCAACAAAAAGTCCTCATAATGAATTTTAACGTAGCCATCCTGGTCAGTATCCTTCTCACGAAAAGCGGCCGTCAACGTCTGAAGAACAACACAGAGTTGAATAAAGTCGTCGAATTTGATGTTTCCGGAATGGCTACGGTCAAACTTTTGGATTGCCATATTGTAGAAACGGTCAGAAAGACGATAACCTTTGTAAGAAAAAATATTTAGTGAGGGGTGGGGATACAAAAAAAATTTTTTTTAATTTAAAATTCGGGGGCTTTTTGAAATTAGACGTTATGAGGAAAATTTTTATTAGAAAATTTTTCAACGAAATTTGATATTTTCCGAATGGCTTAAACTTCGGGAAAATTCAATACTGGGCCAGTCCGACTGAGAATTTGCAGCAGAAGCAGCAGCAAATTTTTAAAAATTTTATTAGAAAATTTTTTCCTCGCAACGTCCAATTTCAAGATGCCCAAATTTTAAATTAAAAATTGAAATTTCCGTCCCTCTCTTTTTTCCTCCTAAAAAATTTTTTAGAAAAAGGAAGGGAGTAAAAGTTTTCAAGTTTTTAATTTTAAAATTGGATGGTTTGAAATAAGCATTTTTAAATTTTCTTAAAAATTATTTAAAAAATTATACCAAATTGAGTAAGCGCATTCTTCAACTCGCCCTTATCAATGCTTCCCGAATTATCGCGGTCATAACTACGAAAAGTGTTGCTCCAATCATTGATGTACTGAAAACGAAATTATTTTATGTTTAAATTTTATTTTTTTAAGCCCTACCCTTCCAATTAACCTCCCAAAAAATTTTTTTCTTGCCCCCAAACGCCCTCTTCTTCTTACCTCGCAGAATAGGGTTCCACCGGAAGTTCCGGTGTTTTTTTAGTTCCGGTTCCGTAATCCGAAGCTCAAATTGGACCCGGTTGAAACCCTATCCTAGACCCCCCCTCTCTTATTGTTAGCACACAAAAAAATTTCTTGACCTCCAACCCCCCATCTAATCCCTCTCTGCAAAAATTTTTAACCCCCTCAAAAATTTCCTTAATTTCCCAAACCCCTCCCTCTCCTTTTCTTAACACCTTAAAAATTAAAAAAAATCCCCAAACTAACCGCCCAAAGAGACTGAAATTCATTAAATCCAATCCCTCCATCATTGTCCTTGTCAAACATCGAAATCATCATTCGGCACGTTTCCTGATTAAATGGTCGCCAACTTCCATTAGACAAAGCACGTTGCAATTCATTTGTGCTAATCTTTCCAGATTTGTCTTGGTCGACAGCTTGGAAATAGCCGTAAAGGAGTGGGTTTTGAGCCATTTTTTAGAAATTTTTCTTTAAGCGTTTTCTAGAAGGGGAAAATTAATTAATTAGTAAAGAGAAGCACATGAAACGAGCAAAAACTAAAAGGAAAGAAAAATGCAAGGTCGACTAAACAAACAAACAATGACGTACTAATTTCTTTAAATAACACGATGATTTTTGGGGTATGGCTCTGCGCCGTTATGGCCGCGCGCCGTTTTGGGCTGTACCGCTTTAAATAACACGATGATTTTTTGTTTTTATAGGGGAGGGATCAAATGTCATTTTTATAATTAATTGAACACATCGCCAAGTTAGGGTTCTGGAAATTAATTTAGGGGTCTGCAAATAATTTGAGGTCTTCAGGAAAAAGATTTCCGGATCCGGAAACCGGATTTTGGGCTTCCTTTCTCTTACAGGAAGACCCCGGACCTGACCGGGGTTTCTTGCTCAATCCGGCTCGGAAATCGGAAATCGCGAAAGAAAATGCAAAAGAAAGATGCAGATTTAGGACCTGAACTCCGAAAATTCCCCACGGCTTTGTCCAGCGTCGAATACTCTAATTTTTAATCTAATTAACTGATATTGAGAAAACGAGCCCGCTTTATAAAATGGGTAAATTTTAAAGGGTGAGTCATCATTTAAAAAATAAAATTTTTCTCTCAAAGATATAGAGTTTTAAAAATAAACCACTAAAATATAAAAGGAATGACAAAGAAAAATAAAATTTTTATTCGTTAAAAAAATTTTTTGAAGTGAAAAATAAATGAGTAAGGCAATAAATAAATAAGGGACACGCCGGCGCGCGGCTATAACGGCGCAAAGCCATAACTAGCAGGAAAATTTCTGGACCCTAATTAATTTTGGTACCAATTTCTTTAGCTCGATGAGAGGAATCGTTTAATATCAAATTTGCTAAGATTAGAAAGTCTTGAAGTAAGTTATGGCTCTGCGCCGTTATGGCTGCGCGCCGGGCTGTACCCATATAATAAATAAAATAAATAAAAATGAGCATGGTTGGTTGATTCACATGAAATAAAAAAAATAAAATTTTTTTCTGTTTTTCGTTGTTAAATTGAGAAGGGGAAAGAGAAGAAGAGGAAAATAAATAAAATTTAAAAAAAAATAAAAATAAATACGAGTTAACATTTAAATGGTTGTTCCTCGTTAGACACGTTGTTGTTGTTATGTAGTTGATTTGAATATTTTAAATTGTTATACCTTACCTAAAAATTAGAAAAAATTTTTGAAAAAATTTTAGAAATTGTGGAAATTTTCAAAAAAAATTTTTTTTTTAATTTCAAAAATTTTTTAAAAATTTTTAAAAAATTACAAAAAATTTTTCGAAAAATTTTAAAAAATTTCAGAAAATTTTCAAAAATCTCAAAAAATTTTTTTAGAAAATTTTCACAACTTTCTTGAAAAATAAAAAAAAATTTTTTTTAAAAAAACAAACATGAGGCAATTGTTGATAATATTTTTCGTTGATATTAATCTCCCGAGAAAGCCTACGAGCTGCCAAGGTGCTTAACCAACAAAATATTGCACCATAATCGAAGGAAGGCATCTAAAAATTAAATTAAACTAAATTTTCCAAAAGATGACATTTTATCCCAAAAAAATTTTTTTAAACGAAAATAGTAGGAAAAGCGGGAAATCGACGATTATTTATTTATTCTTAACCTCCAAATAAATTAAAAAAATAAAAACTCAGAAAACCGACCAAAAATTATTAAAAATGACATTTTGTCCCACAGATGACATTTTGTCCCAAAAAATTTTTTAACCGAAAATAGAAGCAAAAAGAGGGGAAATCGACGAGTATTTATTTTTCTTAACTTCCAAATAAATTTGTAAAAAACTAAAAACTTAGAAAATCGACCAATTTATTAAAAATGACATTTTGTCCCACAAATGACATTTTGTCCCAAAAAAATTTTTTAACTAAAATAGAAGGAGCAAGGGGTATAACGACAATTATTTATTTATTTTTAACCTCCAAATAAATTTTCAAACATTTAAAAATCCAGACATTCGACCAAAAAACCAAAAAATATTAAAAACGACATTTTATCCCAAACATGACATTTTGTCCCAAAAAAATTTTTTAAACTAAAAATACCCCTTAATAGGGTAAATAACCCTAATTTATTTATTCTTAACTTCTAAATAATTTTTTAAAAAATAAAAACTCGGAAAATCGACCAAAAATTATTAAAAACGACATTTTATCCCAAACATGACATTTTGTCCCAAAAATTTTTTTAACCCCAAGCAACCGTTAAGAGGGTAAATAACCTTAATTTATTTATTTCTAACCCTCGAATAAATTTTTAAAATTAAAAAAAACCATTTTATTCAAATAAAAGTGTAGTATAGCCCTTCCAATGTGAGGCAAATCCTCCACTCCATAAACACAAACATCGTGTCTCAAGTAATCGCTCATACAACGATTGGTTTGTTTTCCATAAGTTCGCCATATTACATACCTTTTTTGAAATAAAAAAAATTTTTTGGAAAAATTTTTTTAAAAATTTTCAAAAAAAATTTTTCAAAATTTTTTAAAAATTTCTGAAAATTTTTTGAAAATTTTTGGAAATTTTTTGAAATTTCTGAAAATTTCTGAAAATTTTTTCAAAAAATTCAAAAATAAATTTCAATTACCTTCCCATACTGTTGGCAACTTTATTCTGATATTTTAGACAGTCCAAGGTAAATCCTCCTGGGAAATCGGGCAAATTACTGTTTAAAGTCGAATAGAGGACCTTAAAATGTTGTTAATTAAATGAAGTCAATTGAAAATTTTTTTTGATTTTTGAAATAAAATCCTTGGACTTTTTTGGGATATTTTGTCACCTATACGATTTTTCCAAATTAAAAAACTAATCGCTTCCTCCCGTCAGGCTGGGTTCCAATCTTAAAATTTTTCGAAAAAATCAGAAAAAATTTTTTCTAGAAGATGAGCTTGGTCCCCATATGATTTTTTAAAATTTTTGGGAGCCTGTATTCCCCCGTCTCTTAAAAAAATTGTGATTCCTAAATTAATTCCTATTTCTAAAATAAAAAAACTAATCGCCTCCTCCCGACAAGCTGACTCGAGTTTTATAAAATTTTTCTATTAGATGCTGATGTGAGCTTAGTCCCCCTACGATTTTTCAATTTTTGGGGGCCTGTATTTTTCTTAGAAAAATCCTCATTTCTAAATTCAAAAAAAAATAATAAGAAACCTCATCCATTCCATATCTACTCTTTTCCAATTTATCAATAAACGGGTAAACATTTAATTGTTTAAGAGTAAAATTAACAGCAGCTCTAGACAGAACAATTAAATTTAAAGATTTTGTGTGGTTTAATTGTTTAATGTTTGGAGGGTAGGCATTTTCTAAAATTTTGAAAAATTTGAATTAATTTGATTTTTCGGATTTTTGGGATATTATGTCACCCTATATATAAATCAGAATTTTTTTCCACTATATAGAGACATTTAATGGACTTGCGCCTTAACGGTTAGACTTGGGCCCTATGCCTGACGTCAGTTGGGGAAATTTGCCTTACAATTAGAGTAGTCCCAAAAAATTTTTTTTCGGCAAACTCCAGGTGCAGACAATCAAGCCGAGGGAGGCAATCGGTGCCAGATTTGGCTGTAACTCTCCAAGGGGGCAAGGTATATTGCTTACCTACTACTACTGGACTTGCACTTAACGGCTAGGCTTGGTCCAATGCCTGGCGTTAGTTGGGGAAATCTGCCTTACAATTAGAATAGTCCCTGTTTCGTCAAACTCTTGGTGAAGACAAACAAGCCAAGTGAGACCAAGGGGCTCAAGGCTAAGGGAGGCAATAAGGTCCAGCTTTGCCTTTAACTCTAGAGGGACAGGTATTGCCTACCTACTACTTACAAGTATGCCTTTCCCCCTCCATAAATTCCCCCTCTAAGATTTAATTAAAAACCCCAAACCGTTTCTGTAAAGCCGCAATCCTTTCAATGACCAATCCAGCGATTTAACAACCGTGTTTTTTACAATATTTTTTGTGGCGATATCGTTTGTTCCGTTGTATGCTTTAAATATGCGGACAAGTTCAGCGTTGGTACGTAGAGGTAAATCGTGATTCTAAAAAAAATTTTTTTTTAGAAAATTTTTTGAAAATTTTTTAGAAAATTTTTTGAAAATTCTTAAAAATTTTTTCCCAAAATTTTTCCTTCTAAAAATTTTTTTCTAGAAGACGGCCGTCTCTTTAAGACTAAAAATTCACTGAAAAGTTTCGTTTAAAAATTCATAACAAATTTTAACCCAAACCTAATCCCTTTAAACCTATTCTATCTTAAAGCCCAGATTTTTCTCTATCGTTTGATACAAAAATTAAATTTGTATCTCTATTTAAACCCAAATTATGAATTTTTAAAAGTAGGCAACTTGAAGGGAATTAAAAATTTAATAAAATATAACTCGTCATTGACGCCCAATAATTAATTTTTAATTACTGGGCAACGCCTCTAGACGATTCTAATATTTTTTATCATCAAACAGGTAGTCATTAAACTTATTTAGAAGAAGCAAATGACTGTTTTTTGATGTGGGGAGGGTGGGGGAATCGAACCTTTAAGGGGGTTGGTGAAGTGGAGGGAGTGAGACTAACACACTAACCACTCGACTAAAGATTAGTTGGAGGAAGAAAATTAATTTAAAGGCTTTGGGTTGGGTTTAAGTGGCTGGGGGGGGGGTTACTAGGTTTAAGTGTCTAGTAAACCTTTGGGTTGGGTTTAAGTGGCTGGGGGGGGGTTTACTAGGTTTAAGTGTCTAGTAAATTTTTATAAATTTCAAAAATTTTTGAAATTTTTTTTGGAAAAAAATTTTTTTTGAATTTCTTAAAAAATTCCCAAAAATCTCAAAAAAATCCCTAAAAAATTCAAAAAAATTCCCAAAAATTTTTTCAAATCAAACCTGCAGTAAAACAACATATTTCCAGTCTTCCTTTCTTTTATTCAAATTTTCAAGACACGATAAATGTGAGCGACTGACATTTTTACCGCTGCTGTAGACATTGTATTCTACATCAGAAACAAACACATTTTTAGAGAAGCAACGGGAAAGGGCTCGGATGCGTTCCTTGAATCTGTTAAAAAATTGAGGGATATTTAAGGAAAAATTTTTGGTGTTTTGAGATTTTGGCATTATGAAAATTTTGGCGAAATGAAAGTTGACATTTCGAAATTCGACACTTTGACATTTTGCTTTCGACATTCCGATTTTAGACATTTTGAAAATTTGACCTTTCGAAATTCGACATTATGAAATTTGACATTTTGACTTTCGACATTTTGAAACTATGACATTTAAATGTTCGACATTTTGACATAATTTGATAAAAATTAAAATTTTTAAAAATACTTTTTGTCAGCCTTTCTGTCCAAAGAATAACAATAAACATTATGGGGTGCATATTCAACAGATAACATTTGTTCAAGCATTAAATAATCCTTTAAAAAATAAATTTAATTAAAAATAAATTAAAATTTACCCTATAAACAGTCCTAGCAAAAGCTATAGGAAACCGTTTTTCCTCATCAGAAATTTCCTCAAAATTCTGAAAAAATTTCCACCGATTTTTAATCGAATTACAATCAATTTTCAAGTCGTTTAAATCCCTCTGGACAATTCTTTTGATTTTTATTGAATTTATATATGATTTATTTTCATTCAAAATTAGGGAACAATTTAAGGAGTTTATTTGGTTAAAAATTTTTGGGCCTAAGGCTGATTGTAAATAATTGTTTGTTTTGGTGTTGGTGGTTGATGGTGTTGTTAATCTTTAAGTTAAAAAGAGAAATTTAGTTGATTTTTTGATTTTAACTCCCAAGTTTTAGTTGAAAAGTGACTGATGGATAGGTGGTTTTAGGCACGATTGCGCCTGCGCGGATGGCTATAAAACAGCCTAAAAAGTACCTAAAGACGTGAAATTTTCCAGAGATATTCTGAATACTGTTATCTAGTAATTCTGAAAATTCTAGAATTTTAGGTTTGGTGTAAACCGTTTTATGGTCATTTTAATTTAAGGAGACAGACAGAGGTGGTTTATAGCCACACCTGCGCGGATAGCTATAAAACAGCCTAGAAAATACTTAGAGACGTGAAATTTCGGCAGGATATCCTTGATACTGTAAACTAGTAATTCTGAAAATTTCAGAATTTTTTGTTTAATTTAAACCGAGATATGGACAAAAATGTAAGTGACAGTTGAAGAGATGGTTTCGCGCACGATGGCGCCTGCGCGGATGGTTATAAAATAGTCTAAAAAGTACCTAGAGATGTGAAATTTTGTCAGGATATCCTTGATACTGTTAACTAGTAATTCTGAAAATTTCACAATTTTAGGTTTAGCTTAAACCAAATTATGGACAAAAATAGCAAGATGTTGAAAAAAGAGTTACTTTAGGTTTTTGACCATAACTTTTCTATTTTTGCACCTAAAATTTTGAAATTTGGAGGAATGATAGACAACACTATTGAGAATAACTGTGCAAAATTTTAGGGCTCTAGGTTCTCATTGGGCGATTTTATGAGGTTTTATAAGGTCAAAAGTAGGCAGAAGAGGCTTCTTAGATGTCCCTTTTTCACTTTAATTTTTTTCTAAATTTTTTTAAAATTTACCTTAAATTCTTTTTCCATCTAAAATTAAAATTTGAAAAATATAAATAAAAATAAAAATAAATAAAAATAAAGATCAATAATATTGAGACTAGAAAATTTCTTTTCTTTGGGGTGAACATGCGCAACATAAAAAAATAATATATATTAATAGAAAATAAAATAAAAATGAAAGGGAGAGAGAAAATATTTTTATTTTAAAAATATATGATGAAGTATTACTTACTTTTACGTTGCTGATATTACTCTCGCGCAGTAAAAAAAAAATATTTTTTTTATTTTTGAAAAAGGAGGGAGTAAATTGATTTAAAGTGAAATTTTTTTGAATTTAAAGAGCATTTAAAAAATAATTTTTTTTTGTTGACTAAAATAAATATTTTTTTGTGTGTTTAACTAGGTAAACAAATTAAAAATTCTTGAAAAAAAAAATTTTTTATGCAAATAAAAAAGAATAAAAATTCATTTAAAGTTGCGAAATATGTAAAGAAAGAGGGAGAGAGAGACACACTAACGCAGTTCACGTTTAATACACAAACTGATTAAATGGCTATTTTAAATGAATTTTTAAAAATTTTAACTGTGTAAACTATCTACTAACTTAAAAAAAAATTTTTTTTAATTTTTATATTTACTTAAAAAAGACGAAAATCAGTTGTGCGTTGTCCATGAAACTCCCCTTCATTTTAAAATATAGGTGAACAAATATGCTTACGAAATCGTGGAAAAATTCCATAGATCCAGAAAGAGGTCCCAATTTACCTTTAAAGCAATTCAGTTTACTTCTGAGATCTGAAAAATGCTTTGGGACCCGACCGGGTTCGAACCTTCCACCTATAATTGAAAGCAAACCCACTTAACCACAAAAATTAAATTTCAATTTTTATTTTTTTTGTTTCTTTGGCATTCTGATTTTTGTTAAGGATGCTTGAGTCTCTCGCGATTTTCCCTCCTTTGCCAGTCCTTCCCTTTTCCTTAAAAAATTTAATGCTATAAAGAGGGAAAGAGATAGAGAAAGAGAAAGTTCTCGATAAACTACATTAATTTTTGTGTCTCTATGTATGTATTTTGCTTTCCATCTAATAAATTAAATAAATTATTCCTTCCTTAATTTATAAAATTTTATTTTTGGTCATACCAGGCGAGTCTGCTGGCCGCCGTTTCCCGTTTGATGAGCGGTTAAACGACGAATTGCCTGTGGAAGGGTATGCTCTAGTTAGAGATTAAATTCGTTGTCTAGCTAATTGATCTCGTGGTTGCCCCATGAGTTGCGGTTAGTTTAGTTGAATACCGGCCATGGTAGCTTACAGTGGAGGATTCTCTTAGAGAACTACACGTTCGTTTACCTGGTGCACTAGAAGCAGACTTAGTCTATTTCGAGTAGTGCCTCTAAAGACGGTTGTATTCGGATGGAGGGCTTCAGCTTGAACGACTCGCTAATTTTTTTAGATTTCAGACAAGAGAAAAATATTTTTTACAAGAGAAGAATATTTGGGGACTCGACCGTGTTCGAACCCTAGACCTAAAATCAAGAGCGAACCCACTTAACCACAAAACAAATTTTATGGTTTTTGGTAAAAATTTTTACAAAATGACATTTAAAATTAAAATACAATTAAATATAAAAATAAATCAGCCAACCGGGTTCGAACCCTGGACCTATGTATTATTAAAAATAATCCCACTTAACCACAAAAAATAAATTTTTATTTTTAGGAAAATTTTGAAAAATGATTTTTAAAATTTAGAATACAATTAAAAATAAATAAAAAATTTTCTAAATAAATCCAAATTTACTATCTCTTTCGTCATCAATAATCCTTCCTTTTTTAGAAAATATTTTTTCCAATAAAAAAACCAAAAACCACAAAATACCCAAAAATAGTAAAAATCCAAAAATACTTCCAAAGCTAAAAGCAATCAATTTAAATTGAAAATTAGTCAAGGAATTATTAAAACTTCCAATAATTTTATCTACATTGGTTCCAATCTCTCCAAAAGATGAATCAAAATGTGTTACTGTTTGTTCCCCTCGAAGACCGACTTTTTGAACTCTTGAACCGACCTTTTAATTAATTTATTTAAATAATATTTTTGCTCAGAAAATTTCCAAAGGTTCAGAAAAACCTCTAATTTTATCTTAAAATAATTTATTTTTAACTTTAGACAAGAAAAAAATATTCCGGGCACCGAGGAGGTTCGAACCTGGGTCCTCAATTTTAGTGAACCGACCTTTTAATTAATTTATTTTAGAAATATTTTTGCACAGAAAAATTCTAAAGGGGTATAAAAACCTCTAATTTCAACTTAAAATAATTTATTTTAAACTTTAGAGCAATAAAAATATTCCGGGCATCGAACGGGTTCGAACCCGCGTCCTCAATTTTCGTGTACCGACCTTTTATTTAATTTATTTAAAAAATATTTTTGCTCAGAAAAATTCTGAAGGGGCAGAAAACCCTAATTTCAACTTAAAATAATTTATTTTAGTCTTTAGAGCAGTAAAAAATATTCCGGGCCCCGAGCGGGTTCGAACCTGGGTCATTAGTTTTTCGCCTATAAAAAAGTCAAAGAGCCACCTAGAGCCATGAAATTTTGCAAGGATATATTTAATAGTGTCTCTAACCTTTCTATAATTTTCAAAATTTTTGGTTAGGTTTGGCCTAAGTTGTGGGCAGAAAACTTTTTGAGGTTTTTTGCGTTTTTTGCGCACACTTGATTTTTAAAAATTATTTAAAGATTTTTTTATTAAATTAAAAGTCCCTAAAAAATATTTTTTAGTATATTTTTTACCTCCTTGCCTAATTGGTGTATCTCACCAGCCAAACTTTGAATTTGTTCAATGACCGCATCAACTGAGGCAGGGGGTTTTTCAGAAGAAAAATTCATTTAAAAAAATTTTTTTTAATTTTTTTAATTTTTAAAATTAAACAAAAATCGATTTTTGAGCAAAATTTGTTGTAAAATAATTTTGGAAAGGAGAGAATAAATTTTTTTTCGATTTTATTTTGCTCTTTAAACGAGAAAATATTTTTATTTTCTTTTATTTGCGAGCTGTTAAGTCAACAATGGGAGGAAGGCAAATAAAAATAAGATAAGAGAGGAAAATATTTTGTTTGAACAATAAAATGACCAGAAAAGTCAATTAATTGGTCAAATAATTGATTTAATTAATTATAAATTTTGTACTCATCCGGCCCTTTATTAGAAGCTTTTCTCTTTGCCTGGGAACAGTAGAGTCTCAGAAAGGTCTCAAAGTAGGGGTCGTTTAAAATTAATTTTATAGTCAACTGACTGTTCTTAAAAATTTAATTTTTATGTCAAAAGATAGAGCAGACTCAGAGCTACAAAATGAGCTAAAGAACATGAAAATTGGATGGGAATTTCGAGAGTTATGAATTTTTAAAGATTACAGGGTTTTGGGGGGAATTTGAATTATTGGGTACATAGAGTCTCAAAGTAGGGGTCGTTTAAAATTAATTATCTCAGTCATTCACTGTTCTTAAAAATTTAATTTTTATGTCAAAAGATAGAGCAGATTCAGAGCTACAAAATGAGCTAAAGAACGTGAAAATTGGATCAGAATTTCGAGAGTTATGAATTTTTAAAGATGGGAGCAGTGGAGTCTCAGAATGAGGGTCGTTAAAAATTAATTATCTTTGTCATTCATTGTTGTTAAAAATTTGGTTTTTATGTTAAAAGATAGAGCAGATTCAGAGCTACAAAATAACGTAAAGAACGTGAAAATTGGATGGGAATTTCTAAAGTTATGAATTTTTAAAAATTGCAGGGTTTTGGGGGGAATTTGAATTAATTATAAAAATAAAATTTTTGGCGTTCTGTTTATTTTTTGTTTAATGTCCGCGTTGTAAAAATTTTTTTATTTTAACCAAGTTTGCTTGTTTTGGAAATTTTCTTTTTTACAATGGGTTAGTTTGTTGACTTTTTTGGTTGTTTAAATTGATTTTTAGGAGACCATGATGGTTACTACAATTATTTTGAAACACCTCAAAGTTCAAAACAAAGAGGGCGGGAAGAAGACAATATTGTTTATGAACAGCTTTTGTATGGGGAAATTGTGATAAGAGAAGATGGACAAATTTGTGTGCAAGTACAAGGAGATGTGAAAGATTTGAGTTGGTTTTTTTTAATTTTTTGGTCTGTAAATAGGTTTAGGGAGGGGAAAGATTCTAGTTGACTTAAGGGTAATAGTGTCGTTTCCCGGCCCCATTTTTTCTCCCCAATTTTTTACCCTATGTTTGTACGGAATGGTCAAATTTTCACCCTTTTTTTCATCAAATTTGCCTTTCCTTATTTTGCCTAAAATCAATCAAAAAGATTAATTTGTGATATTTTCCGCACTTCTTTTCTCTTCTACATATAATAGCCAGAAAACATTTTTCATGCTTGGTGTTTCTCCTTGTGAAAGAACTGAATAAAAAATTAATCTTTTTGATTGATTTTAGGCAAAATAAGGAAAGGCAAATTTGATGAAAGAAAGGGGAAAATTTGACCATTCCGTACAAACATAGGGTAAAAAATTGGGGAGAAAAAATGGGGCCGGGAAACGACACTATTACCGACTTAAGCATTGGAAACGCTTATCAAGGAATTTAAGTTATAAGTGAATCAATCTTATTTCTCCGGTGGCCATTCTGTAACATTTGAATCCTGTAGTGAAGCACTTTCCAGGACCTGACCAAACAATGTATTAATTTAGTATCCTTTTCGGTATTATGCTTGGATGGATAAGGGCCTTTAAAGGTTATTATCTTAGCAATAGCTGCCACAAGGTTGCGGGTTTGATCCCTGGTTGGTTTCTAGATTTCTCTATAATTCTAAAGGGACGGATATACTTGTTTTTGTGTACCTCTAGTCTTTAAAACGCATCTAGAAAATTTTTTTTTAAATTTCTATTCATCCTTTTTCAAGGTTTTAATGAATCCGATTCTATCAGACCTATTGAAAAGAGCGGTCAACAAACCATTTTAATTGAAAAGAGGACAGAACATGACTATTGTAAACAGAAAAGTTTTGTTGGATTAGATGAGAGGCAAACAGGAAAAGGTTTGAAATTTTAATAAGATTAGGGATACATCATCACGTCTATCCAAGTCGATGTGTCCTCAAATTTTGGCCGCAAAAAATATAATTTTAAAACCTTTAAGATCAGCCGCAGCAACATGATGACCATCAACTTGCTGCTATTCAAAATCCAGATGGTCATGAAGAAGTAGTAATTAATGATGATGAGGAGGCTGTTGGTTCAGATGGTTTTGATTTTACTGAATGTGGAGAGGAAATAGGTTTTTTAATTTTTTGTTATGAGATTTCAAGGGCGTATTTAGAGTCGAATTTCTCTAGGCTATATGCGGGTATGCGCCAATGGCGTAACCATATGGTCGATTTTAGCAGGCTCTCCCCCTCCCTGGAAAGGTCCTTGGGGTGCGCCAAATATTTGGCGTTCCGAACAAATTTTTTCCCTTCCCCTGGATCAGGGGTGTTACGTGTCGTGAAAAAGTCGGGTTTGGTGTTTCGGATCGAAAAATGGACGGGTTTTGGGTATATGGTTTCAGACAATCCGTGACTTTGCTTCTTGATACCCCCCTTATGAGATCTTATTTATTTTCCAAATTTTAAGTAGTCAGTACAACCCCATCAACAGAAAATATCAATTTAACCTCTACCAATCGTAAACAACTCAAAAGAGTTTTTGGTTCAAATAAATGTCAAGAGTGTGACCAAACATTTACCAACATGGCCCGTCTAGAAAGGCATTTAGCTGTTCATCAATGTTTTGGTGCTTATGTATGCCCTCTGTGTGGAAAAACGTTTAAATACGAATATAATCTATTTTATCATTGGAGAAGAACTTGTAGAGATTTGAATGAAATGATGACTGTTGAAGAAAGAAAGGTTTGAGAAATTTTCTTGGAAATATTTTTACGGACAGGTTTTGCGGACATAGCTTATTTTTGCGGACAAAAATCTATTTTTGCGAATTTTATCTCTCCCAGGGATAGTTATGGTTTATTTAAAAATTACGCTAAAACATGTTGATTTTATTGGTATTTATGCTTATTTTAATCGAAATTTGTTTTTTACTTTTACGTACAATTTTGCGGACAAAAATTCATTTTTGCGGATTTTATTATTTCGAGGTGTCACTGTTTGTTTAATCAATCGGAGCTTCTATTTTTGTATAATCAGGTCATTGGCATTTTGTTTCAGTTTGCTTTTAATACAGTCCGCAAAACTTCCGCAAATTTCAGACGAGCGACTGGAAATATTAAAAAATTATCAAAAATTTAGGCTATCGAGATTAACGCTCTCCGTCATTTAATTGAAGATATTTCCAAAAAACACCCTCATAATCCTTTGAATTATTCCAAACAGCAACAATCAACCAGTAATAATGTGGAAATGGATCAACAAAATTATGTGGTTATTCAAGATGGACATGATTATAATACCCCAAATTTACACTCCTTTGCTTCTAATTTGCCTCAAACACAATTTTCTGCAGAGAATTTGGAAGAAGTTTATAGGTTTCTTATTATAATTGAGATAGGACTGTGAAGGCTTGACGGGAAAAATCAGTATCTCGAAAACTGGAAGGATTGATTGTCTCCTGGCTGGGAGAGATCGAATATATCTAATAAATATCAATCTTGGAAGCCAGGATTTTTGTTCAAAATCTCGTTTCAGTCCGATCTCTAGTTTTTTTTAATTTTTAAAATTTTTTTGAATTTTATTGGGGAAGGAATTATTTTAAGGTGCACCTTTAGAGCCGAAAATCGTTCTCATAAGGGGAGGGGTTGTATTTCAAAAATGGGAGGGACAGCTTGATAACTTGAATTTCTGTTTTAAGGCTCAACTCGGTCCGATCTTCTTTGTGTTTGTTCTTTTGATTTAAATATTTTTTATTTTATTAGAGAAAGAATAGCCGATAGTGATGACACGTATACTTTTAACAACCAATCTACAGACATAACTCAATCTAATCAAATTAACAAATCTACAAGAGCTTTACAATGCACTGAATGTCTTCGGTTTTTTAAATTTAATTTTTTTCTCATTAAAAAATTTTTCTAGATCATTCTCCTCCCTTCAACGTCTACAAAAACATTTGATTGGTTCGCACTATTCTTCAGGCAGACACCCATGTCTATTTTGTGGAAACCGCTTCAAATACGAATATAATTTATTTTTTCATTATCGAAATGTTTGTCCTTATTCTTTGGATTTGTTAAAAGAAGAAACTAGGAGACGGGTATTTTTTTTAGTATTTTTTGAAATTTTAGAAAAATATTTTTTCTCAAGTTGGATGCCTCAAACCTCAAAAAATTAATTCGACAAATTGCTACAGATAAAGACTTTTATTTAAAATCTCCACCTTCTAGTAAACTTCAAAATGAAGAGAGTGATAGACCATGTAGTTCAACTTCGTTGTTAACCCCGTTAATTGAAAATCCAGCTGAAAATGGCGATTCTGCAATGAGACGGCAAATGATGAAAAATGTATTTTTTTATTTTCGGGAGTGACGTGGTCTTTTTGCGGATTTAATGTGTCATTTTCTGTTGATTTTTAGAGATTACTTATTCGATAAATATTTAAAAAATAATGAAACGTGGAAAGAAAACACCAAAATAATTTATTTTTATATTTTTGCGAGTCCGCAAAAGGAGAAAAATGTCCGTAAAAACCGTGCATGTCCGCAAGAACGGAACAAGTCCGCAAAAAAATGTCCGCAAATGAGTTAAAATCCGCAAAATATCATTCTACTCTTTTTATTGTTTTTTATTTTCAATTAAATTTACTTTAGAACATTTTTAACTTTTTTTAAAGATAATTCGCAAATATGTACCTAAATGTCGACAAAAATTGAATTCAATAAAAAATGCTAATAAAAATGGTGGAGAAATAGATGAGACAAATAATTCACAGAAAATCGGGTTACCTCGTGTGCTTCTTCAACCTACATATCGACCAGATTTGCCAGATGGAATTCATTGCCCGATATGTTGTTGGTTTTTTTTAATTTTTTTATAATTTAAAAAAAAATCCGCAAAAATGGTGAAAATCCGCAAAAAGACAAAAGTCCGCAAAAATTAAAAATTGTCCGCAAAAATTTAAAAAGTGTCCGCAAAAATTAAAAAGTGTCCGCAAAAATTAAAAAGTGTCCGCAAAATTAAAAAATGTCCGCAAAAGTGGAAAATATTTATTTAATTTTAGCTGTCGTCTTTTACGGCCTAAAAATACTTGTTCGTCATTTAAAAGCAGCACATCCAAAAGAATCTTCAGTTTGGGAAAAAACAATAAGAGGACTTGATAATGCTTCAAATAAAAATTCCAAATTAATTTCTAAAGCAAAAATTAATCCAAAACGTTTTTTGGCGTCTAAAAAGAGTGGGAGGGAGGAAAGAAGTGTTAGAGGAGGTTTGGATTTTTTTATAAATAATTTGAGATGTTTCATTTTTAGAACATTACAATTTTAACGAGGATACCCCTCCTTTACTTGAAATTGAGCAATAACAATGAAAAAAAATTTGGTGAAAATTTTACATATTTGCGGACAATTTTTGCGGACATTTATTATTTGCCTTGTTAATCACCTCCCTCGATATCCCTTTCAAAATAGGTAGATTTTCAGATGTAGGCCTTCAGATCAATAGGTTTGGTCTTCGGGTTAGGTCTTCAGGATGGCTCTTAAACTTCAAAGAAAACACCGAAATACCAAACCCTCAAGTTTCTTCGAAATGCCAAACCCTATAGAAATCACGCCGAAATACCAATGCCCAATCAGTAAGCTTCGTTTTGTTTGTGATTAAGTTTTTGGGCTAAATTGTCCGTAAAAAATTTTTGATATTTTTTCTTTATTGGTAATTATTTTGTGTGTAAATAAAGGATTTTTTAAAGATTACATTTTTTCGACTTGTTTCTTTTCTTATTATATATTTTTTCAATTTTTATTTTTGTTTAATCTTTCTTTCTTTTTGTATAATGCATGCTACACCTTCCCCAATTAAAAAGAATGGAAGTTTTACAAAATCTCCATCAAGGAAAAGCGATCATAAAAATGTTGGAGGACAACACAAAGCGAAAGTTGAGGTTTGTAAATTATTTTTAAATCAACTTAAGTTGAGGGTTGGTTTTTGGGGTGTTTTCTGTGGTGGCTTGATTTGGGCGTTGACTAAGATTATGGAGGTCTAGTCCACAAGTAAGCTTCATTTTTGGTCTTTCTGGACTGAGGCCAATGGTTGTAGATCGAGTAGTTAGCTCATTGTTAGCTCAATTACTTAATTCCGGAGTCTAAATACTTACAGAATTTGAAAGGGTCTGGTCTTTTGTCCTTGATATTTGGTCGAGAAACTGTTATTGACAGTTTAAGACTTTAGAAAATTTTAAAAAATTAATTATTTCAGCTTTCCTCATCCAAAAATGATTCAAAATCACCTCCACATCTAAGGTGTTTGCCTCAAGCTCGTGTTAGACATATTATGGAATGTTCACCTGGAGGAGAAGATTTAAAAATGTCGGAGGATGGAGTGATTGCAATGGCTAAGGCAGCGGTTTTTTAAATTTTTTAGCTTAAAAAAATTTTCTTAAGGAAGGCTTTATTGAATTATTGGCACGAGGAGCATATGCGGAAACATCTGGTGTATCTGTCAATTACAATCATTTGTCAAACTATGTCCATTCTAGCGAGGAATTTGATTTTATACAAGGTCAGCGTGAATTTTAATTTTTTTAATTTTATTTTTCTGATAGGGTTTGGGATAGGGACATTTGTTTCTTACAATTAGGTTAAAAATCTGGTCGTGTTTAATTCTCTTACATTAATTTTTCTGTGAGGGATTTATGAGTTTGATGCCGTAATTTCAAACGCCGTAAAATCTGACCCTTTATAATACATGTCGAAATACCAAAAGGTTAACAATTTACCAAATTGACGTAACAAACATTTCATTTTTGTTTGAGACAAACTTCCATCTGATTGGGATATATTTACTATTTTTTTTATTTTCCATAGTTTGGTATTTCGACAGCTTTTTTGGGGTTTGGTATTTTGACGTTTTTGGTATTGTGGGGGCGCTCCCTTGTTTATCCTTTTGTTTTAAAAATATAATTAGAAATTCAAAAATATTTCCCTTAAAGATATCCTTCCTCGAAAAGAACGTTTTTCCGAAATTATGAAATTAATGAAGAAACATAAAAATGCACAAATATAAAAATGCACAAATATGTTTCTTTGGTTAAAAATCTGGTCGTGGTTAATTCTCTTACATTAATTTTTCTGTGAGGGATTTATGAGTTTGATGCCGTAATTTCAAACGCCGTAAAATCTGACCCTTTTATAATACATGTCGAAATACCAAAATGTTAGCGATTTACCAAATGGAGGTAGCAGACTTTTCATTTTTGTTTGAGACAAACTTCCATCTTATCGGAACATATCTTCTAGTTTTTTTATTTTTCCGAGGTTTGGTATTTCGACAGCTTTTTTGGGGTTTGGCATTTCGATTGGTATTGGTATTGCGGGGCGCTCCCTTATCCTTTTGCTTTAAAAATACAACCAAAATTCATTCAAAAAATATTTCCCTTAAAGATATCCTTCCTCGAAAAGAACGTTTTTCCGAAATTATGAAATTAATGAAGAAACATAAAAATGCACAAATATAAAATTTATTTTTGAATTTTGTTCTCATATATTTTTCTCTTTTTTTAAATTTATTCTCTATACATATTTGTTTTAATATATTTTTGCTAGTTTTCCATTTTTCTCTCTTATCATTTTTACATATTTATGTTCGTTCGATAAATTTATGTATTTACATAATGGCATGATTTGTTTATATTTTTTGGGTTTCTTTCCCATTTTTAACGATTATTTTTTTTAATTTTTATTTTTTAGATTTTTTAATATAAATTTTATAGTTTTTAGCAATTTGGCGTTATTCTTTATTCAATTCTAGAAAAGTTGTTACGAGTCTTTTGTAAGTTTTTTTTTATTTTTAAAGTTATTAGGTGGACAAGTACAAGGGTGATTCGGTTACCATTCATCCTTTTGTTGAAAATCAAAACATTTTTATTTGGTTAAAATATCGGAAGGTAGTGTAAAATATTAAAAAACTTGGCCAGGATTCTAGTCGCCAATTTAAATTGCGGAGAGGTAATGTCCGCAATAAAATTGCGGACATTCTGCAAATTAAGTGATTGTGGATGGGTCAGAAACTTAAGAAAATTTACGGATTGATCCGCAAATTAGGGAATTTTGGACAATCCACAAATCATAAAAGTGCATAAAACTTGTGAAAATATGCTGACCAAAATTGCAGAATTTCTTGTTCAATAATTTATTTTTTAGAAGAAGTAATTTTTGTGACATAAAATACAATCTCAACAATATAAACATGGAAGACCAAATTTCAAAAATTTCTGATGCTGCTAATCGAATGCGTATTTCTTCAATTGAACAAACTGCTAAAGCAAATTCTGGACATCCAACAAGTAGTTGTAGTGCTGCTGAAATTGTTGCAACACTTTTCTTTTCTGAGATGCGTTATTCGGTTAAAGAGCCTAGACATGCTTCTGCTGATCGTTTTGTTTTGTCTAAGGTTTGTTTTCTTGCATGTTTGGATGAGTTGTGGGTTTTGGGGTTCTTATTAACTTTTGGGGTAATTTATTTGCTGGGAAGCTTTTGTGTAAGCTGTTGAGGGGTGCTTAAATTGATTTTTGGATTTTTGCGAAATTTTCCGTTTTGCGGACTTTTTTTTGTTTTGCGGACTTTTTTGCGGATTTATTGATTTATGGTATTTTCTTGGGCAATTTTTTGCCTAAATAATTTTTCCCTTGCTCGTAATTTTCTCCACATTTCATTTCCAGTCTTAATTTTTCCTAAAATATTTTTTTTTCTTTAAGGGACATGCCTGTCCGATTCTCTATGCTGCTTGGGAAGAAGCAGGCTTGTTAACACGAGAACAAGTTTTGACTCTTCGCAAATTAACTTCTGATATTGAAGGACATCCAACTCCGAGACTTTCATTTATTGATGTTGCTACAGGTTTTTTTTAATTTTAAAATTAAAAAATTTAACTCTAATTGTAAGGCTCTCTTGGACAAGGACTTTCCTGTGCTGCTGGAATGGCTTATACTGGAAAATATATTGATAACGCTTCTTATCGAGTCTATTGCCTTTTAGGGGATAGTGAAAGTGCAGAAGGATCTGTTTGGGAGGCTGCAGGTTTTTTTTTAAATTTTTTTAGTTTTTGATAAAAAAATTTTTTTTAGCCTTCGCAAGCTATTATAAATTGGATAATCTCGTTACAATTGTTGATGTTAATCGACTTGGACAATCTCGTGAAACTATGCTTGGCCATGATTTGTTCACTTATGCTAAGCGCTTTGAAGCTTTTGGTTTTAATAGTATTATTGTTGATGGACACGATGTTGCTGATTTATTGAAAGGTTTTGATGAAGCTAGGTTTCTTTTTTGTTTTTTATAATTTCAGAAAATGAAATTTCTGCTGGTTTTGGGGGCAAATTGAATGACTTTCTCCCGTTAGATTATCCCCATTTTGTTATTTCCCTCTTGTCTTTCTTGTTATTTTTTGGTTCTTTTTTAGTTCTACCGAGTTAGGACCAACTCCTTTCCTCATTTTTAAAGTTTTGGTTGCCATTATATTTTTTCTTACCTCGTTTTTGATATGTTCACCTAGCAATAAGATGAGTTATTGATACACCTTTTGCCCTCCTAGGAATATAAAGTAAAGTGCTCCGTAGATGGCCTCATCCCCTCATCCAGTACAATGCCAACGGTTGCCTCTGGAAATTAGACGAATAAGAAGGATTAAAATAAAAATTTTTCTCGTTCCAGAAAAGTAACAGGCCAACCAACAGCAATTATTGCACGTACATTAAAAGGAAAAGGAATTGAAGGAGTTGAAGATAAAGATAATTGTCATGGAAAGCCAGTAACTTTGGATAAAGCAGAAATTATTGCTTCAAAATTGGGAAATAAAACAACAAGAAATTCGTGGGAATTGGAAAATTTAATTGATGATGCTCCTGAAGTTGATTTTGAAATTGGAAAAATTAAAATGAGTTCGCCGCCAAATTATCAAATTGGGGAGAAGGTAGCTACTCGTTTAGCTTATGGAAATGCTCTTGTTAAATTGGCTGATACAAGCAAAAGGATTATTGCTTTGGATGGGTATATTTTTTTGAAAAATTTTTTGCGAAAATTTTTTAGAAATTTTTTGAAAATTTCTGAAATTTTTTTTAATTTTCGAAAATGTTTTTGAAAATTAAAAAAAATTAAAAAAATATATATGTATATTTTCTGAAAATTTTTTGAAAATTAAAAAAAAATTTAAAAAAAATCTAAAAAATTTTTTAGTGACGTGTCAAACTCCACCTTTTCTGATAAAGTTCTCAATAAATACCCTCAACAATTTGTCCAATGCTTTATTGCTGAACAAAACATGGTTGGCGTTGCTGTAGGAATGTCTTGTCGTGGGCGAACTATTCCACATGCCAGGTTTATTTATTATATTTTTCTCATTCCAATTCATTTTAAAGTACCTTTGCTGTTTTCTTTACTCGTGCTGCTGACCAAATTCGAATGGGGGCAATATCCTTTGCCAATGTTAAATTTGCTGGTTCACATGCTGGTGTCTCTATTGGAGAGGATGGGTAGGAGATTTTTTAAATTTTTTAAATTTTCAAAAAATTACTTTAGGCCAAGCCAAATGGGACTTGAAGACCTCGCACTTTTCCGAGCAGTTCCTAATAGCATCGTTCTTTATCCGACTGATGCGGTTTCTACAGAATATGCAACTGAATTGGCTGCTAATTATAAAGGAATTACTTTTACGCGTACTGGACGTCCTAACACTCCGGTTATTTATCAAAATGATGAGAAATTTGAGATTGGAAAATGCAAGGTTTGATAAATTTTAAAGGATATTAATGAGGGATTGGTTCCATCTTTTAGGAATAGTCCAGGGGTGGATTTGTAGAGCTTCTGGGACTCCTATCTTACGGGGTCTGCTCTCATGTCTGAATTAAAATTAGCAGTGTCCTGGGCATTTTTAGAAAGGAACGTTAGTCTCATTTTTAGTTGTAGTGCAGGAGAAACTTTGGAACCTTCTCTCATGTTTGAATTGGGATCAGCATGTGTCCCCGGTCATTTTTGAAAATCTCGATTTTTTAACTGAAACCTGCTAGAGTTTAGGCCGAAATTATTTTTAAATATGAGGTTTTCTGACCCTCATATCAGACCCCTCCCCTCGTACCCCGTTCTGAATGATTAAAAAATTTTATGGATAGTCCGGGGGGACTTCTGAAACTTTAAAAAATTTTTTCTATAGGTTATCCGCCAAACAAATGAAGACAAGTATTTATTAATAGGCGCGGGTGTAACACTCTACGAGTGTATTAAAGCTCATGATATTTTGAGTTCTGAAGGTATTCAAGTTGCTGTTATTGACATCTTCTCTGTCAAGGTTTTCTTCTTAATGTAAATATTTTTTTGATTTTTAAAAATTTTTAAAGCCTTTGGACGATCAAACACTTATTGAGCAAGCTAAACGTGTTGGAGGGAAAGTTTTAACTGTCGAGGATCATTATCAGACTGGAGGTATTGGTGAAGCTGTAGCTTTGGCATTAGGTGATGTTCCTAATGTTCGTGTTCGCAGTTTGTGTGTTAAAGGTTTTTTTTTAATTTTTTGTTTTAAATATAGGAGAAGAATAGGGGGTTATATAGGAGGAAAATAGAGGTTAAATATTTAAAAATAACAAAAACAGAAAGTATAAATTTTGTAGAACTTTACCTAGCAGAGCAAGAAGGTAATATTTATGAGGGTCTTGGCGGTATTTTCTGAGGGGTCCTGTTTTTCTCCTTGTATTTTGAAAAGGACTATCAGAACGATCTTAAAAAATTTTTATAAAAAATTTTTTTTCTTAGAAATTCCACGTTCTGGTACACCTGACGAGCTTATGGATTTGTATGGAATTTCTGCAAAGAAAATTATAGCGGCAGTAAAGAATTATTAATTATAGAGAGACAAAAAATAAGCTTAAGGAGAGCTATTTATAGAGTATAATTTTTCTAATTTAATTATATATTTTTTCAAAATTGTTAATTTGGTCAGATTTCATTTTTGCATATTTATAGACGTGCACTTATTTTAAAATTTTAATAATGATAAATGGTTGTTGGGTTTTTTGATTTTTATTTTGGAAATTGTGGTTATTGCAGGACCGAAAATATTTAATTTGTTCGTACTCTAGTGTCATAGTTCTTGAATTGATTTGTTAAGAGACTGTGAGGGAATGAGAGACGGTTAGAGATTTAAAAGTGAGCTTTACAAATTTTGCCAATACATATTTTGCCAATGAGGCTAAAAAGCTACATTTTGACACTACATTTGTTGACAAAATGTAGAATTTTAGCCTTGTTGACAAAATGTGTATTGGCAAACTATGGGGAATGAGAGAACGTTAAATTAGAGATTTTAGCAAAAAAAGCGGCATTTTTGTCTTTCAATTTTGTTTGCTTTTTTTTAATTTTTTGTTTGATTTTTAAAGATTTTTTCAATGATTTTAGGTTATCTAAAAATAAAGTCAATTTATTATTGAAAAATGGATGCGAAATTGTGGATAAATAGTACTGAACATGCTGCTCATCGTTTGAGGCGTGAGAGAGAGATGTGGCTCAAGAGTCCTCTTCCTGGTTTTATTGCGGAACCGTCTTTGAACGCTGATGGAGTGGATTGGTAAATCAAATGTTGTTATTAATTTGCAAGTTTTTTAGGTTCAATTGGAAATGTGCTATTCCTGGACCAAAAGACACAATTTGGGAGGGAGGTTTATACAAACTTCAAATGAATTTCGAGGACGATTTTCCTTTCACTCCACCAAAATGTCGTTTTGATCCGCCAATCTTCCATCCAAACGTCTATTCGTCTGGGACTGTTAGTCTGAGTCTTTTCAACAAAGACTGGTTTATTTTGAAATATTTAATGATTAAATTCTCGCTTTAAATTCAAGGACAGTAGCAACCACAATCGAACATGTATTGATTATACTGCAAGAATTATTAGCAAATCCAAATATGGCAGATCTTGCTCCAGCCGAGGCTTATCGAGTTTATTTTCGAGATCGTCAAGAATATGAACGTCGTGTGCTCGAACAGGCTCAACGTTTTTCGCATGAAGTGGTTCAATCGGAAATGTTAAATAATTAATATTTTTTTGAGAATGCAGAGCGAAACTTTACGAAACTATTTTTTATTTATAGGATCAAATCGATTCTATTTACCCTGAACATTTTTCTAAACTTTTAGTAGGCGGCTCTCCGGGATGACTCGAAAAAAGTTTCGGCAGAATTTTTAAAAAGTTTGAGACCAACGGCCACGGCTTTTCTCTTTCGGAAATCATTTAGTCTTATATTTTCTTAAAGTTTCGTCTCAAATTTTCGATTTACATTCTGAGATTCGAACTTTTTTAATGATCATTTTTGATCTCTATTTTTCAAAATTGTAAGCCTCAAAAAATAAATTTATTCATTTTTTAAATTGAATTTTATTTGTTTTATTCAGTTAATATCTTTTTATTTTAACTACAAAAATTAAAATTTTTATTTTAAAATTTAATTTTAAATTTTTACTATTTTAATATAAAATGACTGGAATCGCTGATGGTAGTTTGTCGCTTGAGAGGTGGGATTGGCTCAGAAATCCTCTTCCTGGTTTTATTGCGCAGCCGAATTTGAACGTTGACGGAGTGGATTGGTAAATCAAATGACTTATTAATTTACAGCTTTATTTAGGTTCAATTGGGGATGTGCTATTCCTGGACCAAAAGACACAAATTGGGAAGGAGGATTGTTCAAACTTCGAATGATTTTTGATGACGGTTACCCGGTACTACTGAAGAAAAGGGTGCTTTTTCTGCGGACTTATTTTGCGGACTTTTCCTTTCCTTTACATGTTTTACTTGTAGCAACTAACTGTCAACGGCCCTCCCCCCATTATTTTTCTTACCTAAGATTGTACACAATGGTCAGATTTTCTTCTTTCTCTTTTCCTCTATTTGCCGTGTGGCATATTCAAACAAAAGACATTGATACAGAGAAGATTAATTTTATTTTTTCATTTCTGTTTAAATGTTTTGCTTATAGCAACTAACAGTCAACGGATTATTTTTTATGCCGGTCTGAAAAATGTCGTTCACAAATAATTTAAACATTATAAACGAAAAAAATGTTACAATCAATAAAAAATTTTACTTTAACTAAATTGTATGATAAAATTAAATTACCCAATGATGAATTTCAACAATGGATCACTGATCTCGGAATGCTTCATAGAAAAAGAACATGTGATTGTGGAAAAGAAATGCGTAAAGAGAAGCGTGGACAAAATGGAAGATGGATATGTAAGAAATCAGTATGCAGAAAAACAAAGGGTGCTTTAGTTGGAACATTTTTCGAAAATTCAAAACTTTCTTTGACGCAAATCATACAGGTACAATTTTTCAATTGTTTTTTATCAAATTATTATTAAGATAATGTATCTTTGGTCTAGGAGAAATTTGGAGGAGATGACTGTTTTTTTCATTTAATTTCACAAATAACAAATAATCAAAAATATTTGTGCGAATAAAAATTAATCCTTTGACAGTTAGTTTGCTACAAGCTAAAACATTATCTTTTAAAAAAAAGGGAAAAAGAAGGAAAGGAAAAGTCCGCAAAATAAGTCCGCAGAAAAAGCACCCTTTTCTTCAGTAGTACCGGTTACCCTTTCACTCCTCCAAAATGTCGTTTTGATCCGCCAATCTTCCATCCAAACATTTTTCCGTCTGGGACTGTTTGTTTAAGACTTTTGGACGAAAATGAATGGTTTATTTTTAGATATTAGTAAAAAATTTTCTCCTAAAAATTCAAGGTTTGCAGGTATCAATATCAAGAAATTGTTGCTTGCAATTCAAGATTTGTTGGTTAATCCAAATCTGGAAGATCCTCTTCAAACTGATGCGTGTCAAATTTATATTCAAAATCGTCAAGATTATAATCGTCGTGTGCGCGAGCAGGCTCAACGTTATTCTCGAGAAGTGGTTCAATTGGAAATGTTAAATTATTAATAAGTATTTTTTATTACGAGCAAGTATTTTTTTTCTTTGTTGAGGGAACAGGGCGAAACTTTCCGACCCCATTTTGTTTTGTGAATAGGATCTCTCCTAACAGTTTACCCCCAGACATATTTTCGAACATTTATTAGGCTAAAAACATATCATAGCTCATTCGATCAGGCTCGTTGGGCTAATTGTGAGTCAAAAAAAATTTAGGTTAGTTCATGCCGATTTGAGGAATTGTTAAAAAGTTAGTACAACGGCTGAAGAATCATTTTAGGGTTATATTGTCCAAAAGTTTCGTTCCCAAATTTTCGATATACACATTAAAAGTCAATTATATTTTACTTATAATTAACATTTTTGATCTCAATTTGTCAAACTTTTTCAGTCACAAAAAAATAAATATTTTGATATAATTTTTTCAAATTTAATTTTATCTGTTTTATTTAGAGATCGGAATTTTGAAAAAACCGGGACCGGGAACCGGGAAACGGGTTCTGAAGGTCGACCGGGAGGGACCCGGACCGGGAAAACCGGGAATTCCCGTTCCCGGTTTCATCCCGGTCAAAAATGACCGGGACCCGGACCGGGAAACCGGGAAATTTAAAAAAATTTAAATTCATTTAAAAATTTGAAAAAGTTATGGGAGTAGTTATTTATTGAAAAATCTGATTTATAAATAGAAGAATTTAATAAATCATTAAAATAAATCAATAAAACAAATGTAAATTACAATAAATTAAAAACATAAAGCGGATTACGTAGGGCTAAAGGGATTTGAGAGGCTAGAGAAGGATTGTGGGATATTAGGAGATTTTGGAGTTTAAGATCTCCCGATAGCCTCCTCAAATTTTTTTATATCGCCTATATGTATTCCTCATCCAATTCCCTTTAATCCCTCTTAATCCACCTTGATGCTGATTTAATTTTTATTTAATCCCTCCAAATCCACTCTGATCTTCTCTGTGCAATAGTGATATCAGTGATTAAAAGAGACATCGAGAGATTCAAGTATTTTTTGGGTAGCATTAAGAGAGATTGTAGAGAAAGACCTCCAACAACCTATATCACCTGATATCTATTCAAATCCCTTCAATTGGAAGGCAACGATATCAGATGATTAAGGCAGATCTAATGGATTTAGAGGGATAAAAATGGCTTAATCACGAGAGAAGGATTGTGGAGGTAAATATAAATCCTCGATAAAAAAAATAAATCCCTTGATAAAATCGCACTATACACTAATTTCCCCCAACTTTTCCTCCAATAATACCTCCAAATTTCTCCGTTCGAAATTCTTCCGCGAAAATTTTGAGAATTTTGGAAGGCAAAATAGCCAAATTTCTTCCATTTTCAGCGCCGCAGGCGAAAATTTTGAGAATTTTTGTAAAATCTCCAATATTTTTAAGTCAAAAATCAAAACGCCAAGCAAAAATATTTAAAATTAGCTGCTAGAATTTTTCCCGGTTTCCCGGTCCAAAAAAAGCCGGGACCGGGAACGGGAAACGGGAAATGAAAATTAACCGGCCGGGACCCGGACCGGGAAAACCGGGAATTCCCGATCCCGGTTTCATCCCGGTATCTTCAAAAAAGCCGGGAAAAAGGACCGGGAAACCGGGAAACGGGACCGGGTCCCGATCCCGTTCCGATCTCTAGTTTTATTCAATTATTTTATTTTAAAAATTGAGAAAGAACGTTAGATTTAGAGATAAAAACAAAAAAAGCGGCGTTCTTGTCTTTCAATTTTTTTTTGATTTTTTTAAATTTTTTTATTAATTTTAGATTTGATAAATTAATTTTATTTCTTTAAAAATGGCTGTAATCGCTTCTTACCGTTTGGCGAACGAGAGAAAGGTGTGGCTCAATAATCCTCTTCCTGGATTTACTGCAAAGCCGATTAAGGACGTTAATGGATTGAATTTGTAAGATTACCTAATAATTCTTACTAATTTAAGTTTCTAGGTACACATGGGAATGTGCCATTCCTGGACGAAGAGAGACTATTTGGGAAGGAGGATTGTTCAAACTTCGAATGATTTTCAAAGATGATTATCCCTTCATTCCTCCAAAGTGCCAGTTTGTGCCGCCATTGTTCCATCCAAACGTCTACCCGTCTGGGACGGTTTGTCTGGGTTTGTTGGACGAAGACAAAGACTGGTTTATTTTTAAATAATTTTTTTTTTATTAAATTTTCCCCATTAAAATCTAAGGCGGCCGTCAATGTCTGTCAAAGAAATTTTGATCGCAGTTGAAGAATTATTGGTTAATCCGAACCCAGCGGATCCTGCTCAAGCTGTTGCTTATTTAACTTATGTTCAAGATCGTCAAGAATATGATCGGCGTGTGCGCGAGCAAACTCAACTTTTTTCTCATGAAGTGGTTCAAATGGAAATGTTAAAACATTATTAAGTATTTTTTGATATAAGCAAGCATTTTTCTTTTGTGTTGAGGGAACAAAGCAGAGGTGGGTCGGAATTCCGATTTCCGACGTTTTTTTCCTTCCGATTTCCGAAAAAATTTTGATTTCCGAGTTCCGACTTTTGAGCCATTTCCGATTTCCTACACCTCTGACTGTTCCGACCCACCTCTGGAGCAGAGCGAAACTTCAAGTCCTAGTTTGTTTTGATTTTATAAATAAAGTCCCGATTTATCCATGGACATGTTTTCAAGCTGAAGTTTTGTTCCCCAAATATTTTGTTAGCACTTTAAGTCAATTTATTTTAATGAATATTTCTGGTCTCAAATTGTCACAACAGCTATAAATTTATTTTTTTTTGAATTTTTTGAAAATTTTATTTGTGTTTTATTCAATTAATATTTTTTTTAAATATTTAAATTTCTATTTAGAAACCTTTTTTTAATTTACTTCAAATAAAATGGCTGGAATCGCTGCCGGTCGTTTGCTATACGAGAGAAGGGATTGGCTCAGAAATCCTCTTCCTGATTTTATTGCGAAGCCAAGTGTGAACGCAGATGGAATTGGAGTGAATGTGTAAGATTATTAGAGGTTTATTACTAATTTAATGTTTTTAGATTCAATTGGGAATGTGCCATTCCTGGACCAGAAGGAACGATTTGGGAAGGAGGGTTGTTCAAACTTCGAATGATTTTCAAAGATGATTTTCCTTTAATTCCTCCAAAATGTCGTTTTGAGCCGACAATCTTCCATCCAAATGTCTTTCCGAATCATATAGCTTGTCTGAACCTGTTGTACAATGACTGGTTTATTTTTAAATTTAATTTTTTATTAAAATCTCTCAAAATTTAAGGCGTCCAACAGTCACTATCAAACAAGTGTTGTTGGCAATTCAAGATTTGTTGGTTAATCCAAACCTGGAGGAACCTGTTCAAGCTGAAGCCTATTTAATTTGTACCCAAAACCGTCAGGAATATGAACGTCGTGTGCGCGAACAAGCTCAACGTTTTTCATGGGAAGTGGTTGAAATGGAAATGTTTGGTTAAATTATAAAGTATTTTTTGTGTAATCATGGATTTTTTGAGAGAACGAAACTTCCCCGGACCCATTTTTGCTTTTATTTTATAAATAAGATCAACCCACTTCTCCGTTTACTCTTGGGTGGGAAGGGATGTGGACATGGTTTTTTGACATTGGGTGGTCTAACAACAAATGCCTTATTTGACGCAGCTCCCTGGGAAGATTCTCCGTTCAAGAATCATTCAGGATTTCATACCGTTCCGAACACCAAATGTTTTTGGCATTGGGAGGGCTAACAACAAATTATAGCTCATTCGACGTGGCTTGCCGTGGAGAGAATTACTTTAGTGTTCAAGATTCATTCATGGTTATCGTCCTGAAGTTTCGTTCCCGATTTTTTGTTTGAATGAATTTTTTGATCTCAATTTGTCAAATTCAGTCACAAAAAAAATAAATATGTATATTTAATAATTTTTAAATTCAAATTTTTGATTTGTTTTATTCAGTTCATATTTTATTTTCTAATTTAAAATTTACATTTTTATTTAGACTTTTTCTAACTTTTTTATTTGAATAAAAAAATGGCTGGAATCGCTGCAGGCCGTTTAGCTGAAGAAAGGAAGGCTTGGCGCAAGGACCATCCTTTTGGATTTATTGCAAGACCATCAAAAAAGGAGGACGGGACGTTGGATCTGTTAGTTTTTTTATTTTAAATATGAGAGGAACAAGGTTTTATTTAAAACGCTTATTGTTAATAGGGGGTGGGGTTTAAGATCTATTTTAAAAAAAAGTTAGCAGCAGAAAAAACCGGATACCCGGAAATTTTCGGTTCGGATCTCGGATAGCTGGGGATTTCCCAGTATTCACTCTTACAATTAGGTCGCAAGATCGATACCTGTTTCAAGGGGGATAAACTTTTACCTCTCTTTTACTAATTAATTTGTTTAGGTACACTTGGGAATGTGCCATCCCTGGACCAAAAGGAACGATTTGGGAAGGAGGATTGTACAAGCTTCGTATGCTCTTCAAGGATGATTTTCCTTCAATTCCGCCAAAATGTCAATTTGCACCTCCACTGTTTCATCCAAACGTTTATCCGTCTGGGACGGTTTGTCTGAGTTTGTTGGATGAAAACAAAGACTGGTTTATTTTTAAATTTAATTTTTTATTAAATTTCCCCCTTAAAATTCAAGGAGGCCATCAATTTCTGTCAAACAATTGTTGGTTGGAATTCAAGAATTATTGGTCAATCCAAACCCAGAGGATCCCGCGCAAGCTGATGCCTATCACATTTTTGTTCAAAATCGTCAGGAATATGAGCGCCGTGTTCGCAGACAGGCTCAACAATTTGCGGAAGAATTGGTTCAAAAAGAGATGTTAATGGGCGATTAATTGAATTTTTTTGGTATTTTTTTGGAATTTTTTTGGAATTTTTTGTTGTTGAAGAATCTCTTTCGGTATTTATTTCTTCTTTCATTAAACAAGTATCTCAACACATCAGGGGATGTTACGGGGGTTGTTTGGGTTGGGCTTTCAAAATTTTCTTAGGATCTGAGTTCGGGTCGAAAAGTCGGGTCAGTTTAGGGATTAATAGGGGAAAAATCGGATAGGGTTTCGTTTAACACGTGACATCCCCCACGTCATTTTTTGCCTTTATTTTTGGTTGTTAAATTTGTTTGGAGCTCTTGTCCAGTTTATGAATCCCTTAAAATTTATTTCTTCTATAAGGTTGTTTGTTAGATTTTCTTTTGATTTATGGCTACATAAACTGGACAAGAGTCAATTGTTGAATAAAAAAAATTTTTTTGTTTGAATCCAAAAAAGTTTTTTACAAAAAATATATTTTTTATTTTTTTCAAGTTTTTTTCTTTTAATTTTTCATCCAAACTCAATCTTCTGCTATGAAAATTAATCCTCATATAATCCTACGAAAATCCTCATATTAATCCTACGATTGAGTTAAAAATGATTCGGAAAGGTCAGAAATTACTAGAGATGTTCCCCTAGACTCTTGCCTTGGGTTCTTGACTCAAGACTTTGTTTTTTTCAAGATTGGTCCTTGGGTCGTCTTTGCGCTTGATCTCGACTCTTTTTGAGATTTTTAGAAAAGGCACCAGAGTTGGGGTCAAAGTTTAGATAAATCGGCCTTATTACAGAAAGGTAGGAATTTTCCTTGTCTTTTGCCCTCCTTTAAAGGAAGGGGCGACAAGACTTGGGTGTCCAGACTCGAGTGTCTTACAGTGTCTCTTATACCTACAGTAATCCATTTTTGTTTTTGAACCTACGCAAATTTGCTTTACTTTGGCGAAGTGTTTGTTAATTTTTTTTCTCTAATTCCCTCACTCCTATAGTCTATAAATCTTGGTGATTATCGATTTTTGACTTGGCGAGGTACACTTCTGCTTCCTCTTTGTTCATTTTCTTCTCTTTTTTCTTTTTAAATTTGTTGGCTTTCGTGCTTCTTTTTTTTTGTAATTTTTAGTGGCGCTTTTTGAAATTTAAAAAGAATAATTTAAAAAATGGCTGGAATCGCTGCAGGTCGTTTAGCCGAAGAAAGGAAGGCGTGGCGCAAGGACCACCCCTTTGGATTTATTGCTAGACCATCAAAAAACGAAGACGGGACGATGAATTTGTAGGTTATTTGGTTAACTAACTAATGTGTTTTTTAGGTACAATTGGGAATGTGCCATTCCTGGACCTAAAACAACAATTTGGGAAGGAGGATTGTTCAAACTCCGAATGATCTTCAAGGATGATTTTCCTTCGACTCCTCCAAAATGCCGTTTTGAGCCGCCACTGTTCCATCCAAACGTCTACCCGTCTGGGACGGTCTGTCTGAGTTTGCTGGATGAAAACAAAGACTGGTTTTGACTTGCTCACTCAGTGTGAGTTACTAATCCTCACTAAACTTTCAGGAGGCCATCAATTTCTATCAAACAATTGTTGGTTGGAATTCAAGAATTGTTGGTCTCGCCAAACCCAGAGGATCCAGCGCAAGCTGAAGCTTATCAAATTTTTGTTCAAAATCGTCAGGAATATGAGCGCCGTGTTCGCAGACAGGCGCAACAATTTGCGGAAGAATTGGTTCAGAAACAAATGTTGATGGAATCTTGAATGATTTTTTGAGAGAAGAGAGGACCTACAGAAGTATATTGAAGATTAAATGGGGAAGAATATTTTCTGGTTTTTTAAATTTAATTTTTTTGGTATCTGGTGGGGGGATAAGATCTCTCTTTGATGTATAGCCTTTTATTGATTGATAGAAGAGGGATTGGTTGGGGGTTACTCGAAGTCTGGGGATATTTTCTGCCTGAAACACGGGACGAATTATAGCATGAAGCTCAAAATAGGAACCGGCTTTTCCCAACCTGACCCATCTCTGATAGATGGTGGCAGGGTTGGGGCCAGTCGACTCAAAATTCCAAAACCCTCTGAACATTTCAAAACCCCGAGACCGGGCCCGAATTCATTTTCAACCCATTACCCATCCCGTGATTGGTAGTACTTGATTTATCAACTTTTGGCTTATTTGAACTCAAAAATGACTCAAAAATCAAAGCAAGTACTACCTTCAACGACTCCATTCCCCTCTTAAAAATATTTAAAAATGTTGTCTAAATCTCTCGGTTGTTTTGTTTCATTTAACAAATACACAAATGTATGGTTATTTATCGTCCTTATTATATGTAATACAAACCACTCTTGACCTTATAAATATTTTTTTGATTTTTTCTGTTGATTGGTATTGAACCAAGGATTTTTTTGATTTTCATTGAAATGAAGCGTAATTAATTAGATTTTTTAGATTTTAATTTTATTTAATTCTAAAATTATGTCAAAAGCAACGTATGGACCAAAGCCTGAGTCTTTTGTGTTGGACGATGGACAGCGTTATTATGTTGGTATGTTTTAACATTTGTTGTGTTTTTAGGGGTGTTGTAGTAGGATTTAATAAATTTCCAACTGTGTTGGGTGTGGTTTAGTGGTAACGTCCTCGCCTTGCCTCTTTAGGGTTCAGGGTTCGATCCCGGTTGACGGCAATCTTTTTTCGTCGCTCTCTAATTAACTTTTTAGGCAGAATATCATTAAATGAATGTCTTTACTCCCATTTTTATTTTTATTTAGGTGCTGATGTTGGAATGTACCTTAAATACCATCGCGGGACCCTTTACAAACGCTATCCTCAACTTTGGAAAAGAATGGCTTCTGTGGATGAAAAGAAGAAAATTCAAGAATTGGGATGCGCAACTTCCTATATTAATTCTAATATTATGCTGGTTAAAGCTAGTGAAGTAGAAGAAATATTTGAAGGCCAAGAAGAGAAATATCGCTCTGGAGGGGTTGGCTCTGGCAATTATAGCCGTTCAGATGCCGCAAATATTAAAAATCGTGGAGGTCCAGCCCCTTGGCTTACACAACAGGTTTCTTTGTTATTTTTCGGTTTTTATCATCTTTACAAACTTGTTAGGTCACCAGTGGCTCTCATCATCTCGAATCTGTCCCTTGCTCTACTCCATCGGCCCATAGACGTGGACATTTTCGAAATCGCGATTATGCATATGCTGCCGATGATTTGGAGAATTACAAACGTGTTTTGCAAAATGCAGAGACTGCTGAATCCTTGGTTCCGATTAGGCTTGATATGGAGTTGGACAATAGTTAGTTTTGAAGATCAAAAATCGTCTCTTCCATTGTCCATTTAATTTCAGATTTATGGCCCTTCCGCTTTCATCTTTCGTTTTCTTCTGACTTTTGCTTTTAAAAATTACTTAGGCCTTATCCCTTATATTGTTTTCTTAACTCTTTTTTGGGGTCAGTGTTCCTCTTGGGAAATTCTAATATTATGCTGGTTTCTCTCGGAACTCCAACCTCTGTTTGTGTTCTTCCTACTTGTTATTTTCTGGCTTGTATTTTTTGCCTTTATGGTGTTAACCCTACTGAATGTCCTTCTCTATTGAAAAAATTTCCTTTTTATAGTTAAACTTCGTGACTATTTTTGCTACAACAAAAACGACAAATTAATGACCCCTGAAATGATTGCTGAAGTTCTTTGTGAAGGTTTTTTTGATTTAATGAAAATTTTAGAAAGTTTTTCTAGATCTGGATTTGCCCTTAAACACATTTTTGCCTGCAATTGCCCAATCAATACATCAACAAATTGAAGCACATTCTGAAGCTGTACCTGTAGATGAACAAACTACTGATCAACGAGCTCTTTTAAAATTAAATATACATGTTGGGAATCAATCTCTAGTAGATCAATTTGAATGGGATATGAGCGATCCAAAAAATAGTCCTGAAGAATTTGGGCAAAAATTGTCTGCAGAATTGGGTTTGGGTGGAGAATTTGTTGCTGCTATTGCTTATTCTATTAGAGGTTACTTTAAATTTTTTTGTAGTTTTTGGTCACTGGGATTGTGTCGTGATACCAAGCGCAATAATACAGAAAAATCGAAAACGAAACAAGAGTTAGGGCCACGGGTCGGTTATTTAACTTGAGTGTGGAAAATCGCATTCCTGTGATCCCGTAACGGGGGTTTTTAATGGAACTAGACATGATAAGGCGGGATCAATCCCATAAACGGCCTACCTAAAGGATTCGGGATTTCATGACATCCTGTTCGGAAAACTGTCTCGTCCGTACTTTAGTTTCAACTTATTGGAGTATTTTGTATTATAACGCATTATCTTCTCTTTGGGGCTGTTGTTCTTTTTTTATTTTCTGAAATTTTTTTAAATTTTAAGGTCAATTATCCTGGAATCAACGTACTTATGCATTCAGTGAATCTCCATTACCAACAGTAGAATGCCCATTTCGCAACCCTAGCGATGCTGAACAATGGGGGCCATTTTTGGAGACATTAACTAGCGCAGAAATTGAAAAGAAAATGCGTGATCAGGACAGAAATACTCGAAGAATGCGTCGTTTAGTTAATGCAATTCCTTATATTCCTTGAAGGATATGAAAAATTTTTTTGAATTTTTTTTTAAAATTTGGATAAAAGGTTTAATTAATTTATTTTTGATTTTAAAAATGGATTTTTATATCCAATTAATTTATTTTTTATGTGAAGGTTGAGAAAAGGGTTATTTTTTTATTTTTTAATATTTTTTAGATTTTATTTATTTTGTTAAAGCATTTAAATTGGTTTTAAAAAGGAAAGGAAGGATGAAGATTACTGATGAAAATGTGGTTAGTTTATATTTTAATTTTTGTTTTTTGGGGAATTTTTTTCGATATTAGGAAGGTGTTAGGCTTTTTGTGGGTGAAGGGAGGTCTGCTTTTTTAAAGTTGGATTGTTAACAAGACAAATTTTTTCGATATCTAAGGGAAGGTGTTAGGCTTTTTGTGAGTCAGAACTCCCCCGCGGTGAAGTTGGGAAGTTCTGTTTCCTTTAAGAGTTGGGTTGTTAGCCCGGGGATCCTTGGATTTTTTGTCATGTTATAGAGAGTTTGGAGGGACTTTTGCTGTTTTTCTTTTCCTAAGTTATTTTTGAAGTAGTCCTTTGTTTGTAACAAATAGGGGCCAGGTTGATAAATATACTCAGGGTTTTCAAGCTGGGAAAGTTTTGAGTAACCCTTTCTGGTTTGTAGCAGTATTTTTGGTTAGTAGGGTAAACTCAAATCTAATTCCTTTAAAAATTTCTAAATAATTTCCTAAAAAGTTTTCTAAAAATAATTTTTTTTAATTTTAAACAGAAGTCGATGGTCTGTGCCAAAAATTTTACTGAAAATCAGGATGTTATAAATCATATCAATTTTACGCCTGATGGGTATTTTTTTTTATTTTTTAATTAAAAAAATTTTTTTCTTTAAAAGAACACTTCTCGTAACTTCCTCAAATGACGATTCAATTACTGTTTATGATTGTGCTAATGGAACAAAGCAGCGTTCAGTTAATTCTAAAAAATATGGAGTTGATTTGATTCATTTTGCACATACTCATAATGATGCTATTCATGCATCTACTAAAGTTGATAGTTTGTTTTTGAATTTTTTATTTTTATTTTGGAAATTTGTGGAATTGGTTCCTTTGAGTTAACAGAAATTTTTAAAATTTTTCGGTAATTGTTCCTTTAGGATTATTAGGATAAAAATTTTTTGGCAATGGGTTTCTTTGTGTTAGATGGAAATTTTTTCTATATTTAAGAAATGGGTTTTTTTGAGTTAACAATTTTTTAATTTTTTGGTAAGGGATCATTTAGGATTATTTGGAAAAAAATTTTGGCAATGGGTTTCCTTGTGTTAGCTGAAAATTTTTTTCTTGACAATGCGTTCCTCTATGTTGCCAGAAAATTTTTTTTGAAGATGGGCTCTTTTGATTCTAGAAATTTTTTATTTTTTGACAGTGGGTCCCTTTTGATTACATGAAAATTTTTTGGAGAGGTAAGATACCTAATAAGGTAATTCCCTATAAAAAATAGGGAATGGCTTCCTTTGTGTATTAAAAAATTTTTTAAATTATTTTTCAATGGATACCTTGAGATTATCTGGAATTTTTAGTTATTCAATACAATTAAAATTTTATTTTCATTTTTAAGATACCATTCGCTATCTTTCACTTTATGACAACAAATATTTGCGTTACTTTCAGGGACATACTAAAAAGTTTTTTTTAATTAATTTTACACGTTAAAAAATTTTTTTCAGAGTTGTGACTCTTTGTATGTCCCCTGTGGATGATATGTTTCTTTCTGGTTCTTTGGATAAAACTATTCGTCTTTGGGATTTGAAAAGTTCGAATTGTCAGGTTTTTTCTGCCTTTTTAATTTTTATAAAATCATTTTTATGTTAAGGGTTTAATGCAACTTTCATCTCGACCAATTGCTGCTTTTGGTATTTTTTTAATATTTTAGATTTTTTTAAAAAAGCTGTCTTGGATTTGTACCGATTTCTAGACCTTTTTTTCTTTTTTTTGGCCCACCTTTCTAGCCCCCTCCCGAAAAAAAATTTCTAGGCCTCCTCCTCCTCTTATTTACCCATCCGGGTAATTATTACCCATTTCATCCCTAACCTTCGAAAGCCTTTAGAACTTGTGGCCATCTGTGATGGGACTTGTTGGCCCCAAAATCGACCAAAATCCGAACTGAATTTCGGCACAACTTTTTTCTCAATTCGGCCCATTTCCTAACGTTTATCCAGAGCCATTAGGAGTTGAAAAAGTTGAGCACGGTTATGATTATTCTCTCCCGGAATCATACCTATGACTTGCAAGGGCGTAGCCAGGAGGTCGATTTCAAGGAGGGCTAAAATGGGGTGTGTCTCTGGCTCCTGGGCTATCTTCCTTCCCCGGGATCATACCCAATACATACATATGACTTGTAAACCTTATTTTTTTCTTTTTCAGATCCAGAAGGTCTTATTTTTGGTGCTGGAATTGGTAACGAAGTTATTAAACTTTATGACCTGCGTTCTTTTGACAAGGTTTTCCTTCTAAAATTTTATGGAAAATTTCAAAAAAAATTTTTTTAGGGTCCTTTCAACACCTTCAATATTGGATGTAAAGATACTGGTTATGAATGGACTGGAATGAAATTTTCTCCTGATGGAAAGTCAATTCTTATAATGACAAATGGTCCAATTATGCGAATGGTTGATGCTTACAATGGTTTTTTCTTGAGGAATTTTTTGGAAAATTTTTCTGAAATTTTTTATAGGAAATCTAACTCATACTCTTAGTAGGGAGAATGAACAGGTTTTTTTTTCGAATTTTATTTTTAAATTTATTTTTTTAATTTTTAAAGAAGGCCAATTTTGTTGCTACATTTTCGCCGGATGCTAAATATGTGTTTTGTGGAACTTCTAAAGGAGAAATTAATTGTTGGTCTGCTGTGGGTTTTTTTAAAATTATTATAAATAATTGGGAGACTCAGGAAGATTTTTAGGGAGAGACTTGGAAAGTTTTTTAGGAAGTTAAGGAAAATTTTCAAATACAATAAATTGGGGCTGACTTTTAAAAGAAAATCCAGGAAGAAATCAATGACTAGGAAAATCTAACAAGGAACCATCGTTTACTGTGACTGCGAATTTGATATATTTTTTGGTACCATTCGATAGAGGACCCTCGACTTAGTATTGTGGCATAAAAAATACCTAGGCTCTTTCCTGGGAATGTAATTATAAAACCCCCATATCAAGAGAAATTAGACAAAATCGGGAAAGAAGCCTAGGCCTGGCATTAAAGTTTAAGAATAACCCCTACATGATGGTCTAGTCCGAGCTCAAAGTCTTTAGGAATTTTACTGATTTTGGGTGGTCTTGTCCTTGGATTCTTAGAAATCTTGGGGATGTTAATTCCTTAGGAAATTTTTATTTGAATTTTTTTGAGATTTTTATTTAAGGAATCTGGTCGTCTTGTTCATACTCTCCAAACAGACCATCCTAATACAATTGAACAAGTGACATTTAATCCCAAATATTTTATGTTGGCATCGGCTTGCAAACAATTGGTAAAAAATTGAAGAAATTTCTTCTGAAAATAAAATTTAATTTTTAGAAATTCTGGATTCCATCGGCGGATGAGTAAAATTAATTTTGGAAAATATTTTAAAAAGAATTTAAAGAAAATTTTAATATTATTTGTTAATTTTGGATCTCAATTCGATGCATTGTTTGAAATTATTGATTATAATTTAGTTCAAAGACTTGAATTTTTTGAGTAAAATTTTAAAATAAAATGCTTAATTATTAACATAGATCTTAACAAATCTGGTATTGACAATTCTAGAAAATTTTAAATTAAAAATTCCCAATTTTCCCCCTCATCTTTCCCCATCTTACCTATTCTTCCCTTTTCTTTCTAAATTTTTTATTCGACCCAATAATCCGACTCAATATTTTCTGGGCTTATAACCTAATAATTCTCCCGCCCTTCATTATCTCAAAATCCTCCTTTCCCCTCATTTCTTTCCATTCCTTATCTATTCCTCTTTTTAAATTTTATAACAAAAAAATTTTATTTAAACTAAATAATAACAATAAAAAACCTTAAAACAACTTTACTCCCTCTCATCCGTCAAAATTCTTCGTTTTCGATTTATATGGCTACGAAGAGCCCATTCAGTTTCGCTAGAATCAGCATTGTCTATTGTGCCAAGAATTAAGCAATAAGCTTTAAAAATTAAATTAATTTTCGATTCAATAAAAATCAAAACAAACGTCTCATTTCAAATCTCGGCCCCAATTCAGTCAATTCAATATCCCCATGTTCATCTTTTTTGAATGTGTGTTGACGAAAGGAAATAAAATCGTCTTCATTAGCAAAAGTAACAACTCGATTAGAATCCTTTTTGGGCACAGGAAATAAATATTTTAATATATTTGTTAACTGAAAATTGAAGATTTTATAGAAAATTTAATTTAAAAATAAAAAAAGAAAAAAATATAGAGGAAGACAAAACAAGTTAATAAATATTAGGAACAAGAAGACCTTTAAAAACCCATAACAATTTCAAATTCTAAATTGATATCAAGTTCATGCTGAGAATTAAGAACAGGTTAAGGACCGAGGAAATACGAGGAGAAAATAAAAATTGTAAAGTCTTTTGCCCAAATTGAACCTCGGAATTTTTGATTATGAGCTGAAAAGCATTAAAATGAGTAAAAAAATTTTTGAAAACTTGAAAAGTCGAAAAAAAAATATTTAAAAAAGTGAGGGGAAACCCCAAAAATATTTTTAAATTCCTCTCTATTCAATTAAATTTAAAAAATACCCTATTCCCGAGCGGAGAAGTAATATTGTGAAAAATAAGATGTGGATATTGCTCTGACATATGTGGCATGTTTGGAATATCATGTCGCATCACAACGTTTGACAAACTTTAAAAATAAAAATTTATTTTAAATTTTATTTTTTAACAAAATTTGTGTTTTTAGTTTGAAAATGTGAGTAATTTGTAAAAAATTTTAAATAATGTTTAGAATAAATAAAAATTAATTTTTTGTAAGAATAAAAATGATTTTCAATAATGGGATTCGAACCCACGACCAGAAAAAATGGAAGCCCAGAGTCTTAACCAATAGACCAAAGAGAACCTTAATATTCGTTAATAAAAACTACCTATAAATAAAGAAAAATAGGAAAGGGGAAGAACTTTAGCACTAATTGTAAACTGATTTTTTTGAAAAAATCACCGCAACAGATAAAACAAAATCTAACCTAAAATAAGCTGTTGGCCCATGCGGGAAATGCGAGACAATCATTGAATCGGGCACTCCTCGCGTTTCACTCAACAAAATTAAATCGGTTACTCCATGAGCTGTACAAGCCTCCACAATACTTTTCATATCATGTCCTCCTCTATTAATACGGCGAGAATTTGGGAGAAGCAATTTAATTTCCTGAAAAGGTTTTGGATTAGAAAAATTTTTTTTTGGGAATTTCGACCTTTTAGGAGGCATTTGGCTCTATCTGAAAGGAGGCTCTATCCTAAATCGATCAAAAGGTATGGACAGGACTAAAGATAACTGGTAGAAAGGGACGGGTAACGATGAATGACTTGAAGAACTTGGACATCGACCTGACAGAAATTTGAAAGGCTTGATTGGCTTAGAACAGACACCAACCTAATTCCATTTGCTATAGTTAGTTGGCAGTTAAAAATTTTTTATGGTAAAGTGTAGAAAAAGAACCCTTTAAGGGTTCATAATTCCCTTTTTAATATTTAAAAAAACCTTTGCAAACATTTTCAGTCGACTAGAAGGATCCCGACTTGTAGTCACAACGAGATTAGGATCTTCACAACCAGCCCATCTATATTCATCATCCACTAAATCCACTTGCCCGCCCCAAGCCAAATCCCCAACCATTTCTGCCGCGTCCTTTCTCAAATCTGTTGGAATCATTGTGCTGGTATCCAAAGCGTGTTTAAGCACATCTCTGCGTTGTTGAGTAGCCCGTTGTTTTGCTTCCAAATTTTTTCGATAAAGATATTCTCGACGTTCTCTGACTTGTTTTCGAATCATTATTGAAATAAATTTGAAGAGAATAGGATTGATTATCTAAAAATTGAAAAAAGATTTAAGAAGACAAAAAAAAATAGAAATTTAATCAAAAACGAGCGTTTAGGTGCCGCTTCGCGGCACCTAAACGCTCGTACATTAGTTTTTAATTAAAAAAACCAGAATTTAAATTTTTCGGTTTTTTAAGAAGTCAGTTTTTAAAAGGAAATGAAACGAAATCACACAAAATAAAGAAACATGCGCATATCTAAACATAGGATTTGAGGAAAGGGAGATATCTTGAAAACTTATACATAAATCTGAATGCATATGCCTCTAAATTATTTCGCACTTGTTCAAACCAAATTTAATATTTGTGGGATATCAGGGATTTTGATTGTGTTAGGGAAATTTGGAGGGATTAAATAGTATCAGAGTAGCGTTTGACAAAAACTCCATTTATTTCTTTTTTTTCGTTGCAAGGCGTTTTGGCACTAATTATAGCATATTTTTTACAAATTTTGCCGCTGGTGCTAAATGTTATATTTGATCAATTATTTGTATTTGATCAAGAATGTATTTGATCAATTTATATTTGATCAAGAATCTTTTCACAGTACTAACTGCGGGTTTTTAAGCATTTATCGAATATAACTTTAAGTTTGTATTTTGGTTTGTTTGGATTTTGCGGAGTTTATTTTTTTTATTATTTGGAGATTAAAAGTGATATCTGGGGGTTATATGGGAATTAAGATGGATATATGGGGATTTGTAGGGATAACAGTAGTTTAATGGTGCTATCTGGTGGTATGGATTCGGAGAAAAATCGGGGGTTTAAATGGGGTCTCGGCGGATTTGAATGGATTCCGATGAATTCGCACGGATTTCGGTAGTTTTGAATGAACATAATTTTTGGACGATATCTGTAGATTAAAGATTAAAGAATAAGAATTCACATTGTTTTCGCTTGCGGTCCTCAAAATGAACAAATCTGGCTTTTTACTTCCAAAATTCTCAATTTCCACCTGCGACGCAATAAAGTACAAAATCTGCTGCTTGATCTACTAAAATTTTAAAGTGTAACTGCTTAAAGTGCGGCTGTTTGAAGTAATATATTAAGTTGATTAAAAAAGGAACCTTACAAATCTCTTGTTATCTACCATTATTTGCTTCAAATCCATAATCTCCATATTTAACCCTCAAAATTACTTTCATCCTTTTAAACATCCTTGCATCCTTTTTACCCTTAATACTTCTAAAGCCACTCTTATCTTCAGGGAAACATTTGTTCCCTTCAAATCCACTTGATCTCTGCAAAATCACTTATATTCCCAGATATACCCATTAGTCACTCCAAATCCCTATTAATTCCTGAGAATTAACCAAATATCTCGTGAGCGTTATATTTTTAGATATACACAAAATTTTACTCTCTGATTTATGTATTGCCTCGCAGATTTTCCAAATTCAAAATAACTTAATGATCCAACATACCGTATTTACTCAAATAATTACCCTGGGTAATTATTGTTTCGATCTCTCGCTGGAGGGGGTAATTAATAGGGAGGGGGAAATTATTTGAGAGAAGGTAATTATTATTCCGACCTTTATATTTTTATTTTATCATAGGCTTATGAACAGGAATATACAATACGTTACCAAATACGGAGATAAAAAGTTGCGTTTTAACTTTATTATTCCTCAATATTTCCCACAAAACGGTATTATAACATTAATACTTCCGTCCTGGGATATATAAAAGCATCATGGACATGTATTTAAATACGTATATTTCCTGTTAGAGGTTATAATATCAATTTTTTAATATATGCTATATAATGTACTCAAAATAGTACTATGCCAACAATAATTCCGTCTATGGATTTATAAAGGCATAAAGTCATGCGAAGATTTAAGGTATTTAGAAGGATTTAGTGAAATATAAGGAATAAGGCTTATATACTTAAAAATCTTAATCTCCCATTATCTCACAAAATCTCTTAATCCCCTCAATTTCCCTCTTAATCCACAAAATCCTCGATTTTCCCCTAAATCTTTTAATGTCTCGATTTATTCCATGATATTGATCGGTAAAATGTTTCATTATTAAATTCGATGATTTTCAATAAACATTTTTAAAATCAGTAAGAAAAATAGGGGGTAATTATTTGAGAGAGGGTAATTATTTGTGTAAATACGGTAGTTTTATTACAGCCTTATCTCAGCAGTTAGATCTATAATTTTCGCATAAATTAAAAATCTCTAAGCCTCCAAATCAACAATATTCCTCGAAATCCCTTGCAAATCCCGAAAGCCCTCTTGATACCACAAAACCCTCAATATCCCGCTTACTCCCCAAGTCGCCAGATAAGCCCCTTTTTCCTCCCCTAAAATCTTCTAATATTCCTCATTACCCCATAAACCTCTGTGTTTGGGTGTACTCAACTGTGTTAACCAAATATTGTTCCATTAAAGTTTGATAGTTGCTAAAGTCTGATACAAAATGGCTGCGAACAATTTTTAACAAAATAAATGTGTGCGATTATATGGCACGCGGCTGGTAATCCCTGCGATTAAATGGCGGATGGCTGGTTGTTTTTTGTTTACGGTTAAATTTTTAACGAAAATTAGAGAAAAACAACTTTCTTTGCGAAAAAGTGCTAAGTAAGAGAACACTTACGCGTATATGTTAGAGAGGTTTATTCTCTTTATTATTCTCTTTTATTTTCAGTCTTTTGTTTGTTTTTCTCTGAATTAACATTAAAAAATTTTCGCTTCAAAAAATATTCACTTTTCTAAGATGAAAAACATGTAAACAATTATATCGTTTTAGTATAGTTAATAGTTAATAATTTATGAGAAAAGAAAGACTTTGTAAAATAAAGAGAGACAATTTAGAGAAAAAGATAAAAAGTAAAATAGACAAAGTGTCATTTTTGAAAAACATTTCGCCAAAGAATTAATTTATAACTATTTTAAATTTATTTAAATGCTGGGCCACATTTTCGGCCATAACTTTTTTAATTTTTAACCAATTTAAATAATTTTTATATCAATCGAAAGCCCTAAATGTGAGGATTTTTTATATTTGACATAATTCTGGCGTGAAAGAAAACACTTCAATCAATAAAATTCTAAACAAAAATTGCAAGAAATTTAAAGAAAAATTCCAGAATTAAAATTTAAAAATAAATTGTTAGGTTTTAAAGGTCAATGAAAAAAAATAAAACAACATAATTTTACTTTAAATACAATACAAATATTTTTTCAAAAAAAGTTTTGGTGTTTAAAAAAGGTAGCACCCCATCCCCCGAAACCGACCTCCGACGTATTTTTAGGCAAAAACCCAGACCCGTACCCCGACGGCTCTACACAAACAAATCCCGATCCTCGATGACCCCGCCCCCATGCGGGCAAAATGCCGACCCGACCTCTGAAGCCCCGACGAATTTTTAGGCAAAAACCCCGACCCGAACCCCGACGGCTCTACCCAAGGAAACCCCTATCCTCGACGATTCCGCCCCCGAAGTCTCGGGGTGCTACCCAAGTTTAAAGAAAATTTAAATAATATTTATATTAATCATAAAAATTAAACATTTCCTTATCAAAATCTAAACACTTGTCCATGTTTATGATAAAAACATAAGTAAATTCAAAATCCTCATTATTTTCAAATAAAAATTTCACTTTTGGATCATAAATATTGGAAATTTCATATTTTGTAGTTTTTAAACCATACATCAGTGTATTATTTTCAACATTTTCTGCTCTCTCGGGCAATTTAAAATTTTCGAGTGAATCATAAAGTAAGGCAATAACAGGCACCATTTTTGAACAATCTTGAGATGTTGTTACATACTAAAAAATATTTTCAACACAAATTTTTAATAAAATGATACTTTCGCAGTATCTCCCCTACAAAATCCGCAAATGTTTGTCCGCAAACTTTCTTTCTCCTCTCATAAAAATTAAAAGATGGTTATGGATTAATATGCATATTATTAAATAAGGCACTCAATGTGTGAAAACGGTTATTCTAAACAGACCTGGCCCTTGAAGCAGATTTTGCTATCTATGTCAGGGTATATCCGTTATATTCCAAGAAGCCAGAATTTTTCTTTTTTCAACGCCATCTAAAAAGGATTCTGGTCTGACGAGTTTTGTCTAAACCTAGTTTTGCCTTGGTTTCGAAGAACGTCCGGCAATTTTTGTTAGAGAAGGAAAATTGCGGACAAACATTTGCGGACGTTGTGGGGAGATAAAACGAAAGTACCTAAATAAGTCTTACTTCAATAACAAGATTATAAAGCCTTAAAGAATCATCACAAATCGGCAAAGAAACTCGAGGTAATTTATTTCCTTCATTTATTATAAGATTGAATAAAATATCAGTATGTTGCTCTAAAAGATCGCCCTTGTTGAAACTGAGGGAGAATTTGTGGCATATTGCAAGACGATTTAACCCAAATTTCAAAAAATTTTCAATTGTAACATTGCTGGTGTCCATAGAGGCCGTTTGAATATGAAATTGTTTAAGAATTGTTTTGTCATCATCAAATAATAAAGAGATCATTTCTGGATTAAACATAATATTTTCAAATTTGGCATATTCAAAAGCGCAGTTGAAAAGTTGTTCTAACCAAAATCGAACAATAACCATTTCTTCTATAGTTTTTGGAAAGTTTGGCAATTTTAGAATATAACGGGAGCTACTGTCACCTAAATAAAAAAGGTTTATAAGGCTTTAAATTTGTGATAAAGGGTTGAATCCCAGGGAGATATAATGGAAAGACTGGGAAAAAAAAGACTACGAACAAACTATTGAGTCCCATGAAGGGTATAATGAAAATTGGGAAAGACCAGCTCCACATGGGAAAGACCAGCTCTCGTCTATAAGAGAATTGACTTAATTATTCCAAGTTTATTTTATAGGTACTTATCCGCTATACGCCCACAAATTGAGGTGAGCCGCCTTTGATCGGCTATAACTTTTAGATATTTTATCAAATACGAACAAACTATTGAGTCCCATGGAGGGTATAATAAAAATTGAAAAGTCCACAGGAAGGGCGCAGCCTTTTTTAAAAGTGCCACGAAGGCCGTAATCAGGGGGTACCACGAAGGCCGTAGCCACATTTTAGCCCCCTAAAATCGACCCTTGGCTAGCCATTGAGTGCCACTAGTCTCATAAAATGACTTAATGAATTATTCCAAGTTTATTTTATATCACCTGGTTTCTTCAGCAGAACAGCAAAGTCTTCACTATCATCTTCTAATCCATGCAAAAACAAAGGAATAGATTTATCTAACGCTGTTTTCCACTGAAAAAATAAACGTAATCTAATCAAATTTGAAAATAAAATTTATAACCTTCTCCATAAGATGTTGATTATTCAAAATAAATTGAGAAGAAACTACAGGTTCAAGTTTAATGATTACATCAGAATATTTCTTTTCAAATATGCTATTCGAAATTTCAATCTTCCCTTTCTAAAATGAATTTAAAATCGTAAAGTGGGACACGGCCGGTTAACCATCCGGTTAAGTTTCCCTGTGGCGGGTCAAAGTAGGGTTGTCGGTTCTTGGAAAATCTTCGGATATTTGGAACTGAACCGATATCCAAACCGAAAAATCATCGATTCTTCGGTTCGGTCCAGAACCGACAACCCTAGAGAGGAGTAACCGGTCGTTTAACCAACCGTATCCCCCTCTAATATTTACCAGTGAGAGTTTAAAGAATTCCATTCGCGCCAATCCTCCCTCATATTTATTAATTAAATTGAGAACGCAAGTATTGGTTTGTTTAAAAGAGAATAATTGCTTGAAATTGAGACATTTTAAAACATCAAATTGAACTTCAGGTGGTAAAGAAAGCATTTTAAACAATAATTAACTAAACAAAAAAGAAAAAAATTTAAAAAAAATTTGGCTAAAATTGGACACTGGGAAGAAGAATAAAACGTTTAAATAGGAAAAATTTTTTAAAAAATTTTTCACCACGAAAATCTAAAATTTAATTGTCTTACCACAATTATCTTTTTACTTCTCTTTTTCTTTTCCTTATTCTCTCGGCTCCTATACAACTCATCTAATCGTTAACTCATCTATTCGTTAACTCATCTACACGGCCAAAAAGGGATCAACTCATCCAATCGTTAACTCATCTATTCGTTAACTCATCTACACGGCCAAAAAGGGTCAACTCATCCAATCGTTAACTCATCTAATCCTTAACTCATCTACACGGCCAAAAACGCTCAACTCATCCAATCCTTCGGAACGAGACTATTGAGTACCGGCCGTTTGAGTCCTTGGCCAGTAGAGTACCGCCGGTTGAGTAGAGTACGAGTACCGCCGGTGACTCAACTGGCCATGGACTCAACTGGTCATGGACTCAACTGGTCATGGACTCAACTGGTCATGGACTCAACTGGCCATGGACTCAACTGGCCATGGACTCAACTGGTCATGGACTCAACTGGCCATGGACTCAACTGGTCATGGACTCAACTGGCCATGGACTCAACTGGCCATGGACTCAACTGGCCATGGACTCAACTGGTCATGGACTCAACTGGTCATGGACTCAACTGGTCATGGACTCAACTGGCCATGGACTCAACTGGCCATGGACTCAACTGGTCATGGACTCAACTGGCCATGGACTCAACTGGTCATGGACTCAACTGGCCATGGACTCAACTGGTCATGGACTCAACTGGTCATGGACTCAACTGGCCATGGACTCAACTGGTCATGGACTCAACTGGCCATGGACTCAACTGGCCATGGACTCAACTGGCCATGGACTCAACTGGTCATGGACTCAACTGGTCATGGACTCAACTGGTCATGGACTCAACTGGCCATGGACTCAACTGGTCATGGACTCAACTGGCCATGGACTCAACTGGTCATGGACTCAACTGGCCATGGACTCAACTGGTCATGGACTCAACTGGTCATGGACTCAACTGGCCATGGACTCAACTGGTCATGGACTCAACTGGTCATGGACTCAACTGGCCATGGACTCAACTGGCCATGGACTCAACTGGTCATGGACTCAACTGGTCATGGACTCAACTGGTCATGGACTCAACTGGCCATGGACTCAACTGGCCATGGACTCAACTGGTCATGGACTCAACTGGCCATGGACTCAACTGGTCATGGACTCAACTGGCCATGGACTCAACTGGCCATGGACCCTACTTACAAGAGACACAAACGGCCGGAGACTCAAACGGCCAGAGACTCAGACGGCGAGAGACTCAAACGGCCGGGACTCAACTGACCAGGGACTTAACCGGCTAGAGACTCAACTGGCCATGGACTCAAACGGCCGGTACTCAATAGTCTCGTTCCGAAGGATTGGATGAGTTGACCCTTTTTGGCCGTGTAGATGAGTTAAGGATTAGATGAGTTAACGATTGGATGAGTTGACCCTTTTTGGCCGTGTAGATGAGTTAACGAATAGATGAGTTAACGATTAGATGAGTTGATCCTTTTTTGGCCGTGTAGATGAGTTAAGGAATTTTAGCCGTTTAGATGAGTTGAACGTTTTTGGCCGTGTAGATGAGTTAACGAGTAGATGAGTTAACCGGACACGATTCTCTCGACTTGTACAAAATATCTCCGTTACAAAATATCGAATAGTCAAAATATCGACTACTGAAACGTCCCTTGCGCCCGTTCGTCAAGCCACAACTTGCTTTAAGTTTTCCGAATCTTTCCAAATTTAGTATTAACCGATTCCTCTCATCGAGCAAAAAAGATTGGTACCAAAATTGATAAGGGCCAGAAATTTTTTAGCAAGTTATGACTTGTCGACTTTATGGCCGCGCGACCATTCGGGCCGTACCCCCTTGCTGAAACGTCCCTTACATTGAAAGTTAATTTTTTTAAATTTTCTCATTCTTTTAGATTTACAATCTTAAAATCGATCCAAACTGGTATGCTTTACAATTAGAATTTTAATAATTTTTTTAATTTTCCAGTCGGCCATATTTAACTTGCAAAGTTTAATTACTGTCTTGTTACTTTTAATTTGTGCCTGTACTTATTTGAGAGCTATATTGCCAGCATTGATTGATAGAAATAAGCAAGGGTTTGTTATTTTAATTTTTTCAATTTTTACGGAATCATAGGGAACTAAAACTGATCAGATTTTGGTTTTTGTCTACTTTAGTTAAGTGGGAAAATTTTTGGTTTATAACGTAAGGGGTCCAAGGTTCGAATCCCACTGGGTGAAATTAATTTTTATTGGAGCCGTTTAGCTTTAATTTATCATATCCTGAGTTTTGTACACTTTGGTTAAGTGGGAAAAATTTTTGTTTGTCAGCCCTTAAGTTTTTTAAGAAATTTTTCCAAAAATTTTCGAGCCCTAAAATTTTTCAAAAATCTTTACATTTTCATTAAATTCTCTTTTAAAGAATTCCTGGTCTATTTTGGAAGTGTGCTCGAATTGGTGAACGTTTAAGCCTTTGGGTTTCTTTTGGTTGTTTTTGTATGGCAGCATTCCTTCTTTTCTTTTAAAAATGGGAAATAAACGTAAAAATCAAACAGAAATTGAAGAGGAAACAAAAAAGATGAAAATTTGTGAAAATAAAAAAGAAAATGTAGAAATTTGTAAAAGAGTGCCTCCGCATCCAATTTGGGCTGGAAATGATGTTTGTGTGACAAGGTTTGACAATTTAATGTTTTGAAATTATATGTGTACTTTGGTGTAGTGGGTTAATTTTTTGGTTGTTAACCTTGGGGTCGAAGGTTCGAATCCGCTCGGTGAAATTACTTTTTATAGGAGTCATTTTTTAATTCACCCGACTTTGGGTTTTGTATAGTTTGGTTTAGTGGGTAAATTCTTGCTTGAGGGAGGGTCCATGGTTCGGACCCGCTCGGGGAAAAATATTTTTGAAAGATAATTTTTCAGAAAAACCCATATAATCGCTCAATTCAAAAAATGCAAACACTTATTGGACAGAAAATTTGATTTTGTAAAAATCCATGCATTAGGCAAAGCTATCAACCAAGCATTATGTTTAGCTCTAAAAATCGAGGAAGAAATGCATAATTCAATTAGTGTTAATATTTTGACTGGAACTGTTGAGGTTTTTTATTATTTTAATTGAATATGAGTGGTTAAGAGAGCAAATTGAGTTATTGTATGGTTTGGTGTAGTGGGTAAATTTTTTGGATTTTAGTGGGAGGGGTTGAGGGTTCGAATCCCACTGAGGGAAATTAATTTTTGGGGTCCCAATTTTTAGTTTAGCTTCAAATTTAGGCTTTTTTGGCAATATTTCTCGTTATTTTATTTTTATGGACATCTTATCCGAGGAAAAAAGACTTTTTATCCCTTCTCCCAGTAAAACTCGTTCTTAAGGTTTTTTAAGAAGAGGGATGTTTTTTAAATAAAAATAAATTCTTTTTTCATTTAAAAAGGTAACTGACGATTTAATTTCTTTGTTGGATGGGGATGATATGAATATTAAACAACGTCAAGTTTCTGCTGTTAAAATTTTGTTAACTCGTCTTTGAGTGATTTTTTCCAAAATTTTTCTAATTTATATATTTTTAAAAATAAAATTTCTCTGTTGGATTTTTTAAATTTAGTTTTATTTTTTGTTGAAATTTACATTTAAAATTTTTTTTTTAATTTTTGTTTATTTTTACAATTTTTTTAAATTTTATAGCAAAGCTTTTAATAAGAAGACAACATTTTTAAACAAAGTTTGGTCCTTTTCCTGTGATTGATGTTCTCAATTCGCCAATTGCTCAACTACAACAACGGGTTTATTTTTGTATTTTTTAGTTAAATAGGCCCAGCATGATGAGAAAATCCCCCAGAAAAAATTGACTTTGTATGTTTTGGTTTAGTTGGATAATTTTTGGTTATCAGCGAAATAGGGTAAAGGTTCGAATCCCGCTCTGAGTATTTCTGCCTTACCCTCTAATCTGAGATTTAATTGGCCAAAATGTGTTTTGTATGTTTTGGTGTAGTGGGTTAATTTTTGGTTCTTGTCAAAAAAGGGGTCAGGGTTCGAACCCCGCTGGGTGATTTTAGAACTTTTTCTCATTATTTTTTAATCTGGATACTTAATTAGACAATTTTTTGACTTTAAAAAAATTTTTAGGTCATTTATCCGCCTTTCTCTTCGACATTTTACAAGAACAAAATCCACCTTTTCATCCTCCCCAGCCCCACAAATAGCAATTATTGGCTCTGGACCTTCAGGCCTTTATGTTTGTTCAAGATTACTTCAAAGATTTGAAAATTGTTTTATTGATATTTTTGACAAAGCACAAGCACCTTTTGGATTGATATATTATGGAGTAAGGTTTTTTTTTGTAAATTTTTATAAGGGAGGGGGGAGAGGGTCATTACCTCGATAAATTTTTATTTCGATAAGGCATAAAGAGCCGAAATGCCAAACTGTCTAAATGCAAGCTGGAAATGAGGTCCTGTCCAGGGGAGGGTAGGTAACAGAAAAATTCTCCCCCTTTGCCCCCTACACCTGAAAAAAATCCTGGCTGCGGGCCTACTGGAAATGATGCCTAAATGCCATCCCCAAACACTTTTTGGCATTACGGGATAATTGGATTTTTTGCTCGAAATCTCGGTCCGTCTATAATTGAGGGTCGGTTTCTCGTTTTTTGACTAAATTTTGTTATTTTAAGACCAACCCCTTTCTAAAATTTTTTAAAATTAAAATTTTTAAGGTAGCCCCAGACCACTTTGATATGAAAAAAAGTATGACTGGATTTGAAAAAATGTTTGAAGAAAATAGGGAAAGATTGGAACTTTTTTGTAATGTGGATGCTAATAAAGATATTAATTTTGAGGTTTTTTTGAATATAAAAAGAATTTTTTAAATTTTTTTTTAAAAGGAATTATGTTCCACCTATGATGCTGTTGTTTTAGCCTATGGAGCTAATAAACCGAGAAAATTGGGATTGGAAAATGAATATGGAAATAATTGTTTTTCTGGGGGAGAATTTGTTTCATGGTTTATTTTTAAATTTTATTTCTAAATTTTTTGTTTCTGAGACATTTCGTCAATTAAAGCAAAAATGGACATTTGGTCGTTTATGGCAAAAATAACCATTTTGTCATTAGTCCAGAAATGAACACTTGATCAATTAAGGCAGAAAGGGATTTTTGTAACGAAAAGGACATTTGGTCGTTTAGGGCAAAAATAAGACATTTGGTCATTTAGGGAAAAATAGGACATTTGACCGCTAGGGCCAAAATGGACATTTTGTCTCAAATTTTAAAAATATTTAATTTCTCAATTTTTCTCTTTTCTAAAGGTATAATGGAATGTCCCAACAATACATAAATAATATACCAAAATTGAATACCGGAAGTAATGCAGTAGTCATTGGAAATGGAAATGTAGCAATTGATTGTTCTCGAATTTTGCTTTCTTCTCCAGAAAGATTAAAACAAACAGATATTACAGAAAATGCTTTGAATGCTTTGAAAAAGTCAAAAATTAAAAATGTTTATATTATTGGAAGGAGAGGGCCTAAAGAGGTTTTTTGAAATAAAAAAAATTTTTTTTGGGGGGAGAGGGGGTCCAAGTAGTCCCCCCTTTGTAGGCGTTAATGGTACGCTTGCGTAAAAACGTTTTGCGTTTTGCACAGAATAAACAATGGGAAAAGAGCGAGAGAAATGTCGTTAGAATTTTTCTTTCCTTCTTTTCAATCTGTTTTTTCCGCAAGACACAAAGCGACAAATCCTTAATTCGGGTATTTCGAGCCTTCCGGGGATTTTCCTGGACTTTTGTTAGGCTCATGATCTGATACTGTTAATCACCCCAAGTAAGCTCGCTATCTAACTATCTAGTAGGAACTAACGAGGTTGGCTTGGTGGGAGATTGACGAGGCCGGCTCTATGAGGGAACCCAGTGCAAGTTCGGGAAACCTCAAGAGGCCCAAAATTGCCTGGACTACCACAGACAACTCAAAAAGTGTCGATCTCTACATCGCATCCAGTCATTCCATTAAAAATTTTTTTTCAGATTTCCTTTACAATAAAAGAATTGAGAGAATTATTAAATTTAGAAGGTGTCAATTCCCATTGTTTAATAGATTCAAATTTACGAGAAAAATTGGAACAAGAATTAAATTTAATGGAAAGACCTAGAAGAAGAATTGTTGAATTAATGCTGAATTTTGCTGAAGAAAAAAAGTTTTTTTACTTATTCAAGGGATAAAGAGCCTGGGAAAGCCGGAACCGAAATTTTGACCGGAACTGGATCCATTTTGAGTTTCGGGTCCCGGAACCTGAACCAAAAACGCCGGAACTTACCGGAACTTCCGATGAAACCTTAATCCTTTGTCTTTCTATCTGGGAAAGACATAAGGATGTTTTCTGGCATAGTGTTACTTGTGAAATTTTTATAGGACGGATGGCCTAGAAATACGAATTTCTGAAATTTTTTATTTAAAAACTCGAAATGTCCAAATTTTTAAACGTCCATTTTCTTTAAATTTAACAATTTTTTGGTAATATACTTTGGAAGTCTCCCCCTTTTTTCCCTATTTTTCTTACCATTTTGAGCTTTTTTTGCTTAATATATAATTTATTATAGCTCTTCGAGCTGGGTCGTTTTTATCATTATCGGTTAGATTTGACCATCTTAAACAAAGAAATCAGGAAAAAAGGGGGCGGGGACTTCCAAAATATTACCCATTTTTTAAAACAATTTTCAGGTCTTCTCCAAACCAAAAATCATTAAAATTATTATTCAATTCTCGTCCAACAAAAATCGAATTAAATCGAAAAAATGACTCAATAAATGCCTTATATATTCAAAATAATTTGGATAATTTAATAAAAAAAATTGAATGTTCTCTATTAATTGTAGCTATTGGATTTGAAAATATTTTATTAAATGGATTACCTAAAAATGAAAATGGACAATTAAAAATGATTGATTGGTGTAGAGTACCTAATGAAAATTCTTTGGTTAGTTGAAAAAAAATTTTTTGAAAATTTTTTTGGGGATTTTTTCGGCTATTTGCCCTCAGGCAAAATTCTCAAAAAAAGTCTCAAAAAAGTCTTTATCTTCAATTTTATTTTTCAAAATTTTGTAATTAAGATTTTCAACTTCTAACAAAATTTTTTTAAGTCTTATTGAACAATTAGCGCCTCTCCTCTTGTCATTTTCCCCAAATTTTCGTCATTTGCCCTTAGGCTATTTTCTCATAAGCTTGGCTATTTTATATTTTTTGCAGTTTTTTTTATTTTTGAGGGTCAAATAGACTAGGAAAAATGACCCTTTCATATTTTCGTTTTTCTGAATTATTTGAAAAAATTTTTTTGAGACATTTGATCCCATTATCCCCCCATATTTTTACAGGTCTATGCAACCGGTTGGTGTTCCCACGCCGCTAGAGGCCTAATTGCTGATAGTCAACAACAGGCATATTCTGTAGCTGACCAAATCTATGAAGATTTAAATAAAATAAATTCTACAAAAAATTCTGTCAAAAAAATGTCTGCTAGAACCCAAATTCAACAGAAACTCTGCTCTAGAGGAGTAGAATTTATTAATTGGTAAATAAATTAAAATTATAATAAACTTCTAGTTAAAATAAAAGTTCATTCCTTCAGATGGTCCTATAGTGTAGCGGTTAGCACTCTGGACTTTGAAGAGTGCAGTAGTAATCCAGCAGCGGCGGTTCGAATCCGCCTAGGACCTACTTCTTTTTAAACAATTTTTTTAAACTTTTTATTAATTTAAGGGATGATTGGAAGTATATAGATGAATGTGAAAGACGAATGGGTGCCATTTTGGGCAAAACGAGAGAAAAAATGTCAGAAATTTCTTCAATTTTGAGAATAATGAGAAATAAATGAATAAAAGATTAGAAAAAATTTTTTTGAAATTTTTTGAAAAATTTTTAGAAAATTTTGAAATATTTTAGAAAATTTCTAAATCATTTTAGATCATTTTTTAATTATTTAAAACAATTGTTTAAAGAAATAATGTCAATTGAAACAGTTCCAACCGATTTGCGCAACCTCCGTGCTTGTCTAGTCTGTTCACTTGTATGATTTTTACAAGGGAAAAAATTAAAAATAATTTATTTTTAAGGTAAAAACTCTTCACCAATTTGAAATGGATGGGTGTGATAATTGTGACAGATTTTTGGGAATAAAGGGAGATATTGAAAAATGTGTTGAGTGTACAAGGTTTTTTTTCTTATTTTTTTTTATTTTTTAAAGATTTATTTTTAGTGCCAATTTTGATGGAATGATTGCCGTTTGTGATCATAATGATTCGTGGGTTAGCAAGTGGCAGGTTAGAAAAATTTTGTTTTATCTAAAATGTGGGTTTTACTTTTCTCCTATAAGTCTGCTGTCCGCAATTATCTTGCGGATTTTCTGCAAATTTGCGGACTCCTGGAAAACGTGCATTTTTTGAAAATATGCGGACCTTTGTAAAGCTTATGGGCTTTTTAAAAAATTTGCGAATTTTTTATCCTAAAATTTTTTCAGAAAATTAATAAAAAGTGTCCGGGAGTGTACGCAATTTCTGTATCTGGTACCCTTCCAAAGATAGTCGTTCAAGAATTGAAGCAGCTTGGAATTAAATACAAAACTGGGCAACGAGATAAGTCGATTAAATAAAAGAGGATTTGTATTTGTTTGTTGGTATTCTTTTTTGTAAACTTATTTAAAATTTAACGTTTAAAAAACGTAGCGCGCCTAATGCAGAAATATCAAGCTCCCAAATGTTGTCGAAATTATGACTTTGAAATTTCGACGTCTAATGACGTTACGCATCATTTTGGGATCATGGGCTTTCACATTTAATATTTCTTTTCAGAGTTTTGTCCGCAAATTATCTTACGCATAAAATTTGCGGACTTTTTGGGAAACTCTTAAAAATTCTTTAAGTAAATTAGCTTTGACAATTTTTGGACATTTATCACAATAAAATTACCAGTTTACAAATAAAACGATTTTAATATTTTTCGATTTATATAAACCTTAAAAAAATTTTTTTTTGAAAGTAGAAAGCAAAATAAAAAAATGCTGAGAGAGGTTTTTTAAGTTTTTCCTTCACCTTTAATTGAAAAAATCTTGCAGCAACGTTCGCCTTTTTAACTCTGCAACATGCATTTGATTTTCAAGTTCCGCCCGGTCTGTATGCTCTGCCCTTTCTACTTTCCAAGAAAGTTCCTCAATTTCTTTTTCTAGTTGGGCTTGCTGATATTCTGGGAAAATTCTTTGATTTTTATTTAAAAACGTCCAAATTAAAAATGTCAAGGTCTCAAGAGGTCCAACGTTCAAATGCCCAAATCTCCCCGTTTTCCCAAATCCTAATCCTAAAAATTTCCCCACTCTAAAAACCCCCAAATTCCAAAATGTCCAAAAACCAACCAAAAAGTTCCTTTCTAGAAGAGCTTTCCATATAATACGCAAACGGATAAGTATACTGCAAAGTATAGCGACACTTTGTTAAAAGAGTAGCAGCATCATGTAAATATTGCCAATCAATCCAAGTCCCTTCATGATTATGCACTTTTTCATCAATTTTTGTTTTTATTCTTAAACGCAATTCTTCCTCCATTTTTAAAGATTTTTGGTGGTTTTCAAATCGTTCATAATAATGTAGATAACGTTCCAATGCGCGGCGTGCTTAATTTTTTAAAAATTTAGGAATTAGTTTGGAGAAAAAATTAAATTCCTTGATCGGGTTCGAACCAAGGACCTCCCAACCCTGACCCTTTTGGATCGAAAATTGAAATGGGATTAGTTAAAGGCCAAAAAATTTAATCTTACGACCGCGTTCGAACCCTCGACCTCTAAAATTGAATATGGAATTAGCTTAGGGTCAGAAAAAAATTAAAATTCCACGACCGGGTTCGAACCCACGACCCCCAAAATTATAACCAATTCATGTTAATTTTGATATTTTCTCAAAAATAATTTTTCTACCCAGTAAAATAATTTTAAAAAGAAACCTTTAAGATGGTTAGCCTCTTGAGCAATTTGTGGATTTTCTTTATAACGAGAACATTCATAATATTCACTTCCGTGTGTCTTCCAATCTTTCAAAATATTTTATTTTAAAAAATTTTAAAATCAAAAAAAAAACCTCTAAAACACATCCAACAAAAATGATGTCTACATTTTGAGCATTGCATATGATTACCTAAATATAATTTTTTCAAAAAATTTTTTAAAGAAAATTACTAACATCCTCCATTCTTTTCAATACAGCTATTACAATTTGGGCAATCTTTTGTATGGGCACTAAAAAATATTTTTAAATTTAAGGAAAAAATTATGAGATTTTGCTTCCAAAAGGTCCTCAAGTTTCGTCTGCATTTTTATAAAACAAATATTGTAAATGCTCTAAAAGCTTCTAATTTTCAACCTCTCGTTAGGATGTGCTTCTAATAAAAGCAAATCCTACTCTTCGTGATCGAGAAGTCACCGTTTTAGCCAAAAGAGGAAAGAGTTTCGGGATCCGGATTCAGAAAAGTTTTGCTTCCAAAAATCCGCAAATTCTTTTAACCATAAAATAAACCTTATATAATTAGCAGTTTCACTGTCATCCGCACATTTGACCAACCATTTTTTAATTATTTCACAACTTGCTGGTGCATGGTAATCACTTCCACATTTAAAACTTTAAAAAGAAAATTTATTAAAAAATAAAAAGAAATTTTTCTTACCAAAATTTAATATTACAATTTGAGCAAATAACTCTATGTGCTTTTGAGGTATTACAAAAAATAATTTTGTCACAATCAGAACCAAGGCAAAGGCGTAAGTAAGGGTGGGAAGAGACAAAATCGCGAAAAAGCTGAAAAAGAATTTTTTGGAATTTTTTGAAAAAATTTCAAAGTTAAAAATTTAAAAACCGTCTGTTCATATTTAGAAATAATTTCACAAGGTTGATTTTTAAGTAGATCAAGTACAAAATCTTTTTGGCAAATAAGTGAACAATTAGTGTTCATACAAGTAATGTGAGAAGAGACACCTTTTTTAATAAAAAATTTTTATAATTAAAATAATAGCTCCAAAAATAATTTGGGTAATACTTTTAAGACCCAAAAATCTAAAAATAGATTGTAGTTAAAAATGGGGAGTTTTCTTTAGTTGAGTTGGACAGAAGAATTCAAAATTTGTTAAAATAAAGGGATACAAGTATATTTAAAAAATGCCCTATTGGAGGTTGGACAGAGATAGGACGAATTAACCCAATCCAAAGAAAATTTTGAAACTGCGATCCGAAATCCAAAACGATTTTTTCAAGACTTATTAGTAACTAGATCCTTTAAAATTAAAAAAACCATTCTGTAATTGTGTTTCTATATGCATTTGCCAACAAGATTTACAAAATCCATGTCCACAGTCCAAATGAAGCAATGGGGAAGAATTTGACAATTCAAAGCAAACTGTGCATTCTATTGAAGAAGTGCCAGGAATTTGATTTTTGGGTAAATAATTATTGTTGGTTATTTTTGGTTTGCGAAATTGTGGAGGATTGGAAGGTTCGTTGATAATGTGATTCTGAAAAAAATTTTGGAAACTTTTAAAAAAATGTTTTTTAAATTTTTTGAAAAAAATTAAAAAATTCCTGGGACTATTTTTTAATGAACTAGAAATTGTGGAGTATTATTTTTAAAAAAATAATCACGATGGATGTCCTTCTACCGGGATCCTTGGGTTAAACTAGACCTAAAATAGAAATTTGGAAGAAATAAAAGTTAAAAATCGACTTTTGATCCCAACCCGATTGTTCCCTTTTAGAGTGTCGGATGCTGAAAATTCTTCGGATATCCGAAACCGAAGAACCGAACAGAAGAATCCTCGGTTCTTCGGTTCGGTCCAGAACCGACAACCCTACTCCCTCTTTATTAAAAACCAAAGAAAATTCTGAGGGGTGGAGGGTTAATTTTCAAAATATTTTCAAAAAATAAAATAAAAAAATCCAAACAAACCTCAATCAAAAACTGCTTGCTATCATTCATCAAGGATATCCTAACTTGTTCAACATCCCATTTATTCAAATGTAACAAAAGTTTAGCCAATTCAGGTTTCAAATTTAGTTGTTGAGGAATTGATTCAATTAATTCTTTTACAATTTTATCAAACAAATCTTCAACTTGTTGTTGGTCCAAACAAGAATATTCAACATATTCAGGATCACAGAGAATTGAACCGGGCGCTGGACTTTGGTCAAAATGATCTCCTCCATCAGCATCGTAATAATAATCTGTGAGATAAAATTAGAATTAAACCTCATTATAAGACACTCAATTGGGGTGGAAAAATGTGCCTAATAATGAGATGTAGCTTAAATAGAGGGTAAGGTGTATTTTAAAAAATAGAAGGCATCGCTTAGATAGCTTCCGCCTCTCAAGGACAAACGAATCGTATTCCCTAAATTGAGTGGTATTTTACAGTGGAATTCAACTATTCTCTTAGTAAATCCTTCTAAAAATCGTTTTGGCTAGCGAAAACAATTTTTGTGAAATTCGAAATTTTTTTAAACAACCACCAAATTGTAAGGAATTTACCACAAGAAAATTTTTAAAACTAACCAAAATCTTCACATCCAATTTCTGAACAAGAATCAGATGCTGATGCACCTATCGACATTTGTTTGTCCTGACTAAAAGCATATAGGAATTAAAAAATAATTTCGCAAAAAAAAATATTTGATCGAATTGATCAACGAAACAAAATAACAAAAAATTTAAATATTAAAAATTTATTTGCAAATAAATTTGAAAAAAAGGTGACATAAATTAAGAGTCTAAATTGGAGGTTTAAATGGCAAAAAATTTAATTCAGAGTTGGATTTACAAGCAAAAAATTTAAAATCTTGGAATTTTATCAAAAAAAAGAAACGACTAAAAAATTTTCCAAACCTGATAAAACCTCCAAAAATATTTTTAAAAATAAATAAACTTTTTATTCAAATTGTGTCTCCTCTTTATCACTTTTCCTCTCCAAAAGCCGTCTACTTTGCCTCAAAAACTTTATCCATTGAAGATTTTTTCTAGCCTCTTCAATTTCTTTTTTATGCAAAAGTGAGTTCATTGGAGCCAAAAATTTGTCAATTTTTGAATCAATTTCTTCAATTTTCTGCTTAATTTGGTCAGGGTTTTCCAACATTTCAATTTCTTCGTTCAACTCCATTATTTCCAAAACTAGCTCATCGTCAGCTTTTTCAAACTCGATGGATATGGGGTCGTTAAGGTCTTCGTCTAAAATTGAAAAATAAAAAAAATTTACGGGGATCTGAGTTTTATGCGTTTTAAAACATAAAATCCTCGAGACCCTCATTCACTAACAAAGACTCCCACAATCCCCAAGACCCCCCACCCACTTATTCTAACAAGGCCCCCAACAACTCTCATAGACCCTAACCCGCTCAGCAGAAACATAATCTACTCCCTAACACCCTCACTCCCTAACTAACAATATGTAAGACTCATCAACAAGGCCCCCACCAACTCCCAAAGACCCTCACCCACTCATTGTCAGCAAAACCCTAATCTACCCCGCAACACCCTCACTCACTAATTAACAATAAGGCTTAACAATCTCCAAGACCCTCACCTGATCCCCACGACATATTATTGTTAAAATAAAAAAGGTTTACCTAATTCCTCAATAAGTCGAAGAAGATAATTTGCCCTCCTAAACGGATCACGCAATGTCCGGTAGGCGTCATTCAAAAATGTTGAGTGTTGCTGTGAATGTTGTAACTTTAATAAATTTAAAATAATTTTTTAAAAAATTTTAAAAATCAACCTCATCTTTGCTTCTCATTGCAAACTTGTCAGGATGTACAATTGCCTGTTTCCCTCTGAATTTCTTTCCCAATTCATCATGATCCAAATTGAAAGCTAATGGGACACCCAAATAAGTGAAAAAATTAGCTTCTTTGTCTAACGGTTGAATAATTCCACATTCAGAACAATTGACTCTTTCAGCATTTGAATTAAATTCAGCACCACATTTCCAACATAGAATCTTTTGAGACTGTAAGGGAGAAAGGTCGCTACAGAAACGTGAAAAAGAAGGAAGAGAAACAGGTGAAGAAAACCTAAATTGTAAGAATTTTGATTTAAAGAAAATTTTCTTACCTCAAACAGTCAGTAAATACTCGTCTTCTAAACAGCAGTTGGCTGCTTGTACGGGGAATATCAGCAAAACAACGATTCAACGGAATCTTAATCAAAATGCACGCGAAACGATTCATTTTTGGAAACCCTGAAGGTCAATTAAGGTTGAAAACTAGAACATTCTAAATAAAGAAAAGATAACATGAAAAATAAAATAGAGAAATAAAGAAATTTCAAAATGTAAACTTTTTAATATCAAATCATTAAGAAATTGATATGGTCACAACGGGACATTTTTAAATTGTCATTATAAAGTTGACATTTTGAAAAATCAGAAGAAACTTTTCGGACATTTTTTAATAATTTAGACTGGTAGACATTTCGAAAATTTACACTTTGTAATTATCCAATTTTTTTACTATAAAAGCGAGGAGAGAGTTTAAGGAAGAGATTTCACTCTTACAAGATTAATTTGGAATGTGATCTCTTTTTTTCGGTAGGGGACCATTGTGTACCGGCCGGTTGTGTACCTGGCCATATTTTGGGCCATAACTTTTTTGATTCTTAATTGATTTAAATGATTAATATATCAATCGAAAGCCCTGGATGTGAGGATTATTTTCGCCAACAGAACTGATTTGATCAGATCATGCTACAAAAAGTTACAGACAGATAAAGATCAAAATCACGATTGCTCGCATTTATCTGGCTGTAACTTTTTGTAGCATGATCTGATCAAATCAGTTCTGTTGGCGAAAATAATCCTCACATCCAGGGCTTTCGATTGATATATTAATCATTTAAATCAATTAAGAATCAAAAAAGTTATGGCCCAAAATATGGCCAGGTACACAACCGGCCGGTACTCAATGGTCCTGTTCCGCTTTTTTTATTTACGTTTATTGATGAATTTTGGAGAGTTAGTTTCTTTGTGTAACCATTTTCTCTCCTTTCTCGTTTCCGTTAGTACATTGAAATTGAACGTAGAAATGCTAACTTTTAGATGATTTGAAGGTTGCAAATACTGAAACGGCTCTTAAATCTTTAAAATCTTTAATTATCATTCTGATTTTTAAGTTTACGCCTTTAAAAATAACAAAAATTTCAGAGTTTTATTCAAATCTTTTGCTTTGCTTCTTTGTTTTTTGAGAATTTATAAAGATGGTTGAGAAAGTCAATGACGTAGTTACCCAAGTTGTTTCGGCCAAATCTTCGGATAATAATAATAACGTTTCTGAGGCCGTTGCTGCCAATTCGCCGTCGAACAAGAACTCGCCTAACAAGTCTGACTTGCTTAAAGGTTTTATAAACTTTTACGTTTTCTTTATTTTAAATTTCATTTCCTTCTAGTTTTGGCTTTCCAATTCTTCGAAGCTTATTACACCAAGCTGAGTGACCATCCGGATGACATTGGTACTTTCTATGGAGATGATTCTAGCTTTGTTTTGGGTGATGTTGAGGAGACGGGCCGTGAGGTTTAGCTTACATTTTCTTATTTTCTTATTTTGTTAACTTTTTCATTTAACAGAACATCCAACGTGCCATTGAGAAGATGAATTTTGGAGCTTGTAAGTCGCGCTTTTATTCGGTCAAAGCTGCGCCGGAGATGGGTGACAACTGCAAGGTCTTCCAAGTTTGTGGTGAGCTGACTCTGAAAGGACAACCGGCTCCACGTCGCTTCTGTCAAACGATCGTTCTTTCTTGTGTGCCACCTAACGTACTTTATGTTAAGAGCAACATCTTTCAGGTTAATTTAAGAACTTGTTCAGTCAGCTTTACCTAAGTGTCCGCAAATTTTTGTCCGCATATGTTTGTGGACATAATTTTACCAACCTCTGTCCAGATAGATTTCCAACTTTTTATATTCTTCATTTTTATAGTGGTTGGACATTGCGTTTCCTATGAATAGCAGCGAAAAGGTTTATTTCATCTCTGCTCCGGCAACTATTCCGGCACCTGCGTCGATCACTCCTGTCGAAAATGGGACTTGCAACATTAACAAATCTATTGAGAAGGATGTCGTTGTTACCACTAGTGTTGAGCCAATTCTTAATGGAGGTGTTATTCTGACAAATGGAGGAAGTACTCATCAATCACCAAAGCCGGCTGCTAATTTGGCTATTGTCTCTACGACTACGGGTTTCTTTGGTTTACAAAATCTTTTTTAATTTTATTTCCAGAGGCGATGATTGCTCCTCCTCCTGGTTTGGAAAAGGTGAACGAGAATGTCTTGCCTCTTCAAACAAACAAGTCTCCGATTCCGATTCATTCGGTGAGTGGAACGCCTAGTCCGCATCAAAACGAAGTTGTTGAAGTTGACAAAGGACAATTTACGGTTAGTTTCCCTTTGTTTTTTATTTAAATAAATTTTTTTAAACTGAAGATTCCAACTTTGGATTCCACCAACAAGATTGTCACCACTCCTTCGCCAACTCTCAACAACAACAACAATATTACTGACGATCAAAAGATGAAGCGCCCCTCTCCAATGAAACAACAGCAGCAACAACATTCGAACGTCAAATCTGAGCCAAAGTCGTGGAATAAAGTCGTTAGTGGTGGACAAAATAAAATGCCAAATATTCAACCAAATGTTACTACTACAACAACTGTTCCAATAAAATCTTCGATTGATGTTAAGAAGACTATGCAATCTCAAGATATTGGTTCAGTTAATAATACACAAAAGCAGCGTCAATCTCCTCCACAAAAACAACATCTTGCTGGTAATTTTCGTTTTTTAGGTTATAAAAATTTTTTTAAAGAAAATAACAACGTTGGTGGACAGCCACAGCAAAAGCGCTCCTCTTCCCTTGGTGACGACAATACTGGTAAAAACAACAATCAAAAACAACAACAAATGTCGCAATCGACAAAATTTGTGGCGCCACGTAGAGACTGGCCCCATCGAATTTACTTCAACAACCTTGTAAAACCTGGACATTTTCTGGACTTTAAAACTGGACAGAAAGAACTGATGAAGGAAATTATGAGTTTGTTTTATTTTTTTTTTTTGGTTAAAATATTTATTTTTTTTTGTAGCGATCACCCCAGGAGTTGAATTTGTTGGCATAAAACCACTTTCGCTTCGCAAGGAGTACAAAACCGCTTTTGGCTTTATCGACTTTACTACTGGCAATGATGTTCAGAATGTTTATGATGCTGCTAAAAAGGTTTAATTTTTTTAAATTTTTGGCCAGAATTTCATTTAAAAAAATTTTTCAGACTGGAGAGAAGCGAGGAGGCGATAAAGGAGGAGGTGGAGGACTTCAATTGAGAGTTTCTATTCCAACATTTGAATTTGATGGTTATATCACTCTGACTTCAGACAAGACAAACAACTTGGCTCCTGGAAACGGCACCGGCAACAATAATAATAATAATTTTAGATAAATAAATTACACAAACAGAAAAAAAAAGCAAAAAAAATTAAAAGAAAATTTTAAAAAAATACTTAAACGCAAATATACCCTGTTTGTGTAAAAGTATTTTTTTTAATTTTATTTTTTTTATTTAAAAAAGGTGTAAATTCCCTTCTCTTTTTTTTTTGTGTTCCTATCTTTTTTATTTTCCTCTCTACAACAAAATATATAAAATTGTTTTTTTTTGCTGCCCCTTCTTCCCTGTTATTTTAAGACAATTATATATAATTTACAAATTTATGTAGAGAGAATCGGTCAAGAATTGAACACTTTTTTGCTTGATTTGGGGAAAAGATTTTTGAATATTTGGGAAGGCTCGGTTGCTGGGAATTTTGGGGAGAAAGACCGGGAATTGTCCTCTTCCATGCGGCGACAGAAAATCAAAACAAATTGCTTGCGGCGCTGTTCATTCTCCTTAATTTTCGATTTTTCCATCTTCAATTTCTTCATCTATTGAACAACGTTTTGGTTGTTGATTCATGAGTAAATTTATGCTGGTCCGAAAATTTTTGGGAAGAAATTTATGATGTTGACATAACCAAAAAAGTTCCGATCACTAAAAAATGTTGACATAATAGTACACCATACACAAAATATGCATAGTTTAGTTTGCACGAAAATAATTATTTTACATTTTTTATTTTTAAAGGGTGTTGCACTTTTGGCGATTGGAGTTGTCTTCTCTGGGGTTCAACACCCCGACAATCAACCGCTTAAACGATTACAACCTTTTCTGTCAAGTGAACACGTACCTCTACGCGTTGCGTCCATTTTTGGTCTGGGATTGGCCTACGCTGGCAGTAGACGAAAGTCAACCATTCATCACAATAAAAAAAGCGTTTTGGAACTGTTGAAAAAGGTTTTTATTTACAGCAAAATTTTAATGTTTTCAATTAATTTAAAATTTCAGACATTTTCTTCCGAAAATATTCACCAGACTGAAGTTAGAGGATTGGCAGCACTTTCGCTGGGTTTCATTCTTATTGAATCAGGAAAAGCTAATAGCAACGTCGTAGACCTCTTTCTAGATTATTTTGAGTTAGCCCCCACCCAGCGAAAATGCTGCCAATCCTCTAACTTCAGTATGATGTATGTTCTCGTTAGAAAATGTCTGAAATTTTAAATTAATTGAAAACATTAAAATTTTGCTGTAAATAAAAACCTTTTTCAACAGTTCCAAAACGCTTTTTTTATTGTGATGAATGGTTGACTTTCGTCTACTGCCAGCGTAGGCCAATCCCAGATCAAAAATGGACGCAACGCGTAGAGGTACGTGTTCACTTGACAGAAAAGGTTGTAATCGTTTAAGCGGTTGATTGTCGGGGTGTTGAACCCCAGAGAAGACAACTCCAATCGCCAAAAGTGCAACACCCTTTAAAAATAAAAAATGTAAAATAATTATTTTCGTGCAAACTAAACTATGCATATTTTGTATATGGTGTACTATTATGTCAACATTTTTTAGTGATCGGAACTTTTTTGGTTATGTCAACATCTTAAATTTCTTCCCAAAAATTTTCGGACCAGCATAAATTTACTCATGAATCAACAACCAAAACGTTGTTCAATAGATAAAGAAATTGAAGATGGAAAAATCGAAATTGTATTCAGCTTGGCGAGTCACTCACACCACTTTTAGATCCTTACCCCACCTAGCAATTAAAGATATGGCTGCTTTTCCTCATTGATTGTGAGCTCCCCAGCCATCCCAACTTTTCTAAAAAGAAACTGAGTAAGGTTATTGTTATTCTTGACTGTATTATATATATAAAAATATTATTGTTGAATCCGATTTGGCTTTTTTTGAAATTATAAAAAAATTTATATTATATATTATTTCATCAAAAAATGTCACATCCATAAATAGCCATTCATGTCTTCCTTTTCGCACTCATTTTTTAATTATACCACACACACAAAAATTTCGTTAAAAAATATTATATTTCAATTATATATTTTGTTTTTTTTTTGATTGTTAGTGTAATTTGCAAAAAAAAATATTTTTATACGTTGTTTATTTTAAAGAAAAATTTTTAAATTATTTTTAATATTTTGAGGATTTTTGAGAAATTAAAAAAATTTTTTTTTCTAATTTTTAGTAATGCCAACTAAAAATGATCCTGTTGTTCAAAACACTTGTTCTAGTCAATATTCTCCACTTGGAATTTTTCTTTTATCAAAAGATGAGGCAGCTGAACATGTTCTATTTATGTACCCTTTCAATCCGGATCTTAATTTTGAAGGTTTTTTTTAAATTTTTATGTTGGGGGATGAGGATATTTGGGTGTAGGGTGGTCGTTTGCATAGTGCGTTTGACTGAGGTCCTTGCTGTTAAACCTGGCTATCGAGGAGATCCTTAAAGAATTTTGAGTCCTAGGGTTTGGAAGTTGTGGGGGAAACATTTTTTGAATGCACCTGAGTTTGGACTAGGTTTCTTGTTCATATTGTCACGGAAATCCTGAATTTTCGACGACTTTTGAGTTCAAAATTTGCAAAAATATAAGGAAACATCTTAGCGAATTTACAATTTTTTGGAGGGAAAAGCGAAATTTTTTGTTGCCATGATGGTTGTTCTTAATTCCAAAATACTAAAAAATTTAGTTTTTTAAGATGATGAGAACACAAAAGATGAATGTATCGGGCTTGAATGCTGGAAAGAAAAGGACGATCTTTTGTCTGACAAGGGAACATTTCGAACTGTGAGTAAAAAGTTTGTCTTAAAAGTTATACCATCGTGTAGAGCATGGTCGAAAACCTTTATGGTTTCCGGCTTTTTCGGCTCCGACCCCCATTTCGAAAAGTTATGGGGCTTCAAAGTTGTCGACTTTTGGAGCGGTTGAGTCGCCCTCACTTTTCCTCTCCCTTTTCTTTTATTCTCCTTTCCTTTTCTTTTCTTCTCCTTTTCTTCTCTTTTCCTCCCATTTTCTTTGTTAAAAAATTAAAGTGAATGAGAAAATGAATATAATCTTTTTAACAACAATTTATTCATTAAACTAATGATTACAACGGTGAGGTTGTATAATAAAGTGCTCAAAACAAATATTAGTTGCACACCATGAACAACGAATAAATGGTGGTTTACCGCAGTTACAATTTAAATATATGTTCATATTTCTAAAGCAATATTGAGGAGGCGTCTCATATGAAGAAATCTCTACTAGTCCCAGAAAACCTGACAGCTTCCAAGCATATCGGATGAATTCCTTAAAAACCGGAGCCGAGAACATAAAGTGTGTTTCATTGAGTATTCTGCCTATAATCCCAAAAATATACCAATAAAAATTATAACAAAAATACCAATGCTAGTCCTATGTGACAGATTATAATTATTAAAAGATCTTCTTATTTTTTCGTGAATAATTCTTAAAAAGAGCTTGAGTTGCCGATTGAATAACCTATCCAATGGCTGAATTTTTGAAGTTGATTTTGGCGGTAAACATAAAAAGCGTATATGGGACCCAAGTCTGTTATTTTCCGTACATCTTTTAAACCCCGTCCAAGAGTCATGTATGAATACTGTCCCTGCTTGAACTTTTGGTGCAAATTCATTAAAGAACCATTGTAATTGAAGTTCACTGGTTCAAGAAGTCTCTTATAGAATTTTTAATCCGCTCTTCATCTTGTCCATAAGTGGCAGAAACGATTTTCGTTACTCTACGCGATACAATTCTATTACGCTTTTTAAAACAATAGATCCAATAAGGGGAGGCCTAAAAGATATTTATTCAATTAATTGCCCTAACAATAACCTTAAAATTTTGGCCTATTTGGTGAGCTTTGACAAGAGCAATCTCCATGAGGTCGCTGTCATGTACTGGTTCATTACGTTCCCTACAGGCTTTAAATGTCTCTAGAGTGTGTCTTTCTATTTCCCCAAACTTTTGAAAAGTAGTCCCTCCTTGTGAAACATATTCTTTAATTCTTACAATTTCCTCATCACTTTTTAATTTTTTGAAGTGATTTCGAATATATTTATATGTTTTTCCCGACTTTAACAATCGGTCAATTTCCAGTTGGATCTCGAAAGGGTATTTTGATTGTGTAGGGTTCCTATTTATGGGATTGACATCATCCGTTTCTTCGTCCGAATCAAAATATACATCTTCCTCATCACTATCAGAAGATAAAATAACTTCCTCAGGCTCTTGATGGGAATAATTAATAGTATCTTCAAAGCCCTTTAGACCGGCCATTTTAAATAAATTAGAAGGAAATAATATTTTTGAATTTTTTTTTATTTTTAATATGTGTATAATTAAATTTTCCAATTTCAAATATATATTTAAATTTTTTAAAATTTCCCAGCTAAATTTCCATAAAATCCAATCAGTTCAAACGCATTCACTTTAATTTTTTAACAAAGAAAATGGGAGGAAAAGAGAAGAAAAGGAGAAGAAAAGAAAAGGAAAGGAGAATAAAAGAAAAGGGAGAGGAAAAGTGAGGGCGACTCAACCGCTCCAAAAGTCGACAACTTTGAAGCCCCATAACTTTTCGAAATGGGGGTCGGAGCCGAAAAAGCCGGAAACCATAAAGGTTTTCGACCATGCTCTACACGAAGGTATAACTTTTAAGACAAACTTTTTACTCACAGTTCGAAATGTTCCCTTGTGAACAACAAAAAAGTGTTGATAATGAAGAATTGGAGACTGGAACATTTGGGTTCTTTTAATTATAAAAATCAGGCCCGTAGCCAGGATTTTTTTTCGAGGGGGGGAATTTTTTCTGCGCCAAATTTTTGGCGCCGAAGGCGCCAAAAATTTTTTATTTTCAGCGCCGCAGGCGAAAATTTTGAGAATTTTAGAAGGCCGTAGGCCAAAAAATTCACTTTTTCGGCGCCGCAGGCGCCAAAATTTTGTTTTTCAGCGCCGCAGGCGAAAATTTTTTAAATTTTGGACCTCAAGAAGCCAGATTTCTTCCTTTTTTAGCGCCGCAGGCGAAAATTTTTTAAATTTCAGAGGCCGTAGGCCAAAAAAATTCACTTTTTTGCCCCAGCCCTTCCCCAAATTTTTTCCTTTTTCCCATTTCGGGGGGGGGGGGGGAATTCCCCCCCCTTCCCCCCCCTGGCTACGGGCCTGATAAAAATACTTTTTTAAAAATTTTTTTAGTTTGCCAGTAAAAATGTTGGCTACACTTTTACAAACAAATACGGGCAACAAAGAAGGAGAACCTTTTGAAATTAAAGTAAATAACATTCGTTTTGCTGGCGTTCCGTGGTGTGTAGATGCTTGTGAAGGTGTTTGCTTGGCCGTTGTTTTTATTCTTTCTAGCTCTTGTGGTTGCCATATTGTTGAAGCTTTTCAAAGATTGAGCAAGAAGATTGCTGTTGCGATTAGTGTTTGTTTTTGACTTTTTTTTGGGGTTTTTTAAATGTTTTTTTTTTGTTTAGGCTGAACAACAACGATGTAATTACTTGAGCGAGCAAATATGGTATTTTTTTATTATATATTTATTGGATTTATGTTTTAAGCCCTTTCTCCTTTTTATAATCGTTGGAGACAACCATTTATTAACTTGTACTTCCGATTTTCGCTTATCACTCGTTTTAGATCCCTAGTGTCTGGTTCCGGTTAATTCGCGAAATATGACGGGCGGTCCAGTTTCGGTTAGCCGTTTGTGTCCAACTTTACGTCATATGAACTCCCGAGAATCTGTGCTTTTTGCAGCTCATCCTTTCTATTTTATCTTAACAACGAATTATTTTTTGAAAAATAATTTCTAAAATAATTCTTTGTTTTTTCTTATTTTTTAATAATAAAATACATAATAGGACTTACGTGTTAAACTTGCGGACTTTTTGAAGCTTAAAGTAAAAGTGCCCTTCTTGAATTTTTTTTTATTTTTTTTTTCTGAATTTTTGAAGAAAATTTATTTGGAATTTTTCATCTCTTTATGTTTCTTTCCCCCAGAATTATTCTTCAACTTTGAATAAAATTTTATTTTTAAAGTTTAATGCAGCCATCTCACGATGAATTTGAAGCAATGGGCGATGAACAACGCAGAGGACGTTCTCCATATGAAACAATTTTGGCCAAAAGTGGATTAGCTCAACATTTACGTGATATTTATAATGATGTTTGTGAATATGGAATGGTTGATGTTTTTGTTAATGATAGCAGTGAAGTTGGATTTTGTGTAGGTTTGTTTAGCTTTTATTTAATCTGGGGTTAGCTATTAGGGATGGGACTTGGTGAGAAAAAAAGCTAGGCGGGTTTCGGGTTGGGGTTTGGAAACTTTATGAATTCCGTTCGGCCTCGTAGAAGTCGGGTAACTTGGGGTTTGGGTAACATGGTGCCTTCATAAAAAAATTATTTTGCAAGTTATTAAGTATTTTTGTCTGATTTTTTAACTTTTTTTTTGTTATTTTGCCCTGATCCGGTGAATTAGTTTAACTTTGTGTTCCGTAAACTTCGGTTTCCTCATTTTTCTATTAGTAAACTATTTTTTAAATTTTATTTTTTTCAACCCTTTCAAATTTTTAGAACCCAAAGCAATGTTTCATGCTGGCCTAACTCCTCGTTCTTCTACCCAAATAGACTCTTTAATGTCCAAAATTCGTCCTTATCATGGAATTTTATTTCTCGAAGATTCTGTTCCTAATCCAAGCTCAAACCCTTTTGTTCTTCGTTTTCTTGACAATTACGAACCAACAAGAAGTATTGAAGAAATGGCTTCATTATCAAACCTCGTATTAGCTCAAGCACTTCAAATAGTTCGTCATTACCTTCTTTGGTCTAGAGCAATTATAATTTATCCAATTTGTGCTTCTAATGTTTATGCAAACGCTGAAAAATTACCTCCGGGATATAAACAATTGGAAACTGCATTCATTCAACAATTCCCAGAATTTAAATTAAATGACATTTTTGAAGCGGTGAGTATTTTTCGGTATGATATTGTAAATACCAAACCTTCCAAAAGACACCGAAACAGGCCCGTAGCCAGGATTTTTTTCGAGGGAAAATTTTTCTGCGCGAATTTTTGCGTCGAATTCCCGAAGGCCCCAAAAATTTTTATTTTCAGTGCCTCAGGCGAAAATTTTGAGAATTTTAGAAGGTTGTAGGCAAAAAAAATTTTTTTTGCCCCAGCCTTTCCCCTTGGATATATATTTAATATTTTCCACAGTTTTGGCATTTCGGCGGTTTTTGAGGGTTTGGTATTTCAGCATTTAGTGTTATAGCACGCTCTCGTATTTTTTGGAAAGTTTTTTTGAATAATTAAAATTTTTTCAGTTTTCCCCGCCATGTTCACTTGGTTCATATCTTCAAGATACTGCAATTTATGGAGGAAAACCGAACGTTCCTATAGGTTTATTTTATTGATTAAAAATCCGGAACTTATGCAGTTTAAGTACACACCCCATTTATTCGCGAAGAAAGTTTATTACAAAATGGTCAGTGAACTCAAAATGGTCGGCTCATCGAGCTGAATCGAATGGCGAATTATCGGTACCTGGGAACATCTATGAGCTGAGAACAGAGTTCCAAAAATATCTAGAGAAACGGGCAACAAGGACCAATATTTTGATAAAAATCTGATTCTAAAACACGCAAAAAACCCGGAAATACACAAAAAGAGGACCATTAGTTATAAAAATGCAGATCTGGGTACTTTATTGCCATTTAAATAGCTGAAATAGATAAAAATAAGAATATTGTCGCGAAAGGCGACAATTAGAATTTAATCTTTTTAAGTTTATTTTTTCTAAAATTGTTTTTCTGTAAAATTCCAATCTCTATTTTTACCGCACCTGCTGTCTAGGACATTCTTTTATGTTTAAGAATTTTTTTCTATTTCTAACTTTTTAAATTAGCTTTCTTTTGTTTTTCTTAAGCGCATCTGCTTAATTTTATTTTGTACCAACCGCCATTCATTCATTTCTATTTTTTACCCACTTTTGGAATGTGTTTACTTTTAACTTTGTTCACCCGCCTATTTTCCTGGCCTATATAATCTTCCCTCCAAAACCCACATTAGCTTTGGTCTTTCTAATCAGCTGTACTCTGTTCTGTTGGTTCCATTACTTAGCTTCATTCTGGTTTTACTCTGTTCCAGTTCTTGGTTCTTTGGGTTGGCTTACCTATTGCTTTGGCTTATTATTGTTGGCTCGCTTTATTATTTATTGTTGGATTAATTTAATTTGGAAAATAAATCTTTTAAATTTGTTTGGAATTTTGGTTGAGCTTATTTTTGAGTTTGGAATTAGTCCCTAGGCTTCTACTACATATTTTTTGGTGCAACGGCCGGGAAACCATCCTGGTCACTGTATGGAATCTATTGCCTATTTTTTGGAATTTATTGCTCTTGACTAAATTGCTCAATTATAAATAATGGCTGCCTGTATTCGACGCAACATTACTGCAGTTCTGAAGGGAATACAAACCTATACGAGAGAAGCAACACAATTAATGGGTAAAGATATGGACGAAGGCATTTGTGAGAGACTGAGGTCAAAGAAGCTAGACTTGGAATCTGCCATAGCACGAATTGTTGAACTGGACACGCAGTGGACTGATATTATAAATAGTCTTGATCCAACACAAAGAATGGCTGAAGAATCTATTTACATGAATTTCCCGCATACAGAAACCGGTGGATTTGAAGACGGACAAGAGGTTCCCCTCTACAAGAGGCATTTTTTGGATCAGAATGAATTTGCTCGTGAAGTGTTAAATATGGTCTCGGAAATGCTCAGAACCCTGGAACGCTCCCGAACCAACTCTCGGCAGTCTGCGATGAGTGAGAGTAATCATAGCGTAGATTTGAATGAGGAGACAAATAATGCTAGAACTAACCATTTGGATGCTAGGATGAATAACTGGAATAAATCATTTGGATGCTAGGACCAATAATTCTGGGATGAATAATGCAGGAATGCCTGTTTACCACGCACTGCAACCGCCTTTTTTGCAACCACGAGTGAATCTTCCGCCACTTCACTTGCCGCATTTCTCTGGTGATTCAAAAGACTGGCCAACCTTCTGGCAAATGTTTTCGTCTACGATCGATAATGAACCAAGCTATAATAATGTGGTGAAAATGAACTACCTGCTATCTCTCTTGGACGGACCAGTTCTAAACGTAGTAGCCGGCTACCTTCCGACGAACGAAAATTACCCTCGCGTGGTGGAACTGCTAAAATCTCGATATGGAGACTCAAGAGCACTGAAGGAAGCGTTGCAATCTGAATTGTACCACCTCGCGCCTGCCAATGACTCCGTAATAGGACTTCGGAAATTTTTGGATGTAATTGAGCGTGTATGTCGGCAACTGAGTGATTATGGGATCCAAGACGATTCATGGATTATCTTTGCTCTGAAGGAAAAGCTGCCTCGAGGAATATTAGCCAGGTTGATTGAAAAGGAAAGAATGGCCGGAAGAATTTGGAAGATTGAGAATTGGAGATCAGAACTCAACCTGCTCATATCAGTAGAAGAGGAAGTGCAAAGATGTACTGTTAGTAAGGAGCCAGAAAGAACGCCACGAAGAGATGGACGACCATTTTACCAACCAGAGCCTACTCGTTCTTTTCCAGTGGCTAGCCAATATAAAACGCTCTTTTGCTCTTTGTGCCAAGAAGGAGGCCATTTCCCAAGCGAATGTACTAAATATGGAAATCCGCAAGCAAGAAAGGACCGCTTATTGGAACAGGACCGTTGTTTGAACTGCCTAAGAGATGGTCACCGAGACATTGACTGCCCGAACTACCGTCGCTGTAGTAAATGCCAGGGACGACATCATTTTCTTGTATGCTTTTCGCGTGATGGAAAGGATCAAACTCAACCCAAATTTGTTGGACCTACTCAGAGAACGTTCTTTCAGCCTAATCGTTTTGAACCAGTTGCTCAACCAAGACAATTTACTCAGTCAATATGGGAAAGAAGGGACGAACCGCACTCTATTGATCAGGAAGCAAACTGCAACGCCCAAATGCCGGCGCCTAAAGAAAATTCTGTAGTTGCTACTGTAATGGATGCTAAGAATAAACCCGCTGCCTATCTGATGACAAAAAGATTAATGGTTACTGCTCGAGGCCGTAAGGAAAGAATCCCTGTTTACGTATTCTTCGATACTGGAAGTCAGACTAGCTTTGTTTCTCGCCGACTAGTGGAAAGACTCAACCCGCCTAGAGGCCGCGAAGTTGACCAATTGGAAATTCATGGATTTGGAGGTGCTTCGTCTAACCCGCTGAAAATCCGATCACCCACGTATATGGTTGAAATACAAAGAGAAGATGGAAATTGGGAAGAAATAACCTTAAATTGTACTGAAGAAATTTCTACTCCATTTGACATGATAAATTTTGATGAATTCTTCTATAAACGTACTGGAGTTGATAGCCTGGAAATCGTGAAAGAAAAACCAGATATTATGATTGGAATTAAGCAATTTTGGAAATTCTTCATATCGAAGGAGAAGGAAATCTTACCAGGCCTATACTCTATTCAAACCGTTTTTGGAACAATGACCGCTGGCGAAACTAATTTTGGACACAATTCGAACAAGAAATCTATGTCTTTGGTTGCAGTAAATGCGAGTAACAATGAACATCTTCCAACGCCTGACGCTGTCGAGGATTTCCGGAGTATGGAGTCTCCCGTGCAAAATCATGCTAAGGAAGCTGTCGCGCCGCTGACTTTAAGGCCTAATGATTTGGTGGTACCACATGGAGCAATTCCTTTGAAGATTGACTCCGCCGACCAAAACCAGTTAGTAAAACATACGATGTTTGCAAGGGCAAGGGCTAAACTAGCAGCAAGTACATTGGTGGCACTTTGTCTTGTTTGCGTCATGGTCTTTGGTCCAACTGGAAATAAAAAAATGGAAAAGCTATCATACGGATTGCCCGCTGGGATGCCTTTGACTGATTATCATGGTGTGGCCAAATTTTGGAGAAACTCGCGAGAAATGTTTCAGACAGAGATGACGTACACGGCTTTAAATGAATGCTTATTAATGGACTGTACATTTTGTGTTGACCTGCTAGTGAACCCCTCGTGCAATCCTAGCCTTGCTTTTCTTTGGGCACTTGTTACTCTGACCGCGTTCTCTGGACTTTGTTCTGTGCTTACTCTTTGGCGATCTTGTCGTGAAAACTTTCGAAGGATTGTGACCATTAGAAGGATTGGATGCCAATGCTCGAGGTGGACGAAAAGGAAGACTGCTTACACAAGGGCGCGCACCAGAGAAAAAAGTCGAAATAAAAGAGAAAGCTCCACACGTGAACGCTTCACACCCTGTTGCCATAGAGGACGAACCGGAATGCACTGCGTCTTCAATCAACCTGCCAGACTCACTTTATGGCGCGCGAGACAATCTGATGCTGATGATCCGAGATGACAAAGAAATAATTGAAGAAAAGAAAAACCATTGGGGGCCCGGGAATGTCGCGAAAGGCGACAATTAGAATTTAATCTTTTTAAGTTTATTTTTTCTAAAATTGTTTTTCTGTAAAATTCCAATCTCTATTTTTACCGCACCTGCTGTCTAGGACATTCTTTTATGTTTAAGAATTTTTTTCTATTTCTAACTTTTTAAATTAGCTTTCTTTTGTTTTTCTTAAGCGCATCTGCTTAATTTTATTTTGTACCAACCGCCATTCATTCATTTCTATTTTTTACCCACTTTTGGAATGTGTTTACTTTTAACTTTGTTCACCCGCCTATTTTCCTGGCCTATATAATCTTCCCTCCAAAACCCACATTAGCTTTGGTCTTTCTAATCAGCTGTACTCTGTTCTGTTGGTTCCATTACTTAGCTTCATTCTGGTTTTACTCTGTTCCAGTTCTTGGTTCTTTGGGTTGGCTTACCTATTGCTTTGGCTTATTATTGTTGGCTCGCTTTATTATTTATTGTTGGATTAATTTAATTTGGAAAATAAATCTTTTAAATTTGTTTGGAATTTTGGTTGAGCTTATTTTTGAGTTTGGAATTAGTCCCTAGGCTTCTACTACAAATATTGATTCAAATGTTAATTTTTATTTTGGTAAAATTGGAAAGAAAAATTAATCTTTTCTTTGTTAATGTCTCTATTTGAGCATGTGTAACAGAGAAATTAAATGAAATCGAGGAAGAAAGACCATTTTGTAATAAACTTTCTTCGCGAATAAATGGGGTGTGTACTTAAACAGCATAAGTTCCAAAAATCCTTTTTAATTAATTTTTTTCAAGGATTGTTTGTATTTTTACTCAGAAATCAATTGCTTATTCAATTACATACTTATATTTATTTACTTCCATTTGCTTCAAATCCTCCTCAACAACAACAGCAAAGTGAAATTGAAAGACAAAGACCTCAAAGGATATTAAGTCCCAAGGTTTGTACATTTGACTAGAAAAATTTTAGTCTAAATTTTTGCGGATACAACTATGAATTGAGTTAATTCTGAAAGAGATGTGTGTTTTCTAGAGAATGGGCTGTGGGAGTGTCGTACAAGATTTTATCTCGATTCCCTCGATTCTCGATTCCATTCCCCCCACCTTTCTCTTACATTAGTCTATTCAGAAATTCCTTTTCAATTTATTTTTTCATTCTGGTTTTTTTAGTAAATTTATTTTTCTTTTAAAATATTTATTTTTTAACAGATACAAAATTATTTAAATTCATCAAGAGATTTGAATGATATCATTAAATCAAATATTCTATCAATCTGTTCAAAATTTTACAAAACATCAAATATTGAAGAATCAGAATTATTTATATTTGTGATTGATTTTCTGAGAATTATACCTTTTCTAAATGGAAAGGATCATATGGAAGGTTTTCTTTTTAATTTTTTGTATAAAATTAAAAAAATTTTTTTTAAGAAATAATTTATCAACTTTCTATGGACCGTTCAACAGTAATGCGTATATTGGATACTTTTTCTGAAATTATTTGCACATTTCAATGTCAAGATCTTGTTGTAGATGATGATAATTAGTTGTTTCTTTTTTTAAATATTTAATGCAAATTAGGCATGTAGCTAGGAGGGGAGGGAGGGTGGGGGAGACAACAAATCTTTTTATCATTCAAAAACAAATTGTATACGCTACCCTTTTTCAATATATATCCCGAATTTAATGAAAATTGTTATCTGCGTCCCAACTTTCTACAATTTGTGAAAGATTATGAAATGCCAAGGAAGAGCGGGGTTGAAACAACAAATCTATTTTTGTCTTTTAAGAACACGTTGCATAAACAAATTAATGGAAATTGTTTATTACATGAAATTTTTATTCAATTTGCTCAAGAATATGGCTTTATTGATCTCATTTTAATTGAGGAGATTTACTTAAATAGATCGGAGCCTACATGATCTTTTTCAACTGCAAATCCAAGATACAATTTTACTGAAAAACAAAATTTAAGAACCTTTGTCAACGGATTTGTAAACACAGGTTTTGGAACTGATGAAATTTTTAGAGATAAGCAAAGCACAATTGATTGGTTAGCTAAACACGAAAAATGGACCAAACCAAACGTAGCAGCGGCAGAAAAAGTATCTCAAACAAAAAAGTATCTTAAACGAAATTTTTATTTAAGATACTCTTTCTGCCGCTGTTACGTTTGGTTTGGTCTATTTTTTGTGTTTGGCTAACCAATCAATTGTGCTTTGCTCATTTCTAAAAATTTCATCAGTTCCAAAACCTGTGTTTACAAATCCGTTGACAAAGGTTCTTGATAAATTTTGTTTTTCAGTAAAATTGTATCTTGGATTTGCAGTTGAAAAAGATCATGTAGGCTCCGATCTATTTAAGTAAATCTCCTCAATTAAAATAAGATCAATAAAGCCATATTCTTGAGCAAATTGAATAGAAATTTCATGTAATAAACAATTTCCGTTAATTTGTTTACGTAATGTGTTTTTAAAAGTCAAATAGATTTGTTGTCTCAGCCCCGCCATTTTCGTAAGAAAAAAACAAATTGCAGAAAGATGGGATGCAGATAACAATTTTTCCTTTAAATTTTGGATATATATTGAAAAAGGGTGGTGTATATAATTTGTTTTTGAATGATAAAAAGATTTGTTGTCGACCAAGCATTAAATATTATTTTTGCGTAATTTTGTGTTATTTTTATTTATTTCTTTGTTTTAATAAATTATTTGTTTTACTTCCTTTTTATTATTTACTTTAATGTTTTATTGCATTTAAAATATTTTATTTTCTCGAAATTAATTTCAAAAAATTTTAAAAGTTAATAAAATGACTAATTTTGAAGAAAAATTTCTTGATGGTCCAAATGTTGGTTATTGCTCTTCTTCAGATGATGAACAAACTGTGCCTAAAAAAGATCAAGTTTTATCCAAAAACTCTTCAAAATATCAAAAAACAGAAAGAACTGGACCAAAAGGTGTTTTGGCTGATTATCAACTTTCTGAACAAGAAAAATTTATCGAACAAAGAGCAAAGGAAGCAGCGGTTATTTTTTCTTAATTTTATTTATTTTTTGGATTGTTTTTGGAAGTATGGGCTGCCTTGATTGTTGGGCGCTTGATGCTATTTTGGGCTAATTACTGGCCTTGGGGAATGCTCCATTTTTTGGAATTTTTGTCCGCAAAATTTCTCCGCAAACTTGAAATCCTTTTTCCGGTCTTGACCGTTTTTAGCTCGGACACCTCGCAACCTTCCCTAGGTTAAAGAAGGTATCGTGTTATCTCGCCAAAAGCTTGACTCGCCAAAGCTTGACTCGCCAAAAGCTTGACTCGCCAAAGCTTGACTCGCCAAAAGCTTGTTTCGCCAAACCCCCAAAAGCTGTTGAATCGCCAAACAGTGGAAAAAAGCTTGTTTTGCCAAATAAATACCAAAACTTATTATTATTCAATTTGTTAATAAAACTGTGGAATTTTTTATTATTTACCTCGCGGCGGAATAACCTGTTGCTTTTAGCCTGTTGGTTTTTAGTCTTCGCTGGTCTTCGCTACACGATGGACGTGCTTCGCTGCGGTCGTGCTCGCTTCGCTCGCGGCGACCGTAGCGAAGCGGCGGCCGTCGTTCCGCTCGACATGCCCGGCTTCCTCCGCAGCGGCAAAAACTTTTTTCCGCGTAGGCATTATGTGAGAGGTTTCCACACTTTGTTTTATGAATGATTTTGGAGGAGGATTATATTATATACAAGGAGGAGTTTTATAAAAATTTTTCTAAGGTTTGGCAATTCAAAAGCTTTTGGGGGTTTGGCGAAACAAGCTTTTTTCCACGGTTTGGCGAGTCAACAGCTTTTGGGGGTTTGGCGAAACAAGCTTTTTTCCACGGTTTGGCGAGTCAACAGCTTTTGGGGGTTTGGCAAGACAAGCTTTTTTCCACGGTTTGGCGAGTCAACAGCTTTTGGGGGTTTGGCAAGACAAGCTTTTTTCCACGGTTTGGCGAGTCAACAGCTTTTGGGGGTTTGGCAAGACAAGCTTTTGGCGAGATAAAACGTGCCGGTTAAAGAAGCATTTCTTTTTTAGTTTTTTAATTTTTTAAACGGAAAATTTATTTTACCGCCTTGGGATGTGGACGGTTTTTTAAATTTTTGTCCTCAAATTTTCAAATTTATTTTTTTTATTTATAGTTACTTAAAGAAGCGACTCGTTTTACATTAGAAAATCCACCAAATAGACAAGAGGAGGAGGATGAAGAAGAAGAAATTGAATTGAAAAGAATTAGAGAACGAAGAGTAGAACAATTGAAAAGTAGAGCAAAGGTTTGGATTTTTTAATTTTTTTCTGTTTTAAGAATTTTAATGATAGTTGATTTAATGACTACCGGTTTTCCTCATTTTCGCCCGTAGTCAAAACGATAATCAGCATTAAATGTGGGAATTGTTTAACAAAGACGATAAAACATCAGAATTCGATTTCCGTGGAAAGGGGAAACGGCCTCTTAAATTTCTTACAATTTCGACTACGGCGCTAAAATATGTTGCCATTGGCACGAAAAAATATAAGATTCACAATTATTAAAAATGATCCCTAACTTCTTTCGAAAAAATTTTCCTAGAAAATCTTTCCCAACTAAGGTTGGCCGATATTTGGAAATCTTCGGATATCCGGATCCGATATCCAAACCGAAAATTTCGGATATCGACCTTTTTTCGGGTCCGGATCCGCCAAACTTATTCCCAACTGAAATGGCATTTTGTCTTCTACTTATACTTGGTTTTTTTTCTCTATTATTTTTAAATTTTTAGGGTCAAGTTGTAAAAATCTCTGATCGTTTTGAATTTCTCAATTTAATAGAACAACAATCTCCAGACATTTTTCTTTTTATTTTAATTCATCTTGAAGGAAATGAACGTTGTGAACATTTAAATTTTGCATTGCTTGAATTATCTGGTATTCTTAATAATCAGGAAAAAATGAAATTTTACAAAATTGAAAGTATTGTTTTGGGGACAACAAATAAATTTGTAAGGGAATTTTAATTTAAAGGAAAGATTTCAAAAATATTTTTTAGACAAAAGAAGCACTTCCAGTACTTCAAATTTATAAAGCAGGGCAATTAATTGGGAATTTTATTTGTTTGGATAAGGAGATGAATGAGGATTATGATGGCCAAGATTTGTTGAAATTTTTAAAGAGGTTTTGAATTTTTTATTGTTGAATTTAAATTATTTTTTTAGAAATGGAATTTCTTTTGGTTAGGTACGAGCATTTTACTATTTAAATTGGATGTAAATGTTTGGAATTTTTTATGAAGGTTTTTACTACTTTGATGATTTATTGCTTTCGCTTGCGGCCAGAGGCGGGTCGGAATTCCGATTTCCAACAATTTTTCCTTCCGATTTCCGAAATTTTGGAAAAATTTTGGATTTTCGCTGCTTCCGATTTCCGACACCTTTGCTGTTCCGACCCAACTTTGCTTGTGGCAATGGCTTCTTGGTCCTCCAAAATCTTCGCATAGAAGATTTTTCGTATAAGGCGCTGAAAAGAAAATATAAAAATATACGTGCAGAAAATTTGCGCTTGGGACATTAAATTAAGAGCCAAAGGCAATCCGAAAACCTTCGAAATCCGACCCCCTAGCTTTGATTTTAGTGAAATTTTTGGGCATATTTAATTCACCTCGATTCCTTCAACTTTTTATGCATTTTTCCAGTCAGCAAACTTGCTGATAAAATTTGCGAACATTTTTTATATATAATTCTCAATTTAATCCTTTCATTTTATTGATTTCATTTTATAAATATTATTGAAAATATACTTGGTTTTTATTTGTTATTTTTATCAAATTTATTTTTTTTCGATTATTCTTTGACCTTTTTTAATTTTTTTAGATTAATATAATTTATTTTTAAAATATTTTTTTAATTTTCCAATATTTTTAAATCAAATATGGACATCGTTTTGCAACATTTATATGAAAACAAAATTATTCAATTTGGAGAATTTGTTCTAAAAAGTGGAAAAACTTCGCCAATTTACATTGATTTGCGCAATCTTGTTTCATTACGTGATGCTAGGGTATTTTTTTTTGAATTTGATAGGGACGGGAAAACTGAGATTTTATAAGTAAAAATTAGTTTTGTAGGGAAGAAGGTATATCCAGAAAGTTGACTTAAACTGCTTATCCCTTCCCCTCTATAAGGAACTGGGAGTGTTTTTAGACTAGGAGTGGTTTAAGATTTATTAAATTGTAAGTTGAAAGGAACGCCTCGGTAGATTGATCACTAGAGCGTCTATATGTGATAGGCGAAAGCGCCTATGTTGGCGCTGGGAGGTCGTAGAACAGAAGGTCGCCTGTCCGGACTCTTATCAAATGAAGACTTAATAAATTTTAGTCCGTATAAAAGTCCGCAAGTTTTTGTCCGCAAAATTAATTTTTATTATACTTATTTAATTCAAGAATGATACAGCCAATGCACTTTACAAAATTATTTTGGAAACAAATATTGAATTTGATTATGTTATTGGAGTGCCTTATGGAGCTATTTTATTGTCAGAAGTATTTTTTCAATTTTTATTCGAAATTTTGTCCATTTTAATTTAAGCAAATTGCATGTTTATTCAAAAAACCAGTTTTATTAATTCGTAAAGAAGCCAAATCTTATGGGAATAAAGAAATGATTATTGGACAATTTGAAAAAGGCAAAAAAGTTTTGGTTATTGAAGATGTTGTAACTACTGGTGCTTCTATTCTTGAGACTGTGGGAGAAATTAACAAGGTTTTTTGCGAGATAAAATTACTTCTAAAAATTTTTTCTGAAGGCAGGACTTTACACAGAACACGTTTTTTGTATTGTAGATCGTGAACAGGGTGGCCCTGAAAAACTTAAAGGAAAGGGACTTTTACTTCATAGGTTTATTTTCAATTTTTCATTTGGGTGTTTGAAAAATAAAAGGAAGAATTTTGGTTTTTTTAGCAGGTTAAGGAGCCGGGTCTCTTCCTTTTTATGGCGCCGCAGGCAAAAATTTTGAGAATTTCGGAAGGAAATACTATAATAAATCAGACAAAATGAAATCCTGAACTTAAAATTATTCAGGATGGATTTTGTATTAGAATTGGGTTTTAAAATTCCGAACAGGACAGGATCCTGCAGGATTAAGCCTAAAAATCCTGGAAAACTGAAAAAAAGCAGGATTTCGGACAGGATCCTGAAAAATCCTGTGCAGGATACTGTCCTTTGCCGATCTTAATGAATAACCCATATTTTGATTTTTTAACAAATTTGGATCGAATTTTGTAAAAAAATTTTTTTTGGGATTTCTAAAATTTTTTTTAAAAGATTAAAAAAAAATTTTCTTTTTAGTCTTATCCAGATGACATCAATTTTGGACTTTCTCGTTTCAAAAGGAATAATTGGACAAGAACGAAGGGAAGAAATACAACAACAATTACTGAATCCTTCAACAGAATCAATTCCAAATATTAACCAAACAACAAAAACTTTTCAACATTTAAATTTATTAGAAAGACTGAAATATTTCCCAGAAAATTCGTTTAATTATAAACTAATTAATTTAATGATGAAAAAGAAGACTAATTTGTGTTTGGCTGTGGATAATTTTAATAAAGAGCAGATTTTGAAGGTTTTTTAATTTTATTTTTAATGAGATAGGATAAGGATTGATAATCTCCGCCTTCTCTTCCGCCTTTTGTTTTTAAAATGCGGTAGAGTCCATCCCTGTTATAGGGTTGTCGAATAAGAGCCGAACTGAAGAACAGACGATTTTTCGGTTCGGTTCTTAATAAATGGTGTATTTTTTGGTTTTTTGGCTCTCTAAAATGCTCAAAGGTGTTATTTTGAAGCGCTGCTCCCTCCAAAAATTTTCTGGCTCGGGTTTTGTTTATCCAAAAAATTTCCCAAGGACCCTAGAATTTATTAAAGTTTTTTTGTGGTGAAGTGGGTTTTCTACAGGTTAATGTAAGAGTGTAGTGATTTATTTGGGGGTAAGGTTCGAATCCGCTTGGGGTAATTTTATTTTTTTTAGATTGATTTTTTCCTCCAGTTTTTTTCTTTCAAATTTTTAAGATTCTCGAAAGTGCCAAAGATTTTATATGTACCTTAAAACTACATTGCGACACAATAGATGGTTGGGATGACGAATTTTCTGCTCAACTTCAAAAGATATCAAATGAAAATAATTTTTTGATATTTGAAGATCGGTTTGAAAATTTTTTTCGATTAAAAAAATACAAAATTAAATTTTAAGTAAACTTGCGGACACAGGAAATACAATGATTTTACAGCTTGAAAAAGGTTTAAAAATTGCAAAATGGGCAGATGTAGTTACTGCTTATCCATTTCCTGGTGCTAAAACATTTGAATCGTTGAGGAAAGAGGTTTTTTAATTTTTTAAAATATAGGAAAAGAAAAGTAAAATCTCAGGCTCGGGTAGGGATCGATTAAGGAAGCGAAATAAGAAGAAAAGTGAGGGCGACTCAACCGTTCCAAAAGTCGGAAACTTTGAAGCCCTATAACTTTTCGAAATGGGGGTCAGGGCCAAAAAAGAAACCTACTACAATTGGTTTTCGACCATGCTCCATGATGGTATAATTTTTATTTGAAAATTTTTGGTCACAGTTCGGAATGTTCTTTTGTTAGCATATTATTCTAGGCGTTTTCGTTGATCTAGTGTATAAATGATCTCCCGGTCAATTATGAGTCGGAGTGGGGAATAATTCAGGTTTTGGGTTTGGTTTTCAGAATTTTCTTCGGATCCTCACTCCGGTTCTCGATTTCGGATCCTCGCTTGAAAAAGCGTTTTAGATTTCGGGTTTTTTGAAGAAGGGTATCTTGTCTCTGCTATCGACTGACACGAGCTAGGCTGGATTTCCTCTTCCTACAATAAAAATTAATTTTTTAGATTATCGAGTCACCCAATTACAAGCTTTCTGGAATTCTTTTACTGGCAGAATTAAGCACAGAAGGATCTAAAATGGATGCGAACTTAAGTGTAGAATTTGCAGAAAAACTTGGAAATAATTTAATTAGTGGCTTCATATGTCAAAAAAGATGTAGTGAAAATATGGGTTTTATGTATTGGACACCAGGTTTTTTTTGAAAAATTTTTTTGATGAAGAAGGGTGTCTTGTTCATGCCCTTTTAATTATCCAGTCAAGACTTTTTGAATAAATGGACTGAAGAATTTTCGGGATATTTAGGAGAAAAAACGTCAAATTCTCCAATATGCAAATTTGGTATAGGTCAGATGTTATTGGGTTTTTAAGGAGAAAAAAGAGAGAAATCACTTGTTTACCTCTTAATTCCGTAACTTTAAATGACCATAACTAGGCCCAAAGTCATTTTGGAAGAAAAAGAAAGTTACTTCAAAAATACAAGTCAAGGGAGGTCCTCTATCGAATGGTAAAGGACCTATCGAATGGTATCGGGAATAACACCAAATTTTTGTACACATTAGGCCATGGGGAACAGATGCCAACTTACCGCAGAGCTATAACTTTGTTCAGAATTGTCGAATCAGGGACGCCTTGGTATTGTTCGACGCGCCTAGACGAGCTGAATCGAACCATACCAGATCGTCGTCCCGGATTCGACAATTCCGAACAAAGTTATAGCTCTGCGGTAAATTGGGGGTGTACCCTAGGTCATGCTCCCTTTGTTAGTCGTTTTCCAGAAAATTTTTGAACAAAATTTTTTTTAATTTACTAGGTGTTAGTCTAAATAAATCAACAGATGGAAAGGGTCAACAATGGCGTGGACCTGAACAGGCAATTTTAAATGATGGTTGTGATATTATAATTGTTGGTAGAGGAATTACAGAAGCAGAAAATATTGAAGAAGAAATTAAAAAATATCGAGAAATTGCTTGGAATGCTATATTGGAGAAGAAAAATAATTTTTAAAAGTTTTTTTAATTTAATTTTTTTTAATTTTTATATTTTTTTACGATTAATTTATACAAGTTACTTAATTAATAAATTAATTTTTTTCTTTGTTCCTTCTTGGCATTTTAGAATTGGTTATTGATCAATTTGACTATTTTTATTAGCTTGGTTTATTTATTGTGTGTTCTGACCATTTTGGGCATTTCTAATTTTTGACAAGTTCAGTCGTATGTGAGGTGAATTTTACATTTTTAATTTTTGTCATAATGTTTATCTACTAATTTTAAATTTAAAAAATTAGGCGTCGAAAAATATTTTTTCAAGACAAAAAAAATTTTTAATTTCTTTGTTTACATTTTTAAGATTTATTTTTCTAAATTCAGATTGAGAATACTAATTGATTTAATTTTCAAATAAAACAACTTACAACTTTAATTAACAGCAAAAGATATGAGCTTTTCTAAAATGCCAAAACATGGCGAGTCTGCTCCAAAGGAAGCGTTAGTTTAAAAATTTAATTTATAAAGATTTCCAAGTTTAATTTACAATTTTGACCAAGAAATTGAGCAATTAAATAAATTGGAAATTTTTGGGCATTTATGGGAGCGGGGATTTTTTATCTTCACTCGATTTTTCACGGAAAAAGTAAATTTAGTGACTTAACTTTAATATTGAACCTGACAGACCCCATTTTTTCTCCCCAAGTTTCTTCCTATATATTTGCAGAATAGTTAGACTTCTTCCCTTCTTCCATTTCCTATCTATAAACAATCAAAAGGAATCAATTTTTATTCCCCCTTGGATTGAAGAAACGAAAATTAAGATGGAAGAATGAAAGAAGTCTGACCATTCTGCAAATATATAGGAAAAAACACGGGGAGGAAATATGGGACCTGTCAGGTTCAATAATACCGCTTAATCTTGGTTTCTATTTTTTAAAAGTCAAATTAAAAATTTGTTTTTAGACACACCAACAACAGCAACAATTTTGACCAAAGAATTGACGCTATTAGACAACGAAACATTATTGATTCTAAATTTGGATATGAATTATATACTGAATGTTGTCCAAAAAATGGATGGCTTGTTAATGTTCAACAGGTTTCTCTTTAAAAATGTTTTGGTACTACTCATTTTTTGCGGACTTTTTTTTGCGGACAATTTATTCCATTTGCAGTCTGTACATAATGGTCAGACTCCCTTCTCCCTTCCTAAATTCGAACAGGATTAGGATTAGTGTATAAAATATCAGTAAATGATGGAAGCAGAACAGTACAAATAAAATTTGTCCGCGAAAAAAAGTCCGCAAAAACATGTCGGGATAACGGAGCAGTCCATTTTTTAGAGATCGAGCTGAACCTGGATCAAGGCCTGGGTTTTTCATGTACCCAGAGTCCAGGTCTTGGCATTTTTTGTCTTTGGTTTTTCCTGGGTCTATGTTTTTTTTGGACTACAGGACCAGGATCCAGTCCAGGTCATGAAATCAAACTCCAGAGTCCAAAAACAGGTCCAGGCTTTTAAAAAATCTCGATCTCTACTATTTTTTAATTTTCATTTTCTTTTTTTTCAAGTCTGAAGTTGTCGATGAAAAAACTAAAGTAATCCAGTCTGTTGTAAATTTTTATTTTTTGGAGTCTTGTGGAGGTCGTTTCAAGGTTTATTTTAAAATTTTGAGGAAATTTTTTTTAATTTATATTTTAGATTTCCTATTTGTTCCGTCCTTATCTCTATTTGGAAACTGTTCCAGGAAGTGAATTTGCTGTAGCTGAATTTCTTTCGAGAAAATATCACTTTGTTCAAGTTGAACATGTTGAGAAGGAAAATCTCGATTTGGTATATGAAAAATATTTTTGAGTAATAGTGTCCTTTTTATATCCCCCTTCTTGTGTTTTTAAGAAAATAGGATTATTATAATCCATGGATCTTGCCGTCACACTTTCTTAAAATAGGGAATTCTCGAAGTTTTCCTGGTTTTCGAAAATCGAGATTTTAAATTTATAGGCAATCCTAATCCCTTAAATCGGAAATTTATTTTTTATGCCGGCAGGACTTGGTTTTGATTCGCAAGCGTCGTCCTCATGCACAGACACATTTGGCCCCTTTCTCTTTTTTAACATTATAAAGTGGATCTACTAGCAATTTTGGTTAAAATTTTTTCAGAAAAATCACCTTTCTGGACTTAAAAGCAAATATCTTCGTGTCTCATTTCCCAGTACAGTTGAACATGTTCAATTTCGTCGAGATCTGTTTCCACAAATTCGTAAAAATCAAAAAACAAAGGAAAAGTCAACTGAATACACAACACTATTGGCAGAGTATTTTTTAGACTTATTGTTAGATACTTGTGGGTTCTCTAAACTAACGGGCTCATAATGGTCAGAAATAAGAAAAATCACTCCAACTTCCATATTTCCCCCAGGCAATCATTTTTTCGAATATTGAATAAAAATGGAAAATATGGATGCTCTGACCATTATGAGACCATGATTATGAGTCCGCATAAAAGACAAAAAACTGTTCTCAAAAAACTTGTTTTGGGATAACCCACAAGTACCTTTAAACCTTAAAAAATTTTTTGTAATTTCAATTTAAAGATATATGGAAGAAGGAAAGGGTGATAAATATGCAGATGTTAGCCCTCTAGAGCAGATTATGGATATTCGGTTTTTTAAAGTTTAATTTTTTTATTTGAAATTTTTTTTCATTTTTTCAAGTGAATATGATTTGCCTTTTGATATGCGTGTTTGTATTGATGGACGCTTCTTTGTTGGGCATTGGTATACAGTTGTGGGACTTGATTTGGCTACTCAAAAGCCGTTAATTGAATTAAACTCGTCTTTAGTTGAACCGCCAGAGCCAATTGTAAATTTGTTTTCTGGGTTGGGATTTTGGTTGAAATTTTAGTTAAAAAATTTTTTTGGGGGGTTTTAGAATTTTTTTACGTCTTAAATTTTTTTGGATTTTTTCTCTCAATTCAATTTTAGATTTGTGCCTTTGATATAGAAACAACTAAAGCTCCGCTTAAATTCCCTGATGCTTCAGAAGATCAAATTATGGTATTTTAAATAAAATTCTTTACAGTCGTAACTCGCTTTTAAATACAAGAGATCCGAGACGCGATCTTGAACAAAAATCAAGGTTATAGAGAATTGTGATTTTTCGACATATCGATTTGGATTATTGTACGACCCTCCCATTCTGTGCTCTATTAGAGACACGCACAATTTGGGGTGGTGTTTTTAATTTTTTGTTTACTATAGGGCGGAGGAGTTGTTCCCTTCACAAATTTTTTCCTTGTCCCATTTCGGGAGTAGAGGAAGGGTGAATTCCTCCTGGCTACGGGCTTGCTCCCAATTTACTACACATCATTATAAGATACAATTTTTTAATCTCAAGGATTTAAAACTGGAATCCGACTATAAATAAAATTAAAAAAAATATTTTTCAACAGATGATTTCCTATATGATTGATGGTTCTGGCTTTTTAATAGTAAATAGACAAATAATTTCTGAAGATATTGACAATTTTGAATATACACCTAAACCTGAATTTGTTGGGGAATTTGTTGTTTTTAATGAAGAAAATGAACAAAAATTGTTGTTGAGATTTTTTGATCATTTACTAAAAATTAAACCTGCAATTATGGTTACTTATAATGGAGATTTTTTTGATTGGTTTGTTTTTTGGGAGTTTTTTTTTAATTTTTTGGTTAAGTGGGGCCCCGAAACTTTCAATTAAGTATGATGGCCGGACATTTTTTCCATTGACCTTGATCTCAAATAGTAGAGGCGTGCGAGACCGAAGATTTTCCAAGACCAAGACTAGACCACAAGACCGAAAAAATCTTTGAAAAGTTTTGGAATCTAGACCGAGAGTTTCGCACGCCTCTATCAATTAGTGATTTAGACTGATGTTAGCATTCTTCCCAATATTTTTCCTTTCAACCCCGAACGATTTTGACGAACCCGACCCCGATATCTGCTCTGATAAACTCCGACCCCAAAGGATCTGTGTCAACTCTGTATGAGACGGAAGAAAAAAGATTTTTTAGGATTTTTTTCCATAAATTAGACATTTCATCCATTTTTAAAAATGTCCAGAATTCATTTGGTCACAAATTTTGTTTTATTAAATTAATTTTTTTATTTTTCATTTTTAAAGGCCTTTTGTTGATGCTCGTGCAAACTTTCACGGAATAAATATAAACAAATATTTGGGTTTTTATAAAGATTCACAAGATGAATATAAACATTTTAATTGTGTACATATGGATGCTTTTAGGTTTTTTTTAATTTTAAAGGATTTTGAAAATTTTTTAGTTGGGTTCAACGTGACAGTTATCTTCCAATGGGTTCACAATCGTTAAAAGCTGCAACTAGAGAAAAATTGCGTTATGATCCTATTGAATTGGATCCAGAAGAAATGGTTTGGAAATAATTTTTTTTTAATTTTTTTTTATGAAAAATTTTTGGGAAAAATTTTTTTCTAAAAATTTTCGAAAAAAGTTTTCAGAATTTTTCAGAAGAATTTTTTGAAATTTATTGAGAAAATTTTTTTATGGAAAAATTTTTTACGAAATTTTAGGGAAAAAATTTTTATAAAAAATTTTTTACAAAAAATTAAAAAAATTTTTCCATCGAAAAAAATTCTCTAATTTTTTTTTAAATTTTTAGTTTCTAAAATTTTTTTTCTTTTTTTTATTGAAAGCTTTTTGATCTTTAATTGAAAAAATTTCCTTTTTTAAGGTCCCAATGGCAAAAAATCAACCAAAAGTTTTGGCAAATTATTCAGTTTCTGATGCTGTTTCAACTTATTATTTATATACAAAATATGTTCATCCGTTTATTTTTGCTTTGTGTACAATTATTCCTTTGTCTCCAGATGATGTTAGTTGTTGGGGGGTTTTTAAATTATATTTTGAACATAATTAAACTTATTGTTCTACGTCATTCAGGAACATTGTCATTTTTAAATTGTTGTTATGAGTTTCTAACTAATAATGGGGCGGGTTAACCGAAACCAGGCTTGAAGAAGCCAAAACACCCAAAGAAAATGTTGAAATCCTAATCCGAACCCGGACTTTACAGTTTTTTCCAATTCAGACTTATCCCCATTTTTGACCTTAAATTATTTCAGATTTTAGTCTTAAGTAAAAATGGATATTTAAGGATTAAATTTGTTCCCAACATTTATTTTAAAATTTTTTTTCATATTTCAGGTATTGCGTAAAGGTTCAGGAACATTATGTGAAGCTTTGTTAATGGTTCAAGCATTCCACAGCAATATAATATTTCCAAATAAACAAGTAATTAAAGAAAATAAAATGACTTTGGATGGACATTTAATTGATAGTGAAACTTATGTTGGTGGGCATGTTGAGGCTATTGAATCTGGAGTTTTTAGAGCTGATATAGCTTGTAGATTTAAATTGGACGTTGAAGCATTGGAACAATTAAAGGTTTTTTAACCAGTTTTTTGTGGGTAGAATTTAGGGTTGGGTCGGTTGAGAAGAAAAAGCCGAATTTGGTTTTTGGGTTTCAAAATTTTCTAAGGTTTGGGTTTTAGGAAGAAAAGACGTTTTGTGAGGATTTGGTTTCGAGTAAACCCGTACCCATTAACTCGCCCATTATTCGTTGCTTCTTGTGTCTCATTCTGTAAAATGGATACTGGTCGAACGATTCTTAATTATTAAGGATTTTATTTAAGGGATTTATGTATTTTAGAGCTGCAATTTTTAACTTAAATCATCAGGGGGATTTTGTCATTTAGGCAATTTTAAATCGGATTTTTTTGTTTTTATTCTATTGGAGTTTCGGTTTATAAGATTTTGGAAAAAAATTTTTATATTTTTTTTTCTAAAAATTTTTTGCTGGATCCATAAACTAGACAGAACCGAATTTTCTTTAAAAATTTATTCTAACTATAAATTTAAAGGAAGAAGTTCGTCCAACATTAGAACATTCATTTTGTAATGATGCAAAAATATTATTATCGGAAGTTTTAAATTTTGAATCAATTTGTGAACAAATTGAACAATCATTGGATGCATTAATTGAAAAACCTTTAAGAACAGAACATCCAGAACTTTACCATTTGGATGTTGGGGCGATGTATCCGAATATTATTTTGACTAATAGACTTCAGGTTTATTGATAAAAATAAAAAATATATGGTTAAATGTTGAGAGTTCGGTTGTGTTCTGTGTGGTGTATTGGTTAACGTGTTAGATTTGGGAAATTATGGGGTGTGGGTTCGAGTCCGCTTGTCGGCATTTTATTTTATTTTCACCTAAACAGTCTTAAAATGATCTTAACAATTTTTTTCAGTTTTTAAATTATTTTAGAATTTTTTTAACTTTATCATTTACTAGTTTATCTTTTAAAATTCTCCAGTCTCGCTCCTCTCTTGCCCTAAAAAATTTTTAATTTAAAAAAATATTTTCAGCCTCCAGCAGTTGTAAACGAAGAACAATGTATGGCTTGTATTCATAATGCACCTGATGCTAAATGTAAAAGAAAAATGGATTGGGTTTGGAGAGGAGAGTGTAGTGAGTATTTTAAAAATTAATTTTTAAAAAATTTTTTTGATTAAATTTTGTTTTTTTTTTCAAGTTCCCGCCTCTAAAGGAGAATATGACAGGCTTATGATGCAATTAGAACAAGAGAGATTTGGAAAGCCACCAAGGCCATTTAATGCTTTACCTAAAGAAGAAAGATTAAAAATTTCTAAAAAGAGAATTACAGGTTTTTTAAAATTAAAAAAAAATTTTCATAAAAATTTTTTAAAGAATATTGCAAAACTGCTTATAAAAGGTTGCATGATACAAAAATAGAGCAAAGAAATACAACAATATGTCAACGGGAACACTCTTTTTATGTAGATACTGTTAGAGCTTTTAGAGATCGACGTTATGAGTATAAGGAAATGCATAAGGTTCGTTAATTTTATTTTATTATAATTTTTTGAAGGCAAGCGGCTGGTTAGGTCAGTCGGGGTTTGATTTTTCACATGTTTCGGGTCGAAAAAAGTCTGGTTTTGTGTAATCGGGATTTCGGAAAAGGTTTCTTGGTTGGGGGTTTCGGGTAACCCAACTCATCACTGATGCGCGGGTCTCCGTATATAATTTGTGGGTCTCCGTATAATTTTGTCCGCAACATTTGTCCGCAAATTTTAAGTTTGCCAATAAAAGGGCAAGGATGCCTCGATTTTTTATTGTATTTTTGAATTTATATAATACTTTAAATAAAAAAATTATTTAGAAAGCAAAAGCTTCAGTAGAAGCAATTCCCTCAAGTCATTTGGCTGATCGTAAATCTGCACAATCTAGAGTTATACTTTATGATTCACTTCAAATGGCACACAAATGTATTTTAAATTCTTTTTATGGTTATGTTATGAGAAAAGGATCTAGATGGTTTTCTATGGAAATGGTAAGTTAATCTGCTAAAGTGTTTTAGGGCTGAAACTAATACTATCCAAGCCTGCCCTGAATTTTATTGGCTTTATTTTTTTAAGATAAAAAATCTAGGCTAATCCAAATAATATAAAATAGTTTATACTATTCTTAAGCAAAAATTAGATTTTTGTCCGCAAAATTTTTGCGGACAAAAATTTTGTGTCCGCAAAAGTTATCCGCAATTGTTTGGTTGATTGAATTATTCCTTGGTTTTTTTATTTTGTTTAATTTAAAACAATTATGATTTTTTGCTATTTTAAAATTTTAATTTTCTCAATTTTTCAGGCTGGGATTGTATGCCATACAGGTGCTAATATAATTCGCGAAGCGCGTCAATTAATTGAACGTATTGGTAGACCATTAGAGTTAGATACAGATGGAATTTGGTGTTTACTTCCAAGCTCGTTTCCTCAAAATTTTGTTTTCGAAACTTTGAATGGCAAAAAAATTAAAATTTCTTACCCAGCCGCTGTTTTAAATGCTTTGGTTAAAGATCGATTTACAAATGAGCAATATCATACAATTATTGATGATGGGGAATGTATAATATCTAGTGAAAATTCTATTTTCTTTGAGGTAAATTAATTTTTCTAATTCAAATTTAGATGTCAATATTTGCGGACAATCCGCAAATTTTTTATATTTGCGGACAATCCGCAATTTTTTTATTTGCAGACAATCCGCAAATTTTTGCGGACAAAAATTTTTTTCTTAAGGTTGACGGTCCTTATTATGCAATGATATTACCAGCTTCCAAGGAGGAAGGAAAAAAGCTTAAAAAACGGTTTTTTTTATTTTTTATTCATGAAAGTTTAATTTTTTAAAATAGTTATGCCGTCTTTAATTTTGACAAAACTTTGGCTGAATTAAAAGGATTTGAAGTTAAAAGACGTGGAGAATTGGCAATAATAAAGTTTGTATTTTTTTATTAGACTTTATTGTAAAATACATCCATAAGCATATTTGATGCCGAAAAGCCAAACCCACCAAAAAAACCCGTCGAAATGCCAAACAATTTTGGTTCTACTAATAATAAGCGATACTTCCCATTTAAAATACCCCTTATTGTGAGGGCGTAGCTTTTTTAGCTTCTGGGGCTAAAGCCCCCCCCCCCCCCCCGAAATGGGGAAAAGGGGAAAATATGAGGAGGGGATTGATCAAAAAAGTGGCCCTTCTGAAATCGACTTCCTGGCTACGCCCTTACCTCATTGTAAGATACAATTTTTCAGTTCAAGGGGAGAAGGTATTTATTTCACAATGAAGTCTTGTTGTACTTATTTAATTAGGGGGCGTTCACAACTTGTTAATTTTTGTCTGTGTTGCCCTCAAATAGAGAATAATAAGATATTCGTTATATGAACCGCCATAGGCAAAAATTAATCGGTTGTAAACAACCCCTAATTTAGGTGACAAATTAATAGAAAAAAATTTTATTTTTTAAAGATATTTCCAAACCGAAGTTTTTAAATGCTTTTTGAAAGGCTCTACATTAGAAGAAATTTACTCAAATGTAGCTTTAGAAGCAAATTATTGGCTTTCTATACTTTATGATCAAGGAAGAGCTTTATCTTTGAGTGAATTATTTGAATTAATTGGTGAAAGTAAAAATATGAGTAGAGCTTTGGAAGATTATGGAAGTCAAAAATCAACATCTATTACAACTGCTAAAAGATTGGCTGAGGTTTTTTTGATAATTAGAATTTTTTTTTTGTTTTTTGTAGGGTGTAAGGAGAAAGGATGGACGGACGGATTTTGCAAAGCACTTTTGTTCATCTATTGTAGGCAAGGGCGTGATTAGTGGGGGGCTTTGAGTGGGCTTTTTGACCTCCAGAATTCTCAAAAATTCGTCCGTTCATCCTTCCGTCCTACAAAAAACCTGGCGCTAACAGACCCTAAAATCGCCTACCACCATCCTCCAACCATGTAAGTCATTGGTTGGAGGATGGTGCAATTTTTTGAATTTTGCAAAATCCTAGGATTTGTATACTACATTTTTATTTTGTTGATTAAAAGAATTTTCCTCTAACAAAATTTTTGAAATTTTTTAAAACACCAAAAATGTCAAATTGGTAAATCTTTATATTTTTTAGTTTCTTGGTGAAGGAATGGTCAAAAACCGTGGATTGGCTTGTAAATTTATTGTTTCTCGATTTCCAATTGACGAACCTGTGACGGAAAGAACCATCCCTCAAGCTATTTTCGATTCCGAACCAAACATTAGAAGTAGATTTTTGAGGCGTTGGACAAAATGTACACATTTGGATTTTGCTGATGAAAATGTTTTTAGAGAGGTTTTTATTTTATGAAAGATTTTTTAGTTGGGATCTAGGTCAGGGCTGATCGAAATAAATTTTTTATTTCATGAAACGAAATAAAATTTTCTTCTGTTTTGTTTTTAAACGAAATGAGTCTTTTTCCGTGGCGCGAACTTTGCGGACCCGAGACCCGAAATTTGCAGACAAAGTTTGGGACAAGAAGTTATTGCGGCTCAAAATTTGAGAACCGATACTTGAGTAGGTCAGGATAAATTAACGCCGCAACTTGAATTTTTGAAATTCCGCAAATTTCGTGTCCACAAACTTCGGGTTCCAGCCCTGATGTAAAAACAATTTTTTCAGCCATGATCTATAAATTATTTTCCTTTGGTTTCTTATTTGTTCTTTCTTTAATCGGAAGTCCCAGTGTTATGTCGAGCCTTGTTTTAAAAGAGAAAGAGGAGATGCAAATTTAGAAAATTTGATTTTGAGTTCCTTGTCTTCATTGGGACTTCCCTTCTCTGACTGTTATTATTTTTTTAAACTTCTAATAACTCCTCTATTAAAAAATTTTTTTGAAGTTAATAGATTGGCAATATTATATTGAACGTCTCAACAGTTGTATTCAAAAAATTGTAACGATTCCAGCAGCTTTACAAGGATTGCCTAATCCAGTACCTAAAGTTCCACATCCACAATGGTTAGAAAATAAAAGGAAAGAACGTGTTGAAATGCATATACAACCAAGAATAACTGATTTATTTAAGGTTTTGTTTTAAATAAATTAGAATATAAAAATGGGATTTTTAATGGTTTTAACAAATAGTGGTTAAAATTTTCGTTAATTAATTGTGGAAGGTTAGAGAGGTTTATGTCGCGATTATATAGTCAGCGATAGGAAAGAATTGGTTGGATGGCCAAACGGATTAGGCCTCAGTTTGGAGAGAAGGGGCCCTGGATCGAAGGACAGCAGTCCAACCCAAATTTTTATATTTCCCATTGGAGTAAGACCTTTCGTTTCCTCTACAATACAAGCCTTTTTTAATGGCAAAGAAATTTTTTTTTATTTTTTAATCTAATAATTTAATTCTCGTTTAAGTCAATTCCTACAAATACACCAAAAAGTAATAAAACAAAAAGTCTTCAATCAACCCCTTGGTCTCTAAAAAGTAAAAAATCAACAACAACAACAAATATTGAACAAAGTCGAAAATCACTTTTTGGAAAAGAAAAGGAGAATAAGGAAGATGATAAATTGTTACAAATTTTGAATGAAGTTGATGATATTGGTTGGTTTGGTTATTTAAAAAATTTTTAGGAAAATATTTTTTTATATTTTCTAAAAATTTGAATAATGGCTTTTAAGTACATAGCAAGTGAAGTTTAGCACCGGGCAGTCATTTATCTTGCTATTTCTAGGAAGTCATGGTCGTCAGAGTTATCCGAAATTCGAACACATATTTCCGATCTGATACCCGAACTTGAAATCCGAGCAATTTTTCAATTCGATTTTTAAAAATTTTGATCTGAAATCCTACTTGACTTTTATTCTTTACCCGTGACATTACTGATGTACAGGTGTTTCACCGAGTAAGCTACAGGGACAATGCTCTTGATTTGTAAACATTGTTATCCAATTAAATCTCTCGTCTTTTATCCATTAAATGTCATGGAAAATTAAAAAAAATTTTTTTTCAAGAAAATCAACCATCTACAAGTACTTTAATTGAAAAACAACAAGTTTCTACTACTACAATAATTCAACAAAATGAAGAAATTATTGAAATTGATGAACAAGAGATTAATATAGTGGAAATAACACAACAACAAAAACAGCAAACCGTTAAGAAAAATAAAAAACCAGAAAAATCAAAAATGGTGAAACAACGGGAAGCTAAACGTTTGGCTATTTCACAACATTTTTTCAGACGTTTAAATAGAGCTGATTATGATTTGAATAAACAAAGTTTGGTTAAAAAGACTTGGAAAGAAAATGGATTTAGTCAATGGGTTAGTTTTTTGAATGAAAATTTTTTGCGGATTTATTTTTGCGGACATATTTTTGCGGTTGTTTTGCGGATTTTTTTGTGGACAAAAAATTTTTTTTGCGGACAAAATTTTGCGGACATATTTTTATACGGACAATTTTTTGCGGACAGTTTTTTGCGGATTTTTTTGCGGACAAATTTTTTTGCGGACAATTTTTTACGGAATAAATATTCCGTATTTTTTACGGAATATTTTTATCGAATATTTTAAAAAATCTATATGACTGGATGAATTTTAACGGCACATAACTTGAAAAGTTGCTGCAAAATTGTCCGTAGAGATCGAGCTGAACCTGAACCACGGCCTGGGTTTTTTCTGTATCCAGAGTCCAGGCCCTGGCATTTTTTACCTTCCTGGGGTTTTTCTGGGCCTGAGTTTTTCCTGGACTCAATAAATCAAACTCCGAAGTCAAGGAACAGGTCCAGGCTTTTTAAAAAAATGTCCGCAAAAATTGTCCGCAAATTTAATTTTTTAAAAAATTTTTTGGTAAGCCTAACTTTTCTTTTCAGTTAAATTATCTTAAAGACTTGTGGCGTTTTCAATATTTGGCAAGAAAAAGAGAGGAAGAAACTTTGGAAGCAGACAATTCACTTGCAAATATCCCTTCAACAAGTACAGCAATATTGGGGGGAGGGCCTGTAGTTAAGCGAAAACATTGTTGGCAAATTATTCAGGTTTTTTTTGATTTATAAAAATGTTTTTGAATTTAAATTTTTAAGAAAAATGTTAAATTAATTTTTAAATTAAATTTTTTTGGTAAAGGTGACATTTGATCCCGTCCATTTTTTAATTAAAAATTCAAAAAAAATCAAAAATTTTTTTAAAAATTTTTTTATTTCTAGAAATTAATTTTTAATAAAATTTTCCGTATTTTAAAAACCAAATTTATTTTAAATTAATTTTTTTGAAAAGGTGACATTTGATCCCATCCACAGCTTTTAGCTAAAAATTCAAAAATTTCTTTAAAAAATTTTTCTTTAGATTTTAGAAACCAAATTTCCTGGTCAATTTACACTATTTGCTTTAGTAGATGATATAATTAGACGAATTAATTTAATTGTTCCTCGAACAGTTTATGTCGACGATATTGAAATAAGACAAAATTCAATTGGCCAATTGGTACAAAAATTGTTACCACGACAAAGGCCTTCAGCTAATTTATATGAATTTTGTATTGATGAAGCTGTTTTTTCTACTAAAATGATGTTTGTTTTATTTTTAATTTTTTAATTTGAGAGCGGGGGAGAGAGGTGACATTTGATCCCACTATTTAATTCTTTGAGTGTGGAAAAATTTTAAGAAAATTTTTTTTCAAATTTCTTAAAAATTTTCTCGAATCGATTAATTTTCCAAATTAAAAAAGTGTTGTTCTTTGGTGGGGTGTTATAAATTGATTTTTGGAAGGGAATGACATTTCATCCCACTATTTAATTTTAATTGAGATATAATTTTTTAATTTTTTTTTGCTATAAAAATTTTGAATTTTCAAAAAAAAATGAGAATTGTCCTTAAATTGAATTTTATAGAGTAATTTCTGGAAGGGAATAATTTTTGTAAGGAATGACATTTGATCCCAAGTGGATTTTTCGAATAATTTTTCTAGGATTTTTAAATTATAATAATTAATTTATTTTTAGTGATTTAAATGTGCAAATGTGTTTAATGAGAATTAATGGAATTTATGAAACAAAAATACCTTTAATGTTTAAAACAATATTTCATAGTGGTGTAAATTGTAATATTGATGGGAAAAATTTTAATAATGAATTGAGTTTGGAACAAATTAATAAGGTTGTTAAATTTAATTTTAAAAAATTTGAGAAATTTTTGGAGAATCTTTAAAAATATTTTTTTGGAAAATTTTTAAAGTTGAAAAAAATTGTTAAATTTTTTTTGGAAATTTTCAGAGTTCAAAAAATTTTAAAAAATTTTCAAAAAAATTTTTTAAAAATTTTTTTGAAAGTTTTCGGAATTCAAAAAAATTTTTTGAAAATTTTAGAAATTTCCAAAATTTTCGGAAAATTTTTCAAAAAATTCTTAATTTTTGAAAAAAATTTTTAAAAGAAAATCCAAAAAATTTTCTAAAAAAATTTCGAAAAATTTCCAAAAATTTTTTAAAAAAATTTTCAAATTGTCTGAAAATCCAAAAAAAATTTTTTCTTCAAATTTATAAAAAAAATTTAAAAATCAAAAAATTTTCCAATTTTTTTGAAAAACTTCTAAAAATTCTCAAAAAAATTTTTTCAATTTTTAGATTGATAACCCTTCAATTTTTCAATTTTCTGATTTTAATTTTTCAACTTTACCAATAATTTATTTATACGAATATTTACATTCTGGACGTTTAATTTTATCTTTATTTATGCCAAAATTTGGAAAAGCTTTTATTTTTGTTGTAAATAGAGAACCTGTTGATTTGTTAAATTTAAATAATTTTTATTTGAATGAATTGAATCGATTGTAAGTTTGGAAAAAAAATTTTTTGTTAAATTTTTAGGGGGGATGAATGTTAATATACGCCCTCTGGTGGGGCCCTAAAAATATCCTTTTATTTCTAAACAATTATTTTTTATTTTCCATTTTATTATCTTAAAATTTTCCCAAGTTTGGATCAAATAAAATCGGAAAAAAAAATTTTTTCGGAACAAAACGTAATAAAATTCTATTTTTTTGGGCTAAATAAAATAACGAAATAAGCGAAATAAAATTTGGAATTTTGATCAGATTTGATCTCAATTAAAATTAGTAAGCAATTTTTGATTTTGGATGAGTGTCAGTTAATTTTCTCAAATTTTTAATTAATAATTCCTTTTACTTCTAATTTTTCAGAGGTTCTATCAAGGACATAGCTGGGGGCTGAGGGTGCTATAGTGCCACTCAAATGGGGAAAATGAAAAAATGGGGAGGTAAATGATAAAAAAGTGAAGTACGACCAACCCAAAAAATACAACCAAAAATTTTCAAAAATTTTTTTCGAAACGCCAAAATTTTAGCCCACATCTCAGTTTAGCCCCCCGCTGAAATCGGCCCCTGACTATGTCCTTGGGTTCTATTCCAACCCATAAAACAGTGTTGTTTATTTGGGAGTTTAAATAAAATATTCTAAATAAAATTTAATTTTAATTTAATCAAAAAATTTATTCTATTTAAATTTTTAGTATAAATCAAAAATTAATTAAAGAAGATGAATTTATTGGTTTAGAACAATGCAAAAAAATTTTATCGTTAGAAACTTATCAAAATACATCAATTAAAGATTGTTCTCGTCAACTTTCAAAATTAATAACGAGCTTAAAATTAACAAATGTTGAACCTTTTTTGCTTTTAATTCAGTCAAATAGAGTAACAAAGCAATTACTAAAGGTTTCGAATTTTTAAAAATTTTTAAAAAAATTTTTTAAATTTTTTTAAAGGATTTCCCTTCACTTGTTGCCTTCCCTAACGTTACTTTAAAGGTTACTGAACCTTCTAATTTGATGAATATATTGGATTGGGCTAATACTATTGTTAAACGATCTGTTCAACACTTTTTTATTTGTTTTACTTATTTGAAGGTTTTTTTTAAATTTTTGAAATTTTTGGGAATTTTTTTTTTTGAAAAATCCCTTTTAAGGCCTAAAATAAATTTATTTAATGTTTTTGCCTTATATATAAGGTAAAAATAAATTATTTTTATTAACGGACTCCGTGGCGCAATGGTAGCGCGTCTGACTCCAGATCAGAAGGTTGTGTGTTCAAATCACATCGGGGTCATTTATTTTTATTTTTGGTGTTTTTGGACTGTTAAATGATTAAAATTTTTTTTGGAATTTTTCTAGTCCTCTAAAAAATTTTTTAAAATATTTTACCAGGGCCTCATAAATTTTTAAAAAAGTTTTCGGGCCTCTAAAATTTCAAAAGATTTTTTTCTAGGCCTCTGAAAATTTTTTGAAAATTTCTCAAGGCCTCTAAAATTTTTTTTTGAAATTTTTCAAGGCCTCAAAAATTTTCAAAGTTTTTTTTAAAAATTTTTATAAATTAAAAAAAAATATTTTTAAAGGAATATTGGTCATTTTCTTCTTATTTGGAAATTCCAATAGGTAATTTACCTGAAGATGTCCCTTCATTTGGCTTGGATATTTTATTTGCTAGACAATTAAAAACAAAAAATTATTTATTGTGGGCATCACCATCATTAATTCCAGATTTTGGTGGAAAAGATTTGGATGATTTACGTTTAAGTAATGAATGGGAAAATTGTTCTTTTACTGGAAAATGTTTTGGTGGAGGAGGAGAAAATTATTTGATTAATAAAGAAATATTTGAGGTTTTTTTTTTGAAAATTAAGGGAAAATTTTCTAAATAGAGAAGGGTGTCCTTTCCAAATATTTTTTTTTGTTTTTATGGATCTTTAAAATAATTATTAGATGGGTAATTTTGCCCACAAAAATTTCCGGCCATTATTTTTAAGAATTTTTGAGAGTATACACCTCAACTGGGTCTCGTTTTGTTTGAGTTCCAACACCATTAACTCATCAAACCTTCTTGGTACCATTTGATAGATAATTAAATACACTACAAAAAACCCTTAGTTTCAAGATTTTCGACTCACCGATAAAAGAGTTGTTGAGGTTTTTTGATCGATAAGTTCAATCAAATTTTTCGAAAAATTTTAGTTTTTGTTTTGGTGGAGGAGGTTTACTTTTTTGAAAATTTTGATTCTTCGTTATCTTGTAAGGTATTTAATTCTCTATCCATTGGAACCAAGAAATTCAAGAAGTGGCCATCTCAGGGTGTCCCTTTTGCCTTATTTTCAGGGCATTTGCCCTATTTTTGACCTTTTCGCCCTATATTTTCCCTATTTTCTCATTTGCCATATTTTTGCCCTATTTTTACCATTTTGTAAAATTTTAAAAATTCTCCGGATTTTGTAAAAAAAATGGTAAATATGGAAGAAATTTGGCTTCATGAGCTCCAAATTTCAAAAAGTTTTTGCCTGCGGCGCTGAAAATTAAAAAAATTCTTTGATTATGGTGCGGGGATTTGGCGATTTGGTCGTGAATCGATGGTACGTTTTAGGGGATATCAGGTTTGGATTATCTGGGGTATTTGCTGTTCTTAAGGGTAATTCAACCAACGGTATTTGTGGATTAAAGAGGATATCCCCGATAAAATCAATTAGTCACAAGTTGATATTTAATGACGAAGAATTTTTTAATTGAAAAGTGGCTAATTTTGATAAAAATATCTCTTGCGTTGCGTTTTGCGCCGTTTTCAGCCTTGCGTTTCTTTTTTCTCAGTTGTATCTTGCACAGTCCATGATCCTGATTAGTTTAATTTAGTTTAAAATATTGAAAGATATGCATAATAAAGCTTCCTTCTTAAAATTTTAAGTATTTTTAAGTTTTAAAACAATGCCTTATTTTTTGCCCTATTTTTGACCAATTTCGCCCTATTTTTGCCATATTTTTGAGTCGCTTCGCCCTATTTTGGTGTTTTGGAAAGGGACACCCTGGGCCATCTATTAAAAAATTATAGGGCCGGGATTCTGTTGAAGTGCTCCGCTTTGTTTTTGAAAGTTTCCTTAAAAATTCTTGTAAAAACCTGGCCTAAAATTTTTTAAAAATTTTTTAGGCTCATTATATAACAGCAGAAATATCAATAGGAGCATTAGCAGTAACCGCCTTATTACAATCTGTTAAAATTTCTGAAGCAGAAGGGACATCAGAATATATTGGATTTACTTGTAATAAATTATCTACTTTGTCTATTGAAGAATTAATTAATTGTCGAGTTGGTGGAAAATATATTAACGATTGTATTGCTGTAAATGGGGAATTGGCTTGTTTAAGAGAGGTTTATTTTTTGAAAAAATATTTTTTTGGGGAAATAAAATAATTCGGGTAGGAAGGGAGAGGTGAGGGTTTTTTCAGTTTTAAGGCCATATTTTTGGCCATAACTTTTTTTGAAACAACCGATTAAAATAATTTTTATTTGATCAAAAGCTCCTTGATTTTGGGGTATTTTAGCTATAACAGGTTGTCTTGATAAGACCATTCTATTAAAAGTTACAGCTAAAAAAGAGGTCAAAAATCACGATTGCGCGCGGTTATTCGTTTCTAACTTTTTGTAGATGATCTAATCAAATGAGTCCTGTTAGCTAAAATAATCCTCACATCAAGAGCTTTTGTTTGATATATAACTTGATTAAATTGGTGAAGAATCAAAAAAGTTATGGCCAAGAATATGGCCTCGAGAAAAATGACAATTCTGGTCTTGAGAAAAAATTTTCCTTTAATTTCAAATTTTTTATTAAATTCCAGAAATTTTTTTAAATTAAAAAAAAATTTTTTTCTCTTTTCTAGATGTTTCATCGTTTAGTTAGAGATATTCATTATCGAAAAAATTTAATTGCTGATCAATTGGTTATCAATATGCATAGGTTTTTTAATAATTTTTTAAAAATTTTTAATTTTTTTTAGATGGATATGTGATCCAAATTCTTTATTATTTAATCCAGCAATTAAAAATGCTTTAACTATTTTAATGAAAAAATTGTGTTTACTTTTAGTTGCAGAAATGCAACGTTTGGGGGCTAAAGTAATTTATTGCTCCTTTAGAAAAATTGTTTTTTCTACTCAAAGGTTTTTTTTAATAAAATTTTTTTAAATAATTTTTTTAAATAATTTTTAAAGACATTCTTTACCCTTTGCTAAATCTTTTGTAAATTCTTTATTAATTGAAATTAATCAAAAACCAATTTTTGCTTCTTTACAATTAGGATTAATTCATTTTTCAAGTGTTTTGTTGTGGATAGATTCTGTAAGGATTTTTTAAAATAAAATTTCTAGTGTGCTGCTTATTAGCAAAATTTTGTATCTCATAAAATCTGCTTCAAATTCCTTCTTCTTGAAAAATTAAAAGTTTTATTTTGAGAGTAAATTTGGAATATGTTCGCGCGCCTATATTCCCGAATAATGGCTGAATAAATTTTACGAAAAAAATTTTTTTTGGTTATTTTCCCCTAAAATTTTCCCAAAGTCCGTAAGTTTTATATCCACAATATCGTTATTGGAGATATTCTCATATATCTTTAAAAAAATTTAATGTAAGAAAATAAGGATGATACTTGCGGAAAAAATTTTTGCGGATTTTGGGGGGATAACTAAAAAGTACCATGAAATTTTCAAAAAAATTTCTATACAGATGTACGAATTTTTTAGAATCGGTAATATGTCAAAAATTTATAAATGCCTCTAAGAATTCAAAAAAAAATTCTTTTTATTAAAATAATTTTTTTTTCAAAGTCTAATTATGCTTATGTTTATGCTAGTGAAGATGAGAAAAAGGTTTTTTTAATTAATTTAATTTAAAAATAATTTTTTTAAAGAATGGACGTGTTGAAGCAAAATTTGGTTTAGCAAATAAAATACAAGGAGAAATTAAAAATAAATTTATAATAATGATTGCTGGTTTTGTTGGAATGTTGTGGAATAAAAGGAAGGAATTAAATGAGGAGGTTTGCTTTTTTAATTGTTTTTTAATTAAAAAAATTTTTAATAAGGGTTCAAGGAGATTCTTCGAATACCTTGAATATCGCATCAAAATATTTTTTAAACTTGCCTAACTTTTCGGTTCCTTCCCGGTAAGGGCTATTTTAAACAATATCGAGGCCATATTTTGGGGCATAACATTTTTGATTCTTAACCGATTCAAATTATTTTTATATCAATTGAAAGCCCTTGATTTAAGGATTATTATGGCTAAAAGGGTTACTTTGATTATATCATTCTACAGAAAGTTATGGTCGAATAAAGATAAAAACCACGATTATGCGTACTTATCAACGCGCGACTTTATGTAGAATGATTTGATCAAATCATTGTGTTTGCTAAAATGATCTTTACATTCAGAGCTTTTAATTGATACAAAAATTAATTAAATCGGTTAAAAATCTGAAGAGTTATGGTTTAAAATATGGCCTTAGGGACGTCCCCTACCCCCTTTGTTTTCCCCTTCTTTTTTTTTTTTTTTTTTTTTGAAAAAAATTTTTTTTCAGGATTTGAATAGTAACCCTCAATTAATCTCACAAATTTCACAAAAAATTTTAAAAGAAGAAATTGTTGATAGTTTATTTCGTTTAACAACAAAATTAATTTTATTGAGACCAAAATTGGAAGAAATGGCTAAAGAAAATTTTTGTTTAGATATTCCGTTGGAATTTGTTAATTGTATATGTCGAGTTTTGAGTGTTAATTTAGCTTTGGAAGAAGTTGTGGATAATTTAAAGAGTCAATTATTGTTAATTATTTACAAGGTTTTTTAAATTGTATTTTTTAAAATTTTTTGGGGGGTATTTTACCTAATAGATAATTCACCGAAAAAAGACAATTCACCGAAAAAGACAATTCACCGAAAAAAACAACATCGAAAAATTTTTTGGATGTATTTTACCAGACAGACAATTCACCGAAATATTTGAAAAAAATTTTTTAGAGGTGAAAACAAATGGTAAGAGGGTCATAGGTCTTGGCTACTATTGGGAAGAAATTCCCCGAGTGAATATTTTCCCCCTAAATTGTATTTTTTGGTTGTTTTCCATTTTAATTTTAATAAATAACCGAATTGTCATTCAATGAAATGCCCCCAAATTTATTTACATTTTTCCTCTAAAGGATGGCATAATATTGACAAACCAAAACATTTGGATCCCTCCGACTTGTGTCATTTTGGAAAATATTTTTTGTCAAAAATGTTCACAAAATGGTGATTTGGATGTTAGCAATGATTTTGGTAAAGGAGGAGAAAAACAAGGAAAAGAAGGTTTAGTGAATTTTAAATTTTTTGTGGGTCAATAAATGTTTTTTTTTAATTTTATTTTGGGGTTAGTGTTTGATTTTCCCCTTTCCACAGAATTTCTATTAAGTATTCCTTTGAGTATATAAGTAATTTTAAACAGATCTCCTTTATGTGAAGTTGTAGTGTATCGGTTAAGGTTGTTGACTTTCTTCATTTTCGATGAAGGTTCGAATCCTTTTGGTTGGATTTGTTTTACTTTTAAATTTGGGCACTTAAAAATTTTTTTTCTTCTACTTTTTAAAATTTTATAATTTTTTTACCACACAAAAAAATTCAGAAACTCATTTTTTAAATTTATTTTTGAACTGATTTTGATCAATTTTATCTTTTTTTTTAGTCAACACCAATAATTTGCCATTCCTTTGTCCTCATTGTGGAAGTGAATATCCTTTAAGTTTAATCGAGGAAATGTTGATTGAACGAGTTTCAAAAATGCAGACTTCTTTTGCACTTCAAGATTGGCAGTGTGTTTCGTGTAAAAAGGTTGGTAATTTGATCTATTGGGAATCTAAATAATTTGTTCAATAGAAAAATTTAAAAATGGGTCGCCTAAAGGTCTAAATGGGAGGAAAATTTTTCCAAAATGTCCATTAAAATTTTTTAAAATTTCAAATAATTTTAATGGTTTTAAAGATTGGAGCGAATTTTTTGCATCGTCATTGTGAATGCAGCAACAAATTTGAATATACATTAAAGCCAGAGGAGCTGATTCGCAATCTTGAGATGGTGAAAAGAGTAGCGATTAAACATAGATTGGAAAATTTGGAATATGTTATTGAACATGTTACTCGATGCCTTCAATAAATTGGATTTTGATAAATATTTTTATATTTATTTTGTAGATAAATTTTACTCGCTTTACGAAATAATGACTAATAAAATTTAAAAATCAATATATCGATTTATTGATTTTATCGATTTTTTGTAAAAATAAAAATTTTTAAAAAATAATTATCGATTGATATCGATTTTATCGATTAGTATTGATTTTATCGATTTTTTGTGCAAATAAAAAAATTTTTAAAATTTATTATCGATTGATATCGATTTATCGATTAGTATTGATTTTATCGATTTTTTGAAAAAATAAAAATTTTTAAAAATTAATTATCGATTGGTATCGATTTTATCGATTAGTATTGATTTTATCGATTTTTTGAAAAAATAAAAATTTTTAAAAATTAATTATCGATTGGTATCGATTTTATCGATTAGTATTGATTTTATCGATTTTTTGGGAAATTATAATTTTTTAAAAATTAATTATCGATTGATATTGATTTTATCGATTTTTTGGGAAATTAAAATTTTTTAAAAATTAATTATCGATTGATATCGATTTTATCGATTAGTATTGATTTTATCGATTTTTTGGGAAATTAAAATTTTTTAAAAATTAATTATCGATTGATATCGATTTTATCGATTAGTATTGATTTTATCGATTTTTTGGGAAATTAAAATTTAAAAAAATTAATTATCGATTGATATCGATTTTATCGATTGATATTGATTTTATCGATTTTTTGGAAAAATAAAATTTTTAAAAAATTAATTATCGATTGATATCGATTTTATCGATTGATATTGATTTTTCAATTTTCTGTCCCGCTCCCAAATTGCAGAACCAAATACGACATCCTTCAGACTTTATTTATTTTTCTCCACATTTTGCCAAAACCACAATTTGCCAATAAGGCTAATAATTCACTTTTGCCAACAAATTTATTGACAAAACGCGATTTTTCAGTTTGTTGGCAAAATGAGGGGGAGACATTTTTGTCTCATTATTGCCACACAAAAAAAAACTTCGAAAATTTTATTCTTCAAAAAATTATTTATTTTGTACTAAAATTGTGTGTATATAATTGTAAAGCTTCCCATTCTGCTTTAAACGCTGCCTTTGGATCCTGTCCTTGAGACATTTGTGGTTGCCCCATCATTGCCTGTTCGTCTATTTGATCTGCCGCGTTTTCACCTCCCAAGACTAGAGCATAAACCGAACGAAGCCCAAAAACATTCAAAAAATACCAAGAAGCTGAAGAAACCCAAGCAGCATCTAACGACATTAAATCAACTCCTCTTTGTAACATTGGCTTGAAACGAAGGGTTAGAGGGAAGGGGACCTGAAAAAAATGAGGGGAATTTTTATAGGGTTTTTGGAAAAATTTGACTCTGAAAAGGTCATAAGATTGTGCCTAAAAGGGGAGTCTATAGAATTATTTCTAAGTTCTCCCTCAATCTCTTCTATTGGAATTTTTTGTTGGGATGATCAAGGACAGTCATGAATGTTTTTGAAAAATAAGTTGACATCCGGAACCGAATCGAAAAATCTTTGGGTCTCCGATTGGGTTCCTAACTGACAACCCTTCTCCAATAAGACAAATAGAAGCACTTAAAAACTGAAAGGAATTAAAAAAAAACCCCCAAGTGTCAACTACCATTCCCCGCTTTAAAATTTAATTTAAATTAAGAAACCTTTGTTGTAACAAATCCAGAAAATGTCCAATTAATCCAACCACCAATAAAACTAAAATAAAAATTATATCAAATTCAAATAAATTGAAAAGAAATACATCATAGGGATCATATTCAACATATTGCCTTTTAACATTTCCTAAAAAATAAATTGTTTAAAAATTTGTCTTAAATTTTAAAAAAATATACCGTCATCATGGAAGGGTCGAATGCCTGAAAAATAAATTATATGAGAAAATTATTTTAAAGTTATATAAGGTAACATTCTTGAATATTATTGTGGGATAAAAATTTAAAAAAAATTATAGAAGGGAGAAATAATCTAAAACAGAAAAAACTCAAAAGAAATAGGAAAAACAGAGTGATTTACCCAACGAGGGTTCGAACCTTAATGGGAAATTTCGAAAGTCTAACCCAATAACCACTACACCACCGCATTTGCAAAACAAATTTTTTAATACTTGAATGTATTCTAGGGAAATATCAGATAAATGTCATAACAATAGAGGTAGCGTTTTCCTCCACAAAAAACCCCCAAAATTTTAAAAAACCTCTTCTTACAGGATTAGGCTGTGACGACTGTTTTTCAACTCGCTTGAGTAATTGTCCATTCTGTTCATCAGCTAGCCAATGTTTTCTCATTCCAAAAGAATTTGAAGGCAAAAAGCGTCCATTTTCTCTCAAAAGTCTTGCCTTCATCAATAAATGTCTAAAATTAAAATTGAAAAAAATTATTTAAAATTTAAAAAATACCCATCTTTCACAGATTGTAAATCCCCCTTCTTTTTACCCAAAAAAAGCAAAAATATATAATGGCGCAATATTCCAACCAAAAAAGTTATGATGACAATAGGCACAAACACCCAAGTTCGAATGGAAGGGTCTAACAATAATTCGGTCATTTTTTCTTTTCTAAAAAATCTTTAAAAAATTGATTAAAATAAATGTAAAAATATAACAAATGCGTAGATAAAACGCTAAAAATCACAAAAAAATAAAAAAAAAATAAAAATTTAATAAAAAAATATCAAAATATCAACTTTTACAACAGGGATGAGACGTTACTCGGCCTTTTTTTTCGACCCGATCCGAATTTTTTTCACCCGTCCCATCCCTGTTTTATAAATAGAAATCGGACACTTGATTTCGACCTCGACCTTGTTTTCTTTCCTGGATTCAAAATCAATATCAAAGCATTTTTCAGTGCTCCTTGATTTTTCATTGAATCAAGGTCAAGAATCTGGTCAAGGTCCTCAACCAAAATCGAAAAATTTAAGGTCAAAGTTTTTTTTATTCCGATCTCTATTTACAAAAATACTGACAATTTTTGAAAAGTATTTCTGAAATTTTTAATTTTTCAAAATTTAAACTGTCAGCATTTTTTAAAATTTATTTGCACCTAAAAAATATTTTTTTTATTTTTGAGATTAATTAATTATTCTTATTGTCAACTAAATTGATTACAGCATCGATTCCATCTACTAGTTAAATTTGTAGTGTCTGGATATCGAAGCCGAAAAGTGTCGGAAAGGCTAGTGTCCAAATTGTTGCTGTCGTATTGGGATTTTAATTGACGTGCCAATTCGAAGAAAACTTGAGAACAAAATTTTTTAGAATTGGCTTTACTATTTTACACGAGGTCCGAGCCTAGATTAAAAATATAAAAGATTCTCGCAGAAAAAGAACCCTCAGAAACTGAAAAATCCTGAGGAACCAAGTCATTTTTGGCCTGTATCTCCGCGAGTTTTCTCTTCCAGAAAAGAGATCCAAGATTAGTGGAACTTATACTCAAGGTATCGGGTCTTGCGTAATCCGGAATAAATTCTTTTAAATATTCTAAAAAAATCCCAAAAAATTAAAAAAAAAAGAAACACAAACTTGTATCAATATTCACATTTGTTTTTGAAGAAACTTCCAAATTTTGTAACATATTGTGTGCCCTACTCAATTGTTCTGCTTCCTCTATTTCTACTTTTCTTTGTTCTTCAGCTAAATCTGCTTTTGTACCTGAAAATTTTTTGGTTAAAAATTAATAAAAAAATTAAAAATACCAACCAACAAGAATTTTGGCAACATTTGGAACTGCAAATTTAGCAACATCATCAATCCATTTTTGTGGAGAATTAAAAGATTCTAAACTAGTCAAATCCTAAAAAATGAAATAAAATAATTTTTTCTCTATCATAAAACTATGATAGAATTTTTTTTAAATATTAAAAAAAATTACAACCAAAATAAATTAATGGGCCATACGGGGAATTGAACCCTACTACCACGAACCGGAAAACCCAGAACTCTACCACTTCACCACACGACTGTTAAGCTAAAAATCTAAAAAAGCACCCAAGTTTTCTTTAAATCCTTACAAAACAGAGTAAACCCTCTATAAACTAATGGGGCAAGATGGAGGATCCTTTCCCCGACGAACCTTTCCCCCACGAAACTAGCAAACCCAGGACTCTACCACTACAACACACAACTTTTCAAATATTAAAAATAAAAAAGCACCCAAGTTATTTTAAAAAATCAGAAATAATATTTAACAGGCCCCCGAAAGTTAGGAAAAAATTCTTTAAAATATTTGAAATTAAACATACATAGCAAAGAATGATTCCATTAGCAGAACGATAATATGATTGTGTTATAGTTCGAAAACGTTCTTGCCCACCAGTGTCCCTTAAAAATAAAAAAAATTTTCTTGAAGAAATTATTGAATTTTCTATTAATGATTTTCTATTATTGGGCAAGAAAATGAATCGGAGGCATACGACCTTCAAAATTTTTCAGAATTTTCGCCTGCAGCGCCAAAAAAGAAATCTGGCTCCAAAGCCTTCAAACTTTACTTTTTTGGCCTATGGCCTTCTAAAATTCTCAAAACCCCCATGGCCCTCCCGAAAAAAATCAAGGCTGCGGGCTTGGACCCAGTAATTTAATGAAGATCATAGATGAAAAATACAGCCCCAAGGGCTTTATTTTAGGAAATAAGGTAATTAACAAAACAATTTTTCCCAAAATATTCCCCAAAAAATTTAAAAAATAAATACCAAATTTGTAATTTTATCCGTTTTCCATCCATCACAACAGTTTTCATTGTAAAATCAACTCCAATTGTAGTCCCTTGTTTTTCTATATAAGTTCCGTTTTTAAAGCGTTGCACAATACTACAAATAAAAATTTAAAAAAAAATTTAAAAATAAAAAAAAACCAAGTCTTTCCAATGCCCATATCTCCAATCAAGACAATCTAAAAAATTTTAAAATAAAAATTCAAAAGAAAAAAAAACCTTAAACAAATAATCGAATGTATCTTCGGTATCCATGTTCACAGGACAGAACAGAAAAATCGATATGGATATTCAATCAAATCCAAATCTGACGGTCCGACAAAAAAAAGAATTTTCTAACCGTCTTGCATCAACATTCCTGCTTTTTTTTAAATTTCCTAAAAATTTCCATAAACTGGGTTAATTTTTAAAAATTAACAAAAATATTTCTAAAACTAGTCGTGAACTAGTCGTTTAAAAAAAATAATTTTTTTTAAATATTTATAAGTGTTAAAAATAAAAATAAATTAGAATAAAAGTTGATAAAACCAGTAATACTTTTGTAAATATTCTCATTTTTTGCAATAAATATTCACAAGAAATCATCTAAAAATGTCTCCAATTAATACACGTCTTCGAATAGTTTGAGATGTTCCAGCAGAATAACGAAAAATAAAAGGAATTGTGGTATTCAATAATTTTTGTTGAGTTTTTGATACTAAAAAAATAAAAATTTTTTAGTAGTAAGGGAAAGGTAGAAGTACGTATAACCCAGAACCAGGCATCGAACTAGGCTCGCTTTTGCTCACACCTATAGAGGTGCTCTACCAATCAGGGCTGGCTGGACTAACACTAAAGGGAAGTCAAAAAAGCACAAGGATTGGATTTGGAGTAACCCGGCTATCCTTGCTACAGAACAGGGATGTCAACAGGTTGAGGAAACAGTTGAACGGGTCTTTAAAATTCACTTAGGATCAGGTTAAAAAAAGTTCAAGTAAACATACTTTATCCCTGCTACAGATTGAGCTAACGGGGCGCTGCTTTTTCCTTATCTTTTTAATAAAAATTCAACCCCAGCCTAGTAACCGTTTTTTAAATACTAGCCAAATAGATCTTCCCTTATTCCTTAGAAAATTCCCAAAAAAATTTAAAAAAACCTGGCAAACTATTTGGTTTAATTTTAACAATATGAGAAGTTTGTTGATGTATTTTAGGTTCAACTTTTGGCAAAACAAAATTATTAAATAATTGTGTATTCATATCAAATTTTAGACGTCTTGAAACATGCATTGCACAAATAAAATGAATTGAAATTAATGCATAAGGTAAGTAACGAAAAAGAAAATAATTCTGATTTTGTTGAATATGAGATTGAAGCAACTCCATTGAAATAAATATTTTGGAAATTTTTGTTGACTGAAAAAATAAGAATTATAAAAACATTTTAATTTTTAAAAATTTTTGCGGATTTTTTTTTTCTGAATTTAAAAGAAAATTAGATGAAAAGTGACACCAAACAGCAAGAAAAATGGAAGGTTGTTTTACAAATTAAATTAAACACACATGTAGATAAACTAGTGTTTCGCTGGAACCGCAAATTTGGCCGGAAACAAAACTGAAATTTTGACCAGATCCGGAACCTGAACCAAAAAATCCCGAAACTAACGGAACCGGAACTTCCGGCGAAACACTAGAAAGGACAACTCTGATACCTTTAACCCAAAGTAAAAAATTTCCAACCCCCAATGGTGTACAACTTATACAATTAAGTCCCATTGTAAAATTAAAATCAAAGATTTTAAGCCAGCCTTTTTAATTTAAAAGCCAGATTTTTAATTTAAAAATTTCTAACTAGAGTTAATCCAAAAATCTTTTTGAAAAATCTTCAGAAAAAAATTTAAACCTGTTCATGTCCCAACTTAAAAACACTCGCAACATTAACAAAAATTAATTGTTGAATTCTTGTAAATTCTTCAAAAGCCAATCGATTAATTAAATATAAAATTGTATTTGCTCTTTGTTTGGGTGATTGAACAATTCCTCGACTATAAATTAAAAAAATATTTTTTTCAGCAAAAAATTTTCAAAAAACATACGAATCTTTGTGAAAATCCAAAGTAAAAATTGAATATAAAACATCAATAAATGAAACGGATAAAGCTGTATTGAGTTTTTGTGGTTGTTCTATATCGTCAGAAGGTGTGGAATTCTAGAAAATATTAAAAAAATAATTTTTAAATAAAAAAATTTTTTTTGCAGAAATCCGCAAGTTTTGTCCGCAAATTTTTTTTATTAAAAAAATTTATGAAATCGATTACATTAAGAAAACACAACATGAAAGATTTTAAAACCTCAACCCAAGCAAGTCTTAATGCCAAAACGCCAAAAAACTAAAACCCTCCACAAGACATAGACCCTCCCAAAAAAAATAACAAACAGCCAAAATTGCGTCAAAATACCAAAAAATAAAAATTTTTCTTTACCTTCTTAGAAAAAGCAGTTCCAACAGCATTAGCAGTCATAAATTGAAGAGTATTTAAACACAAACGAATATCTGTTCCATGAGTTAATATCATCTCGTTTAATTGATTTTGGTCAATTAAAATTCCTTCGAGACGACAAATCTTTGAGAAAATTCGCCTTTAAAATTTCAAAAAATTTTAAAAAAAACCTCGAGTAGTCTAGCTTTAAGTCTCTTTTGATTACACGGTTGAACTTGTAATGCTAATGAAGAAATTCTAAGTTGTTTTAAATTGGGAAAATTCCAAATATTTGAACATATACAAATTACAGGACGAAGAATTGAACCATTAGAAGAAGAACGTTTAGTCCAGCTACACAAAAATTGAATCTAAAAAAATAAAAATTGAAAAAGAAAATTAAGAACAGACAGGAAACAGAATTATGGAACAGCCCGGTTTACGCAACAGTCCATGCAAAAATAAAAAAAGCTAGTCGACTTATGCACTATCAGACAAAGCAGACAGGAAAATAGAATATTACAATCCCAGTTCTAAACCCAGTGACATTCCTACATAGCAGGAATGTCAAAGGTTTGAGAAAAAGTCAGGCCGGAGTTCGGGTTGGAAGAAGTTTCACGTTTAGGGTAAATCGTGACATTCCTTATAGATTGGGTGTACCCTCTGAATCCTAATCCCAAAAATAAACAAACTTAAAATCTAATCAACAGGAAGGAGACAAATCCATTCTTATTTTAGGATGAATTAGTCCTACCTGATAAAATATAAAAATTCTAACCATGTCAGAAGTAGCCAACTCCAATCCTTCAATTACAAAACAAACAGGCTTATCTTCCTCTGTTTTAAATGTTTGTTGTTGTTTTTGCATTAAAAATAGACTTGAAATTTCTATTGAATTTATAGCATTTTCCATTCTATTTCGAAGTTCGGCAACATTTTGAATTTCGCTTTAAAAATTTTTTAAAATAAAACAAAAATTAAAAAAAACCTTATTTGAATATAAAGAGGACGATAACCCAATTGTCTGGCAACAACAAATGCAAGGGAAGATTTTCCAGCACCAGAAGATCCATGAAGAACGAGAATCTTTAAAAAAAATTATTAAAATAAAAAAATGTATTTCTAAAGAAAAATAAAGCCTCTATCCGCAAAAGTTGTCCGCAAGAAAAATATATTTGCGGACAACTTTTGCGGACAAATTTTCAAAAAAATTTAAAATTTCCCAAAGCTGCCTTGAAGCATTTAAAAAGTAAAAAAATCCAAACCCTTTGTTTGGGCAACACAAAACCTCCACGCAAGTGATCAATCTCGACAAGCTTCTTATCCTTTTCTTCCAAAGATTCCCAAAAGACGGCACCTCCCTTCTTTTTAAAAGCAAGACCATCCCAAAGGCGTAACCAGAGCAATACCAAACGATTAGTCTCCTAGCAAATGAAATTTTATTAAAATTGATAAATGTCCGCAAATTTAGTCCGCAAATATAAAAATAAAATTTGCGGACAAATTTTTGCGGAAAAAATTTTGTCCGCAAATATAAAGTATAAGTTGCGGAACCCCCCCCCCCCCCCTTAAAAAGTAAACCATAAATCTATAAATTAAATTTCCTAAAGTAAAGTTCGCAAAAATAAGCGCGAAAACATAAAAATAATTTGCGGACAACTTTTGCGGACATCGCCTTTAAAAATAAAAAATTCCTTACATCATCCGACAAAAGATCCAAAAAATTGTTAGGAGCATATTTTTCAGTCCAAAGAGTCCTTGAACTAGTTTTAACTTCCAAAATTTCATCATTTTCCATATTAACATCCCCAAAATTGTTAAATAACCTTTCCCTTTTTTGATTTTCCATTCTTTCAAATAAATTGTAATAATTATCTAAATCTTTTATTCGATCTTCTGTTGACTCGATTTTGTTAATTTCTCGCCTCTTTTTGTTGTTTTTTGGTTTTATTAAAATATAACGTCGAAAAACTCCGTCGGGCGAATTTATTCCATACCAGGCACTTCCATCCATCGGTGGCATTTTTAATAATTTTGTTGAATTTTGAGTGACTCTTGATTGAATAATGTTAATTCCTTCGTTTAAAGATGTTGTTTTTGAATTTTCTTGTCTAGCTCTAAGTATTCGCTGCGCTACGCGTTCCAATACATTTTCAATTTCTATTTTACGACGTTTGGTACGAACTTCGTCTTCTCCAACATTGAGATGCCAATCTTAAAAAAAAATTTTTTTTCCCTAATTTTATTAATTAAGGATTTAGAATTTCAACGCCTTGAAGCGCTAAAAAACGCCCAAAATATTGCAAATTGGTTAACTAATTTATTTTCGACAGTGACGGCTCAGGTAGGGTATTATAAAGATCAGACCAGTAGCCAGCAAAATTAACCGAGAGGGCCAGGCGGGGAAACCATTTTCGGAGTCTTAACTGAAATTTTTGACTTTTGCATGGCAAAAATTTAGAGAAATTTGGAGGGCCCCCTACCACGGCCATCAAGTTGGCTACGGGCCATCAAACGAAAATTAACCATTTAGTTGCTAACCTAAAAACCAAAAAATAGAAAGAAAAAAACCCCTCAAAATATAAAAAACTTGGTAATCCTGCAGAATCTGGGAGACACTTTAAAAAAACCTTCGAAATTATTATTTTTTTTCACAAAAATAATTTTATTTCGGTAATAGACCATGCTGATCACGAATCTGAGCTTAGAAAATGTTTATTTCGAATCCCGGACCTGGATTCGACCAGGTCGAATTCGGGGTAAAAAATTCGAAATTAAAAGTTTAGGGCTAATCTGACACGCCTATTCGAGCTGAGTCGAATGGTATCAAAATTATTCAGTTTCGACAACTTTGGACGACGTTATAACCAGTTAAATAACGCTGGGTTAGACTTCCGTATACAAATCAGATACCATAACTTGGTCTAAAATTGTCTAAACTGAATAATTCTGATACCATTCGACTCAGAATAAAGAGACGAGTCAAAATGACCATAATATCGTCATTTCGAATTTTTACCCCGAATTCGACTTGTTCGAATTCGGGTCCGGGTTCGAAATAAGCAAATTCTAAGCTCAGATTCGTAATCAGCATGGTCGATTATCTATATAAAATAATTTTCAGAAAAAATGACAATTTTTAAGGTGTTTTTCAGGTGTCTCCCGGATTCTGCAGGATTACCAAAAACTTAAACAAACCTAAAGGCGATTCACTCGTAAAAATAGATTCCTTTTTCCCTTCATAATCTCCAAATAAATCACAAAAATCATCTTCTGTCCTCTTACAATTTTCATGAATTTTTAAATTTTCCGGATTATTTTGCTGAATTTTTGTTCCCTTTTTACTTCTCTTGTATTTCTTCTTTTTTCCTTTACTAGGCAAATTTTCTTCAAAATTATTATTTTCTAGTACATTTTGATTGTCTTCTTGATAAGGCAAATTGTCGTCATAAGCCAATTCACCAAATCCAAATGCATCATCGTCCATTTTAATTGAAGAAAAATAAAATTAAAAAGGAAAAGTCTCTAAAAACAAGCAAAAAAAATTTTTATTGATGAAGCAAATTGAAATTAAAAAAATGAAAATTGACGTAAGATCGAAGGCGAAAATTAGATGTCCTGTATGGACGTCTACGAGAAATTTAAGGGAACTTGTCCAAGAATCCTGAGTTTTAAGTAATAAACGCATTATCAGGATTTACCGAATTAATCCCGCGTGAGCCCACCAATCGACATTTTGAAAAATTTTTTTTTAAAATCCCAAATTGAAAACAGGACATTTCAATGCCAAAATTTAAACAAAGCCAGTTCATCACCAACTGGTCGCGACCGTTGTCACTGGTCATCTGGTCGCTAGCCATTTGATCATTTCAAGTTAATCGTCAAAAAACGCCATTTGGTCGCTAGCCAATTGGTCACAGTTCGCTTATTACCAAAAACCCCTAGGGGTAAAAACACGAAAATCATGGGAAATTTCACCCTTAACCACAAAACAAAACAAAATTTTAAACAAAATTTTATTCAAATACACACAATTTACAACACAAAACACACACACAAGTTTTATATATACATTATAAAATAGCAACAATAGTGGGTACAACAATTAAACCCGCAACAAGTACAGTAAGGGGTATATACACAGAATGAAGGATATATTTATTTACATTGAATCTCTTATATAGAACACACAATATTTTATCTATATTCATCATCTCAAGGTTTTTTTATTCCGCAATTAATGGCACATCGATAGAGAATTCTGGAACTTCTCCAGTAGTGAATGCTTCACGAGCATCTTTGCAATCGGCGTCGACAAGCATGAAGAGAACTTCTAGGCGATCGTCACTTTTTGGAGGGCCATCCTGTGAAAAAAAGAGAACGTTTTTTAGTTGTTACTAGCTAGCCTCGTCTAAAAAACTCACCAAGCGAGTCACTTCAACTTGTGGTGCTTCCATCGGCTCGACGAATCCATAGACGGCGCTCACACGGTAGTGGACGTTGTTAGTGGATTTGACCTTGAAGCAATAGCGTCGCTGAAAATAAGGGAAAAGAACATTTTTAGAAGCCCCTCAAACTTGAAAAAAAATAAAACTTGCCTCAGGGCAGTCGTTCATCATGCGAAACGAAGAAGTGCCACCAGACGCTGCCAATTTGATCATCTCAGGATCTACGGAAATCGGCACTGCCCTCATTGAGAAACTGCTCGGAGCGCGAAGATGTTGTTGTCGTTGTTGTTGACGAGCCTTTTTCACTCTTCTCTCTCTGGACGAGTTGCTACGAGTTGTGAATAGCGGGCGGGTGAAGATTTTTGAAGTAACACATTGCTTTTATACTCCCTTAGATTCTTAAGGCCTTGCGGGTTTCTATAAAAGCCTAACACTTTTTCCTCCTAAAATCAAGCTCCAATCACTACCATTCACACAAAGCCTGCCAGCGTGCATTGTTGTTGCTGTTGCTCTCATCTTCTCACACAAGCGGTTCAGTTCAACTATGGCTGCAACTCCTGTGACAGTGAACCCTCCTTCAATCGAGGTGCCTGCTGCTGCTGGGAATGCTACACTTGAGCTGACGAATTCGGCTGCTGAGGTAACTTGCTTTTATTTCTTACTTGTCCCTTCTTAATCCCATTCTTCAGGTTCGCTACTGCTTCAAAGTCAAATCGACCGACAACGCCCACTATCGTGTGAAGCCCGTCTTTGGGTTTGTTGAAGCTGGCGGTGCAGGCCAACTTGAAGTGACTCGACTGGTAAGCTAGCCCCGCTTCCCCTAAAAATGCCTCCAAAAATTTTTTTTATTTTCCCTTTCCAGGCTGGTCCACCGAGCAACGACGATCGACTGGAAATCCTCTTCTTGCCTGTTGATGCTGACACTCCTGACCCAAAGGCACCATTCTCTGCGGGAACTTCACCTGCCTTCGTTCTTGATGTGCCCTTGATTGCTCAGTAGTAAAGCGGCGACAACAACACAACATGAAGGAAGAAGAAGGGAAAGGATTAGTTAGTTAGTCTCTCTCTCTAAAAACGTTGATTCTTCTGTATATATAATCCATATATTTGTTTGTGTATATTTGTTGGCCATATAATCAACCCAAATTCATATTGTATATATTCTTTTGTTGTTGATATTTTTTCCCTCAAAAACCTTCTAATTGTTGTATATATGTGTGTAGATAAATGTTGATTTTTGTAGTTAAGAGTTTGTTCATAAAGGTAAGATGTTAGGCCAAAGACTTGGAAAAAAATTTTCTTTTATTGCCTCTTCCACCTTTCGCGGTGAGCCTATTAGAGATCGAGCTGGGCCTAGACCAAAGCCTGGGTCTTTCCTGTACCCAGAGTCCAGGAACAGGCATTTTTTTACCTTATTGGGTTTTTCCTGGGCCTGGGTTTTTCTTGGGCTACAGGCTATGGATCTGGCCAGGGCAATAAATCAAACCCCAGAGTCCAGGCTCAGACCCAGGCTTTTCAAAAATCTCTATCTCCAGAGCCTATCTCTGATATTTGCAAGAAATCCTATCGAAATCGCAAAAAAATTTCCTCCGATATTTCCTTCCAAAATGAAAAAAATTTTAAATCAAATCAACCAACCTTTCTTTTCGTATCAGAAAAAAATTAATTTAATTAATTTCATATTAAATAAATTTTATTATTCTCCCTTCTGGCCTTTCCCAATTCTATGGAACCAGAGAAGCCACGGCGCATTTTACCCTCCAACGGATGCTTTTTTGGACACTTTTTCTGTCCACACCGTGAATTCATTTGGTGCCATTGAACAGAAAAATTAACCAATTTTTTATTAAGATTTTATTGGGAGATTTATTTAACGAAAGTAAAATTCAAATAAAAAAAGGTTGCGAAAAAATGAAATTTGGGACCAAATGTCATCATCATTTTAAATTTGAGTGAAGACAGATTTCATAATAAATTTTTCCCCAAAACTCCCCTGCTAAACATGGAGTTTGACTAATGAACTATTTTAAAGGCACTAAATAGGGGAATTTTAAGAAAAATAAAAAAAAGAAAATTTTGCCAAAAATATTTTTTAGGATTCATGCATTTAACGGGAGATTCAAATTCGATGTCTGACACCAAAAAAATTTTTTTTAGTCAGGCAGGTCTGAACGGGGAGGCTTGGAGAAAAGAAAATCAGGTCTCCTTGTAATTCATCTTAAAATTCCCCGTCTCGCCTACTTTGAAAAAAGTTGATCCCAAATAAAAATAAAAAACCTAAAAAGCTGTCGGTGGTTGATTTAATCACACACCACAAAAAAAAAATTATTTTTTAATAGTTATAAAAATATTTTCTGAATTAAAATAGTAATAAATAGATGGCAGTTGGAGGAGAGGGGAAGGATATTTTCACAGTGCGCGATTTTTGAGGATTTTGAAAAGAGTGAAAAATAAAAATTTTTCGGATATATTTATTCTTCAAAAGAGAAAAAAGAGATTTAAATAAAAGAAAGAAGAGATTTTGGTGTGTTTTTGTAGTGGCAAGGCGATTTGCGTGATGCTGCTGCCCTCAATTCTCTTTCACAATGAGGTGAGGGAAAAAAAGGTATTATTAGTGGTTGAGGGGGAGAATGTGCGCAAATAGAAAACGCAAGAAAATTTTCTCCCCCAAAAATAATTTTTTCCTCTAAAATCATCTTTTAAATAGACCCCAAAAGGATCTTCAGCTATAAGCTAAACTCTCTATTATACACCCCCAATACAAGATACCCCTTCATCTAATGTACATTTTCAAAAATTTGGTTGGTCATGGGTAGAAAAACTGTATAAAATCGATACCCTCTATTTAAGGTACATCCCAATATAAGATAAATTTTAACAGTCCATCGGGATGAATGACCTCTATTTAACATCGATTTTTAAAAATTGGCTGGCCAATAAGGGGGAGAACTGTTTAAAGAGGTACCTTCAATTTAAAAAACTCTCACTATAAGAGACAAAATTTTTCAACCCATGGGTATCCGCTAAAGTGAGCGACCTCTATTTAACATACTTTTTAAAAGTCAGTGGCATGAGTGGAGGAAGAACTACCCAAAAGCGATACCCCTCTATTTAAGGAACATCTCATTATAAGAGACAAACTTTTCAACCCAAGGGTGTGCCTTATAACGGGCTCCGACTGAAATCCAATAATTCTACGTACGCTCTAAATTTTAAAAGATTAAATTTTAGGAGGATTTGCGTTTATTTTTTGCGCACATTCAAGTCTGGTCAGACAAATTTAAAGGGAAAAATGTGAAAGAATTATTGGGAAAGAAGAAGCGGATGTAGATAATAAGCTAGTATATTTTAAGTAAAAAAAGGTGTGAGCAAAGTGAGGAAAGAGTAAGTAGGTAGGGGTAGTAGACTTATTTTAAGACCAATTTAGAAGGTGAGAAAAGAAATAAAAAGGAAGGTGTTGAGAAAATGAGGAAAAATGAGGGTATTTTCAAGTAAAAAGAGGGGGGGGGGGTGTTTTTATTTTTTTGTTACCGCGCTGAGCTGACGACCATTGCGCTCTCTCTTCTGGACAATAAAAAAATAGGAAAAATAGAAAGAAAAAAATCCAGAAAATAACCAACAGGCCAGTCGACGACTTTTATTTATTTATTTATTTTCATGAGAAAACTCACAAGAGAAAAGCGCGAAAATTAAGAAAAGGTGTTGTTGTCCTTTACTTTTTTTTACCTTAAAAAATTTTTTCTCTTCCTTTTTTCCTATCTTTTCTTATTAAATGACAAATTTTCCTATAATGACAAATTTTCCCATTCGATTTTTATTGTTATCCAAAATTAGTCAAAAAAAGAACGTGAAAAAATTTGAATAAGCGCTTATATCCGTTAGCTCCCCAAAGAAATTTTAAAAAATTTCAAGAAAAAATTTTTTTAGATAGCCCCAAACCTTTCTAATAACAAAGTAGAGCATTTAAAGCCGAAATAAAAATAGTAGAACCTAAAAGGAATCGAACCTGCAACCTATATCAACAAATTCAAAGATAGTGAACCCAACACACTGCCTCTCAGCTACATTTACAATATTTAAACTTGAAAAGGTTTTAATTAAATAAGAGATCTTTAATTAAAAAAAAATACAGAATAGAAATTTAAAAAATCGAAAAAAATTAAAAAGGATTTTTCTAAAATCTAAAAAGGTTGTCTGAAAATTTTTATAAAATCAGATTTTTCCTGTAAAAATTTCTAAAAATTGGAAAAAATTCCAACGACAAAATTTTCCCTAAAAAACGCCAAAACGCCAAAAATCAACTGAATACTAACCTAAAAAATCACTCAAAAATACAAGAGCCCTGGACTAAAAAATAAAATAAAAATATTTTTAGCACAAAAAATTAAGGACACAAAAATAAAAATATTAATCGGATATACAAAAGAGAGAGAGGAAATTCTCTCAACAAAAAATTATATTTATTTTTCTCTCCCTCTCAACACAAAAATTTTTACCTCACCAACCAAAAATGCTCTTAAATATTTATTTTATTATTATTTCCACCCTTAGTAGTTGTCATGATTTATTTTCCCTCTTTTCCTCTCTATTGTAAAATTTTTACAATTATTTTTGGTCGATTTTTAATAAAAAAATTATTTTTTAAGGAAAACTGAAAAGAATTATTGGTGACAATAAAAAAATAAAAATAATAATTTTATTTTTTTATTAAAAATTAGAGATGTGCGCCATAGGGTTAGGCGTTTTCATTTTTGTTTTTTTTAAATTTTTTTGGCCCTCCCCTCATCAAAAAAATTTTTTTGAAGGAGTTGGAATAAAAATGAAAGGAAGAAAAAATTTAAAAAAAATTTTGTGAAAAAATTTTTCGGCGTTTGGCCCGTCACGCAAAAAAAATTTTTTAAGGGGCTTGGAATAAAATAGAGAGAAGAAAAAAATTTTTGGAAAAAATCGGTGTTTGGCCCACCTCACCAAAAAAAATTTTTAACGGCCTAGAATAAAAGGTAAAGGGTAAAGAGAAGAAAAAAAATTTTTTTTAATTTTTGGCGTTTGGCCCGCCACGCAAAAAAAATTTTTTGGCGTACAGTCCAAATTAAAATATCTTCTCCTCTATCTCGAAAAAATTTTTTTATTTAATTCAGACGATAGAAAAATAAAATAAAAATTTATTTTAGAGGCTTTAGTAAGAGAATAAATAAAATATTATTTTTGTAAAAATAAAAAAAAATTTTTTTTTGTTTTCACAGCAGCTCACGCTCTCTCCGAGAGAGTTTTACCAAAAATAATAAAAAAAAAGGTTGGTGAATGGATTATATTAAAAATTTTTGTGAATGAAGAGAAATTTGGGAGAGAGAAGGACAAAACAAAAATAAAATGATGAGGCTTTTTAAAAAGAGAAAATCGATAATTTTAATGATTTTGAAATTTAAAAAGGCTCTTTTTTGCTTGGTTAAAACATGAAAAAAAGTGGTCCTAGGAATCGAATTGAGATATGATTTAGAATTTGATTTTCATTAAAACCTTAGCAAGTCTGGTCTCTGGCCAGCAGTGATGTCAAAGTTCCAGTTCCAGAACTAGAACTACGGAACTAGTAAATGCCTGGAACTAGCTTGGAACTGGAACTAGTTCCAGAGAAATTTTGGAACTTTGACATCACTGCTGGTCAGTTCCCAATAAAAAATCGGAAGTATCACTTATATAGCTCTCCCCTCCCACTAACCTGAGGTGAAGAAAGCTGGAATGGCAGGCTAAATCTGAGAAGAGAGAATTGCTTGAGTGACTAAAGAGAGAGAATTGCTGGATCTATTGGGTATATAAAAATTCAAAGTATCCGATTGTATTAAAAAGATTTGAAGATTTTTAATGAAATAAGTAAAATATTTTTAAAAAATAGGAAAGGATTAAAAGCAGATAAAGAGATATTTAAAAATTAAAAAAAAAATTTTGCAACTACGGGAATTAAAAAAATATATAAAAAATTCTAAGAGGTGAAAGACCAAAAAAATTTTAAAAATATAAATTTTTAAATATTCAACAAAAATTGTTTTTGTTTGTGTATAAATTTAATAAAAATAAAATAAAATAAGAGAAAATTGTGTTGTTGTTGGTTGTTGAGTACGCAATTTTCTACTAAAAAAAAATTTTTTTTTCTGAAGGACAACCATAAAATAACCCCAACACAAAAGGAAAAATATACAATAAAATAGAAAAGAAAAAAATTTTTACAAAATTGAAGAGGGAAAAATGAGTGGAGAGAAATTGAAAAATATAAAAATATAAAAAGTTGCCAACAAATAAAAATTTAAATAAATAAAAAAAAATTTTTTTTGAGGGAAGGTGTGAATAACTCGGGGTTTGAGGCCTGATTTATTAAAAAATTAAAAAAAATAGGGAAGAAAAAAAGAAATTAAAATAAAAAGGAGAGGAATGAGGAAAGGTTTTTACATATAAATTTAAAAAAAAAATTTTTTTAGAGGCGAGAAGGAAAAGTTAAAAATAATTCTAACAGGTAACAAGTTTGGGGATAACGTGTTGAGAGGGGACAGAAAAACTTTTTTTAAATTTCCCTAGAAAATTATTTTCTGGTAAACCTTTTCCTTTTTTAAAGACCTCTGTAATTTAATAAGTTATTTCCTCTAAAAATCAAAAAATTACACAAATCCGGTTCCACGTTGTTCAAAAAAAAATTTTTTTGTAATCCCACGATTTTTGTTCTATTCTTGGAATATAGTGAAGAGGAAGAAAAAGAAATTAAAATAATGAGGAGAGGAACAGATAAAGACCCCCCTCCCAGAACCGATAAGTATTGGGAAAAAATTTTCTTGGGCCTTAAACTGGTAAACTGGTAAAGCCTTAAGAACAATTTTAGCCTAGCCTTAAAAAATCTTCTAAAAATTAGAGCAAAGTTTTTTTTTAAATTTTTTTTTGAAGGACGCACAAAATCGGCAACATTTTTATTTTTTATTTTTTCTAGTCAAATAATTGCCCACTATTTTTAGGAAACGAAAAGAAAAATTAAGTGCAAAATTAAAAAAAAATTTCGCTCTAAAACTAAAAATAATTGGGGAAAATCTACTGGAAAAGAGAGAAAAGAGGATTTTTGTGTGCGCGAAAAAATGAGTGGAGGAAAGGATTAGAGAGAAGACTGAAAAAAATGTTTTTAGGGAGGAGTTGTGTATTTTTAAAAAAGAGAAGAAACAAAAAACTTTTTTTTATTTGTCATTTTATTGTTGCTAGAGTGGAAAATAAGAGAAGGAAGGGAGGAAATGGTAGAAGAAAAAAGTTGGGTGAATTTTTAAAAGATATTTTGGGGGGAGGAAAAAAGTAGAGGGGAGAAGAGGAAGGGAAGTGGAGGGGGAGGATTTTTAAATTTTTATAAAATTTTTCAAAAAAAAATTTTTTAAGGGAAAAATAGAGGGGAGGGGAAGAAGAAAAGGAAGGGAGGATTATTACATTTTTATGAAATTCAAAAAAAATTTTTTTGGAAATTTAGGAAGGCCTTTAAATTTGAAAAAATGAAAGAGAAAAAAATAAAAATAGTGAAAAGCTAAAAGAATTATTTTTTCAAATTTTTGGAGGTTTGCGCGAAAAAAAAAGAGTGGGGTAGAAAAATTGGAAAAGAATTTTTTGAAAAAAAAATTTTGGGGGAAAAAGGATCTTTTTGGGAGGAAGTTTGGATTTTTATAAAATTAGATATGTGAAAAAAAATCCAAAAAAAATTTTGAAAATTCCTGAAAAATTTCAAAAAAAAATTTTTTCAAAAAATTTTTCAAAAATTTCCAAGACCCAAAAATTCTTTTAAAAAATTCAATTTAGAAAGAAAAAGCTATGTCTGACTCATCATCGGAAATTGAATCATCCAAAAATCAATTTTTAATTTAAATACAAACTTCCCCCCAAATTTTCTTTTCTATTCATGTTTTCGCGCAACAGAAAGAAAAAATGATGATTGATTAGGACGATGATTGATGGTTTTTACTATTTTTAATTTAAAAATAGAGGAAAGGAAAGAGTGAATTAGCGCAATAAATAGAAAGTTTTGGAAAGATTTTTTGAAAGGAAAAAAATTTTTTTTTGAAAAAACTTAAGCCCCAAAAATAACCTCGTTGGGCTAACAACGGACAAGTCACGGATCGACAAAAAATTTGACGTTTGGTCCACCACACAAAAAATTTTTTTAACGCACATCCCAGATTAAAATATCTTCTCCCCTCTCTCGGAAAAAATGATGATGAAAAAATGAAAATGACCCCAACACGGAATGTTTTAAAAATCAGAATTTCTGTGAAATTTCTGTGAAAAATCTGTGAATATTTATAAAAATCAGAATTGTCGTTCCGTGACCTGTCTGTTCCGCGATTTAGAATTTCTCGTATTAGCCCCCACCCAAAACAAAAAAAAAATCATCCAAATCCTATAAAAACCCAAAAAAAAATTCCTGGAAAAAATCTTAAATCTATAAGAACCCTTAAAAACAAAAAAAATCACTCAAATCCTACTCAAAATAACCCACAAAATTCCTAAAAACATTTTACTCACGACCAAAATTTAAACAAAACCCAAAGACTATATGGACAAAACCAAATAAAATTAGGTATATATTTTTAAAAAAACCTCTTTCTCCAGCAATTTTTTTCGAATTTTTTGAATTTATTTTTCAACACCAACAACTTCTTCTCCAGTATCCGACGTTTCACATTCATCATCTGTATAAGTTCCACCAGTTTTCGAAGTCCATTCAGCAAGAACAACCACTTTCTCTTCTGATTTGCCTTCTTCTCCCTCTTTCTTTAAAAGTTAATTTTTAGGTAATTTGACTCTTTTTTGAATAAAAATAAACCTCGGTCTGTTGTACAGTGGTCACCGTCTCCCGACGATACGAAGTTGAAGTTCCACGCAAACCCCCAGCAAAAAGACAAGCCTTCGCCTTTAAAGGAAAAAGAAGGCATGCTCACAGATACGTTAGAGGATACCCACGGAAAGGTAATGTCAAAAAGTACAGCGGTTATAAAAACGGTGGTAGCGATTCCGAAATAAAAATGCGATAAGGATATTGCCAAAAAATTTTTTTAAGCGGGTATTAAAATATGTAAACGTGAGCATGCTCAAAAATCAAATCATGTGTGACACCACTGTTTCAATTTTCTAATTCCGTTTAAATTTGACTTTAAATAAACCATCAATTCATTAAAGGAACGATTTCATTTAAGTCTTAAGGAGGCTAGAATGCCAAATAAATTTTAAAGGGGAGCAGGCCAATGCACCGCGAGCCCAATGTATCGCAGAGCTATTACTTTTTTATAAGCGATCGGATTCAGGACGCCTTGGTACTAGGGGAATCCGGGACGTCAACCATATTAGGACGTCCCGAATTCGACCAGTCTGAACGAAGTTAAAGCTTTGAGGTACATTGGGGTTGTACCCATAAAGACGTTCACGCCGACGCCTATTAATTAGGTTGTCGGTTAATAGAAACTTATAGGGATACTCGGAACCAGTTTCAGACTAGAAAACTAATCTAGAAAGAAGGAAAGAGAGGAAACAAGTAGCACAAACCCCCCCCCCCTCCCCCGCACAATAAAAGTTAAAAAATACCACATGTCCGCGTTTACCACAATGATAACATAGAGGACTAAATTCAGCCGTTTTTGAGTTCCAACCAAGTCTCTTCTTTGAATAAGCAAATTTGCCGTCCTCGCGATTCGTTATAAGGCGGTCAATCTAAATTTTTGAGTCAAAAACTAGTAAAAGATCAAAACCTTTTCCTCAATCAGCATTAATTGATTCTCCTTTTGCTGATAATATTTGTCAATTTTTGCAAGCTTCACAGCGCTATTTTGACGAATTTCATGTTTGAGCTTCTAAAAAAAGATTTAAATAAATTAAATAATTTAAAAAAATCATACAAGTTCAAGATCAAGAATAGCACGAGCCAGAAGTTGTTCGTCTATAGATTTGTCAGGCATTATTTTAAAAAAATGTTAAATAAGACTATCTAAATTACCGGGGAAAAAATTTAAAAAAAATTATAACTCAGATTTAAAATGAAAAAAAACAGAAAATGGATTACAGTAGGAAAAACTACAAAAATGAAATTGTAAAATTCAAATGGTATACTAGCCGAAACGTCAACCGACACATGGGCAAAATACCAAAATTAATAAAATGGACAAACGTCAAAACGGGCGACAAAATGCCACAAAGGAGAATTAGACAAAATGCCACTAAGGGCGAATATGACAAAATGCCACTAAAGTGGAATACGACAAAACGCCATCTTAAAGAAAATTAACATATTGTCAATAAGGAGAGAAGTCCTTGGGCAAGTTTCGTAAACTAATCCCCATCAAAAAATAACAATTAAAAAATACTTTCAACAAAAAAAATTGTGTTTTCATAAAGCAAATAAAAAATAATTAAAAATATTTTATGCAAAAATCACCAAAAAATTTTTTTTTCAATTTTTATGTCGAGGTGTACTAACTCCCGGAGTATATTTTGGAGTATAAATCCCCATTTTCTCCTTTTCTTTTTCAATATCTCCACCAAGTCCATAACGCTCCTTAACTTCTTCTAATTTTTGTCTAGCCTTGTCTGTGTCCATACGTTTCCAAGCCTTTGAATAAAATAAAATTTTTTAACACAAAATTTGGAGCGACAAAATGCCAACCTAGAGAATCTAATAAAATCAGATGATTCACAATGAGTTATGTTGGGGAAAGTCCGAAATCCCCATTTTCTCCTGGGAAAAGGGGAAAGCTCCTGGGGAAAGCTCCCCAAATCCGTAGAAAAAGACCCCTCCTAATAAGCTCTTAATAGCCCAAACTGTTCGCGCCCTTTTTCTTTTTATGTTAACGAACAAAACAGGGATGGGGAGCAGGAATCTCAGGAACAAGGTATATTCGAAACCCGATCCCGAACATTTTTCCAACTCGAAATCCGAAACTCAATCCCCCAACATTTTTTCTCAACCCGACGCTCATCTTTGGAACCGGCGTGTCAGTGGATTAAAAATTGTGAATTGGAGAAAGCTCCTTTTTTATTTAGGGGTCTATTCCATCCTATCTTATCCAGATAAATTATCTACCTCACTTCCCATTATATAAAATAAAGAAACCTTTGTAGCCTGATAATAAAGAACAACAAGATAACGATTGGAAACATTAAAACCACTCAAGTGTTCACAAGCATTTTTGGCATCAAAAATATCTTCATAAACAACGAATGCAGTTCCTCTTGTTTCGGGTAAATTGCCACTATTGGAAAAAAGTAAAGAAATCTTTGAAAAAATGTGTTAATAGTTTTAGATAGATTTTCACAAACTACCACTCCTACCTACACCTTTTCCTTATATTTTTTTTGTTTTGTAAAATTACAAATTAGAGACTGGACTGGGTTGTCGTACCAGAATCGAGTTCTTGCAAAATTCTCGATCTCGATAACCGAGATTTTCCATCGAGATCTCGTTTCGGTCTCCATTAAAAACTAATAAAGGGGCCTTTGGGTTGTCTACTTTACAAGATTGTGTTCTAGCCACTTCCCCAACTTCATAAATGATGAAAACAAAATGATTGGAGGACAGAATTATCAAAAATTTTGCTAGAAAGAAACTCGGTTTATGGGTTCTCGGTCATCTAAAATACCAAAAGATGACCAGGCGCCCTAACAAATTTAAAGGTTCATCAATTGCTTATGTTGGGGAAAGCCCGATCCGAAACCCCCAGAAAATCCCCCAATCCAAAAAATTAAACCTGTCTTTTTAGAAAATAAAAATTACATTCTAATTTGCCTTATCGCACCAAATTTTCCAAAAATGTCGTACATCTCCTCCGCAGTTATTTTATAGGGCAAATTTTTGATGAACAAAATGCGATTGACCTTTACAAAATAAACATTAAATAAAAGAAAATTAATTTAAAAGAAACCTCAGGGGGAATCCGACCCCCTCGACCACCAACTCTAGCTGCCATTGCCATTTTTAATAAAAGATTTTTAAATTAAATTTACTAAAAAGGAAAAAATTTGTAAAATTAAAAATATAAAATATAGAAGTTTATAAACTCGAAAAAGAAAAAAAAATAAAATTTAACAATTTATTTAAAAATAAAATTTTAACAAACAAAATAATTTTTTCTTTAAGAGAATTTAATTCATTATCTTAAAAATAAAAAATCCAAAAGTTATTAAAAATTTTTTAAAAATCCCAACCCAAGTAAAAATTCGAAATTAAAATTTTAGTTGTTTTAGAACCAGCAATTTTATTTTAGGTTTTCCCCCACCATGACCAGCTTTCAATTTTATTCTTCCGAGGTTTGGTTTAATCTGTCATGCAGAAGCTTCAGTGCGAAGAGCGTGCGACCACGGCAGCTTAACATCTTCCATATAACAAACAAGCAATTTATTTCCATCTACCACCATAGCCCAATCTAATTTTCTTTTTGGATCTTCCTCAATAATCACGTCCCAAGTACAAGTTATAAAAAGAAATTTTCCATCGTCAGAAACCCAGGCATTAGTAAAATAACCAGGATCATCTCGACGTTCATAAACTAAAACATCTTCTTTTGAATCGGTTCCAAGGTGATGGAAACATAATGAATGGAATTCGTGTTTTTCAGTTGAACTGCCTTCAGTAGTTACCGAATAAAATACACCAGAGTTGTCGTGCAACATTCCATCTTCCGACCAAGTGTTTGGATCCATAAAGACTTTGCCTTTTTCATCCAAAGATTTTTGTTGATACAAACCACTGCAAAGTTTAAAATATAAAATTAAAAAATAAATTTACTAATGATTTTGAAGACCAGAATTGTGAAAGTAATAATAATAATCGCCATGAATCGACGGACAACCAAACTTTTCATAGTCCCAAGTTGAAGTCAAACTGAAAAGTTAAAAAATTTGAAAATCGTAACAAACTTTCCATAGCAACGTTACTTATTTTGGGAGTTATTACGATTTTCAAATTGTGTAATTTTTCAGTTTGACTTCAACTTGGGATTATGAAAAGTTTGGTTGTCCGTCGATTCATGGAGATTATTATCATTACTTTTACAATTCTGGTCTTGAAAATCATTAGTAAGCAAATATTTTTTAATTTTATATTTTAAACTTTGCAGTGTTTTGTATCAACAAAAATCTTTGGATGAAAAAAGCTCTGTTTTTATGGATCCAAACACTTGGTCGGAAGATGGTACAGCTTCTCTATCTCACACTTCTTGGACTGAAGATGGAACAATACTCGCCTATGGTAGAGGTTGCACGACAACTCTGGTGTATTTTATTCGGTAACTACTGAAGGCAGTTCAACTGAAAAACACGAGTTCCATTCATTATGTTTCCATCACCTTGGAACCGATTCAAAAGAAGATGTTTTGGTTTATGAACGTCGAGATGATCCTGGTTATTTTATTAATGCTTGGGTTTCTGACGATGGAAAATTTGTTTTTATAACTTGTACTTGGGACGTGATTATTGAGGAAGATCCAAAAAGAAAATTAGATTGGGCTATGGTGGTAGATGAAAATAAGTTGCTTGTTTGTTATATGGAAGATGTTAAGCTGCCGTGGTCGCACGCTCTTCGCACTGAAGCCTCTGAATGCCAGACTAAACCAATCCTTGGAAGAATAGAAGTGAAAGCTGGTCATGGTGGTGGAAAACCTACAAATAAAATAGCTGGTTTTAAAACAAATAACTAAAAAATTTTAATTTCGAATTTTTACTTGGGTTGGGATTTTTAAAAAATTTTTAATTAACTTTTGAACCTAATTCTAAATTTAACCCCCACCCACCCACCCACAACGGAATCCATTTATATCACCTAGAACATTCCCGGCCTCTCTTAAAGAAAACCAAATTTCCATATATACAAATAATTAAATAAAAATAACGAAAATGAGCATTCAATCAATCCATTTCAAATCAAGGACCCGTTGCAAAAATGAGTACATATCCACAAGTTCATCAATCTAAAATGATTTTTTCAATAAATGTAAATTGAAATTTAAAACAAACTATTTTAGCTGTTGGCTTTCCAGCGCCATGGCCGGCTTTGACTTCAATCCTTCCAAGGACTGGTTTGGTTTGCCAATCACAAGCTTCATTGTGGAGAGTGTAATAAAGTTGAGCCAAATATTTGAGTGTATGAAGAGGCACAACACGGTCGTCATGATCGGCACTTGTAATTAACATCGCTGGCCATTGTACATTAGGTTGAACTGAGATCTGGTGGAGAGGCGAATATCTAAAATAAGGGACTAAATATTAAATTTGAATAAAAAGGCATACTTAAAGATGAAGTCAAAGTCTTCAGCGACATCGGGACTGCCAAATTCAGGTATCCAGGCTTCACCAATTGTAAATTTGTGAAACCTCAGCATGTCAAGAACGCTAAGAAAATAAATTAAAAAACCTTAAAAAATTATTTAAAATACCCGACTCCAACAACCACAGCACCGAAAAGATCAGGCCGTTGTCGTGCACATACAGCAGTCAAAAGTCCTCCATTTGAATGTCCATGAATGGCCAATCTAGAATTTTAATATTAATCACAAAAGGTAGAAATTAATAAAAATACTTTTCAGGTTTGGTGTATTTAAGTTTTATCAGTTCTTCAGCCGCACATATAAAGTCATCAAAAACATTTTGCTTTTTGTCACGCATTCCTCCTTCGTGCCATTTTTCGCCATATTCACTAAAAAAATAAAAAAAAATAATTTTATTATTTCCAAAATTTAAAAACCCTCCGCCACGAATATTTGCGATAACATAAACTCCTCCAAAATGTTTAAGGAAAAGTAGACGAGAAATGGAAAAATCAGGCTGTCTTGCTATGTTATAGCCACCATAGCCATATAATATTGCCCCATTGTTTCCATCCAATTTTAGAGCTTTATTATGGAGAACAAACATGGGGATCTTAATTGAAAAAAAATTTTAAAAATAAACATTCAAAAGGGAAGGGCAGGAAGAAGCAAGAAATACCAGCAAACGCTAAATTCTGTAGATTGTAAAGCCTTTACTAAGGTCCGGATTTTATACGAGCCAAAAAATTTTTCCGAGTTCTAAGACTAATCTGAATTTTTAGTTAAAAGAAACCTTAGTTCCATCCTTGCTTGTATAAAATATCTGTTCTGCTATGAAGTCCTCTGATTTAATTCCTTTAATTTGAGTTCGTCGCATTTCAGTTAATTTAATTGGTGTAGAAATTGAAGAACAATTAGCAAAATCCCCTTTGTATATAATTGAAGGTGTGAAGAACGAGGTAAAATAAATGAAGATTTCTGATTTATTTTTGCGTCCAGAAACCCCAGCAATTGTTCCAATATCAAAAGGAATTTGATAAAGCAGTTTTCCATCAGCTAAATCATGAACGTAAAGGGTGTTCTGAAAAAAAGAAAGCTGTTCGGTCTCTAATGGGGAATTTGGATTTTTCAGAAATTCAAGAATGGACTCTAAAAAATATTTTAGCCTCCGAAAGTTATCCACAATGTCTTCCCCTCCTCGAAAATTACCTTTTCCCTAACCCATGAAAAACAACACTACCAGTCTTTAACCCCAAAAAAGCAAAATAATAACCTTAACATCTTCCATATAACAAACAAGTAATTTATTTCCATCTACCACCATAGCCCAATCCAATTTTCTTTTCGGATCTTCATCAATAATCACGTCCCAATTATCGTTTTGATTAGGAGTTGCTCCTTGGCCTAACTTGACACGCACAATTTTGAACATTGGGGCATTGAAATTGGTCATTATTAAAGCAGAATTATCATCAGAATCAATTTCCTAAATTTGAAAATTTTTTTGAAATAATTTGAAAACAAAAATAATTACAGAATAAGTGGCATCAGATTTATCGAATAAAGGAGCAAATTCCAATTTCCCGTCAATTTTTGTTTGAGTTGTTAAATTAAAGTAATACAGTTGATTTTTTGGATTACATCCCTTAGAAAGGGTCATAAAAAGAAATTTGCCATCGTCAGAAACCCAAGCATTAATAAAATAGCCAGGATCATCTCGACGTTCATAAACCAAAACGTCTTCTTTTGAATCGGTTCCAAGGCGATGGAAATATAGAGAATGGAACTCGTGTTTTTCCGTTGAACTGCCTTCGGCCGTAGTTTTAACTTCAGGATATTTCTGGAAATTATGAAAATATTTTAAAGCTGCAGTATGTGTGATGGGCAGGCACATCCAGCAAGTCGGCGGGGCCCATCTTCCCTCGCCTAAAGCCTTTAAAAATCCCCAATTCTTCTATGTGCAAGTAGGAACCACGCATAAATGCATAAAAATAAACCAAAGTAACCCAGTTAGAGTTCCGACTTATAATAAAGTTATTTACCGAATAAAACACTCCAGAGTTGTCGTGCAACCAAGACAATCCAGAAAATTTAACACCAGGAATCACATCAGCCAATTCTTCTCCAGTACATTTTTTGAACTAAAAATTTTTTATAAAATTCCCCAAAAAAAATCATACTTTAATTGTTTTCCAATCACTTCCTTTTTCACTAACACCATAGGCAAGTAGTGTTCCGTCTTCAGTCCAAGAAGTGTGAGAAAGAGAAGTTGTTCCATCTTCCGACCACGTGTTTGGATCCATAAAGACTTTTCCTTTTTCATCCAAAGTTTTTTGTTGATACAAAACACTGCAAGTTTAAAATATAAAATTAAAAAATATTTGCTTACTAATGATTTTGAAGACCAGAATTGTAAAAGTAATAATAATAATCGCCATGAATCGATGGGCAACCAAACTTTTCATAGTCCCAAGTTGAAGTCAAACTGAAAAAGTTAGAACAATTTAAATGAGTTTAACCTCTTATAGATACAAGGCTGAAAATCGTAACCCAACTTTCCATAGCAACTCAAGAGGTGTTACTTATTTTGGGAGTGTATAGAAAATTCGCATAGAAAGTTGGGAAGGTTTTGGTGTAGTGGGAAAATTCTAAGTTCATTAGGGCGTTGGGTGAAGGTTCGATCCCCCATGGGGGAAAATATTTTTTCGACTTGATTTTCATCATTTCAAGAATAAATACGAATTTCTAAATACTCCCCCTCCCAAAAAAACTATTTTCGTTTATATAAAAATAAAAAAAAACCGTTCGCGGAAAACTTCTCTGCAAGAACATGCTTGAAAGAAAGGCTCCGATATTGAATTAATTTGCTGCACAAAATCTTTTGTAATTTCAGCGTCTGGTTCTTCTAGCGCACGATATGGATCTGGAATCTAACAAACAAATTTAAATTAAGTTTAAAAAATCTCTAAAAAACCTTCTTTCCATGGTAATCATCAACAACATTTCCTCTTTCAACCAAAGGGTAACATTTTGGATTGATATCAATAGAAGAAGACGACATTTGTGGGAATTTTGAAGAAGAGAATAAAGCTAATTGTTGTTTGAGTGGAAGTAAAAGCGCTATGCATCTCGACATTAAACGATTATCTTACAAATTGCTACGAAAGTGACCAACAATAAACCCCCCAAGAGAAACATAAAATCCCGTTGTCACCCCATATTTTGCCAATTACACATTTTGCCAATAAGGCTAAAAATCGACAGTTTGTCACTAAAACAGCACAATTAGCAAAACGACATTTGCCAACGACACATTTCGCCAATAAGGCTAAAAAAGGACATTACGATACACTAAAATCGCCCCAAGACGACATTTAGCAAGACGACATTTTGCCAATAGGGGCAAATTCCACCATTTCGTCAACCCAATAATTTGCCAAGCAAAAAAATTAAAATAATATTGTTTGTTATCTTCAAACAAATAAAAAAAATAAAAACACAAAATCAAAACCCAAATTTTTATTCAAAATATTTAAAAAATGTGTATTATTATAAGACAATGTTTTAATCACGAGGAAAAAAGTCCTTTTTAAAGTTAGTCACAATTAAAAAATTGAAAATTTTTTTCTTTGATTATTATTTGTGAAGTGGTAAAGAGGCGATATAAAATTAAATTTTTTTGGAGTTTATTAGTTCGATAAATGATTTTAAAAATTTATAGAGCAGTTCAATTGAATCCCCCGGTTCAGCTAAGTCACAACCCCTATAACTCGTGAAGTGCTGAACACTTCTTAATTATCTTAGTATCACTGGATAGAGAATTAAATACACTAGAAAGAAACCAAAAAATCAAAATTTTCCGTTGGTCAGTCGATCAATCCGTCACAATTTTGATTCTTTTTTGGTACCTTGTAATGTATTTAATTCTCTGTCCAGTGGTACCAAGAATTTTAAAAAGCATCCATCTTTTCATAAGTTAAGGGAGCTGAGTCAGAACCCTGTTGAGGTGCTCCGTTCTGTGCCTTGCTTTGGGTCTACTTAATGATTTACTTGAAAAACCTCCATTTAATTTATATCGCCTCAAAATTATTTTTAATAAAAAAAAACTCGTTATTCTAAAAAATTAAAGAAGTAAAAGGCCTTGACAGAGGTAAAGAAAATTAAAATTTATTTTTATGGGCAAAGATTACTCTCTAATAAGAATCTTGCACTTAGATTAAATATATCCCCTGTAGTTCCCGTTGAGTGATTAAATGAGAGAAAGTGATAGAAGCGCCCAGAATTAATTGTAAAGTGTTGCTACAACTATTACAAATTTAAAAAGTAGAGAAATTCGAGAAATGACCATTAGAGTCTGGAAAATAGGCAGGGAGGTATACAAGCTAGAGATCGAGCTGAACCTGGACCAAGGCCTGGATTTTCCCTGTACCCAGAGTCCAGGTCCAGGCATTTTTTGACCTTCCTGGATTTTTCATGGGCCTGGCTTCTTCCTGGATTACAGAACCAGGATCCAGTCCAGGTCAAAAAATCAAACTCCAGAGTCCAGGAACAGGTCCAGGCTTTTCAAAAATCTCGATCTCTAATACAAGCACCCACAAATCTGAGACTCTAATGGACAGTTAATCACAAAAATAATGAATTTTAAAAATCAAAAAAAAATATTGAGAGTATAAAAGAATGGGAGTCAATCAAAATTGTCGATGATTGCCATATTTTTTTGGAGGTTTTTGTAGATTAATATTCGATGGAAAAACTTTTTTTCTTTAAAAATTTCAAAAAAATTCCCAAACATTCCATACCTGAGGCTCTATTTTCGCCCATAATTTTTCTAATTTTTAACCGATTTTAATAATTTTAGTACCAATTAGAAGCTCTAAATGTGGGGATTATTTTATCTAGCAGGACTAATCTGATAAATTAATTTGAAAAAAAGTTGGAGTCGGTTAAAGACCGAAAGTCACAATTGTAGGGGTACTTGAATGACCGTACGTAGATTTTTACAAAATAACCGAACAGAACAAACTTTTTTTAGTAAAATAATTTACAAAGTTTTAGAGCTTATGATCGTTACAAAAATTATTAAATAGGCCAAGAATTAAAAAAAAGTTTTGGTTGAAAATATAGCTCAAGAGCCAGACGTCCCCCTTAACTTAAAAAGTTGTAGAGGTTTTTCTCCCTAGAAATATTAATCTACAAAATTAACCTCTTTTTTGTTGAAAGAGAGGATAATTTTTTGGGTTTTTAAGGTTAAAAAAAAATTTTTTTATATATCAAAAAATATAAGCTGATTTTTTGTCTTTTGATGATGTTTAAACAATGTATAAAAATAATGCTTATAATGAGAGAAATTGGTGGGTTTTTTAATGGGTGTGTAAACTTATATTTCATTTGAGATTGGAAAAAAAAACAAATAAATTTTAGGAAGGAATGAGAGAGCTGTGAGAGCTATTAATTATCCACCCATTGCTAAAAAAATCCTCTTGGAAAGAGTCAAAAACACACCCTTTGCAGCTTAGAACACAACAGAAAATATAAGTGATATCTCTAGCAGAGGTCGATCGGAAATGACGAAGGTGCCGGAAATTGGAATTGTTGGAAATCGGAAATAGCTCAAAAGTCGGAACTCGGAAATCAGCCCAAATTTTCGGAAATTGGAAGGAAAAAACGTCGGAAATCAAAATTCTGATCGACCTCTGATCTATAGTGACTCCATTTCCCAGAAAAAAATTTTTTGGCCAATGGGTGAATAATTTACACAAGTGGAATGAAAAAAAATTTAATATTTTTTTTTAATTTTTTTATTTTTTTGTTGTTTTCTCTCTTGTAGGCTTTTTAAAATGAGAGAACAAACAAATATTTATTTTTTTTGGACACACCCGTACATGGCACACACACAAAAAAATTTTTAAAATTTTTATAAAAATGAAAAGGGTGAGCTTATTGTTTTTTTTGTTTTGATTAAATGAATGACTTTTAATTTATGGACCAGCAAGAAAAGTGGAGAAGAGGTGAAAAGTAACAAAAATGGTCAATAGTCAAATGACCTCAAAACGGTCAAAGTTATCTTGAGCCTGAAATTACCTAGAAAAAATTACGGACCATTTGAGTATCGACCACATTTGTTAGACAAAAATAATGTGATAAAAGAGGTTTTTTACATTCAAAAATATTTAAAAAATGGAAGGGAGAGATTTTCAAGTCAACAAAAGATTTTTAATTTTTTGGTGTAGTGGGATAAACTTCAGGTTTTGTCGTTAGATGGACGAAGGTTCGAACCCCACACACGGAAAATAATTTTTTAAGACCAAAAATCTCTCTCCCTTACAAAATTCATGAAAAATAAATATTTAAAAGCATCAAAAAATATTTTTTTTAATATGTGTTATATTGGTGTTTAATTTGCCTGATTTTATTTTTATTTTTAAATTTATTTAAGGATTTTTTTTGTATTTTTTTTTTGAATTTTTTTAAAATCTGGGGAGTGAATTTTAAATAAAATATAGTCAAAATATTTTTGTTGGGAATGTATATGAGAGAGAAGGAAAGAAAAAAAATATCGAAACAAAGTAAAATTAGTAAAAAAGAAAGGCCAAAATTTTTATTTTTAAATAAGAACACAAAGTTGATTGTTAAAATGTTGATATATATTTTTAAAGAGATAAATTGAGATATATATTTTGTTTAAAATAATAATAATTATTTAATTTTTTAAATAATATTTCTATTTGAAAAAAAAATTTTTTTTTCGAAAAAATTTTTTTTTGAAAAATTTCGAAAATTTTCAAAAATTTTTCAAAAAATTTCAAAAAAATTTTTTTTTCAAAAATTTGAGAAAAAATTCCAAAAAATTTTTTCAAAAAATTTTTTGGAATTTTTTTATTTTTCAAAAATTTCCTGAAAAATATTTTCTAGAAAATTTCGGAAATTTTTTAAATTTTTTTTCAAAATTTCCAGTCATCATTAAAATAGAAATATTAATATATTTTTTAAATATTATTATTAAATTACAATTTTAAAAGAAATTAAAAATAAAATTGCCGGGATATATAAATAAACAAGAAAATAAATATAATATTTTTTAAATTGATGGCTGCATACACTTTTGAGATAATTTTAAAAAAAAATTGGAAAAAATAATTTTTATGAGAGTTTTGATGTGTGTCTTTTTTAAAAATATGTGTCGGTATTTAAATTTAATTTTTTAGGTTCTTTGAATTTTTAAAAATGTGACTCAGAAAATTATATAAACTAAAAAAAGGAGGGTCCCACAGACCAACTAGCATAGGTTCCAAAAAATTTTTCACAAAAATTTTTTTTGAGAAATGCAACCCTTTGATTAAAAAAGCCAAAAATCTAACCGAAAAATAATTTAAAAAATCCATTTAAAGACCCAAAAAAACTAATTTTTAGGTTTTGGATGTTCAAATATTTTTTCGATGAAAAAAAATTTTTTTTTGAAGACCCAAACCTTTTGAAACTCTAAAAAATCTGATCTTTAAAAAAAAATTAGATTTTTTGGATACCGACACAAATTTTAATATAGTTTGGGCAGAGTAAAATTATACATATATAAAGAACAAAATAATTTAGAAAATAAAAGTGCAAAATATCCAAAGAATTTTTTAAAAGGGGAATATATAGATGCACTTTTAAAAAATTTAAAAAAAAAGCCAAAAATCTAACCGAATATTTTTTTGTTTTTAGGAAAGGAAGAGATTCTCAAAAAGAAGAAGAAAAAAACCTTTATGAAGAGTTTGACGCCTTTTTTGCCATAAAAAATGGAATTGTTTCATTGATGTGTTTGTTTTTCAGTCTTCTCTCGTTCCATTTATTCCATTCTTTCATCCTTACCATTTTTTATTTATTTGCAAATTTTTTGTGCACAGCTTGAACAGATACTGAAAAATTTTTTTTTTAGTTTAGCCAAAACCCTATGGACGAGTAGGCACGCAGAAGCGGATACAGTAGTTGACAGGGTACCCGAGTGGGGGCCAGGTACTTATATCGCTATAGATTAGACGCATATTTTGATTTGACACAAAAATCATTGGACTCGTAAAGGCTAGAGATAGTTGGTTCTGAAACTAGGCCTGGGATTTTACTGTACCCAGGAATCCAGGCATGGGCCCAGTTCAATTAATCAAACCCAGAACCCAAACTTTTTATAAATCTCGATCTCTAAAACCGACAACCCAAATCATGAGGTGTTTCAGGATTTATTATTAAATGTTACCCAAGTTCTCTATCAAAAATATCTAACCATATAAGATCCTATACCTAACAAGGGCGTATCCAGGGTTTGGGGGGATACGGCCTTCCAAAATTCAAAAAATTTTCGCCTGCGACGCAGAAAAGATGAAAATTTATGTACAAAAAAATTTGTGTCCGGAACGCCAAGGTAAACGCCAAAAATTTTTGCGCCCACCCAGTGTTAGCCCCCCCCCCCCGAAACCGACCCCCTGGATACGCCCTTGCTAACCATATAAGATCCTATACCTAAGATTTCTATCAAAGTATCTAACCATATAAGATCCCAATTTTAAAAATAAAATCAAAACAAACCTTCCTCCTCCAGTAAACAAACTTTCGTCAGTTTGAATTTCCTTCTCAACAAATTGTTTACGAGTTGGAGAAGTTTTTTGTTCTTGTCCAATGCTAAGATTACCAAAATCTTTTGAAAAAACTTCAGAAATTTTGGAAGGGCCAAAAAAGTCCATATCTAAAATTTTTAAAAAATTTCCTCAAAAAAATTTAAAAAAAAAACCATAAGTCCAAATATTTGAAGTTGTGGCAATTGAAGAAGTTGTAACGTTAACTAAAGAATTAGCACCACCATTTGAAGCTGTAACATTACCACCACCACAAATAATTCCGGAAACATCTCCTCCATTTTGTATATTTGAATTAGACAAAATTGGATCATCTTAAAAAGAAAATTTTTAAAAAATTATGAAAAAATTTTGAAAAGTTAAAAGGCCAAGGATGGATTCTGCCGTCTTTTAAAAAATGCAAAAAATCAAAAAAAAAACAAAATTCAATAAAAAAAAATTTATTCATTCAATCCCTGGCATGGACACAAAATTACTTAAAAATAAGCGGTGACAAGATTTTCTTTTTCAAAATCTTTTCTGTCGCAGGAAGGACTTATAAGAGACAAAAAACTTAACAACTTTCTTAAAAATCCCCGTCCCAATGTCGTCTTAAAATTTCTCGAGCCCTACCCCCCCCCCTAAACAAGGAAACTCAACACAAGTTAGGATCCAAAACCCCCCAAATATCCCATAAAAAATCAAAATTCTATACCAAACAAAGAAAACAAAGGTTTCTGTGTTGTTGTAGGAGTTGTAATACTTGGTTGATTATGCAAAAAAGAAGGCTGTTGTCCCATTCCAACACCAATACCTCCTCCAATTCCTCCATTACCCCCACCAATAATTCCTCCACCAATATTATTGTGATGTCGATGAATTCCTCCACCTCCACCAACCCCACCACCATTTGGTGCCGTAAAACCATTAGACAAACCAACATTTGGAGCAGTTCCCCAAGCATTCATTGATAATTGTTGTCCAATTCCCAGAGAATCAACTGGCCCAACCATTTGTTGATTTCCTCCATCAAAACTGTCAGCAGACAAAAGTGGACGTGAAAGTGAACGAGGTTGAAAATTGGCATTGGAAAAAGCATTAAAAGAAATTCCTCCTCCTCCACCTACACCATTTGGTAATAATTTCTTTTCTGAAGCATTTGCTGAAGTTATACGACGAATAAATGCAGAATATTCAAAAAATGGCAAATTGCGACGAACGCCAACAAAATATTGAGAAGGAAATGGTGCAAAAGCAAATGGATGGCGAGATAAAAATTGCATAAAAAGTGGGCGACCTTGAAAAAAAAATAAAAGGTTCAAAAATCAGAGAGGTGAAAAGGGGGTAGGGCCAGTCTTTTGAAAATTTATCTGAACGGGTTGCTTCATATGATCCGACAAAGCCTTAAAGGTAAGCGGCCAGGTCCAGGACTTATTGTTAGAAACTTTCGACGGTGGAAGGGTCAGATAACTCTGTGGAGATGAAAATGAGTAACGGGTAAAGCCATGGATAAAGTCAGAGTTCCAGATAAGTCGCCCGAACATTTAAGGTGAAGAACCAGTTTCAAATCTAGAAAAACCCATCTTTGGATCGGTTTCGAAGTCCGCGCTTCGAATAATCCGTACGATAGTAGAAAAAATGAACAGGGTCTGGAAAAATTTTCGAAAATCTTCCCTGACGAGTCCGAGTCATAGAAGTCTCAAATGACCTCTCCAACACATAAAGAAAAAACTTACGATTTTGAATGCTTTCTTTAATTGAAATTGGAATATTAACGCATTTGTTGAAGAAAGAAAAGAGAAGATCAGAACTAAAAATAAAAAGGATATAAAAATTATTCAAGTTATAAAGAAACCTTGTAACGCCACCATGTTTTAACAGAAAATCAGCAAGCAGAGTGACTGTTTGATAAATTTCTGGAGCTGAAAAATAAAATATTCTAGTTGATAAAATCTATCAAAAAATTTCGGATACATATACTTTAGTCGGTGGCCGGTTCGAAAACCCTTCGAAATAAATAACATTCGATTCGCTCAGCGAACTGATGTGAGTCGAATGGTACCACTCTCCCATATCAGAAATGCCGAGATATGTATAGGTACCAGGGTTGCTGCCCAAACCCCGGCCTTATTTTGTACCCAAAACCCGATACCCGGAAAGAAAATTTGCCAAACCGAAACCCGTGATCCGAAATGAAAACGCTCCAGCCCAAAAAACGCTAAAACCCGAAACACGTACCCAAAGATTTTTTGTACCCGCGGCAACACTGATATGTACTCAAAAATGGAAAAAACTGATTCCAAAAAACCCGTTCCTGGGCATATTCTAATAAAATACTCTAGCATAAAATTAGGGAAAAGCCGATAATAATGTGTCGTGACACCAACCCCATAGTTTTGGGAGTTTGGTATTTCAGTACTTTGGAAAATTTGCCACAAAACTTTAACAAATAAAAGAACCTTGCAAATAAACAACATCATTATCTGCCAACATAAAAATATAGGAACGGTCCTCAACAAATTGTCGGCGTTTTAATGAACTAGAGCCAATATAACGTGACAATTCTGCATCACCAGAGTTGCTAATACGACTATGTAAACTTCAAAAAGGGGCATTTTTAGAGTAAAAATTCAAAAAAATTTTAATTCAAACTTTGAAAGAGGAATGTAAAGTTGCCCATTTTTTTGAAAAATTCCAAGTAAAAAAGAAAGTGCCCGCATTTCTTTTTCTAAAGAATAAGTGTCTTTGCCGTTCTTTCCTGTTGGCATATTATTGCTTTCAAATGATTCAATATTTAATTCTTGATCATCATTTGTTACACCGTTAGCCAAATCCTGCAGAAATTTTTTTTTGATTTTTAAAAAATTTTTAAAAGAAAAAAACCTGTTCACTAATTGGACTAACATAATTTGCAATCCACTCACTACTGCTATTTGGAATGGCATGAAAAGCTAAGCGAAAGCCCACTCTTAAATATTGAGTCAAGTCGGTGACACCCGAATCACAAAAATCCTGAAAACGAAAAAAATGTTTAAGAAAGAGAAGGATGAAATTGGAATAAGGAATTTCGTGCGGGCCCAAGAAAATAATCAAGAGGAAGTAATCTAGTCTAAATGAAAATGGCTGGGAATCAAGGGAAAACCTAGTAGATTCAAAAACTGTCAAATATAATACAGGAAGACTCCTAGCCTTAACCTAAACCAAGTTCGGTCTCTGTTATATTCATTCAGCGAAAAGAGTGTCAAAACGAGTAAAAGGGTCCTAGAAAACGAAAATTCAAAAAACAAAGCAGAATCGTATGTTCGTAAAATAGGGAAAACTCCAGCCGTGACATAGACCCCTCTAAGTTTCTACCAGGGGTCTAGCCGACATAAAAATAAATTCACAATTTTGTGAATTCACGATTTTCGAAAATCGGGTTGGCTAGAACCCTGGATTCTATTATTCCCACATAACAAAAAACAAACAAAAAAGGTTAACACCCTAGACCCAGCCAATTGTAAAAAAAATTCAAACAAACTTTGATCTGGAAGGAAACAGTTGCATGAACTGGCTTTGAGCAATTAATAAGACCCGCTTTTGATGAGAGCCAGTAGAGAATACCTGACCCACTAAAAATGTAAAAAAATTAATTAAAAAATTATTTAAAAAAATAAACCGAAGCATGCTATTCGTTGTAGGGAAAATACCAGGAAGAAGTGAAGGCAAAGGCACGTCCATTATTTTATGTGAAAATTTGCTCTGATTATGAACAATTAAATGAATAAAAAATTGACAAAGTAGAAAACAATATATTTAACTAGCTTTTCTGAAAAAATGAAAAAAATTTTTGCGGACAAAATTTGCGGACAAAAAATTAAATTTGCGGACAAAAATTTTACTTTGCGGACAAACTTTTTCAAGGTTGCGCAAAAATTTTTGCGAACAATTCTGCAACTTTAACTGCGATTTTTATGTTAGATTGATACATTTAGAGAGAAAAAGTGAAGGGATTGCTCATGGAAAATTTATCATGTCAGTTTTCAAACCAAAATCAAAAGTAACATTTCCTATTGTTCTTTTTAATTTGGGAAAGTTTATGCGGATTGCTACTGGCAATAAAAAACAAAACAATAAAAATTAAAATAAAAGCATTAGAAAAGAAAATCATTTGGTTAAAGATCAATTTTTAAAAGGAAATTAAATTGAGTGTTTAATTTTTGGAAGGAAAAAAGGATGGAAAACAAAGAAATTAACGTCCTTTATTTTATAGTAAACGGAAGTAGAGATTCTCCTTTTTCAACGTTAAAAATCAAAATTAACAAAAATGTGGACGAGGTCTCGAAAAAAAATAAAAAATCAACCGGAAGGATTCGAACCCCCGTCTCATCTCCATCTTCCACCCCCAAGTCAGACTACTAACCAACTAAGCCACGTTCACCGCACTAAAACAGGGGTAGAACCCACTACCTATTTTTGGCTAAAATAAAGAAAGCCTTAATAAAAACGACTAAAATACACAACAAAGCTAATAAAAATAAAGTTTTTGTTTCTTCTAGAAAAAGGAATAATCTTGTCATTATTTTCAAACAAAAATAAATTATTTTCCTGAAAAGTAAAAGAAAATAAATATTTGACTATGAAAATGTTTGGTTGTTTGATTGCTTTGCTATGATATTTATTGAGTGATTTCTATTATGGATGAAAATGTGGTGGATGGAAGAAAGGGAAGAGGAGAAAATGGGAAGGAGGAGGAGCTATGATGTTGGGTGTTGGGGGAAAAAAGTAAAAAGAAAAAATTAAAATGTAGTAAAAGAGAAAAAGGGCAGCGCTTATTTTTTCGCTAGTAATGGGGAGGCGTTATTGGGATTGACGTTTTGTAGGAAGAGGAGAGAAAGAGCAAACCATAACTGGAAATTTAGCTGGAAATTTGACATTTGGTCAGTCAATTAAAAATTGAGGTTTTTGTCACAATTGAAAATTGACGTTTTTAATGTTTCCAAAATGATATTTTCTACAATAATCGATATTTTTCTAAAAATATCATTTTGTAAAATTACATTTAGCCAGTGGACATTTCGCTAACTGACATTTCGACATAAGACGTTTTGTCAAATTAAGCAAATTTGAGATATTGAAAATACAGTAATTTGACATTTTGTAATTTCCAAAATGACATTTGATATTTTGATTTATAAGAGAAGAAAAATGTTGTTTTGCATCCTGAGGAAAAGGTAAAAATTTTTTTCGGTAAATTGTGAGGTTTCGCAAAACGTCATCCCTTATTCAACTGGAAAGATCAAGTTTGACCACTCATTGAAAAACAAATACAATCCGATAAAAGTGTAATTATTTGACTATTTTTTCAGATAATTTTTATATTTTATTTTTCTACACTTATTTTTATAAATTCAACGGCAAAAATGGCCGATCGTCTAACTCAAATTCAAGATTTAGTAAATGACTTGGCAAATCATATATGTAATTCAATTGGTGTTTTACAAGCTGATCCAACTCTGTCTTGTGATTTTGGTTCTGTTTCCAAGGTTTTTTTAACGAATAAAAAAAGAAAATTTTTTCTCTCAAAAATTTAAAACAATTTTTTAAAGACTATTTAAAGATTAAAATATAAACACTAAAATCTCTTTTTATCCAAAAATACTCCCAACAGTCCCTTTATATCCACAAATTTAATCATAGAAAAAAAGAAGTTTCCTGTTTTCTAAAAATCAAGTTCCATGTCTTGAAAAACAACAGACAATTTTTCTAACAAAAATAAACGGGGCTAGGTTCCTAATCAGAAAATAAAAATTGTGAAACTATTAAAGAACTATATTCGTCAAAGTTTATTTGGATTTAGATTCAAAGTTCTCCTACTCTATTTTAAACGAAAAAAGTGATTTTTAGAAACCAGGAAAATCTCTAATTTCTTTTCTTTTTTGACTAAATAACCCAATACTTCTCTTAAAATATTTTTTTCTTGGGTGCACCAAAAATTCAAATATTTTTTAAAACAAAACATAAATTTAAAAAATATTCTTTTCCTTTTAAAGGAGGTTGAGGACGAAAAGAATTGTCAACTATTTGCACAACATATAGCACATACTTCCAAAGATATTGAAGTTTTGGTAGAATCTTTACCACCAGCAGAACAATCACTCGAATTACATGAAAAAGAACTTTTAGAATTGGATGATCAACGTGCACAAGCTGCTAAAGAATTAGAATTAGCTGTTGAAAAAGCTGAAAAACTTACTGAAAGAACGAGGGAATTACTTTCAAAAATTGCTTATGCACAAATGATGTCGAGACCAAATGCTTAAAATTTTTTTAATTATTTTTTAAAGGTTGTTCCTTTTTGGTAAATATTTTTCTTTGTATGAGTAAATATTTTTAAGATTTTCATTTTTATTTAATAAGCTTTTGTGTGAGTAATTTAGGTTTGGGCACTAATTTAAAAAATTTTCCTAAATTAAAATTAATTTTACTTTTTTTTTCTAATGAAATTCTGGAAAATTAGAACTGAAGGTTTCCTAATTAGTTTCTAGATAAGCTGTTAATAAACAACTAACTGGGAGTTTGGAACTAAATTTAAAAATCTTGGATTTATGCCCTAATCTTGAAAATTTTGTAAATCCTAATAGTCGATTAGAGGATCAGTTTGGAACTAAATTTAGAAATCCTGAGGTCATGTCCTAATTCTTGAAAATTTGTGTCTTGTAAATCCTAACTATAAATCTATCGATGTATGTAAATCCTAATAGTCGGTTAGAGGGTCGATCGAGATTTGAGGATCGATCTTTGAGATCAAAAATATTTACTCGACCCAACCTATAGTGTCTATAATCATCTAACAAATTTTCCCAAAATTTATTCTCAAAATAAAAAATAAAACCTTTAATCATTTCTGTTCATCCTCTTTAGTTTCATCATCTCCTCCTCCAAATTCTTCCATTTTCATATATTCACTTTTAGAAGCAAAAATAGCTTGGCGTTTTTCCAAAATTTCATTTAAACAATTTGTGTCCATTGCTGTAGAATTTATACCAAAAGCTCCTCGACTTTTAGGAACAATTTTTTCTTCCTCTCTCGTTGGCTTGCCTTTAAAAAATTTTTAAAAATTTCGAAAAAAAATTTTCTTACAAAAATTAAAAGGTTTTCTATCAAGTTCTTCTTTCTCAATTTCTTCAGGTAAAACACCTCGTAATTTTGCCAAAGCTTTACATTCCCTTTTTAAACAAAATTCTTTTCTTTCATTCAAAACATTTTTTAATTCATTTGTTATAGCTTTATGAGAACCAAAAGGTAAAGAAGAATTTGATGAAGACTAAAAATATAAAAATTTTAAAATTAAAAGGAATTTGTTGAATATTCAAGAATATCCAACTCAAAAGTCGGATAATTCTAAAAAAAATTTTTCGGAGACACAAAAAAGAAAAAAAAATTTCAAAAAAAAAGCGTGAAACTCCCGTTTTCCAAAAATACATTTTTCTAAAGATTGGAAAGATATACTCACTTAGGGTTAAATAAATTTTTTTTACTTGATGGTCTACTAGGACAATCTTAAAAATTATTCACATCAATCACAATATTTTTAGAGACAAAGGACAGTTTTAATAGCCTCAATGTCAGTTAAAAAGTTTTTTTTTTCCATTTCAGTACACCTACCCAATTTTATGGCAGACCTCTTTATAGTCCGAAAAAAATTTTTTACAAAAATAAAAATTAATTTAAAAAAAATTTTTTACAAACCTGTTCAATATTTTGGTCCTCAAATTTAAATCCTTCAGAATCAATTTTAGTAAATTTTGGATTTAATTCGAATATCTAAATTTCCAAAAAAAAATCTCACAAAATTTCAAAAAAATCCAAAAAAACCTGAAAATCCTCTTCTTTTTCATCAACATCTTCATCACTTTTAGTCTCACAACTTAAAGTAACTGTTTCTTGTTCATTTAAAGCTTCTTCAATTTTATTTTCTAATTTTTTATTATTCTCTTTTGAATTTTTTTCTATATTTTGTTTAAGCAAATTAATAATTAATTGAAGATTAGAAATTGTATTTAAAGCAAATTGTTCTGATATATGTTCAGTTTCTTGTTCAAAAGAATTGTTGTTGAAACTAAAAAATAATAATTTTAAAAAATTTTTAAGAAATAAAAAGGGCAATTCCAAAAATTACAAATATTTATGTAGCCAGGGAGGCGATTTCGGGTATGTAGTAGAAGAACGTGTCGACTCGATTCACAAAAATAGGGGATCCCGATTCTTGAAACAGTTCATTCATTATTTATGTCGACATGTTCCCTAATAACGTATCGACAAAAAAAGAAAAAAGTTGGAAGCAAATTTCTGTTGCAATATTCAAATCGACTGAAAATCCTCTTCTGAAAAACCACCATAAAATCCTCCCCTTGTCAATCATCTTCACTTTCTGTTTGAAGATGCCCTCACTTATTTAAACCCCCACCTAACAATAAGTATTTTAAACAATTTAAAAAATAAAAACCTTTCAAGAATAAATTCCAATTGTGCTTTACAAATAGCAAAATCACTCAAACTTTTCCATTTTCCAATTTTTTGTTTCAAAATTTTTTCTTCTTTAGGTTTCACTTCAGTTGATTTAAAACCCAATTCTTCTCTTTGATTAAATAAATCCAAATAATTAAATGTTTTCCAAAAAGTTTTGAAGAGAATAAATATATTTTTAAAAAATTCAAAGGGTTGAAATAACAAAATATTTTGGTGAATAGCAAGTAAAAAGAGACGTAAAAATTCACTTCTGACCAAAAACATGCATTGCCATAAACTCTGAAAAAAATTTTTTTTTAATTGGAAAAATTCCCAGGAAAATATTTAATTTGAAAATTCCCCAGGAAGATTTTATTATAGGGTAAAGGACTGTGGTTAAATTATTCTAGAAAATAAAACCTAAAGGTGGATTCGAAAATATTTTTTGGATAAAATTGAAGAAATTTTATAAAAAATTTCTTAAAAATTGAAGAAAAAATTCAAAAAGGGTTCAAAAAATTCAAAGTTTCTTAAAAATAGAAAGAGCAAGTTTAGCAACCGAACAAGATTCGAAATCTGCGACAACGCTGACAGTGATCGCTCGGTCATGCTCACACAAATGCAGTTACTCTACCACTGATGTGAACTACCGGGACGATGACTAATGCTTTCTCTTTTATCTTTTTATATCGTTTAACCCCCCGCCTAAGCGGTGAACGGTCCTTACAAAATTATGGAAAAATTTTTTTGAGAGAATTTTTTTTAACCCAAACAGAATAAAAAATATAATTTAAAAAATTTCAAACCTTTAAAGCTGTTATACTCAAAAATGTTTGTTCTTCACCCTCACATCCATCATATTTTTCATAAATGAGTGAATGCATCTCTGGACTAATAAAATTAATAAAGAGTTTGTTGACATCATCCCTTAAAATTTTTTCTTCAATTTTTTAAAAATAATTTTCAAAAAAATACTTGGTGGAACAAATTGATTTTGAGGCTGAATGATATGTTTCGATATAATTGCGAAGGCATTTGAGATAATTTAGGCGAGATTGACGAAATGGTAATGTAGATGATGAACTGTTACGATGGTTAGAAGGTTGCAAACTTTAAAATAAAAAAATTTTAGAAAATTGATATGTTGAAAAAAGTCCGCAAGTTTTGTCCACAAAAATTTTTTTCGTTCTATTCCATACAGTGAAATCTCCCTTATAATGACATCCTTCATGTTGGGTTAACATAAAAAAAAGTGGGGATCAAAAATTAACCAAAACACCCTCATGGGCCGAAGGAAGATCATGTGGGAAAGTAGTGCCGGAGAGACTACCACTCTCCCTGCCAAGGGCGTAGCAAGGAAGTAGATTTCAGAGTGGCTAAAATGGGTAGCTTACCAATATCTTTCCATTTTCTCCATTTCAAGGGGGCATCAGCCCCAAAATCCCCATGGCTTTTGGAGCTTTCCCCAAAAAGCACTCCTTGGATTAAAAATCTTATAATTATTAAAAAAATTTCAAACTAACCTGAACAAACATATTTCTTTTTCTCGCAATAATGAAAGATATGAATTGAATTTGTTATCAAAATTGATCCAATATTTTGCAAAAAGTATCGGAATTTGGCAAAAAATAGGCCAAATAATTATTTCAAAAGCCAGCAAACAAATAAGTGGATTAAGAGCAAACCAAAAAACTAAAAGTGAATATGTATTTGTTTGAAATAAATGGAGAGGTGGGGGGGGGGGGGGGAATAGAAGGCTCGAATCCGGTTGGCGGAAAATATTTTTCAAACTATAAAAATGCCTAATAACAGGGTTGCCATCGAGAAAATGTTTAAGTGTGACCTGAAAAAAGTATGCAAAATTTCGGAAAAAAATTATCCAAAATTTTGAAAAAAAAAATTTATCAAAATTTCGGAGCCCCTCAATATTCCCCAAGAATAAAATATTTACCCTGTCCGTTATACATAGTAACAAGCAAACCAATGACCGATAGTCCAATAGTAAATAACCCTTGAATATTATTTCTTTCAAGAACACCTTCACAACAGTCTTTCAATAATTCAATATCTCCATCATCTAATAATCCATTCCTCCTCCAAGAGTCCCACAAATTGATTAAAAGGGTACCAAAGAAAGCCACCATTCTTGTATAAAAATTTTTATTAAACTATTTGACGAGATTTTAGTACTAGTGCAGTTTCCCCCCACTATTCACCTTCATTGGGGAAACGACACCCTGATCTGCGTGTTATACCAAAGGTCCGATAATGTACATAAGTACCTTAACTCTGGTCAAGCGGAGCTCTCTACTCCAAAAACGATTTTGTGAGAATAGAGTGAACTCTTTTGAAATAAAGCCCTAATGGGGGGTAAACTACACTAGCACCAAAAATTTAAAAAATATTTTCTCATTTCGATCAGCAAAATGTTTTTCAAAATGAAAATAATATTTCCTTTCTTTACTAACATATTTTAATCAAACACAAAATATACACGCAATATATAATAATTGTGGATGGTCAAGACAAAAAATCAGCCAACAATTAAAAAAAAATTTTTACGAACGGGAGGAAAAATAAAATCACCAAAAAAATTTTTTTTGAATATCCTATAGAAAAGTCATCATTATACACATAACCTTGAGACATCAACCACACGAATTAGACACATTCTGCAGTAGCAGCAGCAATCCTTGGACTCTTCCGAATTTGTTGCTTTATTTGTTGTTGGTTAGTTTGCCGACGACGATACACCCTGAAAATATGAAAAAAATTTTCCTAAAAATCTTTCAAAAACATACAGCATATATGCTTCCTTCGATACAATAGAGTCGCCAGGCGGTGTATTAAGGGCATAAGCGGACGAGTCGTTAAATTCACACCACGTATTGTTGTTCAATGCCCGCGCTGTATAATGGCCGGAACCGAGACCTTCAAAAAAATTATCAATTTATTGGCCCAAAAGTCAAAAAATCCACAAACCTCCAGAATGATTCGAAATACCAATCAAGTCATATTTCTCATCCTTTTGAGAAGGATCGCGCACTTTTTCCCCAATATCCAAACCTTTCACTGGGATATCAATTTCAGTATCAATTTTCTCACGAGAGTAGCGTGTGTACAAGAACCTTTTGAGGTGAATAATCAAAATTTGGGGAAGCGACCAGAGATCCAATTTTTTGAAGGCGCGTTGATGAGTTTTGCAGTTTGGACAAAACCTGGAAAAAGTCAGAGAATAATCCCCTTAAAATAAAAAAACGAAACCATGAATCCTCCTCACTCAATTGTTCTTTAGTTGTATATGCATCGATACACTCCTTGATCGTATAAGCCTTCTTAACTTGAGTAATGTTGACTTCACGCTCCACTAGCGACTAAAAAACAAAAAATATTATTTAAGGTCCAATGAGAAAAATACCCCCAAGTTAACCACTTCACTCACGTCTGGATTGACGCTGCTAAATTGCTTATTCTCTTCCCATGTAAGCATAATTTTTGGAACAGGGCCATCAACATATGGAAGAGAAAATGGCACTTCCTTCAAAATAAAATTGTTTGAGGATTCAAAAAATCCTTAAAAGTAACCTCATCTGGATCATCAGGGAATTCTTGAAGCATTAAATTTGGTTCCTGCAAAGCAATCTCATCAGGATTCACTTGAGAATATTGCGGTTTAATGCCATCTTCAATAGGCTCTTCACCTTGTTTTGGACTGTCTTTAACATTAGTGTCCATTGCAGAAGTTCCTGCATCCGTACGCCAAAAGTAGTCTCGACAAAGCGGCAAAATGGAGTCAAAAACAAATTGTTTAGTCAATTTTTCTGGTCGTCGAACGGGAAAAACATTTCCAAGTAACGAACTGTTAGGTTTTCGATTTTCAACAAGTAAAAGAGGTCCATGTCCATCAAGAGCATAAGCATAAAATTGTTTGCCAATATTGTTGTAAGATGTGCCAACTAACTTGTCATCTTCTAGAATATCGCTGCTGAAGTATGTAAGCAAGACAATCTTAAAATGAGAAGTTTTTGCAGATAAATCAGGGGTTGACCCAGAACCTTCGGGTTGAAAAGTTCGGGGGACGGGGTTGAGCATTTTAGGTTCGTGTCGAGATTTTTGTCAGTTCGGGTCGAGATTTTATGTCAAAAAAATCGTCGGGGTTTCAGAAGACTTGACGGACCCTACAAAAAATTTATATAAAAGTGTAACCTCCATATGATCCGGTATTTTGAGATGTTGTCGAAGAACGTCTTTCAATTGAAGAATTGTCGTCTTGTTTGTATGCGTCAACAAAAACTTGGCCCATTTGTCTTTGCGAACAAAATTGATTGTAGATTTAACTTGGCGTTCTTTTGCAGGAATGGGCAATGACAGATAGCAGAATGGATCAAACTTGATGCTAATTTTGCTGCAGACATTGCAAGTCAAGGTGGACTTGAGTTGACCATGTAGAAGATCCACAATAATGCTGTCATTGCGCTTTTTGTAGTCTTGCCAGGCTTCTCTTGCTGCCTAAATTTGGATGAAATTTTAGGGTGTAAGCCCCAAAGAATATAAACCTGAGCCTCATCTCTGCCCTCCATCTCTTTTTCTTCAACATAGGGCTTATTCTTTATCCGGTTTAGATCCTCGTGGAGCCCATCGAGCAAGAAGGCAGTCAATTCCTGAGAGTCCTGTTGAGCATAGCCATTGAAACGAGGAGCAAATTCGCCAATTACACACTGAAAATGGTGTAAGAATCGAAAAAATATTATAATACCTTGAGGTGACAAGGCCGAACTGAACTAGAACACCCTGACCACATATCCTTAAGAAGTTCAGCATATGCTTTGACCAAACGTCCATGAGTGCCCAATGGATTCGTAGTGTTGATTTCATCATAGTACTCGTCGTTTATAAAATACTCGGTTAACTCAGGAACGTTGCTCAGACATTGAATAGCGCTAAAAACAGGTCTAAAATTTGGGGGCCAGAAAATTAACCTGTTCATAAAGCAAGTATTTCCAAGATTTTGAAGTCCGCACAAGCCTTTTTGATAGGTTGCAACTCTAAAAAACACAGATTTAAGAAAGAAAATGGGAGGGGGGTAATACATAGTTTCATGCCCCCTTCCCCATAATTTTTTCCTTACAATTAGAATGTAAGGAGGGAGAAAAACATGATGGAAAAACAGAATATGTCAAAGGGAAATTAGGTGAAATTAAACAAGAAAGGCCAGACAACCGTTATGTATATTCTAATTGTAAGAAAAGAAAGACGGTGAGGCAGAAACTCAATATCATCTCCATTACAACTGGTTACCTTTCAGAAAATCGACCACCACGAGTTGTTCCATTCTGAGCCGCCACCAACTCCTTAGAAGTTGCTCCAGAAGCATCCACATAAACAATAGTCCCAGAATGAAGAATAGCGCTAAGTTTGGCGTACGAAACAGTGTCGGGCAAACAATCATATCTACCCTTTTCTTCAATAAGAAAATGGGCGCCGTTCCTGTATTGTTCTTCAATTTTGAGTTGGTCAAAAACGATTTCTCTAATCTTGTCGATCGTAGCAGCCTGGCTCACTTCAATAGTGAAAACGACTTCTTTGTTGTTGTAGTTGGCAATCTGGGAAATTTAATAAAAAATCTACTAACAGCTCAAAATAAACCTTTATTTGGAGTGGATAGACCTCAATGAACGTTTCATCCCTCAGCATCCCTTTCACAACCTTTCTAGAGATTACATCCCGTTCTTCATCCTCGATTCCGAATACGCTCCTGAGATTAGCAAAGACTGCGTCACTAACAAAGCCCAAGCTTCCACTGAGATTTGGCTTCAGAACGTATTGGTCCTCGCTGTCTAAATTTGAAAAAGGTAAATGAACTTTAAGTTGTTCTTACTTTTCTCAACGACGTCCTTATTGGAAATAGGAGGCATCTCAATGACAGCATCACCATCTGCGAGTTCGGCATTGCTCAAAAATTCCTTCCACCAAGTGTTGCTGATGACATACCTGAAATTTAAATAAAATCAAGTGATTCGGAGGGCATATTCTATGTATTTTTTGACTACTTGATTCTTAGGCGAGGGTCGGTCCTCAACCCTCGCCTCTTGCGCAATGTCAATGTAGAGATCGGAACGTACCGCAATACTGACGGCATTTTCAATAATAACGTTTCAGTAGCCCGGTACGGAATACCGACCGATAATATTCTGAAGTTCACCTGTTTTAACGGCACTGGGATTTTTGGTATTAAGGTAAAAATACGGTACGGTAAAAATTCCGATCTCTACATTGACATTGCGCAAGAGGCGAGGGTTGAGGACCGACCCTCGCCTAAGAATCAAGTAGTCAAAAAATAAAAAGAAACAAACCAAATTTGCCCTTCATGCAAACGAAGAACACGATCCATTTCGAGTAGTTGCTTAGCATCTTGCACTTTTAATTTTTTAGGTGACGTCATTTGTCTGATTTTGAATGACTTTGAAGAAAATGTTTAGAAACTGAAATTATTGGGTTTTATATATAGCGGCGCGGCTTAAGCACCTGCCCCCTTTTCTTCTCTTTTTAACAATTCATCACACTATTTCCAGCTAATCCTTTTAGGACAAAATGACGTCAAAAAACAAAACGCCAAAATATGCTGATTTTAAGTTAGAACCCGAACCGGCGCAGACCAAAAGGGCGCGGTCTGAATGACGCGCTTTTTCAGGCGCGCCGTTTAGGCCTGCGCCGATTTGGGTCTTCAAATTATTAATTAATTTGTTTCTCTGCTTTCTCTCTTTTATTTCTCAACTATTTCTCAAAATTTCTTCAAATTTTTATTTTTTGATTATTTTATTTTTTAGTTATTTTTCTACTAAATGTCGATCAATTTTCTACGTGATTTTTCTCTACCAGAAGACTATTTCTTATGCAAATATGATGAAATTGAGGGGGCAAAACCTATTTGTAGTTACGAACTTTATAACCAAACAAAACATATTCCTTTACCTTGTTATAATGAAGAGAGGTGGAAACGAATTGAAGGTTTTATTTTTGATTGAATAAATAAATTTTGAATTTTCAGAAGCACTTGAGTGGATAGCCAATGTCGGGGAAGCTTTGACTTTTTTCGATTTCAAGGTTTTTTTGAAGAAAATTTTGGAGAAGGGTTTTAGCTAGGCTCTTGGGCGGCTTGTTCCTTTACTGGTTAGTAGTGATCGGCTTGGATCTGGTTTCATATTTTGATTTTTTCGGAATTCAGAGTTCAGATCAAAGCATTTTTCAGCGTTCCATGATTTTACCTTGTCTCAAGGGAAAATCTTGATCTGGTCAAGATCCTCACTTAAAATCAAGAATAAAGGGTTTTTAAAATTCCCTTTTTTCCTCCTCATTTTTCCCATGGATGTGCGGAATGGGCAGACTTTCCTTCCAAAACAAAATAAAAATTAATCTACCTTAATTGTTTGTTGGAATAAAAAAGAGGGGGAAGATAAACGAAAATAATTAGAAGATAAACGACAATTTTACTTTTTATTTTGCAGACCAAATTTCTTTCGTATCTCAATTTTTCTGCCGAACCCGATCTCAGCGTTATTGCTTCTTTATTTAACCAAGATTCCTCTGCTTACTTCAATAAACGTATTTTATCATCAATTGCTCGGCTAGCACTTGAATTACCCAAACAAATAAAGCAACCAATACGAGCTCTTAGAAGGGAGGAAAATGGCTCTCTAACTTTAAGTCAACTTCAGATTGCTTCACTTTTAGCAAATGCTTTTTATTCAACTTTTACTGCTCGAAATTTTGGAGAATTTAATAGAATTAATTTTATCAGGTTTTTTAAATGTTTTTTAGACTGAAAAAATTAAAGAGATATAATCTTGAAAAATCGGAAAAAATTCCTTTGTCGATGAATTTTTTCCCCGTCGAGGAAATTTTTTTGTAGGCCCAGTTTAGTTTTTGCGGGTATTTTGAGTGAATTAGTTAACTGAAAAAGTCAACGGTTCCAGGGGCATACCACTACACCACAAACTAGAGATCTAACTGGGAGTGACGTACGAGAATCGAAATCTCTTAAATTCTCGATCTTGATAACCGAGATTTTCGATTGAGATATCGGTCCGGTCTATACCACAAACTATGAAAAATATTTTGTGGTCGGTTCTAACACGTTCAGACCTCTTTAATTTTTTAAAATTATTTTTTCGTCCTTGACTTTTCCATTAAGGTTCGAACCCAACCCGATGGAATTTTTTCCAAATATTTTTATACTTATTTTAATAACTTCAAGAGGTCGTAGGTTCAACCCCGTTCAGCGCCCTTTAATTTTTAAAATTATTTTTAAGGCTATTTACTCGCAAAACTCCCAAGGCAGCAGAAAAATTGAAATGTATTCTGCACTATTTTTTTCAATTTTTTAAAAATCCTCCAACTGGGACAGTCTCGATTATTCGTCAAAAACTTAATTGTGAAATGGAACCAAAATGGGATGAAATTGAATTTCCTTTAGTTAATTTGAATGCTTTACCCAATGGAAGAATAGAAAATGAGGGAGAAAAGATGACTCAAGTAGATTTTGCAAATGAATATATTGGTGGGGGTGTACTTGGATATGGACTTGTACAGGTATATTTTTTTGTTTTTTGAAGTATTTTAAGGAAAGGAATGCTAGGCTGTTTAGGATTTAAAATGATTAGATTTGAGTTTAAGATCCGTAACGCTCCATAATCCCGAAACGCTGAAATACACAACCCCCAAAAGCCGTCGAAATGTCAAAATTTCTATGTCATATTCACTGGTTTACATTTCGACGGCTTTTGGAGGTTTGATATTTTGGAGTCATAACAGTAGCCTTATCGCGACGGGCTGCTAGGAATGCATTTTATGCCCAAAATTTAATTTTTTAAAACATTTTAAGGAAGAAATTCGTTTCCTAATATGCCCAGAATTAATCATTTCTTGCCTTGTTTGTGAAAAGGTTTTTTTTCAAATATTTATTTTTAAATTTGGATTTTTAGATGGAAAAGAATGAAGCAATATTAATTATTGGAGCGGAAAGGTATTCAGATTATCAAGGTTATGGAAGTACTTTTTGTTGGAAATATCGTCAAAGAGATGTTTCTTCGCAAAGGTTAGTCTACTGCGAAGCAGGAGTGGGTCTGGTTATCCAAAAACCGATACCCGGACCTTATCTTGACTTAAGCATGATCAGAGAAACTTTAAAATCCGACCCGTTTTTTCCCGACCCGTCCAATCCATGTTGCAAACACTGTCTACCTCAGAATCATAACTTCGCTTTTCTCTTCACTTTTGTTTTTTATTTTTCCCATTAAAAACGATTAAAAAGCCGATTTGGATGGGACGGGTCGAGATTCGAATTTTATAAGCCTTTATAAGGGTGGTAGATAGGGGGCAGACCCGTAGTCAGGGAAGAGGGGGGAGTACGGGCCTGATCGGGAGTCTTTAAAACATTTCCAAAATAATTTTTTTCTCTTGATTTTTAGAGATGCCATGGGAAGAGTAATGTCAGAATTATTAGCAATTGATGCACTCAACTTTACCCATCCTTTGGAACAATTTTTTGAAGGATATATTCGTCGTGAACTTCGCAAAGCATTTATAGGATTTGCGATACGTACAGCTTGGAGTTTTGATCAAATAGCTACAGGCAATTGGGGATGTGGAGTTTTTGGAGGAGATTTGCACTTAAAAAGTTTGTGGAATTTTTTTTATGTTAAGCGGACCTCTCATAAGATTAGGGCTGAAAAGAGGGCTTGGTACCTCCTCCGCCCACCAGTCGGCCAAATTTTAGAAATATTTTATTTGAGAGGTATCTTATATTTGGAGTATCTTAAATAGAGGATTTTTTATGGTTTTAGTAGGGATTGAAATTTTTGAAAAGTCTGGACCTGTTCCTGGACTCTGGAGTTTGATTTATTGACCTGAGCCGGATCCTGGGCCTGTAGTTTAGGAAAAACCAAGGCCTTGATCCAGATCCAGGCCGATCTCTAGTTTGTAGTTATAGCTCTGTAGCGGTCTTCGAGTCGGACTAATTAAAAAATTTCCATTTAAAGGCCTTATTCAACTAATGGCAGCTTCCCTTGCATGCCGCCCTCTTGTCTTTTTCACATTTGGTAAAAAATTGTTTGCACAAGAATTGGAAGAAACTGTAAAATTGTTGCAAGCAGAAGGGTTCACTATTGGTTAATTTAATTTTAAATTAAATTAAAAAAATAAAATTTAAGGCAAGCTTTACCGGTTAATCATTAAATATTGTAAATTTGGAATTGCTCGGCCAAAAAGTCTTTTTGGATGGATAAAGGAGAATTATCGAGATTTTGTATAATTTATTTTGATGATTAATTTATTTTTAAAGAGGTTTATTACTTTTATTTTTCGTTTTAGGATTTTTAGAGATAAAGGTTAAAATATACCATCAATCTAAATCTGTGCCCAAATTTTATTTTCGGGTAGTATTAGATGCCAAAAAAGCTGTGTTTTTATTTTCAGGCCTAGATAAGCCATGGCTTCGGTCCATTTAACTCTATAATTGTAATAGCACCTAATGGTAGGCGAACTCTTAATAAGAAAAGCAGGGAATCATTCTTGTAGTCGCAACACGCTTCCAATAACATATCCCGGGCAAGTAGAAAAAAAATTTTTTTGGAAGGGGGGGGGGGGTAATTTTCAAAAGAATTTAAGTTGGGTTACGGCTATTTGGTACGAGTATCCTAATAAAAAGGCAGGGAATCATTCTTGTCTTTCACGGAATCTAAAAATAATTTCAAGAATTATATATCTTTTTTTTTAATTAGTAACAACAAAGAGACAATAATTAAACATCAAATTATTTTTAAATATAAAAAAAGATCATTACCAGATGAAAACAAAAATAAGCGTTGAAAAAAAATTTTTTTGAAAAAATTATAACGCCAACAAAGGAACATAAATAAACAAAAAATTGATAAATGAAATAACAATTTTTATATTTTTTTTAAATAAAAAAATTAACCGATAGATGAGCAACAACTCTTTTTTTTTTGCTTTTTTGAAGGGCAGTGGTCGTCGGCGATTAAAAAACTTTTTTTGTTTTCTTCTTTACGAAATCTTTGAAATTTGTGCATTTAAAAGTTCAAGTCGCTCAGTTATACTTCTTTGGGTTGTTGAGGCAACGCCAAAACTCATTCGATCTTGGACATTTAATTGTAATGATGACAAAAATTCCAAACATGTATTCTTGAGTACTTTTCTATAAAAATTAAAAATTTAAACTTGACAGGTTTTCGGAACCCAAAATCAACAGAATTTTACTGTCCCGGAATCGATAAAATTTTTGAGACCGCCCAGAACTGTCAAGGACCAGACCTGGTCAACGGATATGGATAAAGATATGCCTGAGGATATCCACCTGTATCCGCCGTAAATATCCGGATACGGATACCAAAATCAGTATCAGTGACCAAGTCTGCCAAGAACCATTTGACGTTTTTTTGGGAGCAGTTGCCACTAGCACTGTTTCCCCAAAGTTTCGGAACAGTTTCCCGGACTCAATAAAAATTTTTGAAACCGCCAGGAACCATGTGGCATTTTTTGGAGTCGGAGGAACATTGATTAGAAAACACCCCACATTCATAAAAGGAAATGAGAAAAAATAAAAAAAATCTCCAAACCTGTCTGAACTTCCCAAAGCTTTAGCCTCCTCCAACGACCGTTCCGTTGTCAAAACTGCCAAGTCCAACATAAAATTAAAAGCACGTTGATTTTGTTTCCAAAAAGGGTCAAAAATTCTAATTGGAAAAAATTACGTAAAATTATTTTTAATAAAAAAACCTGTATTGTTCAGAAGCAACAGCAAGCAATTTGCCATATTTTATATCCGCTCCCCGGCAAATTTCTAAAACCCAATTAATCGGCGGGGAATTTTTAAATGAGAAAACAATTAATTCGCGAAGAATATAATCTTTAAAAGAAGAAAAAAAAATTTTTAATTAATTTAAAATCAAAACCTAATGGAACAAATTGTGGAGAGGAAGCATAACGTTTACGTAGACGCAAAAGAATTGAAGAAATATTATTTTGAATTTTGTCAAGAGTTAAACGATTGAGTTGGAAATTGCGAAGTTCTGGAAAAATAAATTTTTATAGAGATTAAAAAAATATATTTTCTGGGAAGGCCTCTATCCATGAAAGATTTTGTAAGCCTTGTGGAACTTTAAAAAGCCTTTTGTCAATTTTCCAACATGACTAGACCACCTTTCTATAGTGCTTTTTTTACAATGACCTTAAGGCTAACTAACAGGCCCGTACTATAAAAACGAGTAGCATGTTTAGTACCCTAATAGGTTCTGTATTTTTTCTTCTTGCTTCTCACAAATAACATTTTCTTATAATTAAAGATGGCTAATGACCAGGCCAATCTTGACCATTTAATCCGTTTCTTGTGGTATAAACCAAGTATGGGATGAGTTACACGAAACTTGATACCTAGAATCTTTTCGAGACGAACTCCGATCCGAAAAATTTTTTGAAAACCCAATCTTAAACGCTACATTTCTAAACCCGTCCCATCCCTGCTACTGGCCCAGGTGTGTGGTTAAGCCATTTATTATTAAAGAATTAAAAAAACCTTTATCCAAAATATCTCTCCAAACATTTTCCACAATTTCAGTATCAAATTGACTCGCACAATGCAAAACTGCCAATTTAATTTCATGCAAATTGTAAGTTTTTGCATAGGAATAAAGTTGAGTTAAACCACATAGTTGATAATTTAATGCTTCAATCGCTTCCTTTCCTCTAGCTGCAATTTCTGGGTTAGTTTCAGATTCTAATAAGGTTCTGAAAAAAATTTTTTTAATTATTTTTTATTTTAATATTAGTCGGACATCGTTTTTAAATACCCCCTAAATTCAATTTGAGATACGTTTTCTAAAAGTCTAATTAGCCACTGGATACAGGAAGCTGTTTAAATGATACACCTAATTTAGGATACACCTCCATTATAAGGTACGAGAGCTATTTTAAACCCAAGGATATGATCCCGTAATGCCAACGCCAAAGGGGGCCAAACCCCTAAAAACCGTCGAAATCCAAACAGTCAAAAGCCTTTGATGGTTTGGATTTCGGCACCACTTCCACAGGTTGGCATTTTCGGCACCACTTCCACAGGTCGGCCTTCAACGTTTTGGCATTATGGCGTACTACGGCTCCAAAAGGTGTATCTAAAAGTGAGGTTCATCCATTCAAAAATTACTTTGCTCTCATTTGAATCTGTGCAACGTCAAGTTTGTCTTGAATTTCTTGTTTTAATTCCATATTAGATTTAGTTTCAGGTGCCGATTGAACACACATTAGAGCATTGGATAAATGAGTAATTCTATTAGAAATGCTTGTCCGACTTTAAAATAAAAAAATAATAATAAAAAATTTCAAAAATTCTCAAAAAACCTTGTAGTTTTCGAAGCCATCCCAGCCAAGACTTTCGCTGCTTCCAAATAATTATGACTTTTTTCATAATATTTCCATAATAATTCCAAATAAATATTCCCTTTTCCATCTTCTATTTCGTGGAATAAAAATGCCTCGAAATATTTGAATTTGTTCTAAACAATATATAATTTAGTTTTAATTATTTTAATTAATTTTTGGGGGTCAATAAAGTAAAAGTATGTTAATGTGTTCGATTATCCTAGTGCCCACAATCAAATCAAGCGGTCGACTGATTTCCATTATAACCCAATTCGCTTTCATCCTACAAAGAACCTATTTAGACTAGGGTAGCACCCCGAGCCTTTGTGTGTTTTGCCAAAAAAATAGTCGAGGTCGTGATTTCTTGGGGCGGGGTTTCTCTAGCACCCCGAGCCTTTGTGTGTTTTGCCAAAAAAAAAAGATGGATGGCAAAATGGGTGGCAAAAAGCGGGGTTTTACCCGCAAGGGGGAAGGCGCAGAGGATCGGGGTTTGTCGGGGTAGAGCTTCCGGGTTTCAAGTCGGGGGCTTTTGCCTAAAATTGCTGCACTAATTTAGACCCATAAAAAATGTTCCATTTTTGACTATTATTGACACTGAAAATTTTTCAAAATATTCAAATAAGAGAAGGACTGTGCCAAAAATTCAACCCCCTATCCCTTCTTTTCCTATAAAAAATTTGGGGAAAAAATTAAATAAATTTTACAGCAATAAGTTGATCAGCCAAATTATTTCCCAACATCCAATTAAAAACTTTAACACAAGCCAATTCATCATCAGATTCCAAAACTCTTCTCAAAAGTTTATCCCTTTCTTCTTGGGCACGTGATGAGGATAATTGTTGTTTAACAGAATCGGCCGATTGGAAAAAATTGTTTAAATTTAATGATGCTAATTGACTTTCTTTTGAAGTTGCCAAAATTTGAAGAAGTCGAAGTACTTCCAAAATACAATTATAAGCTTCATTTCTTTTTTCCATTGCTTCCTGGACTGTGACGTCTGTTGATGTTAAATGTTTTTTGTAAACTATTAAAGCCAAATCGTTTGGATCATCGCGACGGGCACGCATTAAAGATAAATCAACAATGCCGTCAAAATAGAGAACTGAAAATGAATGTGTAAAAAATATAAATGTCAGGTCTGGGTAGGGTTAAGGCCCCATTCCTGATTAGGGCCCCATTCCTGATGTATTACTTCATTTTTAAAAATATTCATAACCTTGTAACAAAAGATCACAGGTTTGGATAAGATTTAATTTTTGAATTGATTTTCTAAATTGAGCGACAGCCTCTTTAATCATTTCCAACTGTGGCTGAGTTGTTGTTTTTGCTCTATAAATATTTTCTGTCGCCTTAACAACTGAAGCATCATCAACGGTAAAAAGAGTTGGGCAAAGGGTACGCAAACGTTCACTTATAGCAGCAGTGGAAGCATCATCGCCAATATAATGGCGAATAAGGGCGCTAATTAAATCGGCGCAGACCTAGGAAATTTTTTTTTTGAAAAAAATTTTTCTGAAAAAATTTTTTGAAAAAAATTTTTCAAAAAAATTACAAAAATTTTTGGAAGATTTTTCAAAAAAAATTTTTAAAATTTAAAATATTTTTGAAATTTTCTTTAAAAAATTTTTTTGAAATTTTTAGAAAATTTTTTAAAATTCCAAATTTTTTTTTAAAATTTTCAAAAAATTTTTCAAAAATCTTACATCATTCCTGTTGCGAACCAAATCATCTAAAGACCAATTTAACAAACATTTTTGAACATCTGGAGCCAATGCTACAAAAATTACACGCAATTCGTGTTCCAACAAAACACTCCACAGAGCAACAACTTCACATGTTACACCAACCAATGTTCTCAATTTTTGAAGTGATTGTTTCTCCTGGTCAACTACTAGAAAAAATTTTTGAATTTTTCAAAAAATTTCGAAAATTAAAAAAAATACGAGAAGATTCTTCAGAAGATGTTCGTCGTTGTTGTTGTTGCTGTTGTAAAGTTCTACTCGGAAAATGATGAATTTGTGGAGAAGTGATGAGTGAACATTCGTCAATTGCTTGCCGAAGAGAATTTAAATAATAACCGACTTCATCCAAAATATTTTTTGTTAGCTGACTTTCAACCTAAAAAATTTTAAAAAATTTCTTTAAATTAGGATTCGACCACAGACTCGGGGACGGAAAACTTTTCTTAAAATTAAAATTTTAAGAAAAAATGAGGGAACTAGGGCAAGTGGGGGAACTAAGGTGAGGGAACTCGGGCAAGCCCTGGAAAACTAGGGCAAGTCCCACCAGAGCCCCAGTTATTCTCCCCGAATTCCATGCATCTTCCGTTCTCCATAAAATCTATCCCCGCCCCGTAAGGCCGCACATTACTTAAACTTTCAAAGAAAAACCTCGTTTATCTGTTTTACCAAACATAAATTTCTTCGCCAAATTCCTTTTATTATTCGTGAAAAATAAATAAACAAAGCTTCATGTCGAGGAGAATTTTGCACTCTAGCACCAGCAATAATAGATTGGTCGCTATCTAAACCTCCTCCAGGTGTATGTAAAACATGTTGAGGTGTAAAACCATTTGTATAATTTGCAGATGGAGTTGAGTTATTTTGTGGTGTTGATGTTCGAAGTGGTGCTGAAAATTTAGGGTAAAAATTAAAAATGCCTGGAGCTGGATCATAATCCAGAAATCAAAACAAAGAAGCTCAAAAATTGTCTAAATCTGTGCTATATATTCAAGAAAAGCTTAGGCTTTAGTCCAGACTTACAGCTCGATCAGAGAGAGACTCACAGCTCAATCTGAATACTCGCAAAATAAAAATGAACAGATGCCGTTTTGTCCTACATATACGTAAATCAAGGAAGTCACAGGCTGTTAAAGGAGACTGGACATGACTTATAAATTTTATTAGGATCGGGGTTCAAGTCGAAAAAAGACGGGGATTCTAGTATTAGGTCGGGTCAGCTCCATTGATATTCGTCTGGGCACAAATAGGCTTGGCTTCATGAAAAAACTAGATCAACGAATGGCAAAAAATGTTAGAATTTGGGCTTTAGATTCAGAAAAAAACCCAGATCTTGTACCAGTTCCAGCTCTAATCTCTAAAATAAAAATATTCTTTTCATCATACTTTTAGGCGTAAAAACACTTGAAGAAAGTGTTCCATTCATATAACCATCACTGCTCGTACTTGCCCTCGGTCCATAATCCATAAAATGATCTCCACTTCCATACATTAATCTAGGCTCTCCAGCACATTGAAAAAATACACGTAATGCCATATCTTTAATTGTTGCATCCGAAGCATTTTCACTACAAATTACTTGTAAAGCCATTACACACAATTCTGTTTGGTTAACAACAGCTTCAAATCCTTGGAATTGTTTTGAATCGTTGCCGTATTGAGTGAGTATATGTCGAAATAGTTCAAGAGGAGAACAGTGTTCAAATACATAAATGCCCTGAAAATGGGGAGAATTTGGAAAAAATTTTTTTTAAATGAACAAAATCTTGTGGGACGAAATGTCCATCCAAAAAATTTGGATAAATGGCCACCTTTAGGGAGCAAGTTCAAAAGAAATCTACTAAAATAAAGAGTCTTAGGTTCTCTAATTTGTCAAAATGACAAAGACAACCTAATCCCTCTCAAATTACGAAATAATGTCCTGAAATGAAAAATAATGCCTGAATGCACTAAAAATAGAAAAAATTGAAAAAAATTTTTGGAAAAATGAATAAAATTTTGTAGGACAAAATGTCCATCCAAAAAATTTGGATAAATGGCCACCTTTAGGGAGCAAGTTCAAAAGAAATCTACTAAAATAAAGAGTCTTAGGTCCTTAATTTGCTAAAATGACAAAAAGACAACCTAATCCATCTCAAATTAAAAAATCTTTAAAAAATTAACCTTAGACGAAATAACAAAAAACTTCTCAATTGGACACAAATGTTGCTCCACGGAAAGAGGAAATTCATCCGATTGTTTAACGATATCATTCTCTTTTCTACTCTTACGCAAAGATTTCTAGAAAAAATTTTTTTTGAAATAAAAATAAAATTATACTTGTCTTGAATGAGCAATACTCCAAACACTGCCATGAATTCGATTAAAACATGTAAATTCAATAAGTTGAGAATTATGTGAAAAACAGGAAGTGGAATGTGCCAAAATGATGCTTGAATTTGAATCAGGTCCAGGAGTTGCCATAAGAGTACAATCTTAAATTTAAAAAAAAATTTTTTTTTAAAGTTTAGATCGTTCGACTTCAATAAAACCACAAATCCACAAGCATATGTAGTATGTCTATTAGAGATCGATATTTCGAAGTTCCGAGTTCGGTATCCAGATTTTTCTTTTATCTGATATGGTGTGAATTTTTTCCCGGGTTTCGAGTTCGGATTTTTCCATGAGATAATTCTTAAAATATTTTCAAAATAAATTTTTTAAGACCATGAAATAATGAAATCCCGAATTACATCAAAATACACGGTTTCTGAGCTACCGGGCCAGGAAACCCCTGTCCCGGCCCGATTTCAAACTTTATAGTCAATAATAAATAATAGTATGACTTGTAGACATAATTAAATGATTTTTAGGAGCAAAAGAAATTAAAAAAATCTTTTTAATAAATTTAAGAATCCAAAAAAAATTATAGTACCATGTGTCTGATATGTCGTGTAAATACTCAAATTGTGAGGTGAAGTCAATGGAATATCTGGAGGAAAGCGAATGTGTAAAATGCGAAGAGCGCTAGGTCGAAGTGTTTTTTGTGAGACCTAAAAATTTTTTAAAATCAAACGAAATTTTTAAAAAAAAAACCTCGTTTAAATGGAGATTTGTAGCCAAACAACTAATATAGATGCGGACACCTTTTGAGGTTGTAGCAACCTTAAAAAATAAATTTTTTAAAAATTTTCCAAAAGTTCATTACCAAGTTAACATTAATTGACTGTGATAGAGGAATTGGACTAATATTAACAATTTCAGAAAAAAGTTCAGGATTAACATTGCACGATTCTTTAGCCAAATGTTCAATTTGTTCGCGATATAAAGCTCCGAATTTTTGTATTGAACGGCCGTCAAAACCCAAATCGAAGACCTTAAAAATTAAATCAGAGTAAAATAGGGCATTTTGTTCATATCACGCCCCTCTCCATTTTAGTCTCTCAAATTAATTTTCCTTTCTATTGTCAATTATTTATTTCTCAAGCAGTAAATTTTGAAGCCCTATAACTTTTCGAATTGGGGGTCGGAGCCAAAAAAGCCGGAAACTACATTGGTGTCTCGACTATGCTCTACACGATGGTATAATTTTTATCAAAAAATTTTTACTCATTCCCTTGCAAGTTAATTGAGCAAAAATTAGAAAGGAAGAATAGAAGTCAATGATAAAAACCAACATTTAAAAAATGACCCTTCCGAGGCCGAAAAGTTTGAAAGGTAAATTAATCCGAAACTCAAATAGGAAGGAAGGCAGGATATGAACAAAATACCAAGTAATAAACATTCGAAAAAATATTTTTCCAAAGAAACCCCCAACCTGAATACAACCACTTTTCATGAGTAAATAAAGCAAATGTCTGCTGTCATCAACAACAAGTTGAAAAACTGATTCTTAAAAAAAATCAAAATTATTTTAAAAATTTAATTTTTAAAAAAACCTTTTGAATAAAAAATTTGTAACACAGGTACCAAATAGTTTATAAGCCTTTTTGAATGATTTGTCTTCTTACAAGTCCCTCCGATGCCAAACCAGCCTTTTTCCTTTAAGAAAAAAATTTTTGCGGATAAATTTTGCGGATAAATTTTGCGGATAAATTATACAAAATATTCCAATTCATAAAGAGAGTCATCCGCAGAAAAGAAAATTCGTCCATCAGAAGTAGGGCAAATATCGGTAACTATAAGTCCATCAAGTGGCAGCCTGTAGAGAGGAGAATTTCCAACCATCGAAATTAAGGCATTTCTCAAGTCATCAGTATTTGGAGGTAAAACATTGCCGGAACTTAATTTTAATTTAAAAATTTAGATAAAAAATCAAAACAAACTTGTCCTCAAATCTAATTGCTAGCAATACAATATCGACGGTTGTGGCAACAATAAGGATTGAATGAAGAGAAGGCTAGAAAAATTTTAAAAAATAAGGGTTACATTTTTGCCATTGTGTCTGGGCCAGATCAAAAAACAGGCAAAAACGGCTCAAAATCCTTGCTAGAAAGGGCACATTCTCTATCGAATGAGCCCGGTCTCGACCGTTTTTAAATCGACACCTCGCAAACTTTCCTTAAAAAATGACGAAAAAATATTTTTCTGAAAAAAAAATATTTAATCAAAAGCTGTCAACTTAAGATTATTGCCATTGCATTTCTGGCTCAAAAATTTGAAAAAAGGAAATACTTGTCCGCAAGTGAAATTTGTGAATAGCAAATTTATGCAAAAAATGGGTTCTACTGCAGTTTATAAGTCCAATCACCTTTATGAGTCCCATCGCGCTTTTATGAGTCCAGTAGGTTTACGATGACCATTTTGAGCCTTTCGCCTAAAATTTGATTGGACTCATAAACTGCAGTAGAGCCAAAAATAGTTTAATAAAGTAAAAACTAACTACAGAAAATCCAGGCCTTGGAGGAGCTATATCAACACGTAGAATTGTGTTGTTTATCAAATCGTAATATGTAAGATCTCGACTAAAATTTAAAAATTAATTAAAATTAAAAAAAAACAAACTTATTGTCAAAATTCCATAAATATAAATCAGAGTCGATAGACATCCACGCCCGCATAATTGAAGGCAATAATCCCGTTGAAAAATTGCTACGCATATCTGAATGAACGTATTTTAATTTGAAAAAGATGAAAGAAAAAATACGTTTAAATTGATCAAGTAATTCCTGAGGGAAAGAATGATGCCAACTTTGGTAGAAGAAAGGTACACCTAAATGCTCGTGTTGAGAATAATCTCTTTCTGCTAGGCCAGAAAATGCTGTAGAGCCTGAAAAATGTTAAAATAAAAAGAATGAAGGGATTAAAAATAAATAAAAAATTAGGGGAATTTTAGGGGATATTTTCAAAAATTTGTATATAAAAGGAATGGACAGGTTGAGAAAAATTCGGGTCTGATAGCGATCAAAGTTTTTGAAAAAAAATTCTCAAATCGGCTATCAGAACGGGTTTTAAAAACACGAACCGAACCCTCGGATCGGAGTTCGATTCGTGTTAGTTAAATAATTTTCAAAATTGCAGATTTCGGCAATAATTTGGAATTCGCTCCCCCTTTTTCAACGTTTCCCAGACCATTTTGAGCTTTTTTGTTTGATACATAATTTATCATAAATTATTCGAAAAAGCTTTTCGAGCTGGGTTGTTCTACCAATAGTACGATTTTTATTTAAAAAGTTTTGGTCAAAGCCCCTTTGTCAGAATAAAAATCAAAAATTAATTTAATAGCACAGAAATACCCAAATAAAGCTAAGTGGTCCCCCTCCCACTAATAAACACAAAATTAAATTATTTTAATCTAAACACAAACCTTTAGTTCTATAGGGATCATCAACTTTAAGTTTGTGATATAAATCAACCACCAAACGATCATTTCTTTGATAACGCTCAACTTGTTGTTGGACGTCCATTAGTCAGCTTTCCTTTATTAAATTAAATAAAAATTTAACAGAAAACAATCTAAAAAAATTTTAAAAAATTTTTTAAAAAATTTAGAAAAATGAAAATTTAAAAAAGCGTCAGTTTTCAAAAAATTTGTCTAACTGTCTCTCCTACACTCTCTAATTTTCCATTAAATTGTACATTAGAGTCTGACCTTTAGAGTCTGAGACTTTTATTTTTTGTTTACTTTTCTTGGGAAACGTCCAAAACGGCGCACGGCCATAACGGCGCAAAGCCATAACTTGCTTCAAGCTTTCATAGTCTTACCAAATTTAGTATTAAACGATTCCTCTCATCGAGCTAAGGAGATTGGTACCAAAATTGACAAGGGAAAACGATTTCCCACCAAGTTATGGCTTTGCGCCTTAAAGGCCCGCGCACTTTTGGGGGTACCCGCTTTTGTTCTTTCTTCCTTCGCGAAATGTTTTTGAACAGAGATCACTCTAAAATTCTTTCAATTATCATTTTTGTGTTAATTTAATGCGAAGATGAGCGAACTTCTTTTGCTTCTTTTGCTTTTATTTCGTAATTTTCCCATAAAGTCTTACTAATATTAAATTGATTTCTGTTGCCAATTTTGATATTTTTTTTCATTTTTTTCAATGTTTGAAAATAATTAGAGCCCGGAAGGTACCTTAATACAGGCGTTATTTTTCGCTATTTATCGGTATTCAGATCCGTAGTACGGTGAGGAATACGGTACGAAAACAATTAAAAATTCCGTATCGTACTACAGACCGTTGAAAATTTCTTGGTAATACGGCCTTCCATACTGTATGGAAGGCAATCCTTCGATTTTGTGGTCCCGACGAAAAATAAATTTAAAAATACCTAGGAGTTAAGATTCGTGATCAGCACAGAAAATTACCCTAGAAAAGATTCTTACTGGAGTTTTAAATTTATTTTTCGTCGTGACCACAAAACTGAAGGTTTGCCGTACGGAATACGATTCGGTACAAAATTCCGGGCTCTGAACATAACTAACTTGATTTTAGATTCAGTTTTGTCTGCAAATCTTATATTAACACAAATTTTGCAATGCTAAACCGTATCTCAACGAGGACGTTTTCTCTCTCTGTAAAATGGTTACAAACACCACATTCTCGTGTAGCTGCTGAGCCATTCATGAATGGAAGTTCTGGAATATATATTGAGCAAATGTATGAAAGTTGGTTGCATGATAAGAATTCTGTTCATAAAAGTTGGGATGCTTACTTCAGGTTTTTTTTATTAATTTAAGGAAAGCCTGGGCCTGTTCACGGGCTCTGGGTTTGATTTATTGACCTGGGCCGAATCCTGGGCCTATACTCCAGGAAAAATCCAGGAAGCTAAAAAAAATGCCGGGGCTCTGGGTACTGGAAAACTCCAGGCTTTAGTCCTGACCCAGCTCGATCTTTAATAGGATATAAGAGGATGGAACTTAATGAACTTAGAATAGATTTCGAAATTTTTGAGCCACGATTGGATTTTTTTGCTAGAGGGACTAAACCCGGAAAGCCCTAATTTCTCTTGGGGGCAGAAACCTGATTTTGCTCAAAAGGGTAATTCATGAAAACCCTGGTCTTAACTCTGTTTGAGATATCAAAAATTTAATTTATGCCTTCTCATTTTAGCAATGTACATGCTGGTGCTGAACCTGGCCAAGCGTTTCAGTCGCCTTCAATCTTCTCCCAAGGCGTGCCAACTCCACATGCAACTCTTGCGATGAGAGATTTTAAGGAAGTTCAGCCATCGACCGCAACATCTGTGATTCCTGCAGACGATCTTACTCGTGCTATCAATGACCATCTGAAAATTCAGCTGTTAATTCGAAGTTTTCAGGTTTCAAATTTTCCAAAAAATTTTTTTTGACTTTTTGGATTTTAAGACTCGAGGCCATAACATTGCTGATCTCGATCCTTTGGGAATTAATAGCGCTGATTTGGACGATACTATACCTAGAGAGCTCGAGTTGGACTTTTATGGTTTTAGTGAGCAAGATTTGGATCGAGAATTTCTTTTGCCGCCTACAACGTTTATAGGAGGTGATAAGGCAACTCTTCCGCTTCGAGACATTTTTGAACGTCTTAAGGTTTCGTTTTTTTTCTACTTGATTTTCTTGGACTCCTTTTTGGGGATGACTTTTAGGGCAACTGTCCTCGTGTTAGATAACTTTCTGGGAGCTGACCTTATTGGGTGGATCTATTGTGATATTTGTTAGGGAGTTAGATTGAAGTTTTCATCCTCAAAATAGTTCGGGGCTAATTTTTGACTGAATCAAGTTTTTCATTGATTTGGTTATTGTATCAATACTTTAGCTACCGGAAAGAATCGAAATTTTGACATTAAATTTTTCCAAAAGTTCGACGTCCGAGGTAACCTGGATGTCCGGCTCCCTTTTAACCACATCTCACACCTTTTTATTTTTTTTCCAGAAAATTTATTGTCATCGTACCGGAATTGAATATATGCACTTGACCAATTATGAACAACAAGATTGGGTTAGAAAACATTTTGAAGCTCCTCGCGTCACAGAATTAACACCTGCTCAAAAGAAAGTTTTGTTCAAACGTCTAATCCGTTCTACAAAATTTGAAGATTTTCTTGCCAAAAAATGGCCCAGTGAAAAACGTTTTGGGTTGGAAGGATGTGAAGTATTAATTCCTGCTATCAAACAAGTTATTGATCAATCTTCAGCTATGGGTGTTGATTCCGTCGTGTAAAATTTTTTTTTATTTTTAATGTTTTACTTTTCTGATTTTTCAAGTATTGGAATGCCACATAGAGGACGCTTAAATGTTTTGTCCAATGTTTGCCGCCAACCGCTTAGCACAATCCTTTCTCAATTCAGTACTCTTGAGCCGACAGATGAGGGTTCTGGTGACGTTAAATATCATCTTGGGGTTTGTATTGAACGTTTAAATCGGCAATCTCAACGAAATATAAAAATTGCGGTAGTGGCGAATCCTTCTCATTTGGAAGGTTTGTTGAATTTTATGTGGAAAATAAAATAATTTTTTTGTTTATTTCCAGCTGTTGATCCTGTTGTACAAGGCAAAGTTCATGCGGAAGCTTATTACAGCAATGATCCTACATGTGATCGACATTTGGTAAAACATTTTATTTTAAAAAATAGTGGGATGGGTTAAGACTGGTCCCTTTCGCAGAGAAGCAGAAGTCGCAAGAAAATATAGTCGGAAGAGGAAGGGTCAAAAATGACATTAGCGGAAGTGTTCCCACCTTTGGTGTGAGTCAATGAAATTTGGGCGCGCCGAAATTTGCGGATTTTAATTTGCGGACCCGAACTTTGCGGACCCGAATTTTGCGAACCCGAACTATGCGGACCCGAATTTTGCGGATCTGAGATTTGCGGACCAAAAATTTGCGGATCGACAATAAAGTCTACTGAATTTCGGAAATTTCAAAAATTTTAGCCTGCGGCGTTAATTAGGATAAATTCAGGCATCATGACCTTATGAAATGGCCATATAAATGATTTTTTAAGGAATTTTCTCGATTATTTAAATTATGAAATAATTTTTAGATAAGAAATTGATAAAAATTTTGAAAAATCAAGAAAAAATCATGAGTCCGGTACGGATCATGGTAAATTCTGCCGGAATCATCAAAAAGTAAAATTTTTAATTTTTCAATTTTACTCAAGTGTCGGTCGTAAAATCTTGGTTCCGCAAAAATCAGGTCCGCAAATTTCGTGTCCGCAACCTTCGGGTCCGCAACTTTCGTTCCGCAAATTTCGGGTCCGCAAAGTTCGGGTCCGCAAAATTCGGGTCCGCAAAGTTCGCGCCACGGAAATTTGGCATTGGGCAGGAATCGGGCCTGCTTTAGCATTTATTTCTTGGCGCTTCGTTCACCAACACAAATTTTCTAAAATTCTCAAGTATATTTTTACAGGCATTGGTATTGCATGGAGATGCTTCTTTCTCTGGACAAGGCGTTGTTATGGAAACTTTCAATCTAAACGATTTGCGTGATTATACAATTCATGGAGCCATTCATATCGTAGTAAATAATCAAATTGGATTTACTACCGATCCGCGTTCTTCTCGTTCCTCTCCTTATTGTACAGATGCTGGGCGTGTTATGGGCGCGCCTATATTTCACGTGAATGCTGATGATCCTGAGGCTGTTATGCATGTTCGTTTTTGATTTATTATTCTTTTTAGGGAGGTTGAGATTGGCTAATTTTTTTATGGGGATTATATTAGATTGTCTGACTGTGAGATATGTATGTATGAGATTTTAAACGACTTCAAAGAATATTTTAAAAATTTAAATGAAAGGCAATAGAACTTTTAAAACCTTTGTTTTTGGTTGTTCTACATCCGACAAATTATATTACATAACATTATCCTGGTTCCTTGTTTTTTTAAACCTAGACTAGCAAAAATCCTAACCATTTACCAAAACTTGTAGTGCGTCGTAATATGAAAACGGCGAAATATCAAACCCCCCAAAATCCGCCGAATTACCAAACTAGAAAAACCTATCAAATTCATTTCGATACTGAAATTTCTTTAAAAAAATTTAATTTAAAGGTCTGCAATGTCGCTTCCGAATGGAGAAAAGAATTTAGGAAGGATGTCATTATCGATCTTGTATGTTATCGTCGTTATGGACATAACGAATTAGACGAACCAATGTTCACACAACCATTAATGTATCAACGTATCAAACAAACAAAACCGGTTCTAGAGCAATATCAAAAGAAAATTTTGGCTGAAGGAGTAGCTGATCAAGAATATGTTGATGACGAATTTAGTAAATATGGATCTATTTTGGAAGAAGCTTATGAAAGTGCAAAGAAGATAACAACAGTTAGAAATCGTGATTGGCTAGATTCGCCATGGGATGATTTCTTTAGAGATAAAAATCCTTTTTATGTGCCACCGACAGGAATTGATAAAGAAAATTTGGAACAAATTGTGATGAAATTCTCGCAAATTCCTGAAGGATTTAATTTACATAGAGGA